CTTCTAGCTCATAAAATAGCTTACAAATCCATCAGAAATGGCAATTTCAGGACCATCAAAAGTTATCCTTGCCCGTACCTTTCCTCATTGCAAACATGAGGCAGAAATGATCTCCACATATGTTCTTTCAGATGTCCTGAAATGCGCCACAGAGTCTTCTGAAACATGAACTCTTTGCCGTACCGAAATGTAGCCATATTGAGTCATTTCAGGTTCATTTCAGGCTACACAAAATTTATCATTTTCTTGCACCGCAAATGGCCATGAAAGTGGTAGCAAATCTATCATTTTAGGACACCAGAAAGCCCCGGTTAAGTCTCCGAAAATGAAACATTTTTGATGGCTTGACCGGGACATTTCAGGTGATCTGAAACCAGCTCATGCCTGTAGTGCTAGTACTGTAAGGCTCTGATCTTCAGTAACGCCCGATTTTCCGAACCAGACCCAAGCGCTTATGTGACTTTTAACGGTGATAAGGCCGTAATTAATGGGTGTAAACTCTCATTTCTTACATAGGCGTCTGAAATGTATTGAAGCTACAATGAGTAAACGCAAGTAAAGCTTGTAAGTTACAGGGTCACAGCCCTGGTGATATCTTTTCGACTTTCTGCATTTAGATTTGCAGTTCCATGGGGACAACTTCAGTGAATGTTCAGGTGTACATAAGGAATGCTGTGGGGCAATAATAACCTGAAGTAAGGACTCCACGCTTTGAGCAACAGGAGATATAGAGGTGCTGGGCCAGAGACTCGAGGGGTGCTAGAGCATCGATATCATACTTTGCGACACTCACCTACACCTATATTTTGGGTATATCTGTAAGTTACCTGTAAGTTATTGACTTTCTTCCGCAGCCCTACCCGGAACGTCGTTCAACAAGCATTTGCCATTCTCATGCCATCGCTATTTTGCTGCAGAGGTTGATCACTTTCCCGGAGGATAGATGCGTTGCTGGCCAGAGGAAGCTTGAGTTCCACGGAGTAAGGAGCTTAGAGCGAGAGCACAATATTATACAATCTCGTATAAGCCCAGAGAAATGGAATGCTTACATTGTTTTCCCGAAGGCCGGATGGGGCGGACGCCTTCGCATAAACCGCTCGACTAACCAAAAGCTCACCATTCAATGACACTAGTACTCATCAAGATACGGAGCGCAGCATGAGTACTGTGACGCTGTCATGTGCCTGACTCTTAAAGGCGAATCCTCCTACATTTCCCGGCCCGCACACGTGAAACTGTGAAGAGCTTCGCATGGCTCGCGCAGGAGCTCACGAAAGACAGCATGTACGTGCCGCGGCCGTTGGGTCGCGCCCCTGGACTTTCGTTGACGAATGCACAGCCAGAGGGGACATGCTATACACATTCGTTCCCGGCACTAGCATCGCGCATTTCGAAACGGGCACGCCCGAACATAGTTTATCCTCTCGCTGTGCGGCGGATGAGCGCCACATTGCCGTGCGGCGAGGCGGTCCTTGGCAGTCGAAAGGTCCAATGCCGCTGCTATCGAGGTGCAAGTACAAGTGATATAAACTAGCATGTACGGTTCAGCGATTACAATGAAATTTAGTGTGGTGAAGATTCCAGTAGGTGATAGCTACATAACGGTACGTCAGTCTCGATCACATCGAGAAATCCGGTCGGAACACTTACACAAGATCTCAAGCATAGATCACTTGCGTGTCAGCATACCCTGGATTCAAGTGCCATAGCATGTCGATGTCTTCTGCATCATCCATAACGAAAGTGCCCAACTTCTGCAGAGTCCAAGAGCTCCCAATCTTACTGATGATATTCCCGCACAACCAGTACTTGAGGTCGGCAGCCGCAACAACAGCGTACTCAGCGCCAGCCGGGGATGCACCCAATAAAGGGGTGACAGAGCTGACAGTGACGGTAAAAGACCAAGACTTAGCTTGCCCGCCGTCTCTTGGCCCAATCAGGACCTGCAGCTGTAGACGGCCAGCTATTCCAGTAGGATGGAAGACGCAGCGTTCGACGGCGTACGCGACATTTGAATATACGGCGGATGCGGGGTCGTAGTGGACGAGATCCTGTTGCAGGTACGCGACTGGGGAGGTGGAGAGAGGTGTCAACGGATGGCGCATGAGCTGCTCCCAGCTCGGGCGCCACCGAGCTTTCAAGTCGGCGCCGGTGATGGGAAATAGGAAGAGGAGGTCGGTCAAGAACTTGGGGTCCAGCTCGCGCACAAGACGTTCCCATGCTGTCTCCGCAGAGATCGTCTCGTCATATATCGGCAAAACTGGACACTGGAGAAGATAGCCGAGGCCGCTGATGTAGTCGTTCTCGCGACGAGCGTGACGCAGCCGGAGGAAGCTGACTAGCGCGAAGAGGTCGGGAGGGGTCTGGCCTTGGGGAAGTATGGCGAGCAGGTCATTCATCCGCCGATGGAAGAGTTCTATTGTACCATACACGCCTGGATCACGCTCGTCGAATGGCTGGGGTGTGAGTCCGCCGAGAAGCCAGTTCGGCGTGGCCTCCTGCATCGTCCAGACACGGTTGATCCAATGGTGCGCACTACCCTCCTCCTTCAAAGATCCTGCGGACAGTCGGAAGGGCCTCCCGAGACCGTTGAAGTAGGTCACGACCACCTGCGAGGGCTTGCACCGGTAGATATACCCAATGGTCGGCACATCAAGTCGCCACTCCTCCTTTCGAGTTCGTTCGGAGGCTTCGCGCCACTGCCATATGTCTACGACGTCTCGTCTCGGATGAGATGACAAGGTGGTCGGCGGGATCTCCTGCCTAAGGCAGAGCACGTCCAGCCAGACGTATTCGGCCCCCAGGTTGAGCAGCTCGATGCGGATCTGGCTGAGGTCGACATCTGAAGGAAGAGGCACCGGCCACTCGTAGTCATTGATGGACGTCCACACGCGCCGAAGCTGCGAGTCGGGAACCCAGCTGTGAGATATCGCCCACAGGTTCCTCGGTACGTCTGCTCCGAGGAGCACGTAAAATGGGAGGACGCGGTTGCTGTACAAGTCCCATACTCGGCGAGGAGAGATGCGTGGATTAGTGATGAGATCGTCGGTAATAGCCTTCTCGCGGCGACGGTCGCCGATCTCCTGGAAATTGACCAACCGGTTGCCTACATAGTCGATGTCGCAGAACCACCCACGGCGGATCCACCCATATGCATACCCGAAGTCGTATCTGCATCGAGGATGGTGCACTATCTGACCGAGAACGCCTCTGAGGCTGGGGGTCCTGTCGAGACTGTAATTCGTACCGAAGACGTCATTGAGCTTTTGGAGAACCCCATCAACTCCGAGGGTGAAGCAGAAGATATCCGCGTCCGAGTCGTAAATAGCACCGGTGCCTTTGAATTTCGTCTGCAGGGGACACAGAGTATAATAGTCTATGGGTGCCGGAGGAGTGAGCGTGAAAATCTTGCCGTTCGTGCGCTGCTTGGCAGACGAAGCCTCGAGAGAGCCACGGCTTTCGTTCATCATCATCATGAGATCCCATACTCCCTGGTGGGAGAATGCATACCGGCGAGAGGCGTTTGGACTCGATGTTGAGACAACTCCTGAGCTGGGACTCTGAGGACGTGGGTCACGTGCACCCGGAAGGGCATCGTCGAGGCCGAAGATCAAGCGCAATCCGGGAGGTATCGGGTGCCGCTTGGACAAGCTTCCTCCAGGAGACGCGGCGAGGTTCTTCCACAGACCAAGAGACGGCACGTCTCTCGGACGCAGGTCTGCCCGCGTCCCACTCTGGCGACGCAACCACTGGGTGTCTTCTGCAGGAGGCGGGGGGTAACTGCGGCCAGCCACTCGATCATCAATTGCTGGGGGACCAGGATGAAAAGAAACGGCGCGTTGCTCGTCCTCGTATCTTCCGCTATTGCCGTAGCCGCCATGCTGTGAGCTGCCTTGCTCATCATCGTCCATCGCTCTCCCCAGACCCGACATATCCCACGCGTTCATCCCCGCACCGTCCGACCGATCCTGCAAGTAGTAGCCGCTGTTAACATCTTCATCCTTCAGACCATGATCCTGTTGCCAAGGGCTGCTTCGTGGTACAAGCTGGGGAGAGGGCGCCTGATGCTCGCCGTTCTCTGGCCACGTGTTTCCACGTCGGGAGAGTTGACTGGAGCCGTATCGGGCAGTCGCATTCTGAGACCAAAATTCGCCCTGTTGCGGGAATGCCCTTTGTGACCCTCCTTGCGGCGAGGAGCGAGACGGCGGGGGACGCTTACTTAGCTCTGCTGGGGATGGGTGTCCCTTGTAATTATAGTAGTTAGGTTGCATGTACGACGCGACTTCGGGTGCGGAGATGGGCAATCCTTGGCTACCCAGGCTCAGCTATGTCAGGATAAGGGTGGGTGTAACTCACGTAATATCGAAGCAGCGTTAAGTACGATGAAAGCAGCCCAGGACCTCCCTCTAGCGACTGGTCTATTTGATGAGAATATGTTGGATGCAACGTATGCAAAGCGTCGAGGCTATTCGATCGGCTGGCTCTGCAGGACGACACGAATATTGGTATGGGAAGAGGGGGCTGCGTGGAGGTGCAAAGAGGGCTTTGAAGCCTTATCGATAGATGCACGCTTCTTTGCAAAATCCACCACACAGCCTCTCTTACGGATGCCGCTAAATGTCAAATTTGGAGAGTGTTAGACCCTGCATGAGAAAACCTGAGGATTTATTGAGTCACTTTCGGGGTAGCAGCGGGCTCAAAGTCGAAGGAGGAATATCTTCGGCATAGACGAGTTACTGCAAGGCCTGAAGGGATGACTGTACAGTATCCAGATTAGAGTTACAACATCACAAGTGCGCAAAAATATTGTCACACATTAATAACGACTCTATTTGTGTGTCTACGAATTTTTGTGACCTCCCGACGCTCGAGGCTTCCTTGACATCGTCCCCAGGCCTTTCCCTGGCTCGCTTCCACCTTTGGAATGCCCGCAGATGCTTACGTCATCCGGCGCGGGACCGTAAATTTGGCGGGGTTCAGCTCTACTTCTTGACTGCATACCCCAATGACGTTTACTGGTTGGAATGAAGCGGTGGTAAATTAGCACGCTGAGCGCGCCGCATGTATTCTCTAGGTTTGCATGGACGTCGCAAGCGAGGGCGGCGTACCATGATGCGGTTTACTTAGCAATTATGCAAGGGAATGCTTTGTTCTCATCCCACATTTTATCGAAGATTTGCGACCTCAGTTCGCGAAGCACGTACCGATCGATGAAGACCTCCCACGAGCCCTCGATTCGTCTCTCGTGTGGACCCTTGGGAGTCAAAGTCGCACCAGCTATATTACCACCGCTCCGCAGGATTATCGCACATACCATCCTAAAGACTATAAGGAACTAGACTTTAGGCTGGAACAAACTCGCGACATTCTTTGCGCTATGCGCAGATAATCTTCCACCCCTCCTGCGGTAGAGGCTTGACCTCCATGCCGAATTCCTTCTTTCCAGCCTTCAGCCTGCCCAACGCTGTATAAAACTACTGGACTCGTCAGTGATGATATTTTTCTTAAATATGCGCGGGACGGGGTTGGGGAGTAAGATGAAATACCTGCGCGCCCAAGCAGAAATTGTCCCATGCGGAACGACAATGTCGCCGGGCTTTAGGACAACCAGCGTCGGGCCAAGGTGAGTGTCCCACCGATGAGGACACCGTAGTCAAGAGAGATCGTGCGGTGGATATGAGTTCTGAGACACTTTCGCAGAAGCAAGTACCATCACCCAACTGTTCCGAGCGCAAAGGCGCGTCGACAGTCCAAAAGACGCTCTCGTTGGGTTTGTAATGCTGTTGCCATATCTCTGAACGGTGTCCTTGAGCCCTCTGTCGTTGCTCGACGGGGAGCCCTCTGTATAGAAAAGGTCTGTGAAGGCTCGGCGAGCTCCTGAAGTTTCAGAGGAAAGATTGAACGAGTCAGTCGTCGGCGAAGATTGCCTTGACAGCTGGGATAGGGCCTGTAGTGTGACAGGCGGAAGCCCAGTCTCTACAGGGGTGGTCGATATGGCGAGCGCTTTGGTCCTGAGATGGTTGAGTTTAGGCGCGATGTGTCTTTATAGTTCGCAAACCGTCGAAGAAGAGCTCTGAAACACCTTCTGTTCACTAATGATACCTAGTAAGTACCATAAGATGTGGCGTATCGCCTTGAGGGAGACTTTATAGTCGTGTTAGTCGCGCCATCGCCCAGCCAATTCATATGCGATGTTGCGAGAAGTTGGAGCCTAAAGGGTGTATCGATCTATAGACGATGGCCCAATATATGGACGAGGACAAAGATGTGTGACTCACATTGGTGCTTCCTCCAGCAATCGCAGCCTGAGCTCCAATACTCAACTAGTGTCTACTCGACTCAAGCAAGGCCTGGAGCGCCACATAAGCCAAGACTCTACGACGCTGCCATGTATTCTTTTACGGGTGACTCCAAATGAGAATTTCCATAGTTTCGCTTTCAACTCGGGTCGCAATAAATGCTCTCTTCTTTGGAGACTCTGTTCTGTAAGTAGACTATCGCACAGTTCGAGGTGAATACACTGAGCAGGTGTCATCATTCTCCAACGTTAACGTGGCCACATAATATGTTTGTCACTCACCGAGGCTAACTGTTCACGATGTGCTTAGAAGGATCAACGTCCTGCAGGGACCAGCTAAAAGAGGGAGTCTTGAGGGTCGTCGCGGCAATGCACTCCGCAAAAGTGTCATGCACGTTGGTTCCCGATATAGATCTACTAGAAAGAGTCAGGGCGGCGGAGCTCTCTATCATCTCGCGGAGGGAACTTCTTGCATTCGGCCCTCGTGTTTGGCCCACTCGAGAGATCGACACGACCTCGCACAATGAATCTAATCACACACCCACTATCTTGTACTGAGTGTACGTCTTATGCCGGGAATACCAACGAAAATTTCTCCTACATTCAGCACATCAAGGTTTAATCTAGTACTATGCACTCGCGGCACTACGCGGTGGTGACCTTCCAATCGTCCGGCATAGGCGTGAACTCTATCTCAAGCTCCTTCTCCCCAGGCTTCACTTTGTTTGCCGCTGTGAGAAGGTGAATCTCTCAGTGATATCTGTTTTGAGAACTGTACACAGCGGGCTTACTGAGCAGAACAAAATACGTCCGCGTCCACTCGTCCGATGCGTTGACCCAGGCGTGGATCGTTCCACGTTGGACGACAACGTCGCCGGGCTTCAAGACTGTGCGTTTGTTGTCGTCAAGCACTAGAGTGAGGGCCCCTTGGACATGGATGCCATAGTCGATCGTGAGTGTACGATGGAGAACCTACGAGAACCTATGAATCCTACAAACGCCTCCGCCGCAGTGAGCATCGGAACCCACCGTTTCCGTGTGAGGAGGCATGTCCATAATGCGGAAGACACTCCCATTGGAGTTCACAATCTCGTCATCGCGGGGCTTGAGGACATCCTCGAGACCTCCGTCGTTGCTTATCGGGAAGCCGAACGACCGATATGCATCTGACAACATCGTCGTCGTCCCCTGAGCAGGCCAAAAGCGGACAGGTTCATCCTTGACGAAGATTGCCTTGCCATCTGGCGTGTGGCCAGTGATGACGCGACGCGCAGGGGGAGGCTGGGGAGGTGCAGTAGTCGACATGAGGCGTACCAGGGCGTACGCGTCGGAATTGCAGTAGGCCTTTAAATACTTTCCGATTTGAGCGGAGATCGCTTGGATTGGCTAACGCCGCCTCTGAGCCGGAATGGACAGCAAGACGAAAGGAGCTCAAAAGTGCACCTTTTCCAGCGCACCAGGTAGTTTTGTGGTCACTGCTTACGGCAAGTATCGAACAAATTATGGTCTGAGTTGGACCTGAAACGGTTTGAGAGACATCCTGAGACATCATCATGCGCCGACAGCTAGGTTCCACACGGTACGTGTGGTAGATTTCTAAAGATGGCTCAATGTCTCAGCCGTGACGGCAGCGATTTCATCGTTGACATGCGTGTCACGGCCTGCGGCACAATGGGCACCAGAGTCCAGACTCGCTATTGGCGCATCAGCGCCACAATGCTCGCTGTCCATTTCGCCACACATATCGACATCATTTAGGCTACATTTCTGCCGCAATTAGACTACCCTCAGCCGAACGATATGCAAGATGCATACGGCTTCAAGGAGCGCAACGACCGGACTTGAAACTTGGATGGCGAGTCTACATCCTAAGAAAAGGTATGCGCTCATGGATCGCCACGAACGGCTAGTATACATGCGGTGAATAGTGAGGATTTCTCTCAGACTCAGCACATTAACGTCTAACCTATTAAACAATTAAGACGCTACGCAACGGTAGCTTTCCACTCTTCAGGTAAAGGCTTAAACTCCATGCCGAGTTCCTTCTCTCCAGCCTTCACTTTGTTCGTCGCTGCGAGAAGGTGAGTCTTTCAGCGATAACTCCTTCGACACTGCATGAGACGGGCTTACGGAGTAGGACGAAATACGCCCGCGCCCACTCGTCTGTTTCGTTGACCCAGGCGTGGATCGTTCCACGCTGGACGACGACGTCACCGGGCTTCAGGATAGCGCGTTTGTTGTCGTCGAGCACCAGGGTAAGGGTCCCGTTCATGAGGATGCCGTAGTCAAGTGTGACCGTACGGTGAAGGACCTACTAGATCCTGTGAGAACTGAATGCTTCCGCGGCAGTAAGCACTGGCACCAACCGATTCCGTGCGTGGAGGGACATCAACGGCGCGGAAGACACTCCCATTGGGGTTCACAAGTCCGTTATCGCGATGCTTGACAGCATCCTCGAATCCCCCATCATTGCTCGCTGGGAAGCCGTCTGACCGGTATAGGTCCGTGAACACGGTCGTCGATCCCGCGAATGGATAAGAGCTGGCGGGCGCATCATCGGCAAAGACTGCCTTGCCATCTGACGTGTGGCCTGTGATAATGCGGCGCACGGGGGGGAGTCCAGCAGCTGCAGTGGTCGACATGAGGGTGCTTTGGTGCGGAGGTGGTCATGTGGTGCAACTGTGGTGGGGCTTTATAGTCATGCCTGGGAAGAACTCTCACACTGTCAATCGCCGAGTTATGATAAGTAATCGCGGCATCTCTTGCTTCCAGGAAGGTTGTGTACCTCTAGTCACGCTACCTGCCAGATTTGTGTGCGGGCAACTACGATTCGATGACGCCGGTATCCAAAAGGCTAGAGGCGAAGCGGATCGAATCAACTTTGTGGATGCTAACCTATGCACGTAATTTTTTTTACGGTTTCGGCGACAAAGATGCATGACCCACATCACTATGCTTGCCTAAATAACCCAAAATTTTTGTTGTTTTTGTTTCATGAAAGATCTGCAAAGCGGTGCCCAGAGCACCACACGAGCCAAGACGCCACGGCGCTGCTAGATATCTCTAATGGGTGTTACCGAGAGAGCATTCCGCGTGAATTCACTCTTGGGCTGCAATGATCTCATTTCAGGACTGCAGGTATATGCTGTACAGCTACCAAATTCAACCTAGACAGATGATACGATTATCACTTACCACGACTTGCCGCCGATATCGGGCCTGAAAAAACGAAAAGCCCGCAGAGTTTAACCGGTAGAAAGGGATCGTCGTCGTTAAGCACTATGTGCAGTAGTATCTCTACTGGTCGCTGGCGCATGTCTATCGGAAACAATCATGAGAGCGGTATAGGACGGGGTCCTGGTGAGTGGCGGCGAAGGATCATCAAACGAAGTCCGGTGCCAACGCGACCCATGCTTCCGACTATCAAGTTCGACTCACTCAACAATACGGACGGACCATATTCACGAGACTACTTTTCGACGTATGTTTCAGTTCTTCATGGGATAAGTGCTAAAGCTGAGAAGCGAGTGAGCAACACTAAAAATTCCCCCCTAGACTCGGCACGTCAGGAATCTATATGCTAGGGACTCAATGCACTATTCCGTGCTAGTAGCCTTCCACCCCTGTGGTAGAGGCTTGTGTTCGATGTCAAGTTCCTTCCCTCCAGCCTTCACTTTGTTCGTCGCTGCAGAATAAATAGCTTTCTTTAGGGGCCATATCTCGTTGAAACACTGCGCAGGACGGGCTTACGGAGTATGACAAAATACATGCGCGTCCATTCATCAGTCTCGTTAATCCAGGAGTGAATTGTCTCACGCTGAACGATAACGTCACCGGGCTTCATGACGACGCGTTTGTTGTCGTCAAGCACTAGGGTGAGGGACCCACTAATGAGAATACCATAGTCAAGCGAGAGCGTACGATGGAACATCTGTTGGACTCTGTAAGCCGTGCAACGTCTTCGCACCAGTAAGCATCATCCCTCACCGCTTCCCTATGTGGGGGCATGTCAAATACCCGGAAGGTGCTCCCGGTGGGATTCACAATCACATTGTCATGCTGCTTGACAGCATCCTCGAAGCCTCCGTCGTTGCTCGGCGGAAAGCCGTGTATCCAATATAGGTCCGTGGTGAAGGTCTTTGAGCCACCAAAAGGATAAGAAGCGACGGGTCCGTCATCAACAAAGATCGCCTTGCCGTCCGGTGTATGGCCTGTGACAATGCGACGCACAGGGAGAGGCTTGGCAGCTGTAGGAGTGGTCGACATGAGGGATGCTTTGGTTCTGAGTTGATCGGGCGTAAATGCAGTGGAAATTTATAGTTCAAAGACCTGCCTGTAGGAGGCCCGAAAAATCGGTTGACCTCTGCCTATTCGTGTGCCGGTATTACGAGGAGGTACGGCTCAGTGACGCCCAGGACAAATTAGCCTGCGGTACCGTCGGTCTGGGAGTCATCCATCGGAAAACCGACGTATGCGTAGCAAGTTAGGCGGTGACAAGAATGTATGGCCTACATCGATATGTTGCTCGACAGTCGCAACCTCAGTTCTGATACGTGGTGATTTGTTGAGCTTACGGTTCGACCGAACGCGAAGCCCACACTCGCGCCAAATTGATTTAAGACGCCACAATACCGCCGGACACTTCTTGCCGTGGTTACGTAGTCGCGGTTCCGCCTTCGAGCTTGAGCCGCATTTTCGTCTCCAGCGATTTTGTTTCGTAAATCAGCCATTACTCACTCCGGAACAGATACGCACTGCGCCGACGCCATCATCTCCAACGCAGACGTAGCACATGCCGCTGCGTTTGTCACTCACCATATCTTGCCGCTGGCTATGAATATGAGTACTGTAGTCGAACGTCCCTCCACAACTACTAGTAGTGCAGAAAAGGAAACTCGAGGGCTGTCGCAGCGACTGAAGCAGTCTCATTGGAGTATCTTATCCTGGCTGCCGATAAATATTTTTCAGAAGATAGCCAAGAACAGGAGACGTATAGGATGGCGGACATGGCATGAGGTCAAGAGGCAGCGGAGGGGAACGGGATGATGTGGCGAAGCGCCGGTTTGCGACTTGCCTCTGATCATCATCTCACCCGAGAATTCAAATCCACTACAATGGTGAATTCGATCACCAGACACCATGATTTATACTTCATAGGCATATTTTCAACGCTTGGACGATCTCACCTTTCTCTTGCGAGGATAAAATCGGATTTTGTAGACGGGTAACTTGCGAGCGATACTTAGTACCGCTATGGAAGCCCTCGGACTCTCGGAGGCTCGTGCTGCGCGGACACGAGATCTTTCCACGTGCCTCTTCTGTGCAAGCTCATTTCGGCGCGTCTATGCCAGTTCCACTCCGGGCTTCATCCACTAACCATCCAACAGGGCCCTCAGCGTGATCTGTGCAAGCGCGATTGATCCGTCGCCACAAGGCGCATGGCGTGCGCAGGGGGTTCACCTGCTGACCGGAACTTTTGCGCCTTATCACCTGTGCTGGCTTGGAACCGGATCCGCGTCGCCCGCCTTAGTGTCGATAAGCGATCTTCATGCGCATACAGAGCTGTGCGCACAGTCCAACCTGCAAAAGCTTTCAGGATGTGTCTCAATACGATCGATTGAGCATGAAATCTTCTGGAGGCAGCTCTGACTAGGACGCGAGGGGTGCCTGTCTGTTGCCACCATCACGACTGGAAGCGGATCTGCGCAGTTGAATCTGACTGAGTCGCTGATAGACAGACAGGTTTCGATTGCAGAAACCTCACGTACAGGTTTTATAGTAGCTGACCGGTTCTGTGCTGAAGGCAAAAATAGAATTATCGACAAACAATTCGCCTAGCTATCATTGCTAACAACTTGTATCGCATCGGCATCGGCATCGGCATCCTCATTGCCCAGAGCGCAAGTCTTCTTATAGATGGCCGACGTTTTATTGAACCCTTCCTTCGCCCCCTAAGTATCCCGCTTGATCCGCAATCTCCCCTGGTCCGTTGTATTGACTAGTTGCACGATGAACGAACGTGTAGCCCTGCACGGTCATTCCAAGTGTGTCCTGTTTCGCCATCTATTCATCGGTCTAACAACTTCCCAGCATTCAGAGGTCAACACCCAGCAATTAAACGTGTCTACCCGTGACATCAATCATACCTCGGTAGGTATAGACGGCCCCCAGAGAGACGTGTCCCATTGCATTGACTGAGTCTGAAAGCAGGGTCTGCTATGACGATCTTCGCTTCCCCGAATAAGGTACAGCAGCTTGGTATGTTGTATTCTCTGGGTCTGGACGACGACGATCCGCAGCGATTGGTCGCAAAACCCTAATCACTGGGCAAGGTAAGACACATGTTTTGCGGAAACTTCCCTAAAGTGCGCTGGACGCGAATCGGTCGCGGCCCTCGCATTGTCGAGACGCGTTATACATCACCGCTCTGGCGCGCAGAAACGCGATTGCTCTCGACTCTCCGTGCACGACGGACATCTTCGCACAATCCGCGCTGCAACAGCGGCCTGGAAGTTGCGCCCTGTGGACGCGTGCAACGTCCGCGAAACCTCGTGTGTCTCATTGCAGAGACTGCGGCGATAGCAGCGATCGCAGCGTGCCAGAATTTGGAGCAGCAGCACGATCGAGTGTATACGATCCCAGATCGCCGTCAAGCAAATTTACATACGCTGCCGGACCCTGTGATCGAACGATTCTCGTTCTCTCGCTTGACCCAGTTCGTCCATGCGATCTCTATCTTCAGCTGCACCGCTCTGACAGCTCCTGCAGGCTTTTCATTTCCGGCTGCCGCTCTTTCTAGGGGCACATAGGCAAATCCGGTACCGCCTCCGGACACGCGTCGTTCATGTCGGTGTAGGTTGTGCGGCCTGGGGACGCTTGCTTCTGCGAGATACTGGTCGACCGAGGCTTGCGCGCGCAGGGCACGAGACGGCTGTGAAATGCGAAGGGTGAGCTGGTGGGGCCACGCTTTCCGCGCAAGGGAATGCTGACCTCTTACGGCAGCCATTGCCCCCGCTGACCTTGTACAAACCTTGTACAGAACCCAAAAACCGGCTTGGGTCCGATTTTGCCGCTTTCACGTGTTCCCTCCTTCCCCTGGCGGTTATGGTCGGATGTTGACTTGATACGCAAGCAAAAGAGCTTGCTGGCACAGGTATGGGTTCAATGCTGTACTCGTTCGATGCTTCGTAACGCATCTGGTTCTTTTTTCTGTCTGTTTCTGGTGGGGCTAAGCTGGACATATGCACCACAAACCGGTCTGCCAGGAGCGGACGCGCCTGGATCGCGCGCGCGTGACCTTTAGCACTTCACGTCCGTCCCTAGGGCCCAGAGTCCCCCAATACAATACAGAACTCAGATGCCACCGTTCCGCGTCTCCCGGCTAACACAACACGGCCTCGACGAAAGGGAAACAAACCACCCCCGAATTCGCGGCCCTTGCTGCGTCGCGCAGGCGCACCGCGAAGACGCGTCTCGTCCTGTCGCGGCGCGCGCGCACGCCCGCGTTTTCGAAATTCGCGTGCTTCCGAGGGTGTGTGCAATCGAGCGCATCGGGATCGCGCCAAGCTTGTAGGGCCCGGGATCACCGGCTCACCATGCACATGCATGCGTGCGCGTCCGATGGTGATCGTGTTCATTAAGGGATCGCTTGGCTCGAAACCACGATCGCGCATGAAGGTGGTGGGGGTATCTCAGGTTGCAGTTGGGAGCATATGGCTGAAGTGAAAGCCGCTGTCCAGAGCGTGTCGTTTGAACTGACAAGCAAGTGTGTTCCGGCGGACGGAGGAGCGCTGGCGTAGGACGTTGAAACGTTCATGAGACAAAGACAGGCCAGGAAGAGAGAGAGAGCAAAAAAATGCGTTTCGCGAATAATTTAAGGGTACATGCATGTAGATGACGCAGACGCGGAGCGCGAGCGTTGGGGGTGCGAATGCAAACGGAGGAACTGTGACGAACGAGGCGAAGCACAGGCGACGTGATGGAAGAACTGTGTGGTATGTCATGCGATGCACGAAGGTATCCAACCTGAGCCCCCATCCTAATAATACGAAGCGATGACCAACAAATGAGCCCGAAGTGAACAAAAACGCGAAGCGACCCGAAGACGGCCATTACCCTCGACTGTACAGTAGATACTGCTCCCGCTACCCACTTCTGCAGATGCTCCTCGAATAGTGCGTGCTGTGTGATGTGTGCTTTGTTGGAATGCATTCCGATCCGGGATACACAGGTGGAAGGGCGCGAGCGCTGTGCAGTGCTTGGCACGGAGCGGAGTGCACGGAGGCGGGAGTAATAGGGCACTGGGACAGCGAGCTCGGATGGTTAACGCGGTGTGGTTTGTACTCGCCGCATTGATGGGCGGTCTCCGTTGGGGGGACGCCATTGTCTTTCCCATTCTTGCAGACATCTGGAGGTTCAAAAAGGTAAGATGGCGTTGAACAGACAAAGAGAAGCGAACGCACTTGACGAATCCGGAGTTTGGCTTCACACACGCACGCTTCCGCTTAACAAGATCAAAGGCGGCATCGTAGGACATGCTTTGTGTGTAGATGAGATATGCAATCACGACTGCAGCGGAGCGCGACACGCCCTGCGAAGAGGATTCAGTTGAATGCAAAAGGAACGATACTGCGCAAGACACACCTGCTGACAATGCACGAGCACATTCACGCCCCTCCGCAGACGGTCGTCTATCCAGCGTACAGTCGCCTCCAGGTGCGGTTTGAGGTCTGCGGTGGTGCTGTCGAGGATGTCGAGGCGGTAGCACTCGAGCTTGACGCCCTGGGAAGCATGTGCGTCTACGCTCGGGAGCCAGGGGGCGTCGAGGACCTGGACGAGTGCGCCGACGGCATGGGAGTTGAGGAGGGCAGGGTCGAGGATGGCGGAGAAGGAGCCGAGGTAGAGCGCGCCCGACCGGTTGGATGCGCCGGGTGGGAGGATGAGATGCATGGGGGTGCACATGGCCTGCATGACCTCGGGCGGGAGGTTGTCGAAGCGAATCATGTCTGTTGTGTGAAGCTGCTTGAGCGAGAACTGGGAGAAGAGTTTGTGTGTTCTGGGAGCAGTGTCGCTCAGAGATTATAAATCGAGAGTGGAGCCGGCCTCGCTGTTCTGGATCGTTTCCGCCCACTACAAATTCAAGCTGGGCACTCTTAACTTTCGTCCCTGGTTGGGCATATCTGCCAAAGTCAGCAGGCCCGGCATGTCCGCGCACGCACACCACACACGCTCCCAAGTCAAGGCGAACGGAGAGTTGTTGCACCGTCCAGGCCAGAGCATGGTCCAGCCTCCGAGCCCTCTCAGGCCCTCCCCTATCCCTCCCAGCGCCTATCTCCAGATCCCTCCAAGCTGACTCCGTTTGGCACAGTTTCCTCTCTCCGTCAGCCTGCGTTGAATGAGAGGCCTGGCCGGCTCAGGGTAGCACCAAGTGCCCTACAACGTTGTTCTTTTCCGACCACACCCACCCAACGACTCTCAGATCGATCGCAGCCAAGCTCGGAGGCAAAGTACCGCGCTGCGATATGCGAGCGCCTCCGCCGCGGAAACACTCTCCTGGGACGATCCGCCGGCTCTGTTCTCCAATTGGCCCACGCTGCCCGGGCCACAGAATGCACACTGTAGGTCCAGGGTCTCCTTCCTGCCCGTGGCGGTGCAGGCGGCATCTCGGATAGCGGGCCCGTGGCGCACACATTGCCTCCCGTTCTCCTGGTGTATCTCCGGGATACTCAAAACGGCTTCGATGCCGCATGGCGCCCTCCACTCACCTGCCTACGGCCCGCCTCAGAGTCCGAACGGAGGTGCACCGTCGGTGTGCCCCTGCCGTACCCCAGTCGAAGCACGCTCGTCCAATGCATGCTCTATTGCGCCACGGCCCTGAGATCCCATCGCCGTGCCATCCATCGCGGCAGAAAGGGCGACTAGCACTACCTTCAGCGACCCTTTTCTGCGAAGCGCGAGAGGCTCCAGCAGCGCGCATTCTAGTCTGGGAGCCTTCAGGCCCGTCTAGGATGCGCGCGAGCTGGGCCCATAGAGTCGGAATTTGTAGACGCATGACGCAACGGTCTCAGACGTCACCTCCGGGCTTGAGTTGACCAGAGCGCACGGTCCTTCTGACACTGGTAGAAAATGACGGGGACCCGATGCTGATGATGAACGGGGCCATGTGCCTCCGACCAATGGCTGCAGGGTAAGTCGCACTCGCGTCCAATTCAGCTCGAGTCGTACGGATAAGGCGGGACTTGGTCGGCGCCCGAAAGAAGTGGCGTATCATTAGTGACGAGTCGAATGCACTGTCTCTATGTACAGCATTTGATCGACCGAGCTAATGCCATTATCGGTAGAACTTCTCGAGAGCCCACTTCATTCGCCGCACAGAGCACCAAGCTGCGCTGGTGTCGAGGAACACACATGGCCACTCTGATTGAGTGGGGATGTGGCGGGAGGGCTAGAGTGAGTTGTCGTGCCGAAAGAAAATCGTAGTTGCTCTCGAATATGTGAAGTGGTGAAATCGCTTTCGACATCGCAGGGGCAAACTTTAGCTACTTTCTTCGTACCTGCTCTGCCAACCAGCCCCAGAGCCACTCGCCTGGTTTTGTATCATACATATCTCTCACACAGTGGGCGTGTGGCGCGTATGGGGCGAACCACTTGCTTCCACATTCAGCTGAAGGCCTTCGGTCATTGCCCGTATAGAGCTGCGTGAGCGTGCCCTTCCAACGTTCATGAAAGAGCTTGTTCTGTATACAACCTTTGTCAGAGGAATGCGGAAGAATCAGCAACGAGTCGACGACACCCTACCAAGAAGAACTTTTGAACCTCGAACGCTGAGACCTATCGCATCCGTCAGCCTCCAATCCCACAACGCGCGTCGGAAGCCCATGCTATCATAGCTTGCTCCGACCGCATAAATCCTGGATCATCTGCCTCGTGCGTTCCGAACTGTCGCGGAATGTCAGTACGCGCCGCCGCTGATGGTGTTGATGACGCGTGCATGACCGTCGGACGAGCGGCTGGGCGGCGAGTGCGGACACGAGCAGCTCCGTGAAGAGGTCATTTGCTCGAGAACGTTCGTCCCAAACTGCATGTCGTACCCTTCCGCCGTGAGGTGCTCGACCGGGCACCACATGACTCTACTATCCCATATGCGGCAGCTCAGTCTCGTTCGGCTCTTACGCGTTGTTGTACAGGATGTGCAGCTCGCGCCTCCGCTCAGAAACTCTTTGTGCCGCGGCCGGGTTTGCGAGGTCCAGCTAGATTTATACCGCCTCTTTTGCTGGTGGCGATGGCCTTGAACTCAGCAAGGGCGGTCTCTGCCTGGGAGCGGTTTTGCGTGGCGATACGAAAACGGAAGGGGGCGGGATCGACGTTGATGGCGCCATGATCTTGCGCGGCCATCACTGAGCCGCCCTTGTGGCGCCGTCCCCTCGGCAGTCCGCGGACTGGTCCGAGAGTCGGCCTTTCGAGTGGACGACGAGCATCCCGTGATGGAGTACGTTGCTGGGTTCAGCTCGGGCGATATCACGGTCGACGGCAAGTTTGATGCATTGTACGAGTACTCCCCATGGACCGTGCGTGCGACCTAGTGGCTCCGCTTAAAGCTACCGTGACATGTGAAGTTGGATTTGGGCGCCGCCGACGTCGTTCTCCCCAACGTTTTCAGCCGCAAAAGACCAGGTTTGCGCGCTCTATCTTGCTACGACCGCTGTGTTCATTGCTCCAGAACAGATAACGATGCGCCTCAACCTGGTTATCGCATTCTTTGCGCTCTTCAGTGGCATTCCTGTCTTCGCACAGTCCGGAACCAGCACGTTGTCTGGTGTTAGCCCATCGACCAGTGGCAGCTCCATCGCCCCTTCTGCTACCTTCAGGTAAGCACAGCGAACATCTCTGCAGAGACCTAGCCTGATTATCACTCAGTTCCAGCAGCGTGGTATCGCTGCCTATCCCGACACTCCACTCACTTTCATCGAGCTCGACGGGCTCCCTCCCGACCGGCATCCTGCCTTCTGGATCTTCATCTTCTCTTCCCGCGTCGAGCACATCCAGCCTCGGCAGTATCACTATCACTAGTGGTTCTGCCTCCAACATCGGAACGTCCAGCAGCGGAAGCGCTCCTGGGGTGTCCATCCCAATCAGCGGCATCCTGCCTAGCACCGTCCCGACTACGACACCCACAGCCTCTACCACAGGCAGCGGCAGCTCTAACAGCGCTAACTCACGGCACAGTTGCATGGTACCGGGCTGGCGCACGATCTTGCTTGGCGTGTTGGTCCTGGTGCTGGGATGAATGCAGCTTCACAAGGAAGCGAAATGATGCATGGTGAGCACCACAATAATCTTCGCTTCCAATCGCAACTTTCGGGCTGATAACAATTGCAGCGGTCACGTCTCCACGACTCCAGGTTCACGATATGAGATTGTCCACTGACATGTGCACTACACTTCTGTCGCGACCCTGCGCCTGCTACAGCCCTCCATACTTAGCTCTATAAAGGCCGAGAAGAAGACAAACTCCATCGTGATTATCATTATCGTGATGCCCGCCTGTCAGTGTGCTCCCAGAGACACGCATAGCCGAGTTTCGCGGGAGCGGATCAGTTGAGCTTGGAGGAAAGGAAACGCACGTCATAGTAGAGTAGGCCCGCAATAATGGCTCGTGCGGATAGGTTCGTAACACAGGTCTGCGAAACCCCGCTTCGCCGTTCGTAACTTTGCGTCTGTCTACCGATTCCAGAGGATCGTCGCCCACAATCAGTCTTGCTTACTCTCATTCCTGTGTCGAAGTCAAGAACTTAGCGATGGCGAAGTGTTTATGACATTCGAACCTCCGGCGCCGACTGCGGCTTACAAGTCGGTAGACGCAGATCGCTATAGAGGATCCCACTTACGAACCTGGGGCCCACGACCAACGTTTACACTGAAGGTCGATTACGTGCAGCCCGACTTATGTGTGAAAGAAATCTGGGGCGACGCAGGACATATCATGATGCCTGTTATAGATAGTCGCTCTCTGATGGCGTGGTCTTGTTAGGTTCGAGGGGTAGACAGGCGGCAGGGTGGGTACTTCGAATGAGTGGACTACTAGCGTCTGGCAGCCGAAGGAGTAGTGGGGCTGTCGATCAGGAGTAATATAACAGCGGATAGAGCCGAAGAATTTCGGTGGAGCCTCAGGTGTTAGGCCATATGTATAAGTCCCAAGTGTCAAACTCAGTACACAAAGAGCGCACCACCCAGTGCACATGCGCCGACACCAGAGCAGCGGTAAAAGGATGGCTAGCATCCTGCAGAACGATTGGCGATCAAAGAAAGAGTATGCCGTACCTGACTTGCGTGAATAGGGCGTAGCAATCCGTGAACTTACGAGGCAATCAGCAGGTCTGAACACGAAGACGGGAGCCAAAGGTCGGCTGCAGCTGTTGATGATCGTCGCTGCAGGCCTAAGCCGTCGTATTCCAGGTTTGCTGTAAAAAGATGGACGTCGGATCGATCGTGTCCAGGTGGCTCACAGTGGAGACGTTCAGAACTTTGTTACTGGGAGGATGTCCCTACATTGATCGCCATCTGCAAGCACGCACAGAGGTGACGCGGATCCTGCTTCAAACGAACTGGTGATAGATGGGATCTCGCGCTGCAGACAGACCCTAGTCTGAAGCGTAGCTTCGCGGAAGCGGATCAACCGTCGTCGTCGGAACCATGCTCGAGGACTGAGGACCTATTGAATTGTTAAGGGGAGAAAGCTGGAGCGAAGATGACGGAACCTGTCCAGCTGAAGCATGCTGGAGGGGGCATGAGGCTGCAAGAGAAGTGTTCAGACGTGAAAGTTCTCGTGGACGCCGCCGGGGTTCATTGCGGACTTTTTCTTTTTCTTTTTAATCCACGTTCTTTTAGTGCGTACGACCTGGTACATGAGCACGGTTCATTGCGGTAGAAGCTGAGATGATCCTCACAAACTTTCGTGCCTACCCTGCGCGAACACTGTCGGGAGACGGTAAGTAGGTGTGCTCCGGAGTGGTCTGTTGCGACCATCATTGACTGGTGTGCTCCTGTCAGCCTTAGGTTGGCTCGCTGTGGTTCAACCTTTGGGCCGAGCCCTCTTACCATTATGGCCCTCGGCGCTTCTTGGCAAGACTGCCAACTTTCTCGATGGCTAGCACCCTCTTGCTGCCTCTCAGTGCGCCAGACAATCATTTAGACCCACAACCTCAAAATTTAAGCTCAACTTAGACTCTACACCACTCAAGCGAGACGGATGGTCCAGTGGTAGCTGAGCCCGGCATGCAGCGGCAGTCTTTTCTCCTTGGGTCACTTTATGCGTCGCAATCTTTTGCAACTGACGGAATCTCTTGCTCTCGTCCGTCATTGGCTTCTGGCCCATACCATGGCTCGGCCCAGTGAACGGGCTGGTAAGTATGATTGATCCAGATTTGTCGTTTTTTGTCGGTTCGACCTAGTTCGATAAGCAAGTTTCCCTTCGGTATAAGACTCGGCGTGGCCTTAAAAAAGTAGTGTGAAGTTTTTTGTCTTTGAAGCTCTTGTTGCCTGCCTTTAATGCCTTCATTCTGGGCCTTGTCACACCTCTGCGGCAGTGCTATATGTACCACTAGCAGCAAGTTTGGCAGCGGTTGCTGTGGTTGTACAAGACATATGAAGAGAAGTATGGTCACGGACCCGGTGTACCTTGAAGGTCGATGTAGTGTGTCAGAACCTCAGGCTTCGCGGACGTCACATAATGGTCACATAATGGTCACAGACCAGTCACTCATCAGCAACACTAGCGCTCGGGTCTGGGTTTAGTGCTCACGGGTTACTGAAGGGGGCCTAAGAGATGTAGGACTTCCCCCACGCGATAGGATGTCCATTACTACTCATAGTTCACTGCTAGCTTTTGCGCCGACCGGATTGGCTTTGGTACGCCGCATCGTGAACTTTTCTTAGACTTGTCGGTTGATTAATGTGGCATTTTCACAGCTTACTCATGCCGTGTTCCATTACTATGAACCTCCCAAGCCTATTGTGCCCGTTCTTACCATAGTTCTTGCTTGTCCTGCCGCTGTTGTGGCACTAGTAGGAGATTGGTGCGCATGGAACGTGGCCAAGACGTATCTGGTTTATGCGCTCTCGCTTTTCACATCGATAACCGCCTATCGGCTGTCTCCCGTACATCCCCTCTCAAAGTATCCCGGACCTGTGCTGTTTAAGGTATCGAAGCTCCCATGTATACCCATCACAATTAAGGGCGAAAGACACCTACTCCTTAAGACTCTGCATGCCAAGTACGGACCCGTTGTCCGAGTCGGTAGGTTGCACTCTGCAGCTGTGTCAACAGTTTGGACTGAACTTCTCGTGTACAGGTCCCAATGATCTTTCGATAGTGGATGCGGACGCTATCCCTGCTGTCCTCGGAGCTGGAGGTCTCGTTAAAGGCCGATGTAAGTCCTTATAAGGCTCCTTGCTATTGTTTTTCTGGTTTGACAGCAATATTTCAGTCTACGACATTCGCAGAGACCCCACCGCACCGAGTAACCTACTCGCTATGTCAGGAGATGCGCACGCGAACAGGAGACGTCTCTGGAACAGGAGTATGAGCAGCGAGAGTCTCAAGGACTACGAAGAACTTATCGTGACGCGTGTGACACAGCTTGTCGAGAGGCTTGAAGGTCTCGCCGGGCCAGTTGATCTTGTGAGCTGGATCAACTACTTCACGTACGTATGTTCAAGGGTCTGTCTTAATGTCTGCTCATAATTTTCTACTTTTTAGGTTCGACTTCATGGGCGACATGGCGTAAGTGTTTATGTTGACTAATTTGGCCGCCGGCTGATCCCAGGCTGTCAGTTTCGGCGGCGGGTTTCACATGCTCGAGGATGGTGCGGACAAGACAGGCCTATGGGGAGTCATAGAGACTTTTGCTGCGTACATAGGCATCTCCTCAAAGCGAATAAGCATCCAACTAAGCCCTCTTGCAGCTCGGTAGAAGTCATTTCTCAAATTCCATGGTGCGCTCAGCTCCAGAGAAAGATACCGATGGTAGCAAGAAACCTGCAAGCTTTGCGTACCATGGGTGTTGGATGTGCGACCGCCCGTCTGAAAAACGGCTCAACGAAGAAGGATCTCTGGTACCACTTGGTAAGTCTCTAGGCAACAACGAGACTTGACACCACTCGCTGATCGTTCGCTCTCCAGTCAGATGAAGCAGGTCTGGAGAAGGAGAAGCCAGCGACGAGGGACGTCATCGCCGACGGTCCGTTTTACAGTGGTGTTCCGCAACTTCGAAGTGAATGCTTACGATGGTGCATTCGCCAGGAACCCTTACAATTATCGCGGGAGCTGATACGACGTCGTCTGCAATGGCCAGTCTCTTTTGGTTCCTGCTAACACATCCCGAATGCTATCGACGCCTGCAGACAGAGGTCGATGCTGTATATCCTTCAGGCGAGGATGCCCTAGACGTCTCCAAGCACGGAGGGCTCAAATACCTGGCTGCTATAATGTGAGATAAATTTACGGGTAATATGCGCTTCGACCGCTGACCCCCAATCTCCTAGCAATGAGACGCTCCGGCTCGCGCCTCCAGTCCCGACGGGTGGGCCCAGGGAGCTTAAGAAGGGAATGGGAAGTCGAGTAATCGCTGGACAGTATGTACTAAATCCACTTGTGCTACCGTTCCCAGTGCTGATGCATTGCATCTAGCGTCATTCCAGAAGGCACCCAGATCTACCTCCCGCCCTATGTATACCATCGGAACCCCTGCTACTGGCCCGGTGCGACAGACGACTTCGTCCCCGAGCGCTGGCTCGAGCCCGCTGCACAACAGAACTTCGCGGCGTTCGTCCCATTCTCGTACGGCCCCGCGAACTGCGTCGGCAAGAATCTCGCGCGGCGCGAGATGACGATGGTCGTGAGCCTGCTCGTGCAGAAGTTCGAGTTCACGTTCGCGGACGGCTTCGACTGGCAGGCGTGGCCAGACACTTTGCGCGACTACTTTATCCTAACCCGGGGCCCACTCCTAGTTACGCTGCGGGAGCGCCAAGCCCGAAAATCTTAAATGCATTGTCTCTTGTCACTGCGGGCCTGACTCCAGTCCCGGTATTTGGCCACCCGCCCGCTGAATGGGGGAATACTACTCCGCCCGCGCAAATCCCCGACAGCTCGGATTCGAAATTGCGACACACTTCAACGCCAGATAGACACGGCTGGTTTGGTGTATTATACAAACGTACAAATTAAAGAGAGGTGTAGATTTGATGGTGTGCCTAGTAGTACAACAATATGTGCAAGTGCAGGTGGAGACCACAAAGCTAAAGCATGTGTAGTGTCGATAAATATATATTCGTGGCGTAAAATGAAGGTATAGACGGGTCCGACAGATAAACTGGGCGCAGTTTCCGTACGTGCTCTTCGTCACTGCCAGCGCTTCAGAGCAGCGAGTTCGTTGATTTTTCCGCTTGGGAATGACCCTCGACGTCGGTTGTGCTCAGGGAATATGGCAGGGGAAGGCTCACGTTCCAGGGTCTTTTGTGCGAATCCAGGGACGCTTCACGCTCGGAGCCTGACGGCAAACCGGTGAGCGGGACGACGGGAGTGGTGGTGACCTCAATGGGAGAGGCCACGTGGAGCGTGTCGGACGTGTGCGCGTCGGTGGTGCCCATCGTTCGGTTGAGCTCCCTGTGTGACATACACGAGCTCCAGACTAGAACACGATGGGCAGGGTGTTTAGCGCTGCGCCCGGGTGCGATGGAAACGTCAGCTGGCACGCACCAGTGGCAAAGACAACGCCCGCAACCGACGTGTAGCAGTTTACGAGCAATACGTAGGTGCAATCAATGTTGTCGGGGTTGGTGACAAGGATCGTAAGTTGAATTATGTTCAGGATGACTGGCCGCTCTCGATTAGTCGTTTCTGAGATAGTGGAACGTAAAGAACGCACCGGGGAAGATAAAATTAGTTCCTGCTATCCAAAAGAGTCCCATTGTCCTTCGTGCCAGTGAATCTGCAGGGAATGGCACATGTTAGCCAAGGGCGAGCCCAGATGTGAGTAATCCAGCCTGCACCTCCAAAGCCGTACGATGACAACAACGAAATCTGTCCCCTCGTTCTCTTCAAATATGTGGTGTATAAACGCCAGAGAAATAGAGCGGATACATAACTACAGAAAGTGAGCAATTGTGGAATGCTAGCTTGATGATCGAGCCCAAAACGCACCCATTATCGAAGATCTCTAAGGTCCAGTTCACTTTGATAAAAGGGCTGTTCGCAGGGCCATCCTGTATCGTCAGGACATTGTTCCCATATGGCGGCGCGACCTCAGAGAATTGTACGTAATAACAGACTAAGCAGGCGAGGCGAACCAGCTTGACAGCCACGGGGAATGCCATAATGGCCAACAAGGTCTTCCGACCAGTCAGCTGAATGGGAAAGACAGCGACTAGTCGTAGCAAGAGAACCAGCTCGGAGATCCATGTCACAAAGGACAGAACAACACCGAAGGCGAGGAAGACGGACTGCGCGAAAATTTGAAAAGGGTGGACGAGGGTGATTATCTGCTCAAAGCACACATAGGTAATGAAGACAGCATACGCGTAGGCAAGGATGTAGTGCTGACCTGGAAGTATCCATTCCATATGCCGGTCGCGATGCCCAAAAGAAGGTCGAGTACGTTAAGTACAAATATGGGGCGTGTCCGGGTCGCCTTATCAGAGAAATAGAAGAGGGCGCCGAGCATTGCAAGGAGTACCGTCGGGAAGATGGTACAAATCATGAGGAAGATCACAGCGGGCGCAATGATACTCTCTGCAAAGCCTTCGATAATGGGTACGACTTCTGGTGGTACCACCAACGTCGCGTTCGAGGCTTTCATCACGTCCCCATAGGCCGACGTCCAGCAGGTTGATAAACGGGGAGAGAAGACAGAGCAGGAGAGAAAGCAGTGACTCCAGAGACACCGCCTGTGGTGGTTGATTATGTGGTGATGATGGCATTGATGCGAAAACCTGAACCTCAGTCAATTCGCCGGGACGGTCTAGAATCATCTGATGAGAAAGGATATATAGTGCATCCAGCAGTTCAGACAGCAGCTCACAGCCGCACCGTGCTGTACTCGCCTGGTATGTTCCCGGCGTATCTATCTGTCCGCTTGGCAACACCACCAGAAAGATGTGCTTTCTGCAGTTTACTTATCGTCTGAGATCGGCCGGCCCTTTCTAGACTTTCGACCATTTAATGATGATCGTTTGAGCTTAATTAACGATCTGACAGCGCCCATCGCTGCGATGCATCCTTGCCGCTCTGTTGCGTTGCTAGCGTCGAGACCTGAGAGTAGTCGATATGGAGTTTGAGTAAAGTTTATTTGTGTCTGTTAAGATTAGAGGCCCTTGCTAATTAGAGCCAAACACTCTGAAGTTACCATCACGAACCGTCGCGGAAGCACTTCTTACACATGTTTTGGGAGCGGGAGTAGGACGGAACCGCCAGAGGTCAACCAGGGCAAGCCTGAGCTAGGCTAGAGGAATGGAGAAAGAAGGGACACGCAGGGCTTATAGTCACACGCAGCATTGTCAGATTCCAGGGCCTCTCGTTTACTTCTGGCGCGAGCGCTCCATTGTAGGCTCTTTGGGATCTTCCGCCCGTCCCTCGCACGAGAGAAATTTGGAACTTTTTTGTTGCAAAAAAAGAAAAAAAGCAAAAACAGCTTGCGAAAATAAGTAAGAAAATATCGTATTTTTTCTCGGTATCCGGCAGCCCGTCAACTCGGCAATCTGGCAGCCGAGCCGACTGTCCGCCAGGCCGTTTATCAAAGCGCCCTGTGGACGGCGGTACCCGGCGGATAATCGGCTCAACTGCCGGGTTGCCGAGTTGCCGGACTGCCGGATACCGAGCAACAAAATACGGCCTTTTTTTTGTTTATTTTTTCAAGCTTTCTTTGCATATTTTTTGCGACAAAAAAGTTCCAAATTTCTCTCGTGGATCGTTGCTTCGCTAAGCCTTTGAGACTGTTTCACACATAATTTGGGTTTCAAACAATATTGTAACAGCCGTCTTTGCGGTAGATAAACCAGTATATATTGTGATATTATCAATGCCCTATATCGAAACTTCAAACTGCTTGAGCTGACAGTACAAGCATTAACATACGTCTTAAATATTTTCGACGGGCCAAAGACACACACTTGATAGAACGGGCCCACACGAGGCGGAATGCTGCAATTATGTATCTTGGGTTAGGTCTTACAAACATCTATCTCGGATCTCGGAGTTCCTGTGCTGAAACCTACTGAAACATTGGAGTTCGACCTGGGTGTTCCCATGCCAAACATATATATACCCAGCTATCTCTTTCGCCCTTTATTGCCCAGAGGTCTTGGCTGCGTAAGTTATCGTTGGCTCAAGCCTTGAGTAAACATCAATAGCTATGGTACTATGGCAAACATTTGCGGTAGCGTTGACGGTGATTTTTATCGTCTCGCAAGTCGTTCGTTTCTACCAGAAGATCAAGGTCAGACCCCGTCGGCCCAATCCAGAGCTCCAGCTTGCTGAGATATATTACAGAAACTAGGCAATTTGCCGAGACTTAGATCTTCAATATCACCTTTACACCCACTGGGCGCATCTCTCCCGACATGCTCCATCAATCCAGGTATTATGTGGACGTGGCTGTGGAAAGATAGAGGTACGTCAGTAGTGCCAGCAGGAGTTCAGCTCGCGTAACACTCCGAATGGCTCTAGTGTACAAGGAAGCAGGCACGGAGACGATCGTATCGCTTCCATACCTGATAGAATCGCCGACAATATACACGTCGTCCCCAGAGGTAATGAAGTAGTTCGTCGCCATGAAAGGGCAGCTGGAAAAGCTGGCGGCAGAGGCTACCCACTCGATGCGGTATGTCTTGAAAACACATCCACTGCGAAGCAAACATGTACTGAGAGAGAGAGAGAAAACAGAGTGTGGAGCCCGAATATCTTATCGGAGGGTGGGGATGAGTGGCGAAAGCATCGAAGGATTATGCAGCCCGCATTCAGTCCAAGGACATATGCACTTGTCTGCTCTGAAACGTCGCGTCTCTACGATGAGATGGTTGCCGCCGAGGCCTGGACGGGCAAGGATTCAGTTGATATTCCTATCTTCAATACTCTCACCTCCAAGGTCAGCTCTCCTCCTCCACGCTCCTGACGTTACAAAAGTCAAACTGGCCATTTCCAACTCGCCCTACTAGTCCTATCCTGCTGTGTATTTGGGGGCCCTCTTCCATGGAAGTCCGATTCTTCCAAGGAACGTGGGAGCATGTCCCTCCGGGAAGCCCTGTCTTTAGTGTCGAAGGGAGCGATTATACGAATACTTATCCCACGCTGGATGTACAGCCTGCCCATCTGAAGGTATGCGTCTGATAAATTATGGTAAGAAGTTACTCAAGGACAGCTCAGGTTCAAACTGTTGGACCGGGCCTACGACACAGTTCTGCTGTTCCTGAGAGAATTGATCGCTTCTCGCCGGCGCGAGCTCACCGAGGGTCCGAAGCGGGACTCGTCAGAAGGCGACGACGAACGAGATACATCCGATCAACGCGACGTCTTCAGGCTCATGCTTGAAGCGAGCGAGCAGGAGGGGGAGTATGCGCTGAACGACGCAGAACTGGTATGTACATGAAATGTTTCGCAACATAAATACAGGATACTGACCATTGAACAGCAAGGAGACACGTTTGTCATGTTATTTGCTGGACATGGTCTGAGAATACCGCGTCTTAACGTGGTTTGCGCTGATGATTGCTGCAGAAACGACGTCCCATACACTGAGCGTAGCAATCGGTTTCCTTGCGTTACATAGTGAAATCCAGGATGAGGTCCACGAGGAAGTCAAATCTGAACTCGACGGAAATGAACTGGTAAACAGGGCTGATTCCATGGCGGTGACATACCTTTGATGGACGTCTCTGATTACAGAACCTTGACGCTCTGCAAAAGCTCGAGAAGGCGCAAAGTTGTTTCGTGGAGGCCAGCAGAGTCTTTCGTACGCGTGGCTCGTCGTCAAGAGCTGAGTTGACAGAGAATCTAATCAGCTTCTAGAGGCGGGATTCGTGATGATCCGCCAGACGCAAACCGACAACGTCATCGTGACGCACGCCGGTCCCGAGGGTGCTCCGGATGAAACGCTGGTACTCGAGAAAGGGACTAAGGTTTGCGTGGATGTTATCGGCGTTCGTGAGTATCCCGGCTTGAGCGATCGTGGAGCCCGAGCTGACTCCCATGCTTTGAAGATTACAATCCGCGAGTATTCGACGATCCGCACGCATTCAAGCCAGAACGATGGTATGGCGTAAGTGAGAATGACATGACGGTGTTTTCCGTCGGGCCGCGGGCCTGTACGTGTCACTGCATCTCTCACATCAAACTACGACTGACATTGAGACCTCGGTCGGAAGGCATCGCCGTCGTTTCGCCCTGACCGAGGGTACTGTCTTCCTTGCTAGACTGATAAAGGACTGGAAAATCGAGCCTATCTTTTTGCCTGGCGAGAGTAGAGATCAATGGAAAAACAGAGCATTTAGTGCGCACATTGGGATGACTTTGGAGATTGCTGATGTGCCCGTGCGGCTGCGAAAGAGAGTTTAAAGAGCGGTGCGGAAGGTTCTTCTTTGCATACTTATGATATATCAGTAACCGATGCCACCCCGTCTTATTTATTCTCGTACTGGAAGTTTGTCAAAAGTAGCGGTGAGCTCGGTGGTCGGGCTTGTCCGGAGTAACTAACCCTAACCTTGCCATCTGATCCGCCTCCCACGCGAAATGCACGTGGCACGGTACGGACGCTGGTTGCAATGCGCCAAACGAGCCTCAGACTTGTTCCCCGACCGTCATCGCGGTGCGTACGCTGTCGCGCTGAGCTCGAGCCCGCCGTCTCGTCGTCGTCATCGTCGCCAGTGTCGCCAGCGTGTGTGTGAAGTGGCCAGTGTTGGTGAACAGCGTGTTGGCCTTCTCTCTGCCTGCCCGTTACAACGTGCCCACAATTCGAGAGATCTTGCATACCATTATCGTCCTCAACGTCTCTCCTGGACTTGAGACACTGTACCTCTAGGATAAAGCTTCATATCTCTTGCTCGTCTTTTCGTCACCTTTCGTCATCTCGCCCTTCACCTCACCATGGACTCGGATATTCCCTCGGTGCCTACGGTTACAGTCCCTGGACCGTCCACGACCTCAGCATTACCACGAGCAGGCTCTATGCTTCCGCCAATCGCGCTTCCAACAACATCTACCTTTTCTTTTACCGCCCCTTATCCTGCGTCCGTCTCCCAACCGCCATCACACCCGCAATTTAAGCTTCCGACCAGCACGAGTACCCCAACATCCCCGACATCCGCGAAAGGCCAGCGACGTGTATCGCTTGCTCTGCCGTCATCGCCGCGTCAATTCCCTGCATGGTCTTTTCGCGACGACACGACCCTGAGGGTGGGCAACAGTTCCAATGACGCGGCCGGTTCATCTTCGTTGCCACCTGAGAAGAAGGGGAAGATTAGACGGATATCGGACGATGGAGATGTCGACCTCGCTGATGAGAGAGGTCCTGCGATATTTGGACTGACTGCTTTGCCACCTCCGGCGACCCCGAACACTATCCCACTCCCTTCTACCGCTGGTGCCAGCATAGCCGCTGAAGCGAGCGGTAGCTTCAACCCCAAGTCGGGTACTCTGCCTTCGCCTTCAAGCTCGGACCCACCCAAGAAGCTTCGGAAGAAATGGACGATGGAGGAGACGCAGATGCTAGTGAATGGCTGTAATAAGGTACGTGTTAACCCTGATCCGCGTAATGACTCTCGTGCTGATCATATCCATGTCTTTCACTGCCGCTGGTATGCCACTGAACAGTGGGGCGTTGGTAACTGGAAAGCGATTCTGAACGACCCGGACCTGAGGTTCGACAACAGGTCGCCTGTGGATCTGAAAGATCGGTAAGTATGACTACTACTTTCATTCATTTACCTGTTTGAGCCCAGTCATCCTTGGAATGAATCTGTCCCTCCCTGAACCTCTTCACGTCATTTTTGTTCCCTGCTACCCCTTCCGTCTGCGTGTATGCACTCTGGTGAGTTAGTAAAGGTCGAGTGCACAAGGTACTACATGCTAGTGCGCTAGATTCAACACATTGCATACCTTCATGCTACGTCTTTCCTGCTGAATCATATTTGTTACCAACTTGCATGCATATACCGACCCATAATTATCTACTCGCCGCATTCGTCAACTCCACCCTGTCCATTAGTGCTGACTCCTTGCGCTCAGATTTCGGACGTATTTTCCAGACGCTTACAAGCTTCACTATCCCAACGCCAAGACACATCTTCCCTCCGCGAATGCGTCCGCAAATCGCAGCTCTAGCTCTACGAAGTCGCGGTCAATGCTTCCGGATGGTTCGCCACTTTTCCTCCAGTCGCGGCAGAAGAAGCGGCGTCCCTTCACGATCGAGGAGGACCGCGCTCTGAAGGAGGGCTACGACAAGCATGGGACTGTATGGGCGACCATCGTCAAAGATCCTATCTTCAAGGAGCAAGGTCGTCGAAGCACAGATCTGCGGGACCGCTTTCGCAACGCGTGGCCAGAGCTCTACGCTAAAGCTGGCTACAAGCCTCGAGCGAACGCTGCGAAGAAGCAGAAAGTTGAACAGGAAGCAGATGTTCTGCACCGAGACTCGCAGGAGGGTGCGCATGGCTCTGATGCGCGGCCAACGAGTGAACGTGGCATGTCAGCGGGTGCAGGAGTAGAGGTGCTGGGCAACGGTGCTGAGCGTATCCGGGGACATCCTATCCGCGCTGCAACCGACGATCAGCTGCCTACCACCGGTGCATCGAGCATCGGACCCGTCCGTCGGAAACGACGGCACACCACGCAAGGCTTCGGGCTATTCCGAGGTGGGACAAAGAGCAGCCCAGAGAGTATGGCCAATACAGAAGACGAAGCTAGCGAGTCAGAGCTAGACTGGGATGGATCGTTCGATGATAGTGGCAGACCTTCAAGTTTCTCGAACCCATCTACAACGTCACCGGGGGCGGTCAACGCCGAGACTGCGGACGTAGACATGGACCTGTCGTCGCAAGACCAGAGCATCCCGGATTTCGTGTCTACATCATCATTATCGATATCGGACCTCACCGACTCATCTTCGCAGGCACACACCTCTTGGTCAGAGGTCGATACCCCGCTCCATCCATGGTCTTCTGCACCCGCCTCTAGTTCGCAACAGAACAGCCAGAATCGGACGCAGAGCGCGAGCACAAGCACAAGCATGCCCTTCAATGATTCACTAGCCGCGTCGCCGACGTCTACCGACTACTTCCTGCCCAACTCACCGAACGCTCAAGCTAACACTGGGATGATTGGCAAGTCGGCATGGGGCCCGCAGGACTGGCTTTCTCCTAATCCAAGACTAGATGGAAGCGGTGATTCTTTTTCCAGCGGGATGTTCTCTCCGTCACCAATTGGTTCGCCGTCTCTGTTTTCTTCCTCCGCTGGACCGTCGCACCCCGTGTCTCTCGCTCAGTTGTCATTCAGCCACCTTGCGTTGGCTTCCGCGTCTGGTTCGCAGGGCAACCCGTTCTCCCACGGCCACTCGGCGCACGTCCATTCGCAGGCATACAGCCACGGTGTTATGGACCGTTACGACCTATTCCCGCCTTCGTCGCACCTGCATCACGGCATGGACGATTTCGATGTCGATACCATCGACCTCGACTTCATATCCGAAGGGCCCGACGCCGCGAGCTCGGATGTGCACTCAGCATTTTCCGATCCTTCCTCCGCATGGTCTCAAGGGCGCCGCGGCGGGTTCACGCATCATTCGAATTACGCTGGCGACCTCATCTTCGGCGCTCGCACGCATCAGCCTTCGGGTTATCTCGCGGGCATGGACTACGGGCTCGGCTTCGGGTTTGGCGCGGGAGGCACCGGTGCGAGCATGGGGCTCGGGCTTGAAGGTGCGCAGCAGAGTGTGCTGCGTACACCCGCGCTGCCGGGCATTGACGAAATCGAGCTCACGAGCATCTCGCTCAACGATCCGCTGCCGAACGAGAAGGACGACATGCCGATGGCTCTGGAGGAGGTCGTCAACTCAAGCATGGTGTCGTCGCCTCCGCCACCGGACGCGACGAGCGCTAACATCGAAGTGCAGGACGCGTTCCAGCCGCTCAGTCTTGATGACATCGTCGGCATGCCACCTGAGCCGGACGGCTCGTCGTCCCAGCTGCATGTTACGGAGGAGCACGACACGAGCCACCACATCACACCACCCGCAACGCCCGTCAACACGTTCCGCGCGTCGACGCGGACGCAGACCGGCCTCGCGCTGCAGCACCGCTCGGTTTCGGTCCCGCCATCGGAGCACCGGGCCTTCCAGCCACCGCGGCGATCGGGACAGAGCCAGATGACGAGCCCGAAAGCGAAGTACAAGTCGCTGCTGATGACGCCGACCCGCACGGTGTTCGCCGTGCCGCGTCTGCCTGCGCACGTCGTCTCGTCCCCGACATCCGTGCCGGTCCCGCCTCCGCCGATAAGCCCGCCGCAACCGCCACCGATGAGCCGGCCTCCGCCCCCGGCACACGTCTCGCCGGTGCCGACGCTCGCGCCGCACATGTGGCCGCCGGCGGAAGCAGAGAACAACGACCTGCCGTTCCTCGACCTACACTACTTCTCGAGCAACGACTTTCTGTCGATGTCGGACGCGTTCTCTGCCGGGTCGCTGCAGCTCGGCGCGCAGGCGCTCGACCTCGCACGGGCGCTTGCACCGCCGCCGTCTCAGGGCGCCGGCGCAGCGGGCCACAAGCAGATGTGTATCGCCCCGTCGCTCGTGCAGCCGATGCTCCCAAACGGTGGGGTGGGCGGCGGTGGCTTTAAGACTGTACACGCGCATCATCGCGGGCAGAGCGCAACTGCGGTCGTCTCGCCGCAAGACCTATTCGTGCGCAGAGGGAACGATAACAAGCGGAAGCGGGCAAGTTGGGACGGCGGTCCGAGATGATTGGCTTATCTCCTGTCACTGCGTTTCATTTCGTGTTCAATCTCTCCTCACCATTCTCATGCACCCGTATTTTTCCATTTACGCCCTGAGCATTGTAACCATCGTTCATCTCCCGTTTGCAGATATCATCACACACATGCACGTCTAGTCTACGATACAAGAGATTCGGTCATGCGGAATACTACAATATTGAGAATCCATTGAGAATCTAAGAGCGAAGTGGCCGTGGGTGATAACAAGGAGCCGACGCTCAGGTCAATTTCGACGGCCCTGCGATGGGCTGCGATGGCTGGCTACCGCCAGACCGCTCCGGGCTCTGACCAGAGTCGCCTGAGGGAATGAGGAACTCGATGTCCTCGAACAGGTGGGGGAAGAAGATGGCAAGCATGTCTTCCGTCCTAAACATTATCGTCAGGACATAGTTCTGTCATTCGGCCGAAATACGTACTTAAAGACGAAATCGCCCTTTTGCGCCCTTTTCTTCGGTGCGTCTATGCCGTTCTTGCTCGGTGCGGTAATCGGTCCAGCTGTCAGGGTACCGGCGGCCTTATCCTTCGTGTACAGGGACTGGCCTCTGCGGACTGCGAGATCCAAGATGTTACGTTCGACAGTGTCTTCAGCATAGTAGCAGAACACTACGAAAACGTCAGAGATTGCATTGCCTAACTTTGCGGCAAGAGGAAGGGCTGACCCTCCGTCGGGCGCGTCTGACCCATTCGATCTATGCGGGCAATAGCCTGGATTTCGAATGCATGATGGACCACGCTCTCCACGAGGAAGACCCTGGATGCACAGGTGATGTTGAGACCGGCATTTTCTCGCTCACTGAACAAAACCTCAGGGTTATAAATGTGGTTTTAATCACACGAAAGACACGTACCCATGCAGAAGCAAAACCTGAATGCTCGGGTCTCTCTTGAATTTCTTAACCGCGTTCTCCTTTTTCGTGCTCTGGTCGATTCTCAGGCAAGGTATGGCTAATAACTTTGGTTAATGCTAGGCATTCATCGTTAAACAAGGTCTCTCACAGTTTCGTTTAAGTGCATGCTCGATGACTAAAAAGAATATTTAGCCAGGGAAGTCAGTATGATGGTCGCCGACTTACTGAGAAGAGAATCAGCCCAAGCAGAGAAAACAATACTCTTCGCTCCAGGGTCGACGATCTGTACATACAGGAGGTGCCTGATAAGCGTCTCAATCTTGCTGCCGTAGCTTCCCAAGGCCTCCATAGTATTTATGTCACGGAAGATGTCTAGATCGACAATGTTATAATCGATGCGTCGTTTCGACCGCGGGGCAGGTTCGTTGTTAATAGGTTTGGGCGGTGCCTGGTTCTGAGACTTGTCGCCCAGAGCGAAACGCTGCATCGTGTCAGGATGAACGGCGACTCGGCAAACCGGACAGGTCTTGCCCTTTTCGCGAGTCAGCCAGGCTTTCATGCAATCCTAGGATAGGGGTCCTCAGTTAAAGCACGTGGTGGGTTTGACTGAGAAATAAGCCGTACCTCGCAGAATACATGGGCGCTGGAAGGGGAGATCAGTTTCGAACATAAAAATACTAGAAAAGAGCACACACCATTGCGTGATGTAGCCCTTATCGAAATCGCACTTGCACAGGATACACGATTCTTCCTCACTGTCCATGTTACCTTCGCCTTGAGACTTGGCCAAATGGTCCAGATACCGTTGACGAGCCTTGCCAGTATTGATCTTCACATCCAATTCACTGGTGTCATACGCGTTACTCTGGATGGCCTCTTCAACTGCCCCTTCCCATTCGATGTCGGCGACGGTATCAGATACCTCTTGAAGTTGGCGGAAGTACCTGGTTGACCAGGGATGAGTGTTATCTCCCGCAACAACAATGATAAGGCGTACTGGATGCGCTCGTTGAACGTCTTGCGGAGCTTATTCAGGTCCGCTTGCAGCTTCTCCATGAGCTTGCCTAGACGAGATGGTCAGTTGCGAGTAGACATCAGTATCGGCAACAATCACCAAACCTTGCTCAGCCAGCAGTTCTCGTAGTTGGTCAGCTGCCTCAGTGGCAATAATTTTCTCAGGATCGTCCTTGCGCACAATCCCGACAGCGATACGGCTGAGCTCAACCATGATCGATCGTATGGCCCGCTCCGGGTTGTGGTCCTCCAGCAGTGCTTTCCGCTGGTCATTGAGCTCGCTGTAGCGGGCCTCATCTTGCGGTTGCGGCTCGAGATCGCCAACAGCAAGCATGACCTCCTCGTCCATCAGCGCGAGCTCTGCTTTCTTCGCCGCTTTCGTCCGGCGCGACTTCTTCTCGCGAACGTCGTGTGCCGCGAGGAGCGTACGCTCTGCGGTCATCGCTTCGCGCCGGTCCGCAAGCAAGGCGGCGTACACCTGGAGATACGTCTCGGCTTCGCCCTGCGTCTCGAGACTGCGGCCGTACTCCATCCCATCGGCATCCTCGCCCCTAGAGTTCAGGGGCATCGTAAGCAGCTTGATAAGATGTGCACGCCACTTGAAGAGGAGAGCCGACTGTTGGTTCAGAAGCTCTTCGATTTTCTCATGGACTTCTTCCATCTAAAGGGTGTGATTATTCAGTGCATCATTCCCGGATACTGAAATAACGTCTTACCAGCGCACTAGAACGAATTCCACCAGCTCCGAGATATGGGACCTCGATCATCAACTCTTTCTCAGCCAACCATTCACTCGATTCTGCCAGATGAGCCATGGCATGTTCCGCAGTCTCCTCGGTTCCTAGAAACAATTTAAGCACTCGCAATGGCTGGTCCTCTTTGTCTGACGATACGTACCGCGCAGCAGAAGCCGCCTCAGGCCGTCTGCCTTCTCGTAGGCGGCGACCTCTTCAGCCGCATTCCCAAGGACGTGATAGACGTCACCCTTGAGGAAGGACACCTTGTGCAGCGTGATTTGACACTCCCTAAGCCGGTGTTGCAATGCTCTTCGCTTCACGCGATGCTCTTCTCCTGCAGCATTCTTCGGCAAGTCGTCCTCTTCTTCGCTAGCCGCCCGACCCTTGCCCTTATCACGGCGCTGCCCCTCGCCGTCCTCCGCGTCGCCCTCGTGCTCAGCAACAAGCGTGGCCGCTTCTATCTTGAGCCGCTTCCCTTCCTGGTCGTGCGCTGCTATGGCAGACTCGACGTCCCGGATGAGGTCGTTCGCCTCTTGGTCCGCCTTGAGCAGGACCTCGAGCGTCATCTGGTAGTGCGCACGGTGCTTTTCGTGCCGCTGGTAGAGCTGGGCTGTGACCGTCATCATCTGCACTTTCGCGCGGCGGTCCTCCATAAGATTGCGCCAGTTCTGGTCTTTCATGCTCTGTGCAGCGTATATCTCAATAGGTTTGCCTGAGTGGCAGTGCGTTCGGCGAAAAAGGCGCGCACCTCGAGCACCTCGCCGATCGTCTTGAGGACGCCGGGCTTGTGCAGCTTGTCTGCCTGGTTCTGCAGCTGGCCAACTTGCGGGTGTGTGCAGATGCCACGCAGCTTGCGCAGCCAGCTCCGCAGGTTCGCGGTGTCAACCTCCCAATTCTCCGCAACTGCAACGCCGCGAGCGTCGAAGCCGAGCTCCAGCAGGGCTTTCTCAAGGTTCTGGTCATATACCTGTGATGATTTTCAGCATATATACTGATCGAGTTTGAAGGGGCATACGTGTCGTTCTACGCGGCCAAGCTCGATCGGAACGAGGTACCGGGTTTGCTTCGGGATTGTCAGCTCGTCTTTGACCGAAGCTTTCATGGTCCTAGGAGAAAGCTGACGGTTACACGACAGGAGGATACGCTTGCAACCTACCTGATAGCGTAGCGCAGGAACAATTCGACAAGCTGGTCCGAATAGCCAGGCTTCAGTAGCCTAGCCCATGTGCGTGGAGTGACCGCATCAATACGCAAGAAGCTGCACGACGCGATATTCAGTTGGGCTGTATACTCGGAAGTGACAATAGCTCACTTTAGGACGTGGATAAGGTCCCCAATCTGCGACCGTGCGGGAGTTCCCGAGACCGCAAAAGAAGACAAGCGAGGGATGAGCGACACCATCTCCCTAGTCCCGTTTCTCGTGAGTCTATGCAGGATATACTAACTTTGACCACCCACTCAGTTTTCCCGCCTCCAACCATCTGCACCTCATCCATGATGACGCGGTACCACTCACACATGACGAGCGGGCTGCGTGAGCGCTCGATGTTGATGTACGTCGCGATTGTGCGGCGAGGCCGGTCGGGAGGCGGACGCGCGACGCCGAGGTCTTGTTGCAAGACGTTGTACGTCGTGATACACACGTCGAACTGGTTCACGTAGTTGCACCAGTCCATCAACCCGTCTTCCTCGTCCGCCTCCTGCTGGCCGGCTTGGGACTCTTCTGCGTCGTCGACGTCCATGTCCCAGGGTTCTTCCTGGGTCTTCGCGTTGTCTCGGCTCTTGCCCTTCTTTTGAGCGAGGGAAGAAGATTGGCCTGTCTTCATGGCGGCCAGTTCTGCGCGTTTTCCACGAGCGTTTGTCTTCCGCACTTCTTTGACTCGCTCTTCTCTCGCGAGAGCCAAGTCACTTTCCGTGATAGGAACCTTGACCTTAGCCCAGCCTTCGTATACGAGGACTTTGAGGCTCGGCGCATGGAGCTTCAGCTCGTCTACCCACTGCTGGGACAACGACGTGGGGGTCACGATGAGGGTTGTCTGTGCTCGTTGAGTCGGAGCTTGCACTTTCCAGCAGAGCGGGAAATGGCGCACCTTTACTTCTTTCATGAAGATCCTGGCGTCTGCATTCCATGATTTCACGCTGGGATTTCTACCCACCGCAGGATTGAGCAAGACGAGAGCAATGCTCTCGAGCGTCTTGCCCAGCCCAGGCTCTTCGGCGAGGATACCGCCGAGAGGATCAGCGTCGCTCGGCCTGCTGACGGACACTTCGCCGGTGACATTGTTCACGTAAAGCTTTTGGTCTACACCCTGAACCGACTTAGCAGACACTTCCTGCCAGAACAAAGGCAACTCCTCGTCAACCGTGTGATTGACTAAGTCGAAGTTTGCGTCGACTGCCTTATGTTCGCGGGAGAGTAGCCACGCAACAGATCTTCGTTGAAAAGGTAGCAGAGTGGGGAGCAACCTGGTCGGCTGGCAGCTCGCTTCTAACGACGGTGGATCTAGGCGCGGTGCGGGGCCAAGGGTGGCGTATAACGTAGCAACGTCCATGTGCGACAGGGGCACAGGACGAAGGACTGCTGGAGAGAAAATATAGCACAGAGCGCGTCTTTGCGCTTCCTCCATCTCCAGAGTGGCAGCCTTTGAGGTATAAAGGATGGGCTCCGTCACGGCTGGAAGTGCCAGAGATACGGAAACGTCTAACGTAAGACCCAAGGCTATGAGGGTCCCATCCTCAATAGACTCTGCATGAACAACAAGACCGGCTGAAAGCTCGGCTCTACCGGCCTCTTGCAACACAGCACAAGCAACAAGAGGGTCGCGCAGACGCGTGCGGCGGAAATCGTGCTCTTCCATATTGAAGGTCGACTCGATGTTTGGTACTTCAAGGAGCGACGTTCCCGGCTGATCAACGTAGACGTAGAGGGAAGAGCTACCTGAGGCAAGCTTGGCCCCACTGACAACCGTCGACCAACCGTCCCGCTGCTGGCCGTTCTTCTTTAGCCACTTGAGCAGTTTTTTACCCTCCTCCTGCTCGTCATCGTCCAGTATATACCTTATACAAAGGGTATGATGATATACTGGAGTTAGAGAGAACTCCACTTCATCGGTGTCTTCGTCCGCCTGCCTGTTCTTTTCTCCGTCAGTGATGTCCGCCTTCTTGAAGCGCTTTCGTGGACGGTTTGAGGCCACTGACTCCTCAGAGAATGCTCTTTTCTGGGATGTACGATTTTGAGTGGTAGAATCGGTATATTGGAGGAGTCTAAAAAGATACTCGACATCGACGGTACGATGAATAGGGTGCCCGTGGCGGTGGCGTGGGTGGACTGTATGCTGCGTAGTTACAGTGCGCATAATGGACGCGTACGCAAATATTCGGAAGGGAGAAGATAGCACAAAAATAAGAAGAAAGTGGGCGGTAGGATAAATCTGGCGAGGAGGCTGACGGCGGGAGGTGGTGGTCGTCGCGCAAGAGCATAAAAGCGCGACCGCGACTCGTTATAAATAGGCGCTCGAATTCTGATGCAGATCACGTGGCGTAGTACGCGTCCTCCTCAGCCTCCGCCCAGTTCCTTCCTGCCTCTGCCACCACGATGTCCACCGCAACACCCGTCGACAAGCCCGCACCGCCAAAGCTCGACGTTGACGAATATCTAACCTCGGCGCTGAGCGCAACCCCCGCAGAGCTACACTCCTTCTTCACTGCGTTTCAGGATCTGCATTCCCGAAAGTATGTCACGCTCTCGTGTCGTGAACGTAGCACTGACGACCCAAGTGCTATAGGCTATGGCACCAGCTGTCGATAAAACTTGGTGAATTTTTTGACCACCCGGCGTCAAGGCCATATCGTGTGGATGTGTTCGATCGCTTCGTACGAGACTTTGAGATCAAGCTGAACCAGCTGAGGCTCGTCGAGATGGGTGTCAAGGTTGCGAGGGAGATCGACAGTGCGTAATAAAATCCTGTGCATTGAATTAGCTAGTCTCATACGTGCACCCTGTAGACCCGAACGACCACCTGACATTCCTCAAGTCTCTACTGGAACGTGTACCTGCCGACACAGCACCCGACGCCCATGTCCTCCTGCTCTCGAACGTCGCACACACCAAACTTTCATATGGCGATCTCGAAGGCACGAAGACAGATATGGACGCTGCGCTCAAAATTCTTGACGGGCTGCCCTCCGTCGAGAATCGCGTCCGGGCAGACTACTACAAGGTCGCCGCGGACTACTACAAGGGCAAGGCCGAATACGCGCCCTATTACCGCAACTCATTGCTGTACCTCGCGTGCATCGACCTCGCGGATATTGAGTCCGAGGAGCGCGTCTTGCGCGCACATGATCTCAGCATATCCGCCCTCCTCGGAGACACGATCTATAACTTTGGTGAACTTGTAAGCACTCTAGTCATCGGGCGACTGTTTCCATGTCATCTAATGCTTCACAGCTTATGCACCCGATCCTCGATTCCCTCAACAGCACGTCATACGAATGGCTTAAGAAGCTGCTCTTCACCTTCAATGAGGGCAATATCGGCAAATTCGAGGCTCTCGCGCCGTTGTTTCCCAAAGAGCCGATCCTGCAGGAAAACTACGCCTTTCTGCGCCAGAAGATCTGTCTCATGGCGCTCATCGAGTCCGTGTTCAAGCGGAACGCGTACGACCGTACGTTCTCCTTCGAGACCATCGCGCAGGAGACGCGTCTTCCGCTCAACGAGGTTGAGCATCTCGTCATGAAGGGCCTCAGGTGCGTCGGCAACTATCTCTATGACCACAATGACACTGAGTGTACGCGCAGCTTGAAGCTTATACGCGGCAGCCTCGACCAGGTCGACCAAACGGCGACGATCACCTGGGTCCAGCCGCGCGTGCTCTCGCAAGAGCAGATTGGCCAGCTTGCACAGCGCCTCGCAGTCTGGAACCAGAAGCTGCACAAGGTTGAGGAGCGCATCGCGCCCCAAGTACCCTCGACTGTATGATAGCCGCCTGTCATGTACTCTAATTCCTGTATTTTATTCGCTTCGGCGCGGGCCTCTAAGCTCTTAGACACGCTGCGGCCTCACAGGCGTACAGCATACATACACATAAAGATAAGAAGTATGGGTTTAAGGGCTCAGCCTTTCGTATCCACCACACAGGATTCTACTTTCCTACCAGTCGGAGCCGCCAGTTGGGCCCGCAGCACACTCGAGGTCGCGCGCCCCTCCCCGCATATGTACCTCTGGCAGCGACGCTATGGCACTCGATGGGGCCTCTGAGCTCTCTACGCTTCTGTGCGCCGGAGACAGGCACGAACGCGCGCCAGTTCGGTCAGATCAGGCAGCAAAAGGAGACAACAGGGGGGATGCACGCACAGAGGCAGTGTGATGTTCGTGCTCAGCAGCTGGGACCGCGTCGGCACGCGCCGCGAGACGTCGAGGCCGCGCTTCTCGCGGGCGGGGTCGTCCCGCGCGGGCTCTGCGGTGCGTGGTCTGGTGAGAAGCGAGCTCACGGCGTAGGACGACGCCATGGCGCCGATGGTGAGGGTGGGCGCGCTGAAGACACCGATCATACACGCTGTCGCTCCTCTGTCAGTATGTGCTCGGGGCAGACGTGGTGGAGAGGGGCGTACAGCTTTTGGTGCGCCACGCGAAAATCTGGTGTGGTGGCTGAGAAGGCAGGAAGACGGGTCAGACGGAGGGACGGGACGCACGATCGTTGGGAACTGCACGATGAACATCACGACGTAGTACGCGATGCCCTGGCGGTACAGGGTCTTCCACAGCCTGGACGAGCGCGCCGCACGCTGCCGCAGTAACCCGACAGCCGTCATGACAAGGATGAGCAGGTCCAGCGCGCACGCTTCGCAGCATGCGTCAACAGGTGTATCACAGGATGTGGAGAGCGACGAACTGTAAAGAAAGAACGGCTCGATGGCGTTGTTGTTGGTCTTCGTGCTGCCGTTAGGGAAGTTGCCATGGCCGAGGATCACTGGTGGCGTCGTCGCTGCGTGGCAATAAGACTCAGTGTGTGTCGGTTGGCAGGGGATGGGGACGTACCTGAAAATAACACGACCCAATGCCCTATGCCTAGGAATACCAGAAACGCGACCACGATGAGGTTTCCTCTCCAAAGTGCTATTCTATCACATTGGTGAGCTTGTGCGGCGGCTGGAGCAGATGACGGAGCCTGACACCCTGAAGAGAAGGTTCCCACTCGCACAGATAGAGATCGCGCAGCCGGTAATCTGTGAGAGTTATTTAGCCTGTGAAACATTCAAACGTGTGGGGGGCACGAACAGCTAGGATCTCGAAGGAGACTGCTCAAATTGTCAGTTTGGGGCTGGCACTGTCTATCGCGTAAGTCACACTTGCCAGGCTGCACCACTTCATGCCTGTTTATTGTCAGAGAAAGACAACAAGTGATGTCAAGGTGAGCTCACAAGGGTATCTGGAACCCGAGTAACATATACCGCGCCCCGAGATAGTATAACTATGTTATGTCTGAACCGTCGCCAGCTTTACGCGAAGACGAGAACTCACATAGGACCACCTCCACTTTAACCTCCGCGTCAGCAGCTGCCACTCGACGTGTTTGAATGTGGCGATGAGGTACCATCTGTGTGAGACTTAAACTCAGCATGCGCTAACAAAGGACTAAACGGCTGGACGACTCAACGTGAAGATCCCACCGAAGTACATGTTGAGCTTATCCGTAGCCTCGAGGCACATACCGATAACTTTGGGACTCTCCCAGTCAACCATGATGGCCAAATCCCAGCTGAATGTCCTACGAGGTGCGATGCGGGGGTGAGGTAGAAAAAGTGGACGCCTCGGCTGAAGGCAGCAGGGACACGCACTTATACGCTTGGTAGTCACTAGTCAGTGATGAAACGCTCGTTGGTGTGTGCGACGACCGTGGCCGAGCATGTTTCTGTCATACTTAGTGCGGTTGCCGTAATGCACCCTGGGAAGAAGGGGGACAAGCAGGCGACAGCTCGATCGAAGACCAGGAACGCATGCGGCTCCGAAGGTGGCGCATGCTGTCCAGCAACCGAGCCCCAGAGAAGTCGGCTCGTCGCTTGGCTCTCAGCATTACGATACGGGCGGAGTCGTCAGCCTCGCGCAACGTTTTCGGTCTCTCACCTATGCGCATTCGATAATTGAAATAAGCAATAGTTGTATTTTCAGGTTAACTGGAAATTGTATGGGAAGACCTACTACAAGTTAGCAATGGTGGCGGGGAGAGCTCAATTGATATAACAGCGACATTAATGGTCTCGTAGCAATTTGTATCTCAGATCTCAGCGCTCGGTCACAAACCTTCTCGGCATGGCGCGTCATTCGCGCTGCCATGTTGGAAAAGCAGCAAACAAGGGTCCAGAAAGATAAGGCCATTAGAACAATCGGCAGACAAACACGCCGACCCGCTCTAATCGGGCAGACTGATAGTGCGATATTTGTCTCGAGTTTATCTATCTTTTAGCGATCACTTCTACAAATTTACGCGCATCTGGGGAATTTGTTGAGAGCATATCAGCAGCCTGCGGCTCACCCGCCATAGTAGTAGTAACTTGGCTTGGACTGAAACCAGACACGAGCATTTGCTCTGCGGCGCGGGAGGTGCCGACTCACAGTAGCCTTAGTCTTCAGCCTGATGCAGTAATGATCAAGACGGCTCATGCGCCACCTCCGCCTGTGCCTATGGTCTAGCTACGAAACGCACATAGGACGCAACGCACAGAGACTCGGGTAAACGCTCGCAGATTTTCTAGCGCCGTTACACTGGATAATTTGGAAAGTAGCAAATGTGAACGTGCGATACCATGTCGCAACCGCTGGCACAGGATCCTCACCGAGTCGGCTCTGCCTGTCTGTAGGAACGGTTCTTACGCAGGACTTGATTCCTCAGGATGCTGCCAGTAATACATAGACCTCGGAACAGGCAGTGCTCTGGCATGTAGTGGCACCTCGCACAGACATCGGGGTCCGGACAGCTCGTCTCGAACGCACGTGCCAGTGGGGCGTAGCCTTGGTTTTACCAGACAGAGTGTGACTGGTAATTTGGGTCTGCCTGGGGCATGAGAGAACTTTTTGGGCCCGTACATCTTTCCACGCTATTTGGCCGCACGAAGAGTGAGCCCAGAAGCTGAAGCTCTTCGAAAGTGAAGGAGGGAAGGAGTTGAAATTTGCGCAGCCTTAATTCTGGCCACAAGTGCACCAGTCGCAGTATTTCTGAAAACTACTGCTTCCGTACTAAGCCTCCTTCGGATCAACACGGCTCAAGACGGCCTTTATGGTGCTCCCCGTGACAATTATCTCAAAAATACTAGGAGCGAGGGAAAATATTTCCCAACATGATGATGGAGTGGTTCACAGCTGAATCACAACGCAGTAAGAGTCAAAATCGCCAAGTTAGAGCCGAGTACAGCAAGACCCGAGTCCGCCGCTGCCTCAGAGGTAGTACGACCAACGGATAAGTTAACACCAATATGAGCCCAATGGATTCGACAATGACGGTAACAGCTACTAGTAAATGCCACGAAGTTCCTGCTTCAAACCTCTTCATACTCTTCTCCGCAGCCGTACAGGCACATCAGCAACCGCTAGAGTCAGTCTCATTTTTGCAGTAAGTACTCTACTTCTCCACTGATTTTCGGTCTCCCCGGACAAAAGTATGGGCTCGATTTTCCAATCTTTTATCAGCTTGGCAAGGAAGGCGACGCCTTCGGACAAGGCAAAACGACGGCCGAGGCCTTCCGGTCAAGGTTTCAACGTCAGCCGTAGTGTAATTTGAGTTCGGCAACACTCACAAGCCCGTGCGCCGACCGAAAACATCAACATGTCATTTGCCGTTGCGCCGTACCATCGCTCTGGTTTGAACGCATACGGATCATTGAACACCCTCGGGTTATAAACTTCGCAGAATTTCGTTAGCCTGCGCGCCATGCCCGCTTGTTATCTGAGCTGGGGCACTCACGAACACCGATAGCATCCACATAAAGCACGGTCCCTTTCTCGAGTACCAGCTTTTCATCCGGAAGACCGGGGGGACCAGCGTGTGTCACGACAACGTTATTGACCACCGTCGTGCGGGGCATCGCGAATGCCGTCGCTGGGAGCTGGTTAGACTTCTGACGACTCAGCTCTAGACGACAGAGTTATGCGTACGTAACAGTCTGCCGGCCTCCAAAAAACAGGCCTGCACCTTGTCAAGCTTTTCCAGAGTGTTAAGGTCCTAGTTATTGAAGACGTCCATCAAAGGCACATCGTCTTTATGAAGCCAGTCCTGCTTACCAGCTCATTTCCATCGAGCATAGATTTTACCTCCTCGTAGACCTCATCCTGAATCTCACTGTGGCATGCCAGGAAGCCAATTGCCGCATTGAGGGTATTTGACGTCGTTTCTGCAACAACTGTCAGCGCAGGACAAGTCAAGACATGAAATTCTCAGACCGTGCCCAGCAAACAGCATGACAAAGGTATTTCCTTGCTGTTCAACGGTTAGTAACAAATATTTTCGTCGCGAATTGTTTCGGGTAAATACCAGTTCTTCATCGTTCAGCGCATGTTTCCGTTCCTGTTCACTCGCCTCGAGCATGATCCTGAAGACGTCACGATACTCGGACGTGTCCGGTCCATCTTCACTTCCTTTCGAGTCTTGTTTGGGACCCTCCACGAGCTCACGCCGACGAGAAGCGATTAGCTCCCGCATGAATCGCTCAACCGTGCTGTAAGCTTGCTCTAACTGCCTTACCCTAAGCAGACTTGAATCAATATCTTATTGTGAGCTCTCCAGACGCGTACCTTCGGATCGGCAGGTTGCACATCCACCTTGGTAAGAGTATCCGTTCAATCGATCCTGCAGACACTATGGAAAAGGCCTCGTGAAGGGACATGCTCCCGGATACCGCTGGAGAGTCGTGCATCCAGGAGAGGGGATTCCCAAATCCGCAGCAGGATATGACCAGTAGGGCGAGCTAAAAATGGCCATACTGAGTGCGATGCATCGGGATTGCAGAGCAGGAACCCGACTTTGTGGGTGATTACATTAACATCAGGAATGTCAATTGTATCCTTGCCCATCCAAGCCTCAGCTACGACCATCTCATCATAGAGGCGAGACGTTTCCGTGCAGATGAGTGCATACGTCCTTGGGCTGAATGCGGGCTGCACGATCCTTCGGTGCCTTCGCCACACATCCCCACCCTCCGAGAAGACATTAGGACCCCATATTCTGCTCGATTCTGTCTCAGCACACGTTTCCTTCGCAAGAGGCCTGCTTGCAAGACGTACCGTACTAAAATGCCGGCCTCCGGAGGCTTCTCCGACTGCCCTTTCATGGCAACGAACTGCTTCATCACCTCCGGAGACGACGTGCATATCACTGGCGGTCCCATCAGGTACGGAAGTATAGAGATCGTTTCTGTACCCGCTTCCTTGTACACTAGAGCAGTTTGGAGCGTCAGGGATCAAGCAAATTGAACCCCTGACGACACTGACAACGTACCTTTATCTTTCCATAGCCACTGCCAGCTAAGGCCCGGATTGATTGAGCATGTCGGGAGAGCTGCGCCCAGTAGATGCATAGGTGACACTAAACATCGAAAGCCTGGCAAATTACCCGTTTTCTGCGATGCATCTTAGTAAGGTTTTGTCAGTCAGGCGGCTGACAGGAACTCTGACCTTTTTGTTCTTATAGAACTGAGATATTCTTGAGACGATGAATATCGCCGTCAATGCTATCGCGGATGCTTGCCATGATATCATTGTTATTGGTTTCAAGTCAAGTTCGACTATCGGCCTTGAATATATAGCTGCGTCTGACCGTCACGAGAATCGTTACTCTTCGGCTGTGTGAAGACAGCTTACAGGCTGCGGGCTAGCCTGGCCAGTCTCTAGGCAATGGCGGGTGAAAGAAACAGTTGGATGCACAAAATGTTCTCCATGGCGATGATGATGTTTCGATTTTAAGAAGTTTCAGAGTTGCGCGGACAAACGACTGTATGTTCAAGACCGGAGCTTCCGAAAGGCGTGGGCGCATCATGCTATCGTTGCTTCTTTGGGAATGGGCGCAATGCTTTGGGCGCTCAGGCGCTCAGGGCCGAGTTGGCACCCCCGTACATTTTTAGCGAAAATATCGGACTACAATATTTGATGCCCCTGCAGGGGGTGCTCGATGGTTCGTCTAGCCAGATGGCAGCCAGGAAGATACGGGAGCGCGGCCGCTGGCCGTGAGGGGACAGCATAGACTGGGTGGTAAGCGCAGCCTTTTCCGTCGCAAAATTGGTCAAAAACTGATAACACAACCCCGAGTTTCTCCAATTTTCACCTAAGAAAAATTTCTCCCTAACTTGCGTCGGCGTAGAATCGAGGAAAAACTGGGCCTCATTTAGTCGCTTTTGTCCAGGTTTTCTCAAGAAAAAAGCTACGCTTACCACCCTGGTGAGCGCTGTTACGAAAGTTGAGCGCGTTGAGCGCTCCGGTGCATAAGTGACGAACTATGAAACGCATACAGTACGTGAACAGATCAATTATTGATGTGCTATCGCGAACTTTGTGGCGAAGTTGGCATATTCACATTTTGCTCATCCTCAGGCTTTCAGGAGTACCGTATACCTGCGCAATACTAGTTTACGCTAGCTTTCCACGCATCATAGTACACTTCCAGGTTATCGACTAGACCTGCCTTGCGCGGCTGCCAGCTCAACAGGCTCCGCGCCAAGTACGGGCGCAAGAGGGAGGTTGTAGTCAACGCAGTCTCGTACACTGCAGTGGACGATTGTGAGTCTTTACAAAGCACCGGAAGAGGCAGATAGACTCACAGTTACTCGGCTGTACAAACTCATGTGGCCCTTGCGCTCCGCTGACCTTGACAAGCTTCTTCAGCAGATCATCCGCGCTCTCCGTGATGTCGTTCGCCGCATCGAAGATCTTCCCGCCAACAAGCTGCGCCTTCTCTGCCGCGAGACGGAACAGCTCCGCCAAGTCGTCCACGCGGATCAGCGCATAGCGGTCCTCCGGCGTCCCAAACCACATGACGGTGCCCTCTGCGGCGCCCTTGAAGAGAGGTACCAGCAGCGAACCGCTCCGTCCATAGAGTAGAGCTGGTCGGATTACGATGCCGTTGAGCACCGTGTTCGTGACGACGCGCTGCTCCTGTTCAGCGCGCCACGCCACATGCTGTGCGGGCGCAGTGATCGGCGATGTGTCGGTCTTGATCGCTGTGCGGTCGTCACCGTGCACCCACGTCCCAGACGTGTAGATGTATGTCAGCTTCGGCGCGTGGGCAGGGCGGGAAGACTGCGCGGCGGACGCGACGGCATTGAGCAGAGTTTTGGAGAGCTCTCTGACATCGGCTGTGCCTCCAACAACCTCGATGATAACGTCAAGCGAGGCGATAAGAGGCAGCCAGGTGGAGAGATCTGACGTTTGGCTCACGACGGGAATAACTAGGGGCAAGGGTCAGTACATGTACGGTGCAAGACCAGCTGCTTGCGACTTACTTTCTTCCCTAGCGAGTTGCTGAGCTTTCTCTTGGGAACGTGTTAAACCATATACAATATGACCTGCACGGACAAGAGCTTGTGCTGCAGGGAGGCCAATGAAGCCGGAAGCACTGTATGGCCGTGAGTATGACCACTTTATTTGATTGGGAGATACTATGTACGTGCCCAAGGATAAGAACTTTCATTTTTGCGGTGTGTGTCAAGTTCTGTTGTACCGAAGTAGGGGAACTAAGGATGAGGACAGACCGTTTGTGACGCGCCCCTTACAGATCGCGGGGCCGATCGCCTCTGCTGGTCCACGAGCTTTCCCGCCTGAAGCAGCGTCGATGCGCTTCGAATGTACATGCTGCCCGCGTAAATTATTGAGCACAGCCCACTCTGTGTCTGTGTGGAGACTCGAAAACCAATGGTCTATGAACCTGTGATACTTGCTGAACACATGGAGTCGTCGCAGTGCTTTTCTAAGGTGCGGTGCTCGTTGCGAGAGATGTGTGGGCGCATGTCTCACCCTTGCTAAACTTGACCCACTCCGCGTTCCGCTATGCGTGTACGGTTGCCGAGCAGGCTCAGGTCAAATCCCCAAAACCCAAGTCCGGATCACAAAGCTGATGGCCAACCGCATAATGAGCGCCCGAGCACCTTTCCGCACACAGACATTAGTCTGGGTTATGTATGGCATTTTTGGGCCTTTTGGATGTCACGAAAACATGTAAGGTGCTGTATCTGTATACTCTGAGGTCAATAAAGGTAGTAGCGGGCCGAGGACCATTATCTGACCCAAACTTATCGAAGCGGTAATCAAGCGCCCAAAGCTTCGATTATCTTATCTAGAACCTAACCCTAAGTCGGTAGCACAATCTAGCGAGTACGGCATGTATCATAACTAGGTTAGCAGCTGATGATATATACATTTATTAAAATAGCTACACAGGAGGGCAAGGTCAAGCACACCTGCAACGACTCCGACGGCAAGGGGGGCCCAAGCCCCGACGCGCTGCTTCTATGGAAAGTGGGCGCCTAACGCCGCCATCGCTGTTCACCCCACCGCCTGCCCTGCAAACGATGATTGACATGCTTCATTTGACTTCTAACCTCGTATACATGCAATATTAATCGACTATTTATGCTGAAAATACTCAAATGTTCAGAGTAAGAGGCGCCAGTGCACTCGGAGGTTGGTGGTGTACGGCGGTTATCCGAGCGCTGATGGTATCAGATTTGGGTTTCTGACTTGGGTTTTGGGAATTTGACCTGAGCCTGCTCGGCAACCGTAGCGTGTCGAACACCAGCATAATACCGCCGGGGAATGTGTAGCTTACTAGCTAACGGGCGCTAAGGAGCACATCGACTTCCGGGTTTCGGACTTAGATGCGGCGGAGATCACTGACACGTCTGCTGGCATCACTAGCCGAGCGCCGGCACCGCGCCTACGCGTAGAGCGGAGCTAGCACCGTCTCCTCTTCTCACAGCTCCTGACTTTTCTTCTTACCCTCTCCTGCTTACTTTCTAATGTTATGGCGCCCGCCCCGAATATCCCAATCTTCAAGCTTCGGCGTTGGAGCTTTTACTGCTAACTCCTAACGCGCGGCGAACCCCTCCCTTGCTCACGACACAGTCGCTCGTTGCTGGCACCGCGTCAGGCCCTCGAAATATCGCTTCATCGGTCGTTCCCGCCCCAACACGGTCACCACGTTCGCCGCACCTGCATCGACCGCACATGTCTGCTGATGCTGCTACTCCAATGTCGGCTGAGCAAGCGCGGCAGGTTCTACGGTCAGTCTACGGACATTCTCTTGAGAGATGGATGGTATGGAAAACGCCGACAACATGGACAGCGCGGAAACACTACACACTCGAGACGGTGGCACATCAACGACGGCCTTGGCCCGGAATCTAGCTGCCTAGCTGCGTCCGCTCCCGAGGCGACTTCACCGGCGGCGTTCGGCCCTTTTCTTCCAGCCAGCCTCTTTCTTACTGTGCAGAATACGTTTTATAAACTGCGATAAATTGCGATTTCTCGTCTGCTGATCGTGTCACGGCCGCGAACGCTGTTACGTGAACGCTTGTCCAGCCCCCTAGCACGCTCGGCCTCACAGAGACAGACCTTTCCCCTTGCGCGCATGCATGTCCACGAGACTGGTAGTAGTATCCATCATGAATGCAGTCGTCTAACTGGCAGAAGCGATGGTTGTAAGTGTCGTCGCATTTGCCCGTAGATAGCCAACTTCGAGCTTGTGCGGAACATAGTCTCTCCTTTCCCTTGTCACCTAAGAATCTTATTGTACAGACACACTCGCTATGGGACCAGCTATCATATGAAAAATCGCGATCCCGAAAAGCAGCGCTGTGCCTCAGGCAGGCAGAATGATAAACTCAGGGCCAGGTGCAGTATCTCATTCGTTTTGGCACGGACCTCTCGGACTCGCCACGGCCCACTAGCACCGCAAGGGCAGCTAACGAGAATTGACAGGTCCGCGATATACATCCGCTAAGGTAACGAGTGTGCTGGTAAGAGCCACGGTCTATCCTCTTCGCCATACTAGACTACACTTTCGCGCCGACCAGGGCCCGAGCGATCTCGAGGTCGCGCTCATCCAGTATGCATACTTCCGGGAGAGACGCTATGACGGTCGATGAGGCCTCTGAGCTCTCCACACCTCTGCGCGGAGAGGACAAGCAGAAGTGCGCACGAGTCAGTCGGTGAAAGCAGCGGAGGAGACGAAACAGACACACGCACATGGGTAAGTTGATGTTTGTGGTTAACAGATGAGATCCAGGCGCAGGCTGCGATATGTCGATGCTGACCTTCTCGCAGACGGCCGATCTGCTGTACCCGCGACAGCGCGGAGCACGAACGACACGAAGATGAGACAGAGCAGACAGGACGCTCGAACAGACAGGGCGGCGTACCTCCCAGGTTCTGTTATGCGCAGCGGGGTGAGGAGCGAGCTCACAACGGAGCACGATGCCATGGCGCCAACGATAAGCCCCGGGGTGCCGAAGGCACCGAACAGGCATGCTGTGGCCGCGTGTTAGCTATACACGAGAGCAGAAGCGGCCTATGCCCACCACTTTTTGTGTATAACTGGAAAATCTGGCATGGCGAGGGTCAGCAGGCAGGGAGGCGGATTGTGGGTCGGGACGCACGATGTTGGGAATCTGCAAGATGAACGCTACGAGGAAGTACATGATCCCTTGACGATATAACATCTTCCACAGCGGCGATGAACGCGCGGCATGCTGCTTTGTTAGCCCAGTGACTGTCATGATGACGATGAGCAGGTCCGCCAAGAACGCTTCGCGCCAATGCATCAGCGCACTCTGCGGCACGGGACTTGCATGAGAGGCGCACTGTAAAAGAAGAAAGGCATGGAAACGTTGATTTTAATGTTCTTGCTGATGTCAAACTCCTCATTCAAATTGCCATGGCCGCGAATAATTGGGGGCGCCATCACTACATTGTAACGCAACTCAGTGTGTTGCCGACTGGCCAAAAGAGGTGGGACTCGCCTGCAAGCACCACGGCCCAGTGTCCTATGCCGATAAGAATTAAAAACATGACGACAATGCGGTTTGCTTTCCATATTGCTGCCCTGTCGTACCGGTGAGCACACGCTGTGGCTGAGATGGGTGATGGGGCCCTACACTCTGAAAAGTAGGTTTCCAGTTGCAAAGATGCAGACCACGGCACCTGTTATCTGAGGAGCTCGTTTAGCTAGCGAGTTGTCTGAACAGGTGAAAAATACGGACTATTAGAACCTCCATGGTGACTAACAAATCATTAGGTTAACATTCTTCATTGCGTACATCACACTTACCAGGCTGCAGCAGCACTTCGTGTCTGTATACAGGTCAGAGCAAAGTAGTATGTGATGTGAAGATGAACTCACAAAGGTAGTTGTATGCCAAGCAGGAAATATCGCGCTCCGAGGTAATACACCTAGATCCTATATCTAAGCCGTCCTTAATGTTTTGCGAAGGCGAGAGCTCACGTATGACCACCTCCACTTCAATTTGCGCGTCAATAGCTGCCACTCTACATGTTTGAATGTAGTGATAAAATACCATCTGGACGAGAAAACAATTTCGGCATCAGCCGATACAGGAGCAAGCATTAGGTTGACTCAACGTGAAAATACCACCAAAGTACAGGTTAAACTTTTCTGTAATCCGGAGACATATATTGATGACTTCTGGGCTTTCCCAATCAACCATAGCGACCAAGCTCAGCGGAATATGCTGCAGCAGTCGACGGGGGGATGGGGGTCAAGAGCAGATCCCTCAATGCTCGGACCTTGTATATATATATATATATACGCCAATCAATGACGTGGGTAGACAATGATCGGAGGTTCAGTGGCGTGTGCACCCCTGCCACAGCCAAGCAGGGCATCCTGTCATGCGTAGAGTGACTGCCGTAAAGCATGCTAGGAGGGAGCAGGACTCCGCGGCGCCGGCAGCGTGCGCCATCTGACAACCCTCGCGACCACCTCGCGCCACCTAGAGTCCGGGGCTGCAAAAAAGCCGATTTGTCGCCTGTCTTTCATTGCCGTGCGACGCCAACATTGTTGCACGAACTTGTAGCTGTGTTTAGAGCGATAACTATTCGTCTGTTTCGTTTGAATCGACAGTGAGTTAAGACTCTTCAGGACTCCGCCGCTACGCATCAAACGACTGGCGCCTCCGAGAGATTTCCAGGAACACTTCAGGCCACCATTATGTCGTGAGGCCTCTGGCATATTCCCGAGTTGTGCGTGGGCTGCGTAGCTAAGCCTACAGGTCTAGGCTCCTTAGAAGTTGTATTGAGGGGCGCGAGAGAGTCGGAGAGACGGCTCCTGGGGTGCACGACAAGTCTGATCTCGCTGTCGCGTGAATCACGAGAGCACAGCCGTGACTTAGTGTATTCGTGGCCCAGTATCCACGTTTCCATGACCTTGGAAAATCGTTGATTCCCGGAAGGGCTCCATGTGCTTGTGTAACGTTAACGCTCTCGGGTAGTGCACTTTCAGGTTCTCACCCATAAGCGCATTTGCATTGAGATGGGCAATGAATCTCGTTGAGAGGTACCGGAAAGTTCCGAGAAGACTCGCGAGTTAGCAACGGCGGCGAGCAAAGCTTAACGGAAGACATATAGCCGCGGCTTGCCTGTACTTCCGGCATCCTCGTTTGATTTAAAACGCAGACTTACACCATCGATATAATTTTGACGACCAAATTTGAGCCGCTGGAAAATCGCATCGTTCTGGTGATGTCGATGAGCCTCGATGAGCCTCGTTCTGTTTCTGCGAACTAGCAATCAAGCGCGGGGCGCGTTTAGAATACGCATCACTTTGTGGCAGGGGACGCCCATCAAGTGAGACTAGGCCGTCACCTAAGCGCTATCGCACTATCATTCTTCTGATCCCAAGGACCATAAAGCCAAAGCCGGGACCACGTATTTGCGAGCCGCACATCGGCCATTAAAGAATTTGCTGATTTTCCCACTGGTAACGTACACAGCGCAGCTTGCTTCCGGCTCACTTCTGTTTCAGCTATCGTGCCGGTATAGGCTGGTATAGGGGGAAAACCTTCAAACAAGCTCCGGTTTCATGGGCATGTCGCCGACAATAATCCAACTGGGTTTTCGACGCTTGTGGCTGAGTCATTTTCTGGTGATTGTGGCATTGACACGACTGAACGTTTCGATATGTTGTCAGTCTGACCAGAGGCAATGGCCCAGATGTCAACTGATCACGCTGTTGCAGCCTGGTACAGCTGTCAACGGCTGCCATGAAACTGAAAATGAGCATGGTTCAATTGTCAATGGATGCTTGTTCCAGAGGTTCTAGATAACAGCAGTTCCGGCCCAGGCTGCTGGGGCGGTTCGCGCGGAGGCTACAGACGCTATTGGACATCGTCAGACCGCTTGGCAATTGTCAATATCCAGCTTTAGGTACCCTCTTACCCAATTGACTCCTATTATGATGCTCAGGCCGAATGTGCGTGTATGACGTGGAGATTATCTGTGGCAGCGATCAGGTTGAGCAGACGGTGACGATCGCTTGGGTCCAGCCGCGTGCGATCTCGCAAGAGCAGATCGTCAAGCCTCCACAGCGGCCCACAGTCTGAGGTCAGATAATTCACAAGATCAAGGAGCGCATTTCACCCTAGGTGCCTTCAACTGCGTAATGGCCACTCCAACATGTCCTATGAATGCTATATTGCACACTCTCCGACTCAGGCCACTCGGATCCGCCGCGATGTCCATTGACGGCCCTCAGAAAGTGCAAGAATAGACTTTCAGCAAGATGGCACGCAGTTACGTGGTATGCACACGTATATGGTAAGGAGCGTGGTGGTAGTCAACTACATCTGATCCTTTTCGCCATACAAGATTATATTTTCTCGCCTATCGGAGCTGCCAGAGCACACGGCAACCTCCAGGTCGCGCTCTCCGCGCGTATGCGCCTCTGGAAGAGATTCTATGAGATTCGATGAAACCACTGAGCTGTTCAGGCTTCTGCGCCGAGGACTAATCAGCTTAAGTAACAAAGGGAAGAACAGCAGACAGCACATACATGGGCAAGCTCAAGTTGATATTCGTAGTCAGTAGCTGGGACCTGGGCGCAAGCTGCAAGATGTCGCCGTTGGACTTCTCATGGACGGCTGTTCTGCTGCGGAGGCGGAAAGTGAAGCAGGGACAAGCATGAGCATCACGGAGATGAGGTGGAGTAGATCGGACACTCGAGGCAGAAGGGCAGCGTACCTCTCGGGTTCTGCTGTGTGTGGCAAGGCCGCGAGCTCGGTCACGGCATAACACGATGTCATGACAGTGGCGATGAGTCCAGGAGTGGTAAATACGCCTATCATGCATGCTGTTGCTCCGTATTAGCTGCACTCGAGCGTGTGAGTAGACGCAGGAGCGTACAACTTGCGGTTAACAGCTCGAAAATCTGGTGTGAAGAAGCTCAGCAGGCGCGGAAGACGGACTGATGGGCTGGACGCACGAGGGTGGGAATCTGTAAGAAGAGCGCCACGAGGAAGTATATGATCCCCTGGCGGTACAGGGTCTTCCATAATTGCGACGGGCGCGCAGTGCGCCGTTTCAGCAGCCCTACGATCGTCATGATGACGACGAGCAGGTCCACCAGGAACGCTTGATGCTATGTCGTCAGCGTGCTCAATGACTTGGGACTTGGGAGCGAAGCGCACTGTAGATAAAGAATGGTACGGCAGCGTTGACCTTGATCTTGCTACTGAGATCAAGATGTATGTTCAAGTTACCGTGGGCACGGATCATTGGGGGCATCATCACTACACGGTAACGGAATTCAGCGCGCCGCCGGTTAATAAACCGAGCAATCAATCGGAGACTTGCCTGCCAATAAGACCCAGTGTCCTATACCGAGCAGAATAAAGAACGCGACTACGATATGGTTATCTCTCCATAACGCTATTCTGTCGTACTGGTGAGCGCGTGCGATAGATGATATGGATGACGTGGCCTTACACCCTGAAGAGAAGGTTTCCGCTTGCAAAAATCGCGACCACGAAAGCAGTTATCTGTGGATGTCATATAGCTGCGAGATGCTCGAATACGTAAGAGGTACGAACAGCTAAAACTACAATGATCACTGGTCGGATATTAGATTGGCATTCTCCATTGTTTACATCACACTTGCCAGGTTGCATCACTTCGTGCCTAGTTACTAGTCAGAGAAAAGTAACAATTAATGTGATAGTAAACTCACAAAGGTATCTGGAGCAGCAGAAAATACCGTGCTCCAAGGTAATATACCTACATTTTGTGTTTGAGTCGTTGCCAGTCACCTCTGCAAAGGCGAGAACTCACGTACGACCACTTCCATTTCAATTTTCGTATTAACAGCTGCCACTCAACATGCCTAAATGTAGTGATGAAGTACCATCTACTCGAGGCAAGAACTCAGGATCAGTCGACAGCGAAACAAACAGTGGGACGACTTAACGTGAATATCCCGCCGAAGTACAGGTTGAGCTTCCCTGTGATCTGGAGGCATACACCGACGACCTCCGGGCTTTCCCAGTTGACCATGGCGGCCGGGTCCAGAAAAGTATGTTGTGGGTGACGCGGGGATGGTAGAGAACGAGCAGACGCTTCGTCTGATTAACCTCGAATACATATACGCCAATCCGTCCCCTGTTCGGTAGTTAGTGATCAAAAGCCCAGTGACATGTGCGCGCCTACCATAGCCGAGCAAGGGCTTCTGTCGTGTGCAGCACGGCTGCCGTAAATCACGCTAGTGAGAGGGGCGAGACGGGGCTGCGTTGCCTGCCAGTGGAGGCCGCCGTCGTCTCGCCCACCTGAACGAGACTACAAAGAACTAGTTCGTCATCAGTCTTTTATTGCCGTGCGATGCTATCATCGCTGCACAATCTTGCATCTCTGTTTAGATCCAGCGATAGTCACCTCTCGACAATAATTTGACGCGACTGCGGATTCAGACTCCTCAAAGCTCCGCTGCCACACTGCATCAAGCAATTAGCGCCCCGGGAGGTTTCCAGGAACACTACAGCCCGCCATCCGATTTTCCTAGAAACTGTGCGTTGTGTGGTCTCTGACGTTATCTCGAGCTGTGTGTGGGCTATACAGCCGAGCCTACATATGTCAAATCACCGGAAATTGTGCTGAACGGAGCAAGGGGTGGCTTTGGAATGTGAGCATAGTGGCCGCCAAGTCCAGACACGCTGCTGCGTAATTTGCCGCAAAGATGTCTCCCTAGGCACAGCTGTAGTCTATCCGTGACCTAATACTCACGTTTCCATGCCCTTGGCAAGCCCATTCATTCCTGAGTGCTCCACCAGCATGTGTTCGCGCAGTGTTTGACGCCTTCGGGTTCTCACCCGTAAGCGCATTTACAGAGATCAGCGGTAGCCCTCGTACATATAGATGGGAAGGTTCCCACGAAGACTTGGCAACGACGGCGAGTAAAGCTAGTAAAGTGTAATGTGAGACAGCACTAACAGCGCACTGGGCGCCGGTTAGTAGCGCGTATTCTAGCGCCAGCTCTGATTTTGAACGTAGACATTTATCGTCCGGAAAATTCCCGGCGACTTAGAGCGAGCTGTGAAGATGTCCCTGTAGTGAACCAACTTTGGTTTCTGCAAACTAACAAATTAGCGGGCGTCTGTAATAAACAAATTCTTTGTGGCGCAGGACGCCGGACTAAGGTAGGCCCATTACGCCGTAAATGACGGAGTTGTGGACGCACGTGCGAATGCGCCCTGGCGCGGCGACGCCGTACTTGCCTTTACCGCCCGTAAATTCACGCTTCCGGCCTCTGGATAACGACAGCGAGAGGAAGTAAAAGATCTGCGCAAGCAGAAACAACGCTACAATCTGCATGCATTATTTCGCTTGCTCAGCATTTAGCTATGGCCAGCCTGAGGCTTTATCTTGAGCTTCGAAAGGTTTTCTCTTCCAAGCGGGCCGCGCGACAGAGCCCTCACTTGATACGGAAAGTATAACGGGCCTACCTTAGGCCGCCTAAGCGCCTTCATGCCATTAAAATCTAGGACAAGACGTGCATCGCCCGTCAAATCATTCGAGTGCCCGCCAGGAGCATGCACGGTCCAGTCTGCTTCTGTCTCGGTACTATGCTATCTAATTGAGTGTGTATGACTCGACCTTCAAATTCTGTTGTAGCACTGGCGAATATGAACGCTTCAATGTTCAATGTGTTGACACCGTAACCGGACACAGTCGTATTGACCAACACCATCATCAGGCGTAGACCGCGCAGCCTGATACAACAACCGCCACCCGTACCACCAAAGATGGGCATGGTGCAACTATCGCCGGACGTACTCCGTTTTCCAGAGGTCCTCCAGAGTCCAGACAACGGCACCGGAATCCGTTGAAGCGTCCCGCGCAGACGCCACCGACGCAAGCAGACAGCCACTTCGTAAATTGCTGGCAACTCCGCCTCAGGTACGCTCCTGCCCAACATGTTTTCATGGAGGTGCTTAATATACGCGCGTAACTTGAAGCTTGTCAATGACAGCCTCGATCAGGCAGATGGTGACGATCGCTCGGGTACAGCGGCGCTGCGCGCTCTCGCAAGAGCAGCTCGCGGAGCTGAGCTCGCACTGTGACTCGCAATCTGGAACAAGAAGTCGCGTAAGGCCAAGGAGTACACCGTTCTCCCGTTGCCCTCGGCTGCACAATAAATGATCGACGTGAATTCTGATATCTCTACTTTATTTTTTCCAGCACGAACCAGTCAGATCCGCCATGAGATGCAATACGCCAATGACCCTAAGATAGTGTGAAAACGGGCTTGTAGTGATTGAAGACGGCACGCAAGTGCGCGGTATACATACGTATAAGATAAGGAGCGTGATGGTAAGAAGTTACATGTTCTTTTCGTTATACAAGACTACACTCTCCCGTCGGCCGGAGCTTCCAAAGACTACAGTAGCCTCCAAGTCGTGCTCTCCATGCATACGCATCTGTGGCAGCGACCTTATCATATTCGAAGAAGCTACTGTGCTATCCATGCCTCTGCATGCCGAGAACAGACATTGATCAGATAACGAATGCGGCAAAGGCGAGAACGGCACGCGCACGTACGTGGGCAAGTTAATATTCGTACTCAGCCGCGGGGACCTTCGCGGTGACAGCGACATGTCGTGGCCAGGCTTTTCGCGGACGGCCGGAATGCTGCAAATTGCGAGACAGCTCCGTAAGACGAGGCCAAGGAAAGTGCGAGCGGAACGTACTCGTCTGGGTCTGCCGCGTGTGGCAGGGCCAAGAGTGACATTACGGCGTAGGATGACGCCATGACGCTTATGACAAGTCCGGGCATGCTGAAGGCGCCGATCATACATGCTAATATGTGCCGCGTTAGTTTGTTCGGGAGGAGCGCAGATACAGGGACGAACCGCTTTCTGTATCCCAGGCGAAGATCTGGCGGCGCGAGCTGGACGAGCGTTCAGAAAAACGTATTAGGGAGCAGACGCACGACTGTGGGAAGTTGCACGGCGAACGTCGTGAGGAAGTACATGATCCCCTGGCGGTACAATGACTTCCATAGCTTGGATGAACGCGCGGCGCGCTGCCTTAACAGCCCGACAATCGTCATTAAAACGATGAAAAGGTCTAATGAGAAGGCTATGCGGCATGCATTAGCGGGCGTTACAGCAGGGTGAAAGGCTGAGGGGCTCACTATAGAGCAAGAAGGGTACTGAGTTGTTACTGTCAATCTTCGTGTTACTGTCAGGGTTCACTATAAAATTGCCGTGGCTGCGGATTATTGGAGGCATTATCACTGCGTTCGAAAGAAAGTCAATGCGCCGATAGCTTGCTGGAGGGAAATTGAGCACTCAACCAGCAAATACCAAGACCCAGTGCCCTATGGCGAGCAGAATCAGGAACGCAACTATCATGCGGTAGTCTCTCCATATCGCTATACTGCTGTACTTGTCAGTGTGTGCGGCAGCCGAATTGGATGAGATGGCTAACACTCGGAAGAAAAGATTTCCGCTCGCGAAGACCGAAATCATGCAGCCTGTTATCTGCAGATGACATTTAGCGAATGAGATATACGACCATGTAGGGGCACCAACCGCTGAGATCTCGAATGCAGCTGCTCATACAATGGGATCAGCCCTTCGCTTGTGGCGTGAAAGGCACTTGCCAGGTTGTATAATTTCATGCCTGCCGGCTAATCAGACCAAGAGGATGAGTGACGCATTGGCTTGCACTCACAAAGGTAGTTGGAACCCGAGCAAAAAATATCGCCCTCCGAGGTAATATATCTGCAATCGTCATTTGACTCGACGTCTATCTACCACGATACAAGCACTCACATATGCCCACCTCCACTTCATCCTCCGTCTCAAAAGCTGCCACTCCACAAGTCTGAAGGTGGTCACGAAGTGCCATCTGTTCGATGTGATCCGATCTTAGCATGAGTCTATTAGATAGGGAAAGCGAAAGGACTTAACGTGAAGAGCCCAGTAAAATATAAACTAAGTTTTTCCGACACTTCAAGGCATATACCGATGACCTCCGGGCTGCCCCAGTCAACCATGGCGTCCAGACGCAGCAAGGTGCGCGGGCTACGCGAGAGCAGGAGGGAAATAGCAGAGGCTCTTCGCAGACCCCACGGATACATATACGCCAATCAGCAGCATGCTCGGTAGCCATACCGTGCAGCAGCCGTTTCTCAGAACCATAATAGCTCCCGCACTGATTCTGGATCTGATGGGAGGTTCCATCTGTGTGGCCGGGGGCGATATGTGCCGGCCGGGGACAATTTGTGCCGGCCGCAGCCGAGGCGCTAGCTTCTTATACGAAGTGTAATGTCGTAACGCAGCTGGGAAGGGCGTGAGCGCAATGCCGCCGCTGACGAACGAGCTGCCGGGCGATCGCTCAGGCCTGAGGCCTCAGGGCTCGCGACCACTTCGCGATTCCCTGGGCTGCAGAGGAATCTGCTCGCCGGATCGGTCTCCATCGCCGCCAACCTAAACCTAATTCCGGTAAGGAAAATCCGCAGCCTCAAACCCACGTTTTCACGACCTCGGCTGGCCAATTGATCTCTGGGATGACCCCATGTGCTCGCACAGCGCCTCGCGTTACACTTGTCAGCCTAGGTTACGTGCGGAGATTTCGAGTTCAGATAGAGAGCGAAGTTTCGGGAAAGATTTGCGAGCAACAGTGGCGAACAAGGCTTGAGCTTGATGTGACATACACGTCGCGATATTGTACCTGCGACGCGCTCGTGCCGGTTAGTCCGGCCTTGGCCTTTCGTCAACGAGTAAATCAATATATGATCGTCTCGGGAGGATAAACGAAACATATAGTTTGACCCAGGGTTCAGCGCTTTTTATCGCGCCACTTCTCGTTTTAGACACGAATGTGCTCTGTCAACTGACATCGATATCCGGGCAAATCATCGGCAGTTCAGAATAAGCTCGCCAGGCCCGCCAGCCTGAGGTCCGGTCGCTGCGCTCTGTGAGAACCACGTTCGTCTTACTTTGGGCAAGGGATGCGACGCGAGCTTGAGCGAGAAACCGGCATAGGGAGCAGCCTAAATCTACAACTGAGTACTGAGTTGGCAAGCCGTCCCATGGCCAGGTTAGTCCTGGTTTGTGCAGAAAGCAATTTCTTTGTGGCGCGGGAAGCGCCGACGGCGGGAACCGGCGGCATACCGACGCAGAGTGACGCGCCCCTGACCGCTCTTGATAACGGCGGCTACTTGCATTTTCTCTTGACGTCAATATCTGAGACAGGACCCTCGGCCTGGCCAGCCCGTCATGAAGGAAGCTACGCAATGCGCGTCTCAGGCTCTCTAGCTATTCTCTCAGTATACCCTAGAACAAGCGTCAGTCCGGTATGTCGAGACACGCTTGGCACCAATCTCGCCTCAGCTGATATTTTTCATCGTGGGAGCTCTTCCGCTGTGGGCAGTGCGAGGATCGGAGTCGCGTCGACTAGCGTCCGGAGTATTCATTAAATCATGCCTTCTGGTCGCATCGCTCTAAGTCCTCCCATTTAAAAGCTTGTTCTTGCTGAGAAACAGTATTATGCATTACTAGAGGAGGTGGGGCTGGAATAGTCCTATGATACACTGCTATACAACTTTTTCTCAGAGATCCGGGTCAAGGATATCCAAGACGACGCGAAATACGAAGAGAAGTCGAGACATAACATAGCTTTAGTGCGCGGCCTCACCAGCCTTGATCTTCTGGCCCTCCTCGACCTTCCCCTTCTTGCCCTCGACCTTACCGAGCAGAACTTTCGCCTCGCCCTTCATCTTCGCCATGAATCCCACCTTCTTCGCCTTGTCGGGGTGCGCGTCCTTGTCATTATCTTCCTGCTGCGATTGCTCCTTGTCCTCGCGGGCAGCCTCATCGCGCCCAGCAGTGGCAGGCGTAGCGCCGGTGCCTTCAAAGATACTTTATCAGAGGAATAGGATAGCGTGAGTGATCAAGGGGTACATACTGGCTGGCTGTTTGCTATCAGTATTATTTGCACCAGGACCGCCATCTTGGTCCTCAGCATCGTCCTTATTCATTTCGGCGTGCTCCTTCGAATAGTCTGCGCTCGCAGGGTGTAGCTCAGACGGATGATAGTCGGTATCGTAGCCGTCACCCTGAAGATCATCAGTCAGCATAATTGTCATACGCCACGATCCGCAAAAACTAAAGTGTCAGAAACGAACGTTGTCCAGGTCGACATCTTCGCCGCGCCTGTACCTGGCGGTACCGACGTCGACACCTGCCCATTGGGCGCCCTCACTGCCCAGGACATGTGTGCGTGGTGAGAGGTTCGGCTTGAGCAGATTTGCCTGCTTCTCTTGCCAACCCTCGCGTACCTGACCAGCACCGTGCTCCTCTGTCGGATGCTCATTACGGCCGGCGTTCTCGGAAGTCGCACGAGCGTCGGACTGCCAGCGGACATCCTTTGGCGGACATGAGCGACGCGCCGGGGCCAGGATCAACCAATGCCACTTCGTCCGAAACTACAGACAAATAAAGAGAAAATTGACTCACTTGGTTCGACTTGACGCGCGTGGACTTCTCTTGGCTCTTCTCCTTGGCAGGCTCCTGATGTGCTCCTTTCGCAGGCTCCTGTTGGGTTTCCTTCACGGGCTCCTGAGACGAAGCACCCGACTTCTGCATGCCGGCAGCCTTGGCCGAGTCGGCGAGGTGAGTGTCCTCACCAACCTTGGTAGGCTGCTGGGTTTTGTTGCGGTCATCGAGGGCCCATTTGCCCATGCCTGCAGCAGCGGCGCCGGCGCCGGCGAGCTCAGCAGTATCTTTGAAGTCGCCACCGTGCTTCTCATCTGGCAGTTTTGCGACACCGGATTCTGTGGACTTGCCAGGGAGAGCACCTACACCGTTATTACGCTCGAAGGGCTGAGCGCCTGATGTTTCGTTAGTCGGCAAGGAAGTTGCGCCTACACCTACATCTGTCGTTAGCGAAACACGAAAACTCATATGGTTAGGTACATACCCCCAGCACGGTGACTGGCACCAGCAGAAGTGGCAATAGTGCCGCGCGTATTCTCATCTGGGAGCGTCGCGACACTCGACTCCGTCCTGTTACCCGGTAGTGCACCTGCGCCGTCTGTATGCTCGAAAGGCTTCGCACCGTTCTCCTCTTCTGAGGGCAGCGAATATTTGGTGGTGACGGCGGTGGTACCAGAACTGCTAACAGGGCCTGACAACGCTATCAACATCACGCTATACAAGCAGTCATTCTGATACTAACCTCTTTGAACGACGGTATCCTTAGCTGCTCCAGCAGCACCCTGAACGTTGTCTTTTGCAGACTGTGCAGCTGAATAGGCATAACCAGTCGCTGCACCGGTGGCGACGGCGGCGGTACCGGCGGCAACTGCAGCCATGTTACCGGCGGTCGGGACGGTCGCGTTACGTTCGTCGGGGAGCCTCGACACCTCACTCTCCGTTACTGGACCTGGCAACGCACCGGCACCGTCAGTGCGCTCCCCAGTGAAATGGCCGGCGAGTTCGGTCGACGGAAGAGAGGTTGCGTGCGGCTTATCGTGTTCGGACGCGCGGACTTCGCCTTGTGGATTGTTGACGCCGGCTGTGGTATTATAGCTCAGCACAGAGCACAGGACTCAGCAATATCGTGTTTACTTACGGACATAGGATGAGACGGTGTCCATAACGCTCTTCGGGAGGTATGCTCCAACGGCCTCTGCTGCCTTCGGAAAGTATGTAGCCGCTGCCTGTTGCGCAGTGTGGGCGAAACTGCTCGCAGTCTCAGTGGCGTTGCTTGCGTGCTGCGACATGGTCTGGGTGATATCCTCGCCGCGGGCCTGCAGTTCACCGTCCCTAGGATACGCGCCAGGGACCTCGCGTCCTGGAGTATCGAGTGGCAGCGATGGTGGTGGCGGGTTGCCTAAGGTCTCGGTCGCGGTGGTACCCGGGCGAAGGTTCTTCTCTTCGAAGAGCTGGCGCGTAGTCGGGTTCATGGTGGCGGCGGGGGGCGTGACAGGGTTCGGGTCGAGCGCAGAGGTCGTCTTCGCAGCCCACTCGTGGGAGGGGGTGCCGGTTTCAGCGTTGAGAGGTGGAAGTCCAGACATGGTGTTTAAAGTGAGAGATTAGGGTCGTAAAATGTTAGAAATATTCGGTGGGTGGTCGTAACAGCGTGAGGATTGTGAAGACAGCTGGGCGTATTGCGAGGTATATAAGTGACCCCACCATGTCGTCATGGTCACTCGCGTGACAGCGCCAGGAGAGCTGGAGTGGTGGCGTCGTGATGTCACAGTAACCTGTCCACCTTGCCTTGACGTCATAGTATCTCGTGCAGGTTGTTTGATTCTGTTAGGACCCAAAGCCGCCGGTTGCTACTTCGGGACGTAAGCAATCGCGCTCACGAACTGTATCAAGAGCATATCGTGAGACAGATCAGAGATCGCCAAGAAAAACTCAGGGTACACCAGGGCTTGAGTCGGAACGTCAGCGGCATCAGCGAGTACTGTAGCAGGTGCTCCGAGATTCGGCCATGAGATTCAAGAGACCTGAGGTACATCTGGATTTTGATCCTTTTATAGCGTTGTTAGTAAGATACATAGCATCATGAAATTGTCAATTATCATGGGAGAGATCAATCAGCAATGTCCTGCACGTCTCCCTCTTCCCATCGTCCCAGTCGTACGTCAGCGATTCCGAGCTCCAGATGAGAAAGCGGTTCTGGCGTAGACTTCTCGTGCGGCGCAAGAGATGGGCAACTAGAAGGCAAAGGGAGGGGGGACGAGATTGAAGAAAGCGGAGGTGAGGATTGCGCTGCATGCAGCCGAGGGAGTTGAGGCATTGCGATCATTACGGAGACTCGAGCACACTGGGGTGGTTGCACTTTCACATTCGCCGTGTGCTCTGGCGAAGCAGACGTAGGTGACGATGAGATTGAATCTGCGTTCCCAGTAGGTGTGGGAGATCTTGAGCCACTGAAAACACTTGCGAGATATGGAAGTGGCCCTAGAAAGAGTATAGATCGCCAATCGCGACCTTGCCTAAACGGAGGCGCGACAGAAGGTTTCTCTGCTCTGTGCTCTTGGAACCCATGATAGGGCGACCCGTTGTGATTCAGGAGTAGCGTTGACACAGGCTTAATGGAGAGTTATTAGATCGTTTTCTTGAGCACTACGAGGAAGAGACGCACCAAGGTATCTTCCCATCTCATTTCCTCAAGCGCGGGCACAGTCGACCTGCCCTTGGATTTACCTCCTACTGCGAGGTCGACCGCACCGTCCACACTCAAAAACGCATCATATATGGCCGGCTTTTGCCCGAGCTCCTTCTTTGTTTTGGATGGTGGTACGTAGGTGCCATTTCGTATAGCTTCTTCTACCATGCGCCGATGGCGCCGGCGCATAATGAACGAGCGTGTTACGATGGCTCCTGATACGGCAAGCAGGAGTATGAGCGTCACTGTAATCCCAATTAGCATCGCGTTTCGAGTGCAAGGGGAGCGCGGCGTACCGAGAAACGTGTACACTGCGCAGCACCCCGCGAATTAGAGAGGATTTTAACACGACGAGGATCGACTTACAATATAGTGAAGCCTGCGACGATAACAGAGACGGTGAACCATTAGGCTCGACGTTTGGTCCAGGAGATGACGACGCCGTTGGCGCGCTAACACCCACAGACGACGAAGCCACACTAGAAGACATGATGGTATTGGAATTCGCTGATTAACAAGATCCAAGTGAAGCGACGAGGTATCGCAACTGCGAGACACCACAAGGGAGACTAAGTGTCCATGCAAAGCAACAAGCGAGCCTGAGCGTAGATGGGGGTCAAAATCAACGAAACTCAACGCGAAGAAACGTACAATTACTGCCCGCGGTTTGTGTTCAAATCAGTTATGACAAAGCTCATGGGGGAGAAGGTCTCCGAGGGTTTGGGACGGGCGTGCGACGAATAGGTGCAGCTATATACCCCGCCGGGAGAAGGCTTCTCATGGACCGTTTGGCAGCTGTTAGAAGACGAATGATCTCACGGGATACCATGCACCGAATGGGTGTGCTGCTGGAAGGGTAACAGATGGCGTGGATGCGGTCTGCGGGTAGCAAGAAGCCAGATGGCGGGTCACAAGGCCTCGCTGTCTCAAGCTCCCGAGCTTTCCGCGGGACAGAGATGGGGCTCAGTAAGCCACAAAATAGACGGAACGTTGGCCTAATCGACACAAGTATGAAACAGCGAAGAAAGGCAAGCCGGCAACAACGACCTGCCGAAATGCACAGGCGTCGCGGGAGATATGTGCTGCGGGCGTGGGCTAGTCTGCCACATATCAAGTAACAATCGCCAGCGGACTGGCACACGTCGGGAATTGCGACCCATAAGTGCATGCCTGAGTGGATGCTATCCGCAGCGATGTGTGTATCCAGGCAAACAAAGGCCAGGGCAGATGCCAGATTCTCGAGAAAGCTGAGGGGAGTGTTCCGGGTCTGTCTCAACGAAACACTTAGACACCCATTGTCCGTACCCCTGGCACCGCCCGTCGCTTTGCCGCGTTCCACATTACATGTTCAGTCTGTGTCCACTAGGCGTTCAGCCACTTGACGAATATGAGGCAACGGAGGCGATTGCATGCGTGCATTTCCATGTTGAGTTGGTGTGACTACTGTTCACCGGCTAATAAAGTTGCCTGGGCAGGTTTCGTGGTGGCGGTTTGCCATTGTGGCACTCGGCCAAGCACGAATTAGATGATACCCTTCGTGGATGTGCTCTATCTTTCCTCTCGCCTACAATCAAAAACTTTGACATACTATTCCATCCAGACATTTCTGCTTGCAATCGGAGTCGAAAATGCTTTTACTTGCGGACGCGCCAATTGCTGTTATCCAGGCTGTTCATCAGTGTCGCGCAAGTCCTCCCTGCACCTCAGAAACCTTGATTCCGATGCTCGTTTTCTCGAGGCATGCTACAGCTCAGCCATATTCCGCCCCAAGACACATCACATCCCTGAAGCGCTACATCTCGCTAGCGACTGGAAGGAGACTGGGATTGTCCGGCGCGTTGCCAGCTCGATTACGCAAGAGTGCCCGGATTGAAAACTCGGTTAGGGCACCAGCCTCCCCTCCTTGATATCGTTGCGCTGCCCCACGCCGCTCCTATGCTCATATCATTCGAATCATAGCCATCTATTCATGCGAGAATGGCAGGACGCTCGGGCTGCGACGCACTGGCTCATGTCGCGTCAAGTACTATGGAGGATGTCGCTGAAAGACCGGTCGGAATCAAGCTCTAAATCTGCGGTTGTCTGACCACGACTATCTGTGATTATGGCGATTGGTAACTCGAGAATGGTTTGTTCTGTTCTGGACAGAAGCCTGACGTTGGAAGTGCTCATGTGCATCTCATCTTACCTGCTTCTTTGATCGCCAGATCAGCCTGATATGGTCTCGCGAACGACCTCATCACAAACCTGCCTGATTCATTATGGAGGACGCTTCCAGCTCACTGTGCTTGAGTGTATTGAGAACCTGTTTGGCCCATGTACTTACCCTCTTCCGGTAGGGCCAGTATCAGCGGACAGACTGGGGTGTCTCATCCATCCCTGAGATGCAGACGGAGCTTAAGAAGCTCCCCAGATTTACAACAGCTTCCGGCGGCCGGTCGACTGAGAATAGTCCCCCGCACACTCCCCGAGTCCCTCGGATATACCTATGCAGCTCGAGAGGCTTCTCTCTTCGTATACCACCTTCACGTATCTGTCCTTCATTCCCTCCTTCCACGTGTATGCTCTCTTTTCCTCGAGTTGCATGCAACGGGTAGGGTCGAATAGATGGTTAACTGGCTGAGCCCACATATCCTTCACGTCTCGGCACAGTACGCCCAGAAGGTCAATACCTTCCTGTTTGGCTTATATTCGTATGTTGTCCACTTGCCAGCCTCGGTGGTGCATTACTGATGCGACACAAAGCTGGCACTTCCTTTGTACTCTCCGGCACGTAGAGATCCCACTCATTATGCGAAAGCTGCGTTTTCGATGGGCTTTCGTATGTAACACTTGACAATACTGCACTATATGCTCAATGTTGCCTCATAGATACCATACATTTGCGCGCGATATTTGCTTTTAGCTACCACAGTCGGCTTGTACGTGCCCAATTTCTGCAATGGCCAAATGGTTTCTAATACGAATTGATATTTCTAGCGAGCTTAATTTATGTGGACGTACGTAGCAGATGTTCGGGCAGTGGTGAGTCAGTGCTGATGTGACCCGTCCTATAGCGGCAAACAAAACGCTCTGGGTACGTTCCAGATACTCAGTCTTGTTACATCCCGTTGACAATTACTAGTTTCTTGGATGCATGGCGATGATTTTTGCCAGTGAGAACTTTGTACTGCGCGCGTATGTTCTACTGCACTCTATGGCAAGGCTATCGTCCGAACACTTCCTCTCAGGACGACGTTATGGAGAGGAAATCTTTGGGGGATGCTATTTTTGATTGCTATGGCGCTCGGTCACTGGGCCGTCGGGATCGTTGGTAAGGTTCTGATCCTGCTATGTACAAGACCGCCGACGCTGATTGCATCAGCAGTGTTCTTCGTACCCCTCGTTGACGCTTGGGTACAATACGAGAATACCTGCGAGACCATCACAGGGACCGGAGGTCCCGTTCCGTTCTATCTGTACAGTATGCCGCCTCATAGTCTCGCTGTTCGTTGGCTGATATGCGCCTGACAGCCATGCTGCTCGACTTGGCGACCCTGGTGTTCACAATTTACGGGCTCCTGCGTATACGTGGAGCTGGTTCATCGCCGCTCTGGACGCATCTATGCAGGCAAGGGCTAGGCTATTTTGCCATCACATTTCTTGCAAATATCCTCACTCTAGTATGTTCTAACTCGTCGGACATTCATTATCGTCACGGCTAACTATATGGTGAAATAAGGTTTTTGCATTGATGAAACTAAACGGTACACCTTCGCGACAAGATTTCTCCATTTCCGAAAAAACTAAGGCAGCTGTCAAAGTGTACGTCGGCGATATATTCTCCGCCCCGGGAGTCACAATCAGGTGAGCCATTTCACCTTTCACCTGTGACCGCTCTTACTTGTCTTAAAAGCGTCATCGCATCTTCCCGCGCTGTAGTCTCTCTATTGAAGATGAGAGAGGGCAGATCGAGGTAAAATATCATAACCCGAAACCCGAGTCAGGCATCTGAAACCAACTTAGTGGCCCGTCCGGGCGCGCAGATGCATACAGCACTAAATCGCGTTCTCAGGCTTTTAGCACGAACGTCACTGCAGCGACGTAGGTGTGGGCTCGATGCTCGAACGTACGTTCTGATGTCGTGATATAGGTACAGGTCTATCGTGTCGATGAAATTCTTGGATCGGCAGTTCTGAGATCTCCCACCGGGACAACAATTCTAGCGTCCTCGTCCTCGGACAACGGACTGGTGTGCGAATGATCCCGGTGTCATGTCAGCTTGCGCATGGAGAGACAGCTGTCCACGACAATCCAGTATAAGGCCTGGTCGTGCATACTCGTAGCCGTTCTGTGGCAACGATGGTGGCTTGCATACATATAAGCGCATTATCCATCTTAGAATGAGCTGATAATTCACTGCGGATTTCTATCAGCACGACTAGAAACGCGAACCGGGAAATACTGGAGAGTCCTGCCAGGGGTAGTCAGGGCTCAGCACATCCCCGCCGCTTGTACAAAATACCACAAACACTACCTAAAAACAATTCGCTCCCTGCATTATATACTGAATGTAAATTTTGCTCGTTATGCCGTTGTATACCATGCCATAACGTGCGCAAAACATTTTGACCCTTAAAAAGGTGACAGTCTGTCACTCCAGTCACTCCGCGTTCTGTCACCGGCGTCTACACTTCTTACCTTCCACTTCCACCCCCGTCATACGGCGACGTTCACGCTCTTTGTGCTCATCTATCGCGGCATCTTCAGAATATATTATTCTTGCTTAGACATCTATACCTTACGGGCCAGTCAAACTAAGCTTCGAGTCTTGTGAAAATGACGAACGATGCGGCCAGTTCCGAGACGCGCTCAATTAAGGCCATGGACGCGCTTTCTGCGCATAGAATTACGTCTGGTCAGGTAGTAATCGACCTTCAGACCGCTGTGAAAGAACTTGTTGAGAATAGTTTGGATGCTGGGGCGACAAGCATCGGTGAGTGTCATTGAAAGTGCCACTGACGTGCTGTGCTTGCTCACTCCGGCTTTGTAGAGGTACGGTTCAAGGACCATGGTCTCGACAGCATTGAAGTTATTGATAATGGTACCGGAATTGCGTCCGCAGACTATGATGTTGTCGGTGCGTTGACTCTCCCTCTCAGCTGGGTTGAAGACTAAGGCGCATATGTCAGCTCTGAAACATCACACTTCAAAACTATCCTCTTTCGAGGATCTGAGCTCTGTGACCACGTTTGGCTTTCGTGGCGAAGCCTTGGCCTCTCTCTGTGCTCTCAGTGGCTCCGTTACCATCGCTACGGCGACTGCGAGCACGGCGCCTGTTGGTACCATCTTAGAGCTGGACAGGCTTGGCCGGGTGTCGAGCCGCAACGGAAAACTTGCCCGCCAGGTTTGCCTCTAATATTATGTCCGGGCCAATGACTGACATTTGCAAGTAGAAGGGCACGACGGTGACTATTTCCGGCATATTCAAACCACTGCCCGTGCGGAGGAAAGAATTTGAGCGCAATGCTAAGCGTGAATTTGGAAAAGCATTGAACTTGCTGAACGCTTATGCACTCGTCCCATGCTCTCATGAAAATGGTGGTGTCAGACTCGTTGTATCCAATCAGCTGAACGGGCAAGTACATGTGCACGGTGTCATATGGCATGGCTGAAGGAAGTGCCCACAGCCGTAGATCTGTTCAACTTCGCACGGACGGGTGCACTTCTCTCAGCGCATCAATATCCACTCTCTGGGGTCCCAAGACACTGGAAAATCTTGTGGAGCTGGATTTGGCTTTCGAAGTCGAGACTGAGAAGTCCGTCCTGCGCAGGCAAAATGCGGGTACTACTGAGACGTATGCGACTGTGGCTGTACTTCTCTCCGTGGTGATGCTGACCAACATCCCTTAAGTGCCACCACGAAGGTCGTCGTACGGGGTATGATCTCCAAATTCACACTCAACTGCGGGAGAAGCACATCAGACCGACAGTTCCTTTTCATCAACGGTCGTCCATGCAGTCTGACGAAGGTACTGCACCTGACTTTTTCTTCCCGTACGTGCTCACGTGTCACAGGTCCAGAAGGCCTTCAACGAAATTTACCGCACGTTTAACGCCGCTCAGGCACCTTTCGTTGCGGCAAATTTCACGCTGCCAAACGGTACGACAGAAATCGCACTGCTGTGCGAAAGCTTACGACTCCCGTATCCAGGTTCGCATGACATCAACGTCAGTCCCGACAAGCGAACGATCTTCATTCACAGCGAAGATAACCTGGTGCAGACTTTGAAGGTAAAAGCGAAGCGATGAACACTACAGAGAAGCTCAAAACATTTGCGGTAGGCTGCTATGGAGGAACATTTTGCCCCTGAACGATCAACATACGCAGTGAGGCCTACGCAAACACAGACTGCGACAAGCGGAGCGGGACCAGCATCTCGTGATATTACTCAAAAGATGCCAGCTGTAGACAAGGGCAAATCGGCGGCCTCTTCAACCCAGCCGGGTCTTGAGCCTCTGTTTCTCCAGGACGAAGACACGGAGGTTGAGGAAGCAGAAATTGCTCTGACTCTTTCGCAGCCCGAACTTGACATTGACATGAATGAACCTCAACTTCTTATCGAAGGCAATGCCTCCGAGACTTTAATTCCGCCAGCGGCCTCACGATCACCCGGTCCTGTCGCTGCGCTGTCTCGGGACAAAATGCGACCAAGCATGCCAAATCTCACAACCGCCAGCCGACCCGAAGGCCTTCCACAGGTGGATACTAGCGAGTTTACTAGCCAAGAGCGCCCGGCATCGCCCGCGGTTACTCTGGTGAGCAGCACTAGGGTCGACGGCCCAGCGAGGTCCCAGCGAGACGACAGGCCTTCCCTTACGCGTCATGTATCTTCCACTGGAGACTCCGATTCCCCACCAATTCCCTCCTTGAAGTCTGCAGTTGCTCATGGAAACATATCGACCGTCATGCGCACATCGTTCAACAACGTATCTCGCGTGTCCAAGAAGGATCCCACCCAACTCGTACTCAGTACCTCCGGAGCTGCATGGAATCTTCGCAGAGCTGCAGGCACCGAAGGCCTCGATCGAGATACGCCCAGGAAGCGGGCCAGGCTTTCCCACGACGACGCTCCCATTGGCGATACTACTGCCGCACGGCGCTCTTCGAAGCTGGGGTTCAGGGCTAAGATAGCCTCTCATGCACTCCCGGGAAGTCAGATGGTGCGAGGGGAGAGTGAGGAGGAGGATGCTAATGAGAACGATCAGGAGATGGATGAGGTCGCCGTGGAAGAAGAGAGCGAAATGGTTGCTCGTTCGCAAGGGAGTAGTCAACAAAACGATGGTCGCTCAAACTCTCCCGAACCCGGAGCAGCTGACGCGACGCCTGAGACTTCGACCGACAGGCTGGAGCCAGCTGCGCCCGATTCTAATATCTCTGGCTCGCCCAAGCAGATACCCATAGAGATAGTCAAGGCGGCTGGTACAGAGGTCGTTGACCTGCATTTCGATCTCTCCGCAACGTCATCAACTTGGAGGCGGTTGGGCGATAGCTCCGGAATAGAACGCGCCACGAAGGAATTGCATGTCCCCGCGAGCTCACTTGCCCAGGAGGCAGGAATTGATGTCGGAGAAGACAACGGGACGAGGATAGAGGAAGCACTGTCTAGGGTCATTACTAAGGATGACTTCGCCTCGATGGAGATCCTTGGACAGTTCAACCTTGGCTTCATCATTGTCAGAAGATATGGCGTGCACGCTGGATCCGCGGACTCAGCATTCCCAGTGGACGACCTGTTCATTGTGGACCAGCATGCCGCGGACGAGAAGTACAATTTTGAGACATTGCAGCAAACGACCAAGATCAATTCCCAAGCACTGATCAGGTGCGTCTTGCAGCTCTCAGCTCGGATGGCACATTTTTACATTCATTGGCTGCAGACCAAAGCTTCTTGAGCTGACAGCTTCTGACGAACTACTCGCTCTCGAAAACATTGATATTTTAAGGCAGAACGGTTTTGAAATAGACACCGAAGGAGGTTCCGAGGAGCAAGGGGAGAGCCGGAGGAGGCTCAGACTGGTAGCGCAGCCTGTCAGCAAAAGCACGGTCTTCGACATCAAAGGCAAGTGTCGATGATCCCGCCTGCGTCCATTTTGGCTCACAGCTGACTGGGAATCGTAGACCTTGAAGAGCTGTTGCACCTCTTGCGGGACCGGCCTCGAGGTCAGATGGTTCGCTGCAGCAAAGCCCGCGCTATGTTCGCATCCAGGGCTTGCCGGAAGAGCGTCATGGTCGGAATGCCGCTGAAGACTCAGCAGATGACCGCTGTGAGTAATCAAATGAACCCTGAGCCAATTAATTTCTTTACACTCATCCGCGTCAGATCGTGAGACACATGGGAACCATGGACCAACCGTGGAACTGTCCTCATGGGAGGCCGACGATGCGTCACTTATCGGATATCTCGAGCCTAGGCAGGGATCATTTGAGCGATAAACGTCCTGATTGGCAAGTATTCACTCAGGATTGATCACGATCTTCTTTCCCTCGCGTTTTGGCTCGTAATATATTCATGCTTCGTCATTTCGAACCTGCTTCGCTCGCGGGAGATTCCTTATTTGGCATGTCCTGTGTTCAGGATGCCGCCTGTGGAGCGAGACCGTCTACGAGCAGCACGCGGCCTCTTCTGCCGTAGGGTTTCCGGTGGTAAATCGTAGCACAGCAGGCGTGTGCTCGGGCCTGTCGTTCGCCGTGAAACGTGTTAATACCGCTGGGTACGAGCGGGAGCAAGTCGAGCGTATACCTATCACAGTCAAGTGGATGTACGATACTCTCACGGTGCTGACCCAGCATATCAACTTTTCCCACCACTAGCACTCTTCAGAGCTGCGCAGTTACCCATCAGGAGTCTATCTAGGCAGAGCCTGGAATTTTGGGGGCGTCTGTCCTCATCCATACCACTTACTTTCCCTCGGGCGATCTCGTATTCCTTGGCACGAGATGCGTGGCTCCTGAGGCAGAAAGGCCGCCTAGATGATCCAAGGGAACCTCTTACGGGGTGGCTGCTTGATGCAGCGCGCCCAGCGGAAGCACCTTTGCCGGCTGCGCGTGCACAGCTGTCTCCGCCGGCGGAGGTGTTTTCGAATTGGTCTTCATGGAGCCGCTTATGACAATTTGCAGTGTCTTGCGTTGTCATGGCCTTGATAGTATGCGCAGAAGTACGTACGTCGAGACGTAGCCTTGGTTGGCAACGTACCGTCACAAGGGCAAAGCTGTATTGGTCCATTGTATTGGTCCATTGTATCATTCCCGATCCTCCACCGTAAGCATAGGTTTGTAACAGCGCAGTCCATTGATAGATACATTGGAGATGTTTTAAATGTTAGGGCTTCTCGTCAGACACCCAATCTGATCCTGTATCCGCGGTTTATAAGCGACTTCACCAGGCCAGAGTCAGGTAGAGCAGCAGTAAGGAGAATAGACGAGAATGTTGGACCTCATGTGACCCTCCTTTCTATAGCGATATCGATACCGCTACCTAACAAGACTTCCAATTACTCAAAACGCTCGGTACCAAAGGATCTTGGGGCCAACCAAGTGGGCTATGCTCAGCTCAAGAACGGGCTTTCACTTGGAAAGCCTGAGGCCCGAAGCTGCGCTACGACATGCATCACGGTCAAACTGATTTGTTGTGTCTCCCAGAGTCGGGAGCAGAGGCGGGTGAGCAGGTGTACAGCCCTATCCTCGTGCCTCCTCGACCATATCATCCTACGATAGAAGGCCTTTCATTCGAATTCTGGTATGTAAGTATCGCCGGAAGGCGCCGACATATCAGCCGCTTAAATAACAATGAGCTCACTCCGAACTCTCGTTTTTAACGTCACAAGGTCTGCATCTACCCATCGCGCAGGCCATGAGCCGTCAGAGAAATACCCGAATCACGTTGGGTTCCTAAGGATCCTTAAAAGAAGCAGAAAAGTGATGAGATATCACCACTGGGTTTTGCAATTTTGGGAGCAATATGTTAGCCCCGCGTTAGCATACGTCCGAATAATGGCACGATCGTGCAATGGCGGTTTGACGAAGGTGAGTAAAATTACGAGGAATGGTGCGGTGCGGCCAGTCGACGAGTATCAAGAATATGCAGGTCGTCTGAAGAGAGGAGAATTAGTGTGCTCTGAGCGGAAAGCAATCTGACGGGTACCAGGCCAGCGTGGGTAGAAACATACGGAAGCGGAGCTTGGGCCCATGGGACAAACGGGACTCAAGCGTGTGACAAGCGCCTTCGTGTAAGGACAGAGGTCAGAACGGGTGGTCACGGGTTAAGTAGCGGTCGAAAGGCTCCTAAACAAAGGCAACGCAGAGCATCCGTTACAGAGGACTCTGCCACCATAGGCTCCGAGGGCTACAGCTCGTCCCGGCCGCGGGAAATAGATCACATTGGTGCCGCAAGCACGATCAAGGAAGTAGCCCTGCATAAGGTGGTGTGAGAGCGGAGCTCTCCTTTGGCTAGGCTCTGAAAGAAGCTTGAGGTAACACAGATGCCCGGGCCGTTGAAGAGTGCTGCTCGCCGATTGACTAGCTCTCGACCATTGACTCCGTCATCTGTCAGCCAATGTTCAGACACGAATCGCTCGCGGCTGGGGAGATGAATTCCATACCTTGCTTTCGCACTCGTGACCATGATATGCCAGGGACAAAAAGATAATATGGTTAGCGCAGGAACCAGAGCGTTAGTAAAGCCCCGTCTGGGGCCCTGCGCGCTATTCTACTGCGGGAATGCTACTGCCGCCACATGAAGCTATACCGCACTGGACGGTATTGCGAGCATTCTGAAGCGCAGTAGCATATTCCAGAGGGGCCGATCAATTGTTTCGTCCACTAAGCTTCCTGAACGCCATTGATCCATTGGCCACAGTTAAGATCATGCATCACCCGGTACTAGAACAAACTCCGTGCTGCAGGTGGCCCGCTCCTTGCTTAGTCAGCGTCACTACCTCTGACTATCGTGCGGGGAGGGTTGCAAGGTTGACTGGCGACATCTCTGCGTATTGGCTGAGGCGTCGCCCGAGGCCACATCACAACCTGTCGACAGACACGATGAGAATAGCCCAGGTTTCTTCCAAATTGGTCTGGAGCCATACCTCTGGCAATACCAAGCACTGCTCCTCCTCATCGATCTTCTCACAGCCCTTCTCCCCAGCAAGGGAGACCTGCGGGACCTCAGGGACAGGAATAGTTGCGTGCTCTGGGCACGGATACGCATTCCATAAAGGTGCCGAAGGAGCTCCCAGATCGGCCTTGCCCTCCGAGAACTACCCAGAACCATAATAATACCACCCCCAAAGGTCGTCCCAGTTAGATGCGAGGAATTGAGGCAGATGGTTAATATTATGCTCATTTCTGCTGACGGTAGATAGAGTAGTAGCCTACCAGTGATGCATGAAGCTTAGCTTGTGAAATGCTGTGGAATCGTCTCATCAGCGGCTGTCATCCTAATAGTTTAAAATCCAGTGTCTCAGGAGGCCGAATCGACCGACAACTGCTTCGAGCAGAGTACAATGCTTAGTGGGTATTGTGCATCGACTCGGCGTCATCCTGATGAGAATCCCGCAGGCTGGTCTTCGCCTTGGAACCAAACCGAAGTGTCAGCGACGTAGCCCCGCGGTGCTCCAGTTTAGTGGTGTCGAGTAAGCTGGCTACTAATTATTCACCTTTGGGGCCGCGAGTGATTATAGATAGCTTTGCGCATTTCATGCCGACGATACGAAACAGTTTAAATCAGTGCCTATCCGACTTTGAGTAATATAAGTCCCAACTTGCCCACCGGTAGCAATTACCGTACGATGAAAAAAGAAAAAAGCATAGCAAGCTCGATCCAATGACCTGCCACATCTTGGTCCCCCTGCCAGCATCTCATCGCGTCAGTCTGCAATGAATACTCCTAGGAGTTAAAGGACTACGCGGAAGCTGTTGAGCGCTTTCCTGTCTTCAGGTGTGAGCGGACTGTAGGGGCTTCCCGGAGTACATGTTGGGCGCGGCTGTCCGGTCAGATGATGCGGAGGTGCCACGGTGGACAGACGTGGGAGCGAATATCGTGCGTCCGTATGATCAGGGCGAGGCGAAGGCCGACTGGGCTGCTGCGCATATGACGGGCCTGACGAGGCTGAGGATAGTGAACTGTGCCGCGACGGGCCAGCTCCGTCGTGAGCGACATCGGATACGGGTTGGGGCCACGACGGAGTGATCCAACCTGGTTGGTCGTCGTAGGCGTCGGGATCATGATCACAGTCCTCGCCAATGTTGAGCACGATTCGGCCACCTTTGGCGGGATTGCCTTTAGCAAAGTACACTCCGTCAGGGATGCGGATATTGCGGAGATATTCGTAGTTGTCCACGACGGGGAGACGGGTGTAATCATCCCCCTTAGACATCAGTCAGCGCGCGAACAATGACCAAATGAAGAAGGAGCTCACCGAAAAATAGGCCACAATATGCCACTTTTTGGGCAACTCATAGCTACTGCTGTGTACCTGAATGGAATACGTTTGCTTCGTCAAGCCGTCTGGCTTCGAAGGCCTGTCCTGACGACGAACTGGAGCGGGTTGGTATGAGAAGGGGTCCAAGGTCTTCCGCGCTCTGGTTTGCGGTGTGAGCAGTCAGGCATCTCCGGATCACGAGCACTACAGCTGGCACCGCTTACCGACGGGCGGCTTTGGCGTCCCGCTCTTCGGGAGTTATATCGATCTTTTCCTCATAGAAGAGGTAGTCACCGCGCATGCGGCTCTGCGACCTGTCCGTCAGTTTGAGCGAGCAGCCTCTCATTGATTGGCCCAGAGAGACACGCACCATCTTCTACCGTCTGTCCAACGTTCCAGACCGCCTGTGAAATGGTCAGGCCAAGCTCGGCGTCGATTTGAGGCGCGTACCTTGCTTGTGCTCTGCCTCTTCCCACACAAAGACGTTCCCAGAGTTGAGCTGCTCTCTCTCGACTGTTGTGAGTCGCCGAGTAACGAGTGGCAGAATGTTGAGTCGGACAGCTTCGAAGACTATGTGCGCATCGCGGGCATCGCGCAAGTCTAGCGGTGCTGTAAGAACACATAAATCTCAAATATTTACAGACGTACGTAGCGCCGGGTGCGTGACAAGAGACTGACTATGCACAGGTGTCGACGAGGTTGATTTGGCAGACATGGTACGGGGGAGGTAGTTGGAGCGTCTGAACGGCCGGGCGTAGGAGCCTTATAACCCAAACGGATATTATAAAATTACCGAATCGAGGGTACCGCGGAGAAGAGAGAAGTCGAGCCTGAACTTGACCTGGAAGTAAGATTCATAGGAAGCTCCTGATCGGTATCACCGCGAAGTCTTTAGTGTGGCATGTTTGGCCCGTCCATATCGAATCCTGGTGTCCATCGGCGGACCAATTTGTTCGAACGAAGTTCATATATTGAATAGTGCCACAGACGTTTTTCACTCACCTTGATGGGACACGCTGCGGGCGGCAGATGCCACCACCAGTATCTCCGAGATTCTGTAGCTTGAAGCCGAGCGTTGGCTATTCCCTGTCCGCGCCCGGAGTGCCTTGATCGTCCCCCTTCCTCTCAAAAGAGGCGTTTCCCATGGGGTCAATTTCTTGCTATCAGATTCTGCACTGCCATTCTCAGGAGCACACTAAGGGACAACCTCGGCTTCCGGTGAATCTCCTGGATATCCAATGGGTCTGTGGTACGGGAACATGCTTGCAGGGGTTGTACATCAGCAGCGTACACTGCATTCGGCATGATACGCACCTGGGCTGCGAAATAGGCGTAGTAGAGTCCCTACTGCGCAGAATTCGAGGCCGTCTCCCGGCCTATCACCCCACTGCTCTGTACATGTGGCCCTTCAAACTTAAACAGCTTCGGAGTGCGGGAGCCACACTTTCCAATGGGTCGTATCTGCCTGACACCGGCTGACAAACGCGGTCTGGATCAAGTTTGGATATACGTAAAGACGAAAAAGATTGGGAAGCCAATCGCATGTTGTACGAACCAGGTAGCCAAGATGGCGAGGGGCGAGGCGTGCGTCTGATTACTATTCCTGCCGATGAATGGCAGAAGCCCGACGTCGCCTGTGGCGGACGATGGGGGCCAGAAGCTGGGACTGTCGTCCAGCGATAGCAATGTAGCCATTTGAGATCGATCTGCAAAGCGGTGCTGACCTTTTGAAGCCGAGCGCACCTCGGGTTGTCAACCTGTATCAGAGTTTGGGAAGAACGGTGCTTGGCCTTGTGTGCTGCGCTAATCTGGATGGACCCTGCAAAAGTTTGGCACGTTTGTGCCGTGCGGTGGTCCCCTTCGCCCGGGTGATAACCCTGTGTGTGCAATACAAATGAATCAGTGACAGTGTAATTGCGGGATGCTACAAATCCACGCAGAACCTGGAAAAGAAACAGGCCGCCTTGGCTCGGCAGTAGGAAGAGTCAATTGCAAACTCGGAGGAATGGTGGAAAGACACAGGCAGGGAGCAGGACAGCGCGCTGGCAGAAAAAGAACGCGGCGTTTACGCACGTCCTTCGCAAGATATCCTGCTCACGCCCTGGACCGTATGGAATAGGGTTAGACGATGTCATCGTATGGTGTACAAATGAATAGAGTCAAATAGACGATGGCCAGCGCCAAATCCTATCAATGCAGAGCACGCTGTAGCATGAGAGGGTAGGGGGATAAATACTTCTAGAAGAGCGCCCATGTGCATGGCGGTGGTCAGCGAGGGTATGTTTGTTACGGACAAGAAGACTAAACCTTCTAATGATGACGGCACACTTGGTCTAATTGAGTTGAACCTGAGAGCTGCGCGCTTCTTAGCTATTGGAGACACTGTAGGGCGTTCTACTGAGCTTATTCCATCCGGCACCGAGCCGACTCGTCCGCAGAGTACATTGGCTCATGTCGTAGTACTAGAACCTACACATGCACAGAGAGGCTGGCGTCCGCCTGCCGTACGGAACGTCGGCAGAACTGCAGAAAATTTGCTGCGCATACCAGCCGCGTCGAGTCACGATGCAGAGGCGGGCCGACATGGTGCTCTCTCCGAGAGACCCGAATAGCCTGATAGAGTTATGCGTTAATCCGAGGTCTGGTGACATGAAGAGCGACGTACGGCAGCAGACCACTCATCGTGCTACGTGCAGGTCGATTGAGGTGAAGGTAATAAGGAGAAAACATCCTATGGTCTGCCCGGTAGCCAAAACAAATGAAGGGAAAATTAACCCGGATTGGACATAGCGCGTCAACGAGGTAGAAAAAGGCGTGCCTGGACGACAAAATCTTACACGTCACATCATCTTAAAGTTCCCTAGTGTCCCGCACCCTGGGAGGCGAGCTGACCGGGTTCGCCTCCTTAACACAGATGTCGTAACTGAAAGGCGTCATGGTACGACGAGCTGCGCGGCATGATTTTCGCACGCACCGATTTGTACCCCAGCTTCCCATGGCCACCGGGCTTGTCGTCACTTCAAGGCTGGCAACAGTAGTCTCGACAACCCAGTAGGTATCAGTTGACAAGTCAGTGAATTGTGCCCAGCAGCCAAGGCTCCTTCATTAGACCCGTAGGGGACGGGATTTGAAATGAGCGTCCCGCACTTCTCATGCGCCGCGCCGCGTGCTGGTCGGATTCACAGGTGTGGTTGGGGGCCATCGGAGAGAAGGAAAACCGAAGGCGGACTGGCGGTAAAGGAGGCTAGAAGCGCACGTGAGCCGCTTGTCACTTGTCAATAGCCAGCCGTCGGACACAGAATGGCTAGTCACCACCCCAGCGCCGTCAGGCCTGGAGGCACCGGTCCATCATGAACGATAGTATACGGATACGCACCTCGTAGGCGTCTCGTACTGAGTCTAGCCAGCGTCGGGTGAACCGGGGAGCCGAAACGATCCCCGTCGAGCAAGTTACCAGGGCACGATGCTTGTGAATGATGCGAAGCCACGGCACCCGACGCTCGCTCCGGCACACCTTCTGATTGAGTACGGAGAACAGGTGACGGCGCACGCCTTGACACGGGGAGATTAAAGCCCAAGACCAAGCGAGTGGGTATTGCCCTTCAAGGCGTTCATGCCGGATGATCGCACTCGCTTTGCACGATAGTGCGGCCACGTTGGAAATCTTAAACACCCTTAGACCACTTTTCCTGCGTAATGACGCACCTTCAATACAGTCAGCTCCGCGGATAAAGCATTGCTGCCCTTCCGAGCAAAACCCGACGCCGGAGGATAGGTATGCCTGCAGACGTGCGTGAGAAAGAGCGATAGTGACGGTAGAGAGTCACCAATGGTACATACCTCACGTTACGGACTGGCAGTACGTCGGCGGATGTAGTCAGCACATGTAGATGTCATTCGGTGGTTTCAGCCGTTGCCGTCCGTTATTATTCCAAGCAGCCGACATAGGCGCTTATTGGTGATCGTTGGACTACATGTTGCGATGTTGCCCGCGCAGAATCGTCGAAGGGCAAGCCAATCACCGACATCTGAATATACCCCACATGATGAATAAACTTCAGCCCCTGACAATTTGTCGATAGACTATTAGAATCGGCGTCTTTGTCTTGCAGGTCGTCGTAACTCTGATTATGATTGAAGCGAATTGAGTAATGTGATAGCATGTTCTAGACAGCGGCGGGCCCCGACGATGGTCCCGACGGCGGCATCCCGTTTTGGCCTGTGTGTTGCGTTGTCAGCCGCATCCCGCTTCCATCAGCAAGGCATTGCATGTCTAAATAATCACATCAACGGGCATCATCGACCACTGATGAAGATATTGAGAACTTTTGAAATGAAACCTGGAATAGCGGACGCGGTGACCGCTGGCCGTACCTGTACGGCCACAAACTACATATAAGCCCAGCAAATCGATCTGTACAGTCGCCAAACCTGATCTTCAACCACGCTCTTGCTCCGGCTGCTCTCCCTTCTCGGCACAGCAGCAGCAACCATTCAGCTGCGCGATGATCTCCCGCCGGGCTGCAACTGTACCGGCATTGGCTGCCAGTACGGCCCAACTAGCGATCCTCCGCAGGGAACATTGAAGATGCTTGCCCCTAACGGAACAGACATGGGAGAGACAGGTCAACCGGGATTCACGGCGAGTGGCAAGCGACCGACTGCAGTGGTCGCTACTCACTGGCTTTTGCAGCTCGCCGTAACGTTTACGCCACCACCTTGCTATCCAGAGACAATGTTCTTCATCGCGATACTAGACGGAAACGGCGGTCAGCTCGACAAAGTGTACAACTCGCCTGATTTGCTCGGCCCAATTCTTCTCAACTTGGGCGGTCAGGCCGGGACGGGAAACGCGACTCTGCAGCTTTTCGGAGAACCTCTGGAGCATGGAGGGTTGTATCGTACGTTCGTGTGGTTCGCACACTGGCACTTCATCTCTGACACACACTTTGCAACAGAGGCGACTATATTCACATATAACACTTCGACGGGGGGCGTACAACAGGCGGTGACCGACTTAGACTTTGCCTGGGAGGTTCCTGTCAGTGGTCCACTTTGGCAAAAAGTACGACGTGCTCACCTCTACTCCGGACTAGTATCCGTACTAGACTATCGCACTAGAATATGCTTGTCCTGAAGAGCAAGTCGGGCTGAAGTCGCGCTCGAAATGTCGTGTTCGCGTACCGTAGCATCGAAGGACAATGCACGACAGACAATTGATACTGCATGGTGGTCCAACATAGCCTTCAGCGCTCGCGCGGGAAAACCTGGCGATATCGGCAAGACTATTTATCTCGGTGGCTTAATGATATTTTCCTTCGGAAGGGGAAGGATCTCGCCTGCTGGGTTCGATCCCCGGCTAGGTCAACTTCCTTATAGTCGTATATTTCAAACCTATCTTCTATTCTCCTTCTGAACTTGAGGCGCATCAGCATGCAATAATTGATTGTGAGCTACCGAGCACTTTTTTGGACAGATACTGTATTTCGACCAAAGATTCCCGGCAAATTCTAGAATAAGCGCCTAAGGCTTACCGCGCGCGGTGCTCGATTGCCAACTTCACAGGCTGGCTCATGGGAGGGTTTACTGCTACAGCTATATTTCGGTTTAAACGTGCCCTATACGTTCGTTTTGCCTACCAACTCTTGCCTTTGACCAATAGCATTGAGCGCTGCAAAAGCCTAATTTCGAAAAGACTGCTGGCGCCTATGTCTATCAGTTCTGCTGTTATTTATTCTGATAAAGCTCGTTATTTCTAAAACTTTTGGCAGCTCTACATTTTTATTGCAGCCCTTGAACTGCTTAAAAACATGGAGAAGCTATAGGACATTGGCCTAGCACACAGCAGACAGTGGGACGACACCTTCCTATTTTGACGAGGACGCGATCGTGCGCTTCTCTCCCGGAGCCGCCATGAGGTCCGAGACCCCGCAAATGCAGCCAACACGGTTTCTGCTCGCAGTGAGAAGAGCCGGCGCACGCCACTCTGCACAACGCGCCCTCGCTTCCGCGGAGTACAACCACATGCGCTCTCTATTCGCTGGCCCAGTCTGCTTGCCGATGCGGGGCAGGTCATCGAGGACGGAGCTAAAGAAGCATGAACGCCCGCACCCGGCAGCAGTTGTCTCAAACCCTACACGCCTAGAGACCCGCACTGTACGTGCATCTCTGCGAGCTCTGCCCGGTCACGCTGACGGCGAGACAGCAGCCTGCTGGTTCCGCGAATTGGAAGCGATGTCTGAACGCTTTTGGCTGTGACGGAGATCAGCGAAGCCATCAGGAAGCGCATCCCTCTCGCTGCGAGCCCTGAACCTCTTGCCATCACCGGCCTCGAGAGGTCCTGGCATGCGGAGCAACCAAGCGACACGCGCTCCTCATTTTCAATCACCCCACTGCAACGTCCTGCGACCCGTAGACAGAGCGGCCTGCGAGACGTCTTCTTCAGGAAGGTCTCACATATATATACCGCCCTTCACGGTTTCCCCGGCGATTGCTGACCTCTCGTGGTGGCTCTCCGCAGACCTGCCTGTGCTCGGACGCGACCCCTGTGTCATCCGCTGGTATTCTCTGTCTCTCAAGTTCGCATCTTTTGGCTCCGTGCCGAGCTTTCTCGATTACCGGCCTCTGATCTGCTCCGAGAAGAGGCAAGGCCTAGGTGCCAAGGTGGAGATCTGTTCGTTACCCTAAGGTGAGCGGCACTGCTTCATCGCGTTAAATCAGATGTTCAGCGTTCGTCTCGTTGATGTAGACGTGGAGCCCGACGCGTGTCAATCCACCAAGGATTCTCCACCGACATCCGTGAGTAACGTGAGGAAGCCAAAAAGCGGTTGACTGGGCAGGTGAGCCCAAGTTTGCCGTATAGTGATCCCAAGTCATCTTACCCCTCGTAGCTCCTCGTTGTCTCAAGATACAACTGTATACGGACTACGCCTTTCGGCCGAGTCATGTCATCAGCTGCGTCTGGCGGTGCATCTACCGACGATCCCGTGCCGAAGAAGCAGTCAAAAGGAGACAAGGACAAGGATGCTGCGAAAACTAAGCCAGTCTCTTCCCCCACCACAAAGCCGTCATTTCTTCAGACAATCGCATCCTTCGGCTCGTCCTCTTCCACCAATCGCAGCTCGAAGCAGTCTGGTTTGCGCACGTCTTCCCGACCTCAACCAGGCTCCATTCAGTCCCCCACGGAAGCAAAAAGCAGACATCCTGCAGCATCCAACTCCATGCCGCCGCCTCCCCCGCTGTCCACCTCGCACTCGTCTTCCTCGTCGCCTGGCTCAACCCCAACATTGCACAATGCCACTCTACCTCCCGCATTGCACTCCAAATCTGATCCCACCCTGGAGACCGTGTCACCATTGAGCCCTCGCGTAAGCGTCACACCTCCGCAGCGCGACCACTCTCCCGCTGCCCACGCGACCACCGCGGGCACAAGCGAGAACATACCAGGTGCGGGGCGCACACACCACCGAGGCCAATCAACGTCGACCATTCGCCTCGATGGGTCCCCGAAAGGCAGCGTGTCCAGCCTGACGGTCGGAGCCCCGCCCATGACACGCATCATCTCGAACCCGCTGCCGCAACCGACGTCGCGTGCCTCGTCACCCGCACGGGGCGCGGGGCGCGGGCGCGCAATGTCGCTCAGCACGACCGAGAGACCCGCCCCGGGCGGCGGCAGGAACAGGTCGCGCGAGGAGTCGGGGAGCCGCAGCGCACGCAGCCCGCTACACGGCCTCGCAATGAGCTGGAGCACGTTTCGGAGCACGTCGCAGCCGAACTCGCCTGCGTCCGTACGCCACGCGACCGCAGACACGCTGCCGCCCAACTCCGCCGGCGCCGACCCCGACGCAGAGAAGAAGTTCTGGTGGCACCTCCGTCCGGAGACGCCGCGCCCGTGGTTCGACGACGGCGAGCAGGACGAGCAGGCACACGACGCGAAGGTCGCCGCCGCCGCCTCCAGGGACGCGCAGAGCGTGTTTGCATACCAAGTCTCGTCCGGCGCGAGCGGTTCCGCGACGCCGCGGGATCGCGCGAGCCTGTGGCACCGCAAGGGCAGCGTGCCCAGCGAGCAGAGCGAGGGTTGGATGCGCACGAAACGGGTGAGTGCCTGTGTGAGCGCCTCTGCGCTGTTGCGCGATGCTGATTGGCTGGCAGCGGATCGAAGCAGTGACGTCAGCGGTACTGGGCAGTGAGGTCGTGGACATGGCGCTTGCTGGCGCGCACGAGGCGCTCGAGATTGGGTCGGAGGTCCTGCAGTTCGCGCCCGTCGTGGGTCTCGCTGAGGCCGCGAGGGTGCTCTTGAACATCTGGAATGCTGTGCAGCTTGTAGAGGTGCGCTACCATGCTTTCGACTCTCCACCACCTGTCCTCATCTCGCTCGCAGTTCAACAGACTCCAGTGCCTCCGCCTCGCCGAACGCTGCGCAAACATCTTGTTTGCAATCAAGCAGGAGATTGAAGAAGCCGACCGTCTCTCAAACACGGGTTCTCCCAAGGCTGACACGCCGCCAGGTAGCCCATCCAAACAGCCCAAGCTGAAGTATTCTCCGCGTATTGGAGGCAATGACTCGCCGAAACACAAGGGAGAAGCGCAGTTACCTGAGACATCTAGTGCGGGTAGTGTGACGCTCGGATTAGTTGGCAATCAGCTGAAGGAGCCGCTGATTCGGCTTATCGAGTACGTTGTCGATTTGCTATGGAAGCTGGTGTTTGCTAATAGGTTACTCTGCAGGGCATTCTATCAGGTCCTCGAGTTTCTCAACAGGCAGAACCGTCGGCCGTTCTTGAAGAGGTACCTGAAACGCGACGAGATCCAGCGGGACCTGTTTATGTGCGATACGGCTCTCAATGACGCGATGTACATGTTTGAAGTGGGTATATGCGTCTGATTTCGTGCTTATCTGTTACTGATACATCTTTTATGACAGCTTGGCATCCAGGTGCGTATTCTTGAACAAGTCCTGCGAGCGGAAAAGCAGCAACAAGATCATACAAACATGGTTCTCGATCACATCATGCACACCCCGCCTTATGGATCTGGCCAGCTACCGCCATATCAGTCCCCCCGGTCCTACGCTGCTGCCATGAACATTTCTCCCATTGCTGATAGCAGAATGTTCTCGGAGCACGATGCTCGACATGCGAGTAGTGGGGATGGCCTCCTCTTGCAGGGTATCGACACATCACAGGCGGGCAAATCCTTGGAAAGCCTTGGCCTGGACATTGCCCCGATCGATGATGAGCTAGACCACCATCCGCTAGAGGCTCCACTCGAGCCCCCGATACCAAGTCGCCCGCAAATTCCTACCACAGTACCGACCACAGAGCCCCAGATACACTCGACGCTCGCCGAGCTCACGAATTGGCAAAACGTGCACGACAACATCCGCGACCTCGCGGACCTCCGTCAGATGCTGCGCCGAGCGCGCGACGACGATGCCGAGATGGCGCGGCTACTTCAAGTCAGACCCGAGGAGGCACCAGAGGCATTGAAGGCGCTGCAGCGCGCCCTCGAGGACGAGATTGCGCGTGAGGAGCGTCAGCGCTTGACATCTGTGCAGGAGGGGAGTAGCGGTATTTCGGGCGAGGATGCGAGCGTGGGCAGCTTGCAGGGCATCATCGATGGTGTCGTCGGCCGGCGCAACTCCAAGGAGAGCCTTGAGGTCCTCAACGCCAACCTCTCACGCCGGACAGACTTCGTGGACTCGCGCCGATCGTCCACGAGCCAGGCCTCGACGTCCTCGACCGCCGCGCGCACGTCCAGCGGGGCGCACGACACGCTCGACCGCGAGTTCATGGAGAGCGTGAAGGATTCGCTCGTGCGACTGTCGTTCGCGTCCGGGCGGTCTGCCGTCGCGCTCTCGCTTCCGAGCTGGACGATCACGCGGTACGAGGTCGACCTCGAGAAGCACGTCGGGCACGGCAGCTTCAGCGAGGTCTGGCGCGGGAGATACCGCGGACGCACCGTCGCCGTCAAGGTCCTCCAGTCGTGGACGCCCAAGGACATGTTCGTTCGCGAAGTGCACGTGTGGAACGCCCTCCGCCACCCGAATATCCTTGAGATGGTCGGCGCTAGTGCCATCGAGCCGCCGTCCGTCCCCGGGACACCGATATTGCCGTGGTTCATCGTTAGTCGGTATTTCCGCCGCGGAAGTATCGTGAAGTGGTTGCAGCATTTGTCGACAAGGGAGTGGCAGCGGATGTTGGATGATGCGATGGGAAAGGGCGTCTTGCGGATGATGCATGAGATTGTGCTCGGGATGGAGTATCTCCACAAGTCGGGAATTCTGCATGGAGACCTGAAGGTGCGTGATTGTTGTCTAGGTCGCACATTGCTATCTGATGACATTGGCAGTGTGCGAATGTCCTTGTGAACGACCACAGACACTGCATCATCTCAGACTTTGGGCAAAGCGAGATGAAGTCTGAAATGCATCGCTTGAGTGGGCAGAAGACACTCAGTACGTGTCAGTCGCTCCCTCTGTCGATTTGACGTTTAATGGAGCTGGTGGTAGAGGGCGGTACCTTGCGTTGGCAAGCTCCGGAGCTCATGGCCGGTCAGAGCAAGCTGACGCATGAAGTGGACATTTACGCGTTTGCGGTCTCATGCTACGAGATCTTGACGAAAGGCGAGGTCCCGTGGCCAAATGCTAACGACTCGAGCATCAGACACTTCATCCTCAGTAAGCGCACCCTTCCATACATGAGACTTGAGTATTCATCGTCTCGCAGACCAGAATTTACGGCCCGAATTGCCACCTCTCAGATCTTGGAGCAATCAGCTCACAGACATCATTCACCAATGCTGGGCTTTTGAGCCGTCGGATCGACCATGCTTTACTGATCTTAACGTCAAAATAGCTGCTCTGCGGAAGCAGTATGGCTGGAGCGGTGTGGAACAGCTCGAGCACGGAGAGTCCGAAGAGGAGCAGGGTTGGCTGGACTGGATTGACGAGCTTGACAGGGAGAAGGGGTACAAGAGTCCTCCGCTTGCACCCAACGTGCCTTTGCATCATCGTAGGAAACCTTCGAAGGCTATACTTACGCGCAGTTGCTAACAAACCTATTTTCATAGCGGACATTATTGAGGTAGACGAGCCGTCGGATTCCAGTGGCTCGTATCGCACCGCGCATGCCAGCACTCCGGAACGTACTACGACAGATGCATCAAGTCGACCCTCGTCAATGCGGACATCGATGTCAGCTCCGCAAGGCGGAGCGCCCTCAGCAGTGCCTGGGCAGGCGGAACCATCGTCCCATTCGGTCCCGGGACATGTGCCCCCATCTGGCCCACCGACTATATACGCGCCGACGCCTTCCAGACAGTCTTCTCAGCCACTTTCGTCCTCGGATGGCGACTCCGCGCATCTGCTGGACATGATGAACAGTCCGTCGCCAGAACCAGCGGATCCGCGAGTGGTGGAGATGAGGAACGAGCGGAGGTATCGCATGATATTACAGCACGAGTTTCATCCTTCGCGTAAGCCGTTTTTCCGCCCCACACCGCGCACATGTTCACGACATAGATCAGTGTCTCTTCCGCTCTGGTCTCCGTCGCCGGTCAAAGTCGGCGCCGTGGGCTACCACCAGAAGCCCGAGGGCGCGTTCGTGACGCTCTTCGACGCGTTCCGACCACTCGATACGTCCGGTGGGCGCACGGTCGGGATGCCCTCGCTCGCTGGGTATGGCTACGTCACGGTCTCGGAGCAGAAGACCGAGAAGCGCAACCCTGCGCAGCGCGCGTTCGACCACATCCACGGCATCGTTTCCCGCAAGGGCGTAAGCCGGCGGTACGCGTCGCCACTGCGCACAGGGCACAAGACCGCGCACCTGTTCGCGGAATCGACGCTGTACCGGTACGTCGCGGACCCGGACCTTTCGGCGCCGCGGAAGTGGTTCCATGCGAATGTCGAGCAGATCCTTGAGATCTATGGGACAGAGCATGCCCTACAGAAGGAGGATCTCATGCTAGGTACGTCGCACCACTATAAACTTTGTCAAGACTGCGAAGCTCAATTCATGCGAATAGTGATTGGGACCTTGGATGCGGCAGACTACGCCCTCTTCGTCAGCCACAACCACCCCGACGGCGAGGTCGACCTCGAAGTCTTCGCCAAGGCCATTCCAGGCGAGGCATGGGGCAAGTTCACGACGACGACGGATCTGTCTGCCTCGATTGGCCCTCAATACAGCCTCTCAGGTGAAAATACACCTCGTGTGGACTCCGGAAGCAAAGTATCGTTAGTGAAGAAACCGGGAGAGCCCTGGGACACGGTGCTGCTCGCGAAGCTTCGATTCCCTACGGACAAGGAGGAGCCGACGTCACTTTAAGCGGCACGAGGCTTAAGGTACACGAGAAGAAGAAAAGCTGGGTGTGGGCATGGACTCTTTAAGAGATTATTACTGTCACCATTGTACTTTAACTCATGTATCAATGCAATTAAGTTATACAGAACGGTATTCTAAAGCGGCGGGGGTGCTCAGCCGATTGTGGTCATGCAAGATAGTCGAGACGAGGTGCTGGCTGCCTCTTTTTAGGCCACGCATACTGTGCAACCAGCCCAAGCTGGCGGTTGAAGATCTCCATAGCCTCTGTTGCCGCCTCTACAGAGTCAAACGTCACAAAGACGTCGTGTCTTTCCATGTTGCCGCCGCGCGGATGGCCTAAAGACGTATATTATTGGTGGGTATGGACCTTCGAACGACAGTACTGGTAACGCACTCATGTAGACGTCCTTTACACGTGATGCATACTCGGCGACGTAGGATAATAGCGTCACTTGGTCCCCGGCGAAGCCCATGATATGCAGCTGCCGACTGGGATCTCGGACTGACGAGGGTCTGCTGGTGCTGTACCGTAGTTGGAGCGCGAGACCTCGGTAACGGAAGCGTCGATTTCGATGAGCGTTTATCGCATCCGTCGCTTCCTCTTCTGAAGTGTACCGGACGATGCATGTCGGCAGGCCTTTTCGGTCTGGTGCGGTATTAGTGATGCCGTCCAAGCAAGTAGCAGTCAGTGGACGCACTGAGGATGATGTTCTCCACTTCGCCATGCTTCTCAAACAGCATCTTCAACTCCTCCAGGTCCGGGCGCGTAGACATGTCCAGACCAGACACCCACAACATCCGGCTTGGCTCACCGACTTCAACGATGTCGACCGCGTAGTTGATGGCCAGCGGCACGTCGTCTATTCGGAACGGGTACGACTTGTGGTTGTAGACGACGCTCCGCGCGGAAGCAAGCCTCGCAAACTCGACGTAGCATACCGACCGCCCATGCAAGTCTGTCGAAGTAAGTCCGACGCGCCGCGCGGAAGCAGAAATGAACTCACTCAGCTGCAGGATCTCCCCGTACGAATCAAGCATCCGCTTGATGTCGGCCACAGTGGTCGTGTTCTGGTCGAAGCCGCGCACGATAATCGTCCTCCGCTCTTCCCTGCGTCGCTGGAAGGTGACCCAGTCGGCGCTACGTTCCTGCTCGAGCCTATCCATCTCGTCGAGGTCGTCGTCATCGCCATACCTTGACCCGTGCTCCCTGTCTAGGCCAAAGCGCGGCGGGCTCCATAGCACCTGTGTCGCCGTTGAATAACGGGATGCAGCATCGAAAGAGCGACGGAACCTAAGAATATGGGACATCCCGGGGCGCGAGAGGCTTGAAGGCGCTTGACTGAGTGCTGTGAATCGTCGCACAGCGCTGGCGGAGCAGAAGCGAGACATGCGTCGCAACCCCGGGAGCGAGAAGATACCGAAAGACGAAGCGAAATGTGAAAGTGGCAGCTAGCTTCAGGGCGGCGAAGGACAAAGGACGGGAATAAGATAAAGCGCTCGTCTTGTCCGGCGCCACAAACCTGGGTTTATAACTACTGTACTTAAACTTTTTTTTTCATTTTCTGTGGTTCGCTCCCTCCACAAATCTTCACTAGCTTCACCAGATGCACATAAAGCTGATAATATACATTGACCTGTTTCTCTAATATCCATGGAATAATTTGAGTGGGGGAGTAGACCGCTTCACAGAGCATTTTACGAGCGTGCCCAAGGGATTATAATTCTGATGTTCCCGTGGTTGTAATCGGCAGGCACTGACGCTGGAAACGAGGGGAGGGGGCACTCGCACAAGCTCGAGATTGGCTGTCTATCGTATTTCTTCCGGATACGGTAATTCTATGATAACTAGACGACTCGGATTATGCCTCAGTCACTCCTGATTCCTAGACACGACGTCGGTGCGAGAGCAACCTGGAGCTCTTTGATAAAGTCGGCCGGTGCAGCACTCTGCTCGAATACTGTGATCTAAGTCAAGTTCGACTGAGCCCGCAGTCACCACAGCGCACTGCACACTACACACTGCCACGAGTTCATGTCTAGCATTATGGTTGTAACGACCCTTCTGTTTCTCACACAGCTCTCTGTCCTTTCTATCCTCCCTTTGCTGACACTGTACTCTTGTTATACCAACGAACACGCAGATGGTCGATAGCCCTCTTGTCGACGCTCTCTCACCATGGCGCTGTAGAGGCGAGTGCTTCTGGCTCTTTGGCCATGCCAGAGCCGAGGAACATCTGGCACCTGTGGCTTTCAATGTGCTTGAAGGGGTATCGACATTCGCGAGTCCGGAAGTCTCTGGGGCGTATCAAGGAGGATTGACGTCCATAATGATTGCCAGGTACAACGACAGCCCAGTCGGTGAGCCGTTTCCCCGAATCTTGACGATTGACGATGATGCCGAACAAACCATGCTCATAGGGCCTCACGATGAGTTGATATGGGTCCCTGGCCAGTTTGCGGTGCCGCCAACGGGTCGAAACGCGAATCGCATCACGAGAGCCTACGTCTCAACCAAGGAGTCCGCGTATAACCGTAAGAGTTCCTTCAGACTCGGAGCATAGGCAACGCTCACAGTTAGCTCAGGACGCAAACATTGGAACATTCCCGCACGCACCGCCCACTTCACGTTCGTCCCAAGCGGGGCGAACTCACCGAAAGCACTGCCGTACTCCCGCATCTGCGTAGCGCCGCCTGATGCGCCGGACAACCCGTTCTTCGTCACGGACCTCGCGCCTTCCTTCCTTTTGTCGAGTGGCTTGATACCGTTCAGCTCAAGTTTTGTCCCGCTATCGCGGGAAGTTGAGTGCCCACCGCTCCCGCAGAGTGACAGTTGGAGGGAGGATGCATGTATCGGGACAGAACGATGGGTATCCCTCACCCCGGCCATGAAGGGCAAGGCAGGCTTCTTCCGCTGGAAAGGAGGCCTCGCAGATGGCGCGCTAGCAGACAACGTCGGCCTTCCTAACGTGCGTCCGTGGTCGACAGGTATGTGGTTACGGGAGTTCGAGCTTGAATTCCCTGTAGGGGACGTGTTAGGGAAGAGGGGTGGATAGCCGGACCATGACGTAGGTTCTCATTGGATGTGAACAATTTTATCCCATTCCATCTTCATTAGAGACCTGCGGCTTGTGGTGTATTATGCCTCTGTCATTATGCTCCCCAGGTAAACATATTCACTTTACAAGGCCCATTTGTCTCGCCGAGGAGCGGGAGTACATAGCTACACTGAGTAGTTATGTGATACGGCGAAAAACTCAAGAATAGTGGCCATCCAAGTGTTACAACCTTTGACAAGCTCGACCTCGCCTCGGTGCCCTGAGGATTTTCGAGGATCGATCTGAAGTCACCCGCCGACCTCCATCTGGACTGCTCAGCCTCACAAGACCTGTCTTCCCTCTCAAGAGACTATTAGCTGCCAGTCACAGCTCCACTTCTCACACCGCTGTCTTCTGCAAACCGATTTATGCCAATGATGAAGGTGGACTATGTGCGCCATAGCAGAGCATCGTTTGTCCGAAATAGCTGAGCTTATCTGTCGTGTGCCGAAGATCTCTATGATGAGGCAATCAAGCACGTCGGTGCGATGAACAAACACAGATACCGTGGATGATGTGACAATGTCTACGGAGTACAATACCGTTTCTCTTCTTGTCCTGTGCACGAAGAGCGTTACTTAAGTAGTCTTGGAGGCTAGATGCTCTACCGGAATAAGGGCCGATGTGCAGACTCTGCGTGGAGCCTTCCCGGCATGCTAGATGATTAGCGACAAGACCCTGCAGGGGTTCGCATAGATACGCTGACGAAGAGGAAGGTATTCTGGAGGAAACAATCAGTATTCTGTTCGCTGGAACTTGGCGGGACGCAGAATTCACGCGTCGCTCCGCGCGGCCGTGGAGGCCCAAGTGCCCATCATCATTTGATGATGCGTCTTGGGCGCTAGTTGGGTAATTTCTCACGCTCACCCGTCCTTTCCGCAGCGACCTTCAAATAGCCTGAAGGCGGTAGCTTCCTCATGTTCGTCGTCTCTGACGCGTTTAGCGAGCTCCGATTAGGTGGTGCTGGTCTAGCTGCACGCGTTTTGAGGCAAAGCACATGAACGCGACGAGGCTTCCGTATCTGCCAGTTAGGAGAGCTGTACCGTTCGTGCGGGTGCCTGAGTATGCTTCTCTTTGCATTCGCCACTGAGGATGACGAATAGCATACTTCCGTATCTGCCAGCGTAGAGCCCGCGATGTCATGGCCATCCTTTTGCGATATCTCTCCGAGGGTCTCATCCTCGCAACTTTCCGTCCTCGTTACTAACAACGGAGTCTTTAAAGTATAGACTGATGGTCAGAACGGCTGTCAGCGTGAAGCTGGCTACTGTAGCCGTGTCAAAACGCGCGAGAGGTGATCGCACTCTGATTCTCAATACCCAACGCAGTGTCCCTAAACCTTGACTATTACCAGCGAAGGCCGACACCGTACTTGCGAGCCCCTACGATGAGTTGATGTTGAACTCCGGGGAGTTTACAGTGCCATCGACAGGGCAAGATACCGAGTGCATCACGAGGATCTACGTCTCGTTCAAGACTCCATGTGCAATGGTCAGCGTTCGTTCACCCTCAATGCTGCTGGCGCCGCTCACAGCCCATTTAGGGCGCAGAAGCTGGAACATTCCCGAACACGTCTTCATTTTACGTTCGTCCCGAGCGACGCAAACACTACCGCACTCCCGCATTGGCGTAGCGCTGCCCGATGCGTTCGATACCCTTCGACCCGAGTTCCACTCTCCCAGAAGGTCGCGAGCCCGCCGCTCCCGCAGAGCAGGAACTGGAGAGAAGACGCATGTGTCGGGACAGAACGATGAGTGTCTCCGTTACCCGGACCATGAAGGGCGAAGCGGCCTTCTTCCAATGGAAAGGTGGCCTCGTGGACGGCGCGCTGGCAGACAACGTCGACTTTCCTGATTTACTACTGTGGCCGACAGGCACGTGGTTGCAAGCTCGACTTCCCTGTGGGAGATATACTGGGAAAAAAGGACGAATGATTAGACGGAGGTGAGGATCCGTATTTGGCGTGGACATTATTCCCCTTCGTTGTGTTTGCATGCGGGCATGCGGCTTGTACTGTACTGTAGGTGACGCACACCATCAACAAGATTGGTCACCGACACTGGACCTCGGGCACTCTTTAACACGCACAGTCTCATGATCAGCTTCAGACATCGCAAAGCGATTATCGACCTGAGCTCGACAGCATGTCAAATCAGTATCACGCGCCCCCCGGGACATTGCGTATATTGCAGAGGAGTAAATGGTACAAATCGTAACGCTTACCAGCATTCCCTCACCGGTTAGTGATTTCAGTCTTGTTGTAACGCGCCACGGCCTACCAATGGCCCGAAGGGAGCCCAAGCCAGTTTATTACAGATAAGTAGTATACCTTTCTCTGACACTTTAAATGCTTTCAGGCCTTCAGCTGAAGTCCAAAATCCGTTCGATTGTTGTCTCAGACGGAATCTGACCTGATCAATAATCTAACGATCCAGATCTCGGATCTCAGGCCGCGGATGCAACTTGAGACGCGACGTGCGGAAGGCATCCTAAGGCATCTGTGCCATATCTCACAGATATAGATGTAACAGTTTCAAGTATATATGATACAGTACTGCATGTGCAGCAAATAATGTTACGCTGAGAGGTCTCGCTGCCTGTCTGCTCAGCACCACGCGAATGGGAGGCACAGGTCCGCGGGAAAGGGCTGTCTAAATTGTGAGCATTGTCAGGTGTAGTCGCCTCCGTTGCTCAGGCTCCCCACCGCTCCAGACTGCCGTCGCTGTCGTCCGTGATCACTGCATGTCCATCCGATCTTCGAGTCGGGTGAGGCTGCTGGTGGTAGGCCTCGACGTACGTCTGTGTGCCTCCGGCCTCAAATAGGTGCTTTTTGCTTTGGCATACTGTGCAGAAAAGCTTCCCGCTGAGAATCAGATTGTGGAGTGAGTGAGTGGGCGGGCCAACTGGAAAGCGTCTGGGTGCTAGATGTGTTGGATTAGATGACCTGAGGTGATGATCAACGCCACTAAGGCATCCGAGGCACGTCACAAGCGACGTCAAACCTTTCCTAGTACTAGGGCTCATTTGTACCTTCGATTTTACCTCAACGGGAATTTTGAACGATTGTGTCTGAGTTGCTCACCGATCCAAGTCATTGGCCATGCAGAAACGGTCACTTGAGCCCAGGATGTGACCCCGCCGCTTCGAAATTCGAATTCCACTTTCGAGTTACATCTTATTTCGGTATCAGATTACATAAACATGACCTTTGCTCGAACTTATGTTTCCCGCTCTCTTCCTTAATCCCTCCATGTATTCAAGCCGGCGGAACTCGTTGCTGCGCATGCTTTGTTATTTCCGCTGAGTGGTTGGCTACTTGTGACTGAATTGATCTACATTAGAAGTCGATGGCATGAAGGACCATCCATCGATGCACTCACTAGCACTGTACCCAGAAATGCAAGGGCAGATGCCTGTAGCCCCCGTGCATGTGTGAAAAGACAACCGCTGAGACTCATCAGTACTCACCTCTCTCAACTGAAGATGGTTCCGCTGTTTCCATTAGCTCGGAGCGTGGCCGTCGGCTTACTTGAAACTCCCGTCATCTCCGCCAGAGTCGACTTGAGACTTCTCACTCATGTGTGAGCTCGAGATGGTATGGCATTCGACTCACTCCTATCAGGGTGTTGACTAGCGCGTTGACGGCGGTCACGCCGGCACGGACCGTTGAATGTCATTCGCAACGCCTTCGCTCTCCCGGTCTCTGGCCAGAGGCTGAGATTCTCGGAAAGAAGACGCCAAGCATGGCTAGCCCGTATCCACCATTCCCCAGCAAATTATGTGGATAATGGGGACTGGAAAGCGGGTGAACCTAGGGTATGCTTGTCCGCTCAGCGCGCTCGTATGTGCTGTGCAGGGAAGATGAGCAGACCGCAGGAGACCACGTTAAAGTCGGTGTCTCTAGACGTCGGCCGTTTCCACCCTCAAAAAGTTGTTCCAATCGATCTGAAACTTCAAAACTGCGCCCGCAGTGATCAATTGTTACAGGCCGTCATACTGCCGTCGTGAGCCAACCGCGTGCTTGGCGTATAGCGCGGAACCAATCTCGGCTCGAAAACGTACAAATCGCCTACCGCCCGTGGTAGAAACGGCTCGGGATACAAAGCTCGTCCCATGTGGCGGAATCGTTGTATGTCTGGCTTCTCTTTCCTATTGAAGGCGTGCGTTACGGCACGTTGCTTGCTGTCATGCGCTTTCATCATTTTTTAATAGAAGGGCTCGATAATATGGTTTCAGCTTGAACCACACACTTCCCGACTCCGGACTAGATCTGAACGAGATCTGGACATCTGACTGCCCGCATACGCAATGATAGCCATCGCCGGGGAAGCAGCTGATGCCCCTCTCCCGAAGGCTTTCTGGCACTCCCGATGCGGGCAGAGAGAAAATGGCACAGCCTTGCGGCATCGGCCAGAAGGTACCTTATGTACTTTAGACCGCGCCTGGTCTGTTGATTCGCGCCTCTCAATCGCCGTCCACCCTCGCCGTCTCGCTCGCGAGAGCCATACTCGTCGACATCCTCGACATGTCGTTACCTGCAGTGTCGATACCGGGACTTCCGATCCATTTCGACAACACGTTCGGAGCGACAATGATCGGCGGGTTCGTTACCACTGTGTGAGTGGCTGCAGCTGTGTTCGCCCCTTCTTGGATCGCTCACACCCGCTTTCGCAGGTTGTACGGCATTTTAATTGTGCAGGTGTACATGTATTTCCAACGATCAAAAGGCGAGCTTATTGTGCTACGACTATCAGCGAGTATCCCAAGATGTTTTTGCCGTCGCATACATGCTGATGCTGTCATTATCCGACTCAGATCTGGCTCCTGGGGTACGTCTGCTCGCTATCGCACCAGCACTACGAGCTGAAGCCGGAAGTCAGAATCCTTAACACTGTGCACTTAATATGCATTATTCACTCTCTTTACTTGTGAGTTTTCGCCCAGTCACGCGCTTCCGAGTGCTCAAGCTGCGTCGCTCAGTTATATGGTAACAAACTTCGCAAATCCGCTTGTGCTGGCGCAGATAGTCCCTTGGTGTGTACAAATGCGGAAGTTCCAGAGATACGACCGTTAATGTCATCGCGGCGTTCGCCCTTTAGGAGCTTACCGGTAAGATTGAAGTCGACTGCGGTCCTCTATGCGAGCTGACATGTTCCTTCAGCTCGTCGTTTTCTTCACAGTACGTACGACGAATCTCGATGCAGTGACATGTTAACCCTAGTTCGTCCATCTTAGACTGCAACCGACTTGGTGGTGCAAGCGTAAGTAGGCGCCCCTAGTCCTCTTTTTTCATGTCTGATTCCGTCCTACAGCTGGTTCACGTTTCGCGTATGGACGTGTGCGTCGCCTGGTTATCATACTGTAACTTTTAGCTAACCCCTAAGGGTTACAGTGAGCAAAGGCAATCGTCCACTTACTTTCGCTCTGGTAAGTTCGCGTCATTATCGGCTATAGACCTCACCCTATCAGGTATTCTTCTTAGGCCGCCTGCAGCATTTGTGTCCTCGGTATGTTCTGACGTCCGGTGCAAATAAATCAAGCATTTCACGATTAAAAACGCATTGGCTAGGTATAAGCACTGGCATTACTATTAGATTGTGAGTTGTCCCCGTTCTCGTCCTCTGAATATATGCTGAAGAATATTTTTACCTAGCTATCAGTTGAAGGACTTCGCGAATTATTCTAAGGCGAACGTGAGTGAAGACGAATTGACACCACTAAGTCTTCGACGTCTGATCGGCAACCCTTCAGTGGCTAGTGTTCCTCGGCCTAGGCCTGACCGTCGCGACCGATTTCCTCATCGCGATTTCGCTCTGCTATTATTTGTTCCACATGAGATCAGTGGTCCATCGGTAAGTCCGTGCAACTTGCCATGTACAATCTGCTGCCTCTTGCTTAGCGCTCCGTTTCCAGGACGTCGACAATTGTCAATGGGTTGATGATATATGCCGTCAACACTGGTCTCTTGACCTGTATCCTCTGCATCGCATGCTTGATTACTGTAAGTGCTGCTTCAACCTAAGATCGCCTCGTTGCCAACCAGCCCTGCCCGATGCAGCGCCTCACAGAACCAGACAATTTCATATTTATCGGCAGTAAGTACTATCCGCGTCACGTTGTGCTGTATTCCTGTCTCACCCCATGCACCAGTATTCTTCCCCCTGAGTAGCACGTACTCTAACGCCCTTCTGGGATCGCTGAACGCACGCGACTGGTTCCGTAACAAGAGGGACGCGGTGACTATTCCTTTGTCAAGCCTGGGCTCCACGGGCGGAACCAACAGCGGCTCGAACCCTACGCGCGTGATCTCGTCGAAAGTTGATGTGGTGAGTTGGGATTATGTTACTCGTGTATGCCGAGTTGCTGAACACTTAATTGCTGTAGGAGAGGGGCGCAGAATGGAACCCGGCTGGGATCGCAGTGCAGGTCAACACAGACGTGGTGAAAGCGACGCTCTAACGGTGGTCGCTTTCTTGGCATGTTCCGAGCGTCCCCCATTCTTCAGTTAAGCCGTCCGCGTCAGGGCCTGTCGTTAAGGCAGCACTCCCGTAATCTGTAGTATAGTATACTGACCTCATGCGTGCCTATGAATTTTGAATATTGATGCATCCTCACAAGCGAGCAGTGGCGCACTATCTGGCAGGCACTGTGATCCTTCCCTACACTGCATTTCGTGTTTTGCGCATTTGACATCGGGAAAGTGCACGAGCGTCTTGGGTGCCAGTCGACGGTGCGACATGTCTTGGTCCCACTCACTCCACGTGCACAATCCGATCCTCAACGGCAAGGTACGAAGCAGAAAGCACCTATGTGAGGTCGGAGAAACGCAGAGATACTTCGAGGTCGGCCATCAGCAGTCTCACCTTCATCCGACTCGAGGATGAAATGGACAATGAGTACGAGGAAAACGACAACTGCGGTGACAATCGTGCGGAGCAACGGGACGATACTCGTGAGGGACCTACCGGCCCTTTTCCGCGAGCCCTCATCCGCATGGTGCTGAGCAGAAAGGTAGCGAGACCTCTCAGTTGCATCATCTGTTGCACATGCAATACATCTGGAGCTGTTACATCTACCCTATGAGATACGACGAGGACGCCTTCCGCGGGTGCTGCTTCGCAGACCGGTGACCCAAGATTTGAGATCCAAATCGTGAGATACTAATCGAATAGATTCCGCACTTCAACTATCTGAACATCGATCTGAGAGCAGTCCTCTGCCAGTGGAATTTGAGTAAGTATGCGCGGTCGGTCATGTCATCGCCGGATCTGGAGCCTTGATCAGATTGGCGCTCAGCAATGCTATCAAAGTCGATCGTCGGCTGATTAGATAAGTTGTCTGGGAGATCTCGCGTGGGGCTAAGTTGCAAGCTGGAAGTCTGCGTTCCGGCAACGACGGAAATGTTGAAAATCTACGTCAGATATGGATATATGCCTTTGCCTATCAATTCATCTTGCTTCTCCAGTACATCTTCGGGAGGGAACTCAAGCTCGAACTCACCTAATCACATACCATTACTACCTGTCAACCACAGTCGCACATCAGGAAAGCCGACGCTATCTGTTAACACGTTGTCCGTGAGACCTTCAACGGAAGAAACATATTTTGCTCTTCAAATGAGAGACGCCCATTGGTCCGTCCCGACGTACGCTCCTCCCTCCAGTTCTCGCTTTGCGGGAGTGGCGGGCTCACGATCGTCTGCGAGAGGAGGAGAAACGTCAGCTTGGGGTCCATGGCGAAGACAGAGGGTCTAACGCGTCGAGAGACGCTACGCTGGTACAGGAGTACAGCAGTGCTGCTCTTGGCCAGTCTGCATCACTCGGAATCAACGTGCTTGACGGCGTTTCATCTTCTGAAATCCACATAGACTGTGAACCTCGACTACAGCATGGGCGTGAATGAATGCTTACCGTCACACATGGACTCTTCGATCGAGACGTAGGTCCTCATGATGCGCTTAGCGTCCTCCAGTTGCCTCGTCGGTGATACTAGAAACCTTTACAACAGCTCGTTATAGAATCCTGCAGGCACAGTTTGACGTTTGCCGAAATTATTACCGAGAAGGAGAGAGGCAGCATACCGACTACACCGTCAGAGCACTCTGCATGCCCCTGATATTTCCGAATCCGCAAATGGCGACACTCCTCCCGGGGGACTGGAGAGGCGATCGTGCGTTAGACATCCACCACCACCGACTTGAAAAGGTTCAGCAAAAACATGAGAGCACAGGGCGGAACAACTTGGTATTGGTAAGATGAACAGAGGCCAGGTAGCGTGGTGGACAGAGTGCCCGCACAAGTCCCGCTTGGTTCAAAGGGGATATCTAGAAGGACTCCTCGCAGTCTGCCACAATTCGGAAACACTCCTGCGGCCTATTCCTTAGCCGGATACCGAAGTCAATCTTGCCGGAGCTGTCTTTCCGCTCGAGCGTTTCCATCTCGCCGTCCTCCTCGCCACTGTCAATGTCCTTTTCGTCCACATACCACTTGCGGAAGTCGTCCATCGAGCAGACCAGATCCCCGAGCACAAATCCCCTGAGCAGCCACCAGATCGTCGCCCGGTCGTCGATTCCCAAACATGCGTCACCCACGTCAAGTGTCGAGTCAAAGTCGCCCCAGGCCCACATCGTACGACCGATCAGGGCGGCCATGAGCGCGACCGCAAGGCCAGGATACGCCTTTCCAAGGGCCCTGGTGGCGACGAACAGCAGGCCGAGGGCGACACCGACGTGCCAGGGAAGCTGGCGCGAGTACTGGGCGAAGACCTCCATCGGTTCTGCAGGTCGGATGGTGAAGCGAAGGAAGGAATTGAAGGTAACGCGCGAGAGGCATGTGGGCGCCAGGAACGGGAGGAAACCAACAAGCACCACGTAAGGGATGAACAGTAGCATCTGAAGGCAGAATCGGAAGACGGTGAACCGCATCGGGGGAAAGCCTTCGTCAAGTGGCAGTCGAACTCGAGTTTCTTGACACCTAGCGACGAGAACGGAGTCTCGAGCGCAGAGGATCGGGGGTGACTCAAAGCACTTGGTCTCAGGTGAGCCGTGTACCGCCGTCAGAGAATCTGTAGAACCGTTTGAGACCTCTTCCATTGCGACGTTGGCGCCAGTGGATGTTTGGTCACAGTTACTCTCGGAGGCATGGCTGATAGCTGGCTTGGGGGTAGGTTCGTCGAAGACGGCTTGGACATCTGCGGCACTGGTCAGGCGGGAATGGTGCTAGGAAACGCAGACCGCATAATCAACGTCGGATTCAATGGAAGGATAAAGTCGGACGCACCCTGCCCCAGCTCCTCGATGCCAACTTCCTCGCAGCCCTAGATCCTGCCTTCTTCATCGCATGTATGAGAGATTTCTTCTTCGCGTTCATTTGAGGCTCCTCGAGCGTTCCCGGCGTAGCATCTTGTTCAGCCGCCACAGTGACAAGGTCGTCAATTCTGGGGGGTCCTGAGCTCTCCTTTCCAGTTCCTATACCTAGGGTGCTCGGGAAAAGTGTGGATGCCGCCTCAAAAACGAAGTTCAGAGAAGAATCATCGGAGCCGCGTCGAGGAGTCAGCGGCGCAAGCAGCTTGCCAACAAAACTAATCGATGCTTCCGAAGGCTGAAGAACCACATGAGCAACTGTTAAGCATTTGAACGAAGATTTGGCGCACAAGGGGAGAGAATGACGAGACGCTGCTCGCAGCTTGTGCAGAGTTCGTCTCGGCGTCGGACTTCATAGTGGGCGAGAAGAGCTAAATGAGCTGAAGTAAAAAGCTGCACCAGGCAGGCTGGAAAGAGAAGTTCAAGGACGTACAAGTTTGGTTTTGGGACATGCTTGGATATATCCATGCCGTAGCTTGTCAGCCCAGCGATGATTTTATCCGGCTGGAACTTCAGATGCGCAGCCTGCCCGAGAAGACCGAGATGGACCAAATCGCTCCACGCAATGTTCAGCGCACCCGGCAGTACATAATACGAAGATGACCATAAGTCTCTGACAGTAGAGCCTCGCTGGATGGCAGGTGAAGTGGATGGACAAAGAGCGGCAGAGTCAAGCGCTCTGGCGTTTCGGCTGTCGGCGATAACCGCTACGCCACGAAGGTCTCCATTTCCCCAAGTCGCAGGCCGTACGGAACTCTGACCACGAACATCTGCCCTCAGACTATGTTCATCGCTGCTATGAAAACATGTAACCCGACTTGCGCATCCATCGCAGAGTTTGTTTCAAAGCAGACTGGTGGCTGGCCGATGGCAAAGGCTGTCAGCCACCTCACTTATCTTCGTCGATTCCGTCTACTTACTAATATTCCGTTCTCTCGTATCGCCACCTTCCTGAGCTCCTATTCTGAAGACCAGTGTCTCTATATCAATACTATCTTGCACCATGCCTCGACTTCCGCCCGGCACAGTCTTCGATATCATCGACCATCTCGCTGACGATCTCGATGTTGGCACTCTCTCAACGTGCTCGCTCGTCTCGCTCTCCTGGATGACTCACAGCCGTGCGCACGCATTCTCCAAAGTCATGATCGCGAATACCACTCGCCTGCGCACCTTCCTCGATCTGCTTCACGGTGGCGGGCACTCGTTCCGCTTCTGCGTCCAAGAGCTCAACGTTGGCTCCCGGGCGAGTGGCGTCCGCACAGATCTGAAGCGCAGCGATCTGGTTATCTTGCTAGGAAACCTGCCGACGCTTGTCTCGCTTTTATTAGCGAATATCGTCTGGGACGACGACCTGGGCGGCAAATGCATGAAGCACATCCCTTACTATACGCCCCTCCGTCTCACGCTGCTGAAGCTAGTCAATTTCACTGTCAGAGACAAGGCCCTTTCGATGGTGCAGCTATCTTCTGTCATACACCTCTTCTCTGGCATCAACTATCTTGCTCTCCTCTGGGACTCCGACGTCGAGTTTTCGACCGACAACGCTGTTTCCCATGCCTGCGCCAAGACTGTCGCGCTTCCACAGCTCGGAGAGCTCTCGCTCCTGAATTCGTCTCTAAACCCGCGCATCATCAAATGGCTCTGCAACGGCGGGATCGGGAGTTCTTTCAAGGCACTGACCGTGTATGTCGCGGACGAGAGCACTCTCGCCGCCCTCGGACAACTTCTGCGCTCGTCTGGGCAGTTGCTCGAGACGCTAAGCCTATACCTCCACCATGACAAGGGACTGCAAAATATTAAACGTGAGTGCTAGCGCATCGCACTCTTCAGGAAATTCATTGTGACGCCTCCGCAGCCGACACGGTCGCTCGCACACTCAAATTAGCAAGCTGCCCAGTTGTCCAGCGCTTCAAATTCTGGGTCATTGTCGAGGAAAGCTACACGAACACGCATCCCATCTTACGCTGGCAGTGGGACACAGGCCTCGCGATCATCGGTCAACTTCCGAAGAACGCACTCAGCAGGATCCAGGTGGCAGCCATCCCACAGCGCACCACTACGGTCGACCCATTCCTTCTTCTCGAGAGCGTTCCCTGGGGGGAGCTGAAGCATACCGTGCACCACTTCTCGCGTCTGACTGGCGTCGATATTTTCTCAGCTCGGTCTCAAGAGAAGCGCCTTATCATATCGAGCCGAGCCTTGGCGACACTCACGGTGACCAGGTATGTGAAATCGAAGCAGAGAGTAGCAGGATCGTCAAGTCCGTCTAAGAGTGGTGTAGTTGGCTTGTCGTAGACGTATGTGAGCTGGATGCCGATATGATTTAGTGGCAGAGTGGTCGCAAGGAGAATCTTGGCCGTCAGGTCATAACAGTTCGCCCATGTCCTTATCATCAGGTTTCATGTATCGGACGCGAAAATGTGGCGAGTTCGCGAGGACTTCGAGGGCTTCCGTCGCGCGTTCCCTGGTCTTGAACATTACAAACACAAAGTCCCAGCGACCTGCTTTCTCGTGTTTCTCGGCTGACCGCTATTCAGCACGACACACATGGACATAGTTATGGTACTCACGTATACGCACGTCGCGAACCGCCTGTCTGAAGTTGCCAAGATGCCTTCGTAGGTCGTACTTGTTGCCTTTGAAACCAATGATGCAGAGCGTGCTGCTCGGCTCGCCGATAGGCACCTGGTCTTCCGCTGAGTCACTCCTTGCCCAGTCGACCGATAAGTCGGGATGCAGCACCCAAAGTGTCTGCATCGCCTCAGCCGCCGCATTGCGGTCGTGAAATGCTACCCAGGCGACGTCGATTTCTCCATTCTTGCCTTCGATGACTTTCAGTCTCTCTCGTACCCGGAAATGTGACTGCACGTACCGCCTGTAACATTAGAAATCGCATTATCCCAGTCCTTCAGCAAGTCCCGCACGCGCTGCTCGCCACCAGCGAAGCCCGAGATGAAAAGGGTCTTCGCAGCGCCCGGATCGTCCTCGTCTGGTTCTACGAAATTCATACGCAGTCGGTGGTCGCCGTATCGGAAAGGGTTGCGATTGTGCTCCATAATCAATTTCACAGCTTCTTCGATGGTACGCGCGTCGATGTGACAGCTCATTGTGGCTGAGCTGAAAGTCAGTAAAGCGAGACACGGGACAGCACGATGACACGCGCACACATTCGAACATCTTCTATCTTCGCGTATGATTTGAACACCTTGCGGACCTTGTCCGTATCGCCATCCGTGTTGGCCCGACCGATGCCTCCTACATAGAGGGTACGCGTTGGTGTCATGTTTGCCGCATATCTCCTCCTCTCCATCCCATGTTCTCGACTGTCTGGAGTAGGGTCTCTTCTGTCTTGCATGCTTTCCCGTCTGAGGAACGCGCGGGGCCTTCGCTCGTCCGTTGCTGGAGGTGCTTGTGACACCTTTTTACTTCGCGAGTATCTCTCGTCGGTGTCTCGATTTGCTCGCTTGTCCTTGGACTTCTTCATCCGCGACCTCCACGCGCCCATGCTCTCCGTGGGGTCTGGGTTGGTCGAAGTACCAATCAGACCAAACGACGCCGCTCGTACACAGCTTCCGCCAGGTTTAAATTGCCGGAAAGCGAAGGCGAGGCAGAGTGTAGACATGGCGGAGGCGGAGAGAGGACACCAGACTGACCCCGGATGGAAAGCGGTTCCAATCACAAGAGTAAGGTGTTCTCGGGGTCCGGTCCGAACGACCCACTCATGCTCAGACACTCATTCGTCAGGACTTGTGTTCGAAATTCTGCAAAACCAACACAGTTGTTTTCGACTTCGTGCTTAAGGCGCGATGCTGCAAGAGGGAACTACGCAGCTCCTCCATTCCGAGGCAACGTGAGTGTATAATACTCGCGAATTGTGGTCGAGGCTCACCCGTAACCCGTTCGCCGGACAGCGATCATCCTGGAGACATAGGTTAGACGAAGAGGCCACCAGGGACGCGAATCAAACCGGCGAGAAACTCTTAGAGGAACCTATCGAGGAACCTGTGCTGAAATTCCTGGAGCCCAGTACGCCGTCGAGCAATGATCACTTGAAAGACTTATTCGACCTGGCAAAGACATTCAATGAAGCGGTGACGTCCCGGGCCGCTGAAACTGGAACAAAGGCCTCTCGCAGTCGCCGTGCAGAAGAACCAGAGCCCTCCGCATTTGGACTGAACCGCAACGAGCTGTCTAGCGAGGGATACCGGCATATCGCCCGACGTTCCGCCTCCGTACGGATAACCAACGCCCCTGAGAACATGACTGAGCGCGATATCACAAATATGTGTTCTCCCTACGGGAAAGTAGACGATGTCCGGATAGGTGCGTGCCATGCAACGCACACGCTCCGAGATTATCTGATTTTCGTAGTGCATACCAGCGTCGGCAGGGTTGCAGCCGTGACGTACAGCTCTGCGGATGAGGCGGAAACGCTTGTTGATCTACATGAGAAGACTCCTCTCATGTTCGACGACGTCGAGCTCGAGGTAAAATTCGGCTCTGTCACACGTCAGAAAGCCTCGTCAAGAACGCTGTTCGTTTCTGATGTCGGAGCTGACATGGAAGACACAAGGCAGTTTCTGCGCGATCTTTTCTCTCCGTTCGGGAAGATAGTCGGCGTGAGACGAGGTGTGTCTTGAATCCCTACTCCTAGAGCAATTACTCACTTCTCCTCAGCAAAGGAAACGGCGGCGTGGTTCGTCGATTTCACATCGGTGAAAGATGCGGCGAAAGTCATGGACGCGCATGAAGCAGTACCTTTCCGCAACGGAAAATTGCTACTCTACCTAAATTACGAGCAGGGGAGCCCTAAGTTCGAACAGCCGCATCATTCGCTCTGTATCACTGGGTTTAATGGTACCATTACGGAGCTTGAGCAGTTCGTGCCGCAGCGCGACGGCGGCAACCATGTCGTCAACATCACATGTGGTGAGTTCTCTAGCAGTATAATTAACATAGACTGAACCCAGATATCTCACAGTTCCCGACAGCGCAGGCCTGAAGCCACCGCTCTTCTTCATCGAGTTCGAGGCCGTTGAGTATGCTACCCAAGCATTGGCGCACTTACGTCAGTCCCCGGAAGTGAGCTTCTCCGCGAAGTACGCGGGACGGCCAAATGACCAGAGGGTCAGTGCGCCGCGAAGCTTGTTTTCCCGGTCGTCAGAAGAGTTTGGCAGGTCGCGTAGTAGTGACACATTGCGAAGGACCCGAAAATGGTCGAACTCGCGTCCAGCGTAGAGTAATGTGACTATCATATTATGAACGGCGTAGATTACGTGAATATATTCACCGCTCGACATGATCGAGCTCGAAAGAAAGATAGGGAATTGAGTGGTTCTCCAGCCCGTGATAGTAAGCGTTGAGCAGCTACAACGATGTACGCGAAGCCAGCATCGTCGGTCTGCGGCGTGGCCGGGAGTCTCGGTGTGTCCGTGTCAGATGCCATTTTTAGGCCGTGCACAGGGTAGGCTATTTCAGCCTAAACGGTGTCTTCAGCGTGGTCAGACTCCCAGATAATCTTTCTGAACACCTGGCCGTGCTCTCGCCCATCCAGCGATGGGGCGAAGTTTACTCGCACTTTGCGTCCTCGCACCACCATCGGACGCAGTGCATGCGTTTCGAGACACAAGATCGCCTCTACAGTCGTCGCAAACTCGACATAATAGTTGGTGTCGATGCCTACGTAGACTGTCAGACCACAAATGTCATGGCAGGTTTGCTCAGACACTCACCCTTCCACATGCGCCGAATGTCGCCAAACTCCGAGACCTGATCCCAGACCTCTTTTTGTGCCTCTCTGTCAAGGTCCTCCATGCGGTCCACCATGAGAACGGGTTTGCGGGCGTTGAGCCGAGGAAGTAACGCGGTGTTGACTTCAATCGGAGTACCACGGATGTGCAAAGGCACCTTCTTGTGCATTTGCTTGACGCGCACTGCATCTTCCTTGCTCTCAAATGAGACAAGAGCACGGCCGGTGAATTTATCCCCAACTACTGACAAGACTGGAATAAGGTGTTTTCAGCGACATAATCGTCAAGCGAGAGAAAGAGCAAGGCAAACCTGGGTGTATGAAAAAGGGGGCTGCTAGACCGACGGACTGTAGTTTTGAGTCTATATCAACGCTGGTAGCAGTTTTGGGTACACTTCTTAGGTGCAAGACATGCGTGTCTAAGACAGGCTTCGATATGGCCGCCTCAAGCTTCTGAAGGGCTGTACCTGCGGCATTTTCACGCTCCTTCTCGGACGGTGCGTACTCCACGAGCGTCTTGTACGAAGGCGGCACGTTCCACGTCCACTCTCTCGGATAGGTTTCCTGCCTTGAGTACGAAACAGTCATGCCTCGATCAAGGAGGATGTCGCGGACGGCGGATGCATGATCAACATTGTCAAACTGCACCCAGCCAACGCTGTCTTTCCTGAACCCACTGCTGTTTGCTACATAAGTTAGTTTGGAATAGAACGTGCAAGCGGTGAGAAGATTACCTACCGACGTTGACCCAGTCGGCGTAGTCTATGTATTCTCGGAAGAATGAACAGAGGTATTTGACAGTGCCTGTAAAGCCAGTGATGTGAAGCACACGAGACGGTGTATGGAAGGAGAAGTCGACAACAAGCTCTTCCTCTCGATACCGAAGCCGCTGCCGGATATGACTTGCTACCGCCTTCTCCGCTGCACCAACAGTTTTAAAGGCAACATGGCAGTACCTCGTTTCTTCCACATAGTCTGTAAATCACGCCTTGCAGTCAGCACAGCTGTTAAGATGTAGCACTTGAACGCATTCACTGATAGACTTGACCTCTCCGAAGGATGAGAACATGGTCTCCATATCGCGTTCTACGTCGTTTTGTGGCCCCCTTAACCCATAGACATACAGTACTGATGTTGCGTCTGGTGGACGATGCACAAGCTCAACGGCCAGTCCCTCGCCGTGTAGCACGAGTCCTTCCTTGCCCGCCGCGACGAACGCTCTACGTGCGTCTCCTTCACTCGCCATTAAAACGAAGGAACGGCCAAAGAAACGGTCCACTCGTCTGGACTGTCCTGTGTCCTCGATGAGGGCAACGGGCTATATACACCACCAGAGCCACTCACTGAACATGACACCCGAAACCCGCCCGTGCTCGGAGAACAGCTTCACCAGGTCCTCTTCTGTCGTCTCGTCCGGGAGGTAGTCGACTTGCAGGAGCATTGCTGGGAGGTCCTTGGACTCTATATTTGATAGCGTCGCCCATGTGAGGTTTTTGTCTATTGGTGTTATCGGTCTGGGGGTGCGAGTGTTGGGTCCCGGCTCAGGTTTATCATCTGTGCTTTCGGACAACACATTGAGTCAGGAGTGTGGTAGAGAGCTCTGACTCATACCTGCAGGGGTCTCAGCTTGCGTGCGAGGTATGAACCCAAACCCTCCCTCCTCTTCAGCTCGTATGCGAGCGTTGATCCCGAGGTCCTTGTTCTTAACTTTCTCCTGCGAGTTTTCCTTCTTCTGTGCCGCACGAGTCCCAAAAGTTGCATGCACAGATACCGTACCAGAAATATTACGCGCAGATCTATATGCTGTACTCCTAGGGAAATAGCTACGTTTGGGCAGGCCGAGCATGGGAGGCGGTCGAGAGCGAAGACACGAGAAGGCGCGGTCGTTAAAAAGCGTAACGGCTGATTTGGCGTCTAGCATACACGTACTACTCGACGTCTTGCATCAGTCATGCTTAGCTCGTTTTCGTGTACGTGAGGAGTGTCGTATCTTTCTTTCGCAACTTTCCTGACTTACGCGTCGTTAGGACGAGATGACCAAGGATTTCAAGACGCCCGCCAAACGCAGACACAGTCACCGGATGGTGCACGGTTCTGCGTATCCAAGGTCATGCTCACTGGTCCCTTTCCTTCGCGGCGTCTTTTCATTGGAACAGACGTAGGAGAATATACCCCCGAAGGTAGCGCGTTCCTGCCATTATCCCCTCCCCCTCCCCCAAAGAGGACAGCAGACCCATCGAGCCTGTTCTGCGTATTATCTACAACCGCAGCGATGCCAAAGAGAAGGGTTTGACCACCATTGGCCGAGTGCTCGGAACCTTCCAGAAGTACCCCCCCCCCAAAAAAAAAAAAAAAAAACGGAATTTCGGCATGCGCGGTTTCCGTTGAAGAGCAGCCAGGAGAGTTTCCCACTCGAATTACTCCGGAGATATGCAGCGACTCAAGGTAAATGCTGTTAGTTATTCTCGATCGCGTCTGGACCATGGCATGCATGTTTCTTCATCTAGGTGCAACCAAGGCTGAACAAAGTATGGCAGAAGGATTGTGCAGCTGTTGCTAACTTTGAGTCCAAGAGTTTTGCTAGGACTAAGTGCGTCATGAATCCCATCCCGGACACGAGTGTCTAGATTCGCTCAGTGCTAAATTATTGTAATGTCAGATACGGGGAAGAGGAGCGTGCTTGATTGGCGTGTATGTCGTCGGCAAGCTGATTTTTATCTGAGAGATGTATTTGCAAGCTTCCGTGACGACGCTAGCACAAGGTACTCACCTCAGATAGCCGTGCATCAAGGGCTCTCTCAACCTCTTCGCTAGAAAGTAGGAGAGGAGAGACTTTGTATCCGCAGCTCTTATGATTGGACGAATAAGTGTTACTACTTCCACAGCCCCGGCACGGTCCATTCGACGCCGTAGCGAAAGGATACAGCTCCTTTTCAACGACAGGTAAAATGACAGAGATGGGCCTTGTGGCTGAGCGCGCATGTGATAGCTCCTTCCATTGCTTGTGACCACCTTCAACTCTCTGCTGGATAACTTCCGACATTGCGACAACACACTGATGATGGAATTGTAGAAGCGAGTGGTATACGGCGGCAGAAACGTCCTCCATGAGGGAGTCGTAAACATCTCCCAAGCTTCGATGGGCCAAAGCGCGGGCGGCAAGCTCAGCTTCCTCCTTCCACCCATGCGCAGCGGCGAGAAGGTACACTGCGAGGCCGCGGTCTGGTGTGAGCCGCCTGACCTCCTTCTTCAGGGCAGCAGCGATACGTGGGATTTCGTAGCGTGTAGCAACCTGCGCAAGACTCCATAGTCGCCGTGAGTCTGTGATACTAACGGAACATGGGGATGGGGCAACCATGCGGATGAGGTCCGCGAGAGTCTCGCTATCAAGCTGGACTTTTACGATGGGCAAGTTGGCGTCTGGCGCGCTCTGACAAGAGCCCTCATCCAATATCACGGTTGCTCCGCTGAGTCGGAAGAGAAGGGTATGGGCTCGGAATTGAACTCCGTCTGTAGACCGAAGTACGACGTCTGCTTGGTCCCCATCGAAAAGTAGGTCAATATCAGTATTGTCTTGCTGGCGTAGGTAGGGTGGAAGCGATGTGGCACATCTGCTAATGAATGACGACAAGCCAGGCATGGGAGTACCGCGGCAGAACTGAAGGAGTCGATAGAAGCAAGCAGCTGTGATGTTGGGCATGTCCGACGTGTAACATGCACCGGCTACAGTGTCAGAGAAATTGGAAGAGCTCTCGTTGAAATTGCGGCTCGTTTTCCACATCGATGCGGCCAGCAGTGCCTCCTTGTCAAGCTGAAGGCGACAAGCGATGGCGAACACGTGCAACGATTCGGCAGCAGCGAATCCACATAGCAAACTGCAAGCGAGTTTGCTTGCCTCATCCAGCTGATATTTTATCGCAGCCTCGAGAACTGGTTCGAGCTGGGATAGGTCAGCGAAGGTGGGGTCGTCGACGGGATAGCACAGGCGCAGGAGGGCGTCGAAGACCTCGCTCTCCTCCGAGACAGAGATGGGCTCTGGTGACCCTAAGGAGGCAGGCTGCTTGAGTGAGAACATGGCATGAAAGAACGGTGACGCCACTGAGAGGATCGATTTGTAAACTCGAAAGTCGACAGCATCCGACGTAGTGAAGACGACGTCTGCATTATCGATGTTGAACGGATGGGCAGCGGTCGCCCGCTTTCCTTGGTTGTTTGACATGCTTCTCGCCAATGGTTGCTCGCGGGATCCTCTCGAACACGTCAACCAAGTTTGAACAATGGTAAGTGAGACCGACGTACGACAAATGCACGAACAGCCCAGGGTTGAGGCAAGCTGTTAGGCGCCAAGGCGCAGCCATTTGTCAGCGGGCGCACTGCCATGACTGTCGCAACAGGCCGTAGCCAATGTGCTCCCTGAGAGAAACGCCACAGAAGCAAATACTTTGCGGTGTCAACATCTGACCGAGATTCAGCGCTCAGCAACACTCAAAGGCTCACCGATCGACTTCCAAACAACCAGAAGATAAACACCGTACGTCGCAACCAGCTCGCAGTCGCTATTAACACGAGCTGTAGAACGTCACCCTGTTTCAGACTGCCCAAGTGCCAATTATTTGTGGTGTAGAATGGTGTGTTAGACATTGGTGGCAGTTTCGCTCAAGTCTGTAACTGATCGTCGGCGTCTGTAGGCCCCAGGCTGTTAGTACGCTCGCGCAAGAGTCAAGACAGTCTCGATGCGAGATACACAATAACCAGTACTTGCGGACAGGATTCCCTCCAGTGTTCGTTTTACCTACATCGACATCATTTCACATGAACCAGGCTAACTCGTTCCGGCTCCGGGATCTGGAGGCTCTGCTTTCGCGTACCACAAACGCGTACTAGCGCGGGGCTCTAGACAATATTTATGTCGGCCCTCTGCACTGTGGAATGCAAACTGGCCTCCTTTGTCCCTACTTCTCCTCTATTATAATCGCCATGCGCACGCCGGACCTCCTGCGCGACTCCTTTTTCGGCCGCATCGCCTACCACGTTTCCGGTAGACGTCTGTTTCAGCACCCTGAAGAGCACCCTAACTTCGTGCTGCCTCGGCGCTATGCTGCCCACCTGGCTGGTCCCAGTCTGCAGACAAGGCATTTTGCAAGCTCGTCAGAGTCACTCGACCCCCCGCCTCCCGGATTGATCACAAACTTGGACGTGGGTGCATCAAGTAGCACCCTGATTGGCGGCATCACACCCGGGATTGAAGCGAAGATCGAGGATCATATGGCGAAAAAAGAAAGCACGGCCGCGCGCGAGGTGCTTCATCGGCTGCCACAGGATACTGAGAGGGTAGATCTAGCTGCAACGGCGAAAGAGGAGCAGCGGGCTCACGAGGACCCAAATATCGTGGACTGGTACGGTCCTGATGATCCTGAGTGCCCCAGGAACGTGCGTGCATGCGTATATGGCGCCCTCCCAGCTGCTAATCTCGTCTCTCCAGTGGTCGCTCGCGAAGCGATGCTTCGTCACCTGCCAGATCGGGCACCTCACGTTTGCCGTTTTCATCGGCTCATCCATCTATGCACCAGGCACCGCGGACTTATCCGAGAAGTTTGGCATCTCAGTCGTGGCAGCGAACCTTGGCATCACGTTGTTCGTCCTTGGGTATGCCTTTGGACCGGTGTGTATGCTCCGCCTCTCCCTCAGGCTGAGCGTCTCACAGATAGCCGTAGATGATCCTCGCACCAATGAGCGAGATCCCTCAGACTGGCAGGGTATCGGTGTACATGATTACCCTCCTCATATTCATGCTTCTCCAGATCCCGACTGCGCTAGCAAAGAATCTCGGCGCCTTGCTACCTCTGCGATTCTGGGCAGCGTTCTTCGGATCGCCGGTTTTCGCTACCGGCGGCGCGACCATCGCAGACATGTGGCCACCGGAAACCCAGGTGATTGCAATGTCTGGGTGGACTCTTTCCGCGATGTGTGGCCCGAGCATTGGCCCCGTTATTGGCGGCTTCGCGGTCCAGGCCAAAGGCTGGACGTGGACGATCTGGATCATGCTCTGGCTCACTGGTGCCACCTGGGTCTTCCTGGCCTTCACGATGCCCGAGACGTCGCCCCAAGCGTAAGTGCCACAGTCGATATCGTCAGAACATTTCGCTTATCATATCTGTTTGCAACTATCAATAGGATCCTCTACAGCCGTGCAGTCCGTCTGCGCAAGCTCACGGGAAACCCAAACCTGAGGACTCAGGCTGAGATAGAAGGAGAAAACATGACAATGAAAGAAGTTGCCATGATGACCATCGTGCGTCCGTTCTATCTCGGGTTCAGTGAGCCCGTCGTTCTATTTTGGAATCTGTATGTTGGATTGGCATACGGTGAGTCGTTTACATAATTTTCCTCGACATCGCGAATACTCATGCCCTCCAGGTATCCAATACTGCTTCGTCGCCTCCTATAATGTGATTTTCACCGGGCATCATGGCTTCAACCTGGGGCAAAACGGTCTAACTTTCCTCGTAATTCACTGCTCTTCCTCATGCGTCCGAATTTGTCTCACACATCATCCGCAGGGCATTGTTGCAGGTGGCATAGTGGGATTCATAGGTCTTGTACCTTGGGCGCTTTATGTACTCAGGCCCAAGTTTACCAGGGGAGGTATGATCCTGCCATATGTACTGTACGTAACTTGATGCTCATTTTGTACATTCACGCTACAGAATTTGTGCCAGAAGATAGACTGCCAATCGCATTTCCAGGTGCTTTTTGCTTTTCTGTGAGGCCCCCACCTTATGGTCAGCACCTCTATTTCTGACCGAATCCCGTTCCAGATAGCTATGTTCTGGTTCGGCTGGACGAGCGGCGCTGGAGTGCCTTGGATCGTCCCCGTCATCGCTTCCGCGGTGTGGTCATTAAGCGTGCTTCTTCTGTTCCAGGCCGGTTTGAAGTAAGCCCTCGACATGCTCCGCATCCCCTCGAGTCCCGCACTGACGGCACGGCCTCTGCAGCTACCTTGCCGACTGCTACCCCCGTCATGTCGCATCGGTAATGGCGAGCAATGACCTTTTCCGGGCCATCATTGGTGCTGCGTTCCCTCTGTTCAGTACAGGTTCGTTTCTACTTTGCACGTCTGGTGCCGCTCGCTAACCGATGCCTCCTACCAACAGCGTTCTTCAATAATTTGGGTGTAGGCCCCGCGATGAGTATCATTGGCGGAATCACCGTACTAATGCTGCCAGTCCCATTTGTTCTGTGAGTTGTCCAGCATTATTCAGAGGCGCGCATGACTAAGTCAGCTGTAGCTATCGCCATGGAGCCAAGATCCGCTCTTGGTCTAAATATACGGGCTAAGTGCATTGAGCTTCGTAAAAGAGGCCCTGCGGTGATACATGAACTGGCGTCGGTGGCCTTACCTCGCGGGGACCACCATGATAAGTTTGGTGCTGACGGTGATTGAGGATGAGGGGTTGGTTTGGGGTCTGGTGTGGTAGAGCTCACCGACTGGCTCGGTGCTCGTGCGGGGCCAGGGCCGTCCGGTACGGTTCTGCAGATCCTCGCACCCTCAGGTCTTAAATCTTACCAGGGAGTACCAGCACGGACACTATTTATTATCGACCGTAGCAGAGGCCCTCTTGTAACAGTAGTCTTACGGGGCCCTTTTCAACATGCGAAAAAGCAAATCGATGCATAAACTAGTGTACCTTCTTGTCGAGCATTCGTAGCAAATAATGCAGTACAGCTGGCCAAGGCCGTTCGAACTGTCAAGACGCCAACGTAGCACCCTCTTTCGCTTTTTCTTTTTGTTCTCCTGGCTTCACACCTGTTCTCGTACTCGTATCCGAGGCCCAGCCCCAGTCTGCTCCCTTTTCGCATACCCATTGCTGGCGCTCTCGTTTGCTCAGCCTATCCACCCTGCAAGCCCTGATTCTCGAGTAAGTCTTGCCTATTTGTCGATCTGGCTGTCAAGATATTGACGAATAACGGCAAGGACCTCCTGTTTCGCCGCGGCCGGTACGGACGCTATACACTGATAGTAGAATACAGATTGTTGAAGCAAAGCACACATACATTCCGCGCGAAGCCGCAGCTGTTCCATAAGTTGACGAACAGGGGTTGTGTCAGAATGACGGGCCATCTCTGACACGATAGGTCAGACACAAAAAGTGCAACTCCACACATTCATGAAAAGATGTTGACCTTTACTCTCATGATGAATCTCGTCAATCCACCCAGCCTCATCTAATCGTTTCGAAAACATATCGCTGATCCTATGTTGTGGATGCTGTTAAGACATGCGTTTTTCTATGTCGATGTCCGACAGCCGCGAGTCGCGACGACGCGACCTACCTCTCCCATTCGCCGCTCTCAATCATTCTACGAGTGACCACCGCATACATGGCGTTTTCACCTGCTTCATTACGCGGCATCTAGTCCCAGAAAGTACGAAGGATGCCTTGTACGACGTAGAGGAGAAAGAGAAAGGATGGTGCCAGCCTTTTCCAGAATTTGTGAGAATTTGAGAAAGCGCGAAGTAATTGGCGCCCTTATAGCGCTTGAAAGCGGTGCAGTGATTTGCAACGGAACTGCTGGTGGTCAGGTAAGTAAACAGTAGCTGATGTGCTCGGATCACAGCCGTAGGTACAATTCTATCATTATTGAAAAGATAACCAATCATTTCAAGTTGCACGCCCCTACTAGTCACATCACAACATGAATATAACCATGCAGGACATAGTTCTGGCGATAACGGCGATAGCTCTTCTTGGAACACCTGCTGCGCGCATGCCGCCGCTGGTAGAGGATCCACCGCCGAGCGCAGAGGCGCTCGGCAACGCAGGTAAACTAGTTGTCGCGTTTCCTGTAGTCACAGGGCTGCTCAGGAAGACCGTGTCCTCGAGACTACTGAAAGTGGGCGCGGTGCTGAGCATCTCAGGGTTGTTTGTTGGAGTGATAACTGGGTCTGGGCTCGTAGTAAGAGCCGTGGTTGATGTTGTCGGCGCCGTTGTCGGCGTCTTTGTTGGCGTCTTTGTCGACATCTTTGCTGGCGTAGTCGCTGGCGGAGCACCGTCTGAACGCCACAGGATAGTAGGAGAGCTAACGGAGCATACCTTTCGTGCTGACGATAGTATTAGGGCCGCCCGACGGTGGCTCGCAGCCCGACTCAAAACAGGTGTAGCCAGGAGCTATTTGGCACAAAATCAACGAAAACCTATCCTCGATGAGTCGACATGAGAATGCTCACGGCAGCAGAAGTCGAACGATTCGCAGGGTTCGTAATCTGGGTCCGAACAGTCGTTTGAAGTACCCGTGCAGACCTCCCCGTCGGGGCAGCATCCGGGCTGGCCGTCTACGACGTCACAATATTGGCTAAGCAGCGATCTCATGAACGGCGACACAGGTGGATTTCAAAGTCATCGCATGCTTACCCTTCATCACAACACCCGCCGCCTGCCTAGTCGTATTAGCTATCACATACAGTCGCGGCAGGTTTAGAAGCATAACGAACCTTGGCAGCAATTTTATCCTGCATCACAACAATCTAGCGAACAAACGCACCATGAGGCTCCTTCGAGGTGCTCTTCACGATGAGAGGCCGAGCTTACCAGGGTAACAGCATGATCCATCGAGTGGGCAGCAATATTCATCATAGCAGACACCCCATCGACTTTGGCACGAGTCCCGAGCAATAAACAGGCCCATGAGTGGATTGCGCCTTGTCAGGAGCTCCTTGACGATGCGTGGTTTGAGTGACTTCCCGGAGGTAGCTGAGCGCCTTCCTCCAGGGACGCCCGCAGCAAGCACTGCACTAGTCACAGACGCAACGAAAATTAGAAGAGGGTAAAGGTGCATAGCGGAAATGCTCTATCTGACCTCGGGCGCGATTTCGGAAACACCTATATACACACCACGATCCATGGGGAGAGCAACCCAGGATCTCGCCAACTTGATCTCCGCTACTAGGGACATCTAATGACATTACGACCATCAACAGGCACGCCGCCACAAGATGTAAACTTTAGCTACCCATAATATGAGAGCGGGGACAGCGTGCACTGCCCCAATTCACTGTTTACCAAACGCAGTTTATTTGAGCGCCTAAATGCGCTTGGCAAGGCTCCGTTACCTCCAGAAATCGTCCCTGGGCTGCGCGAGAGCCTACAACAAGTCAGTCACGCCAAGAGCATCACGTATCGCTGCGCGCCGCATCACGCGTTGCGCGACAAAAGCTATCACAATAGGGACAAGGCATCAGCATATCGCTAGTACCTGATGCCATGACCAATATAGCGTAAGTTCTGTAGCAAACGCATTATATCTGTGGTCGTAAGGAGAACAAATTGAGCTAATTGTGAGCGAACGCAGCACGGGCATTGTGCACTGAGACCATCATGTGCGTTGAGCCAGGCAGCTCCAGCGGACCCGATATTCGCAGTTATCCGCGGTCATTAACCTGCCCAAATTCATGAGGTCTAACTAGGTGAGGATCGCTGTTATGTTGAAGGGCCGTTAATGAGTGCTGTAACGCTGTATCTTTCAAAGAAATCGCGCGATGTGATGGAGATGGAGATATACAGCGCAAGGGCTCGTTATTACCATCCCATATACGACTCGGATGAAATGACGACCAGGAGCACGCTGTCGTTTGACATAGTCACATACGGCCAACGCTAACGACAGGTAAGGAATTGGTTGCAGAGCATCAGTATGCATAACTAGCCTCACCCAGGGGGGGCATCACCGCTAAGCGCTGAAAACAACCTCGGTGGGGGGGGGGGGTCGGCAAGCGTCTAGCAGCGCTCGGGACCTCTGGAAGCGTTTGTTAATGCTGCCTCCCCCCTAGCCTCACCTAATGCCCCCAAGGCTATATAGTTATTTTTGTGACTTGTACGTAATCTAGTAGGCAGAGGGCAATAATGAAAAAAGACATAAAATGAAATGAAGCTTACCACGCTGACTCGGAATAATCGATCATCTTCGAACTGACCAAGCCTGGAAGAAACCGAAAGCTGGCGCGCAAAAAGGACACTCTTGGTACTATCGGATAGCCAGCTGGCTTGGTGTATCACAGCGAGGCTCTTCGCCATGGTTTTGATCTCATACTGGACGCAAGCAGGTGCTATGCGTAGCGCACTGGTTTCTGCGGAAAACCTTCCAACCACTCGGCATGTTCCCAGTGCCACAAAGCCCGTATCGGGTTGGCCCTGCCTGGCCCTGATCAACCAGCGGGAATCGAGTCAGCATCTCGGCATTCTGACAATATAAGATAAATAGTGTCTAACGATGACCGCCACGATGACAAGATAAAGATTATAAACATGCGACCAAAAGACCTTGTTCATGCAGATTTGTCTGCAGACGTCGCCTTCTCCTTAGCAGCAGCCTCTAGCTCTGTGAACGTGCCACTCTTCAGACACATGCTACGGAAGATGCCACCTTCCTTCTGAATCAGGTTCCACGGCGTGTCAAATTCAACCAGTTCGCCTTTGTCGAGCACAATAAGACGGTCGTAGTCGATGACCGTCCTCAGGCGATGAGCAACTAGTGTGACACATTTAGCACGAAAGAAGTAAAGAGTGAGATTAGACATGCCTGTCAGAAGGAGAGAGTCGTTGAACTCTTCTCTGATCGTCTTTTGGATCTTCGCGTCAGTAGCAAAATCAATGCTGGAGGTTGCTTCGTCGAGCACAATAATGGCACTTCGGCGCAGCAATGCCCGCGCCATGGCGATCAACTGTCGCTGTCCTTGCGAAAAGTTCGCACCACCCGGTGACACCTGGGTTTCAAGATTGACCGGAGCTTTGGTATCAACCTCAGTGCTGGTCGGTGTTCCAGTGCCAGTGCTCGCTGTCTCGTCGCGCTCTACCCCTCGGATGGAAGCTGGGCGCGAGGGCTCTCGAGAAGTGCGCTGAGATGCGAGCTGATTTTCAGTCAGCATTTGTACGCGGTACAGAACATCCAGACATTCGCTGTCGTCGTGCTCGCCTGATGCAATTGTTAGCCAAATGCTCAACATTTTACGAATGAGCACAGCTCACCAAAGGGGTCCAGGTTATCACGGAGAGTCCCTGAGAACAGGGTCGCGTCTTGGGGAATGAATGTCTGTGCATGTAAGGCGTCAGAATATCCCTTCACGATGAAATAGCATAAAAGCTTACAATTCTGGATCGCAGGTCGTGTAGACCAATGGTCGAGATGTCGATACCGTCAATAACAATACTGCCTTGGGCCGGGTCCACCTACGATGGTCAGCCATAAGCCACATAGCACAAAGTATCGACCAAGGTACTTACAAAGCGGAGAATACTCATCGCTAAGGTACTCTTCCCGCTACCTGTACGTCCAAGTAGACCGATACGCTCCTTGGCCTTGAGCTTGAACGAAATGCCGCGCAGTACATCCGGCAGGTCTACAGCATACTTGACGTGCAAATTTTCGACGGAGATTAGTTCGTCGCTATTGGGACCTGTGGAGGACGGCCAGTATGCTGGCGGACGGCTATTCTCAACAACGAAAGCGGGCTCTTGCGGAAGGTCTAGATACTCGACAACACGTTCTACAGAGCTGTGTTGCCAGTAAGCACGGAACCGTTGCGAAGGTACGCTAAGTACGTACTTCAGATCTAGCTCGAGAGCAGTCCAGAATCGGCAGGCCCAGTACACGCTGTTCGTGAACGCCATAGCAGAGGTGATGCAGACACCAGCAAGACCGGCGTCGACATAGCCGGACAGCGCAAACAAGGTTGTCGTCAGAACCGCTAGAGCGCCGAGTGTATCAAACTGCAGCAAGAGCCAACGGTTTGTCATCCAAAACGAGTACCACATCTACAGCGGTATTTAGCCGACTACTTTTAGGTACGGAAGCCAGAGCATACCTTCGTTGTCAGGTCAATTTTGCTAGTATGAAACTCCAAGAAACGTTTCTCGGCAGAGAAAGCTCGAACAGTGACGATACCTTCGAGGAGCTCCCCGAAGTTCGCGAAGATAGGACTACGAGTGTTAGACTCCATTCTGCGCAGATCTCGGCCGGTATTGAGGTAACCAATAGCAAGCCTCCGGTAGAAGTATCCAAAGACGGAGGCGGGAATGATGAACAAGGGGAAGATAAAGCTGGGGCCGATTCAGCAAGTCGTTCAGGAATAGATATATGGAGAGCTTACATGACTGTGACAACGGACGCCGCAAAGTTTGCCAAAGATTGGTTGACTTGCTGCAGGGAAGAGGCCAGGGAAGTATCTACTGTTTCAACATCTTTACTGAAACGGTTGAGCATGCGACCTGCGAACATTGAGAGGCTAAGGATTCAACATCGAGTTTCGTATATCCTTAGAGAAGTCACCCACCTTGGGGGGTAACATCGTGCCACCTCATGGTTGCGCGAACGACTGCGGTCAATAGTCTCCTGAAGAGGAGTCTTGATGCACGAAGAGCACCAGTATACTGTGTGATGACACCAGTGATGTTCACCAGCGCTGCTCCCAGGGAGATCGCAGCATAGATGCCGATGTAGAAGAAGGGATGATCCTGCGCACGCCGCCAGTGAATCGTCGGCAGTCTCATTGTAGCGGCGCCATAGTGGTAGTGCAGCGGTAGGTGAGCGGAAGTGTAGGTGTGATCCAAAGGGATTTCATGCTCAGGGGTCAACAACGAGTTGATAATGTACGGATTCGTAACATTGCTGCCGTTTCCATAAGCCTCTCCCCAGATCTGTGGGAGCGCATGAGCAATGAAGCAGGGCATAAAACCCAGAAATATTCTCACCTTGATCCAAACCTTCTCGGATACGCCCAACAACTGGTTTATGAGAATGAGGCAGATCAGGATAGCCCAAGTCCAGTAGGATCTGGAGCTCAGCTCAATATTGCGGGCATTAACGACGAAAAAACGTGAAGCTCACGAAGCTTTGAGGTATGTCTTATAAATTGACCATTTTACTGATCCAGCCTCGCGGTGCTCCTCTTCGATCAGCTTGCGAGGGGACTTTGCCTTCGCAGGCTGTTCAATACTGTCAGCGCTGTCAACTTTTGCCTGGTCATTATCTGCTCCCTCGCCGACCGCCGCTGCCTGTTCTTCCTTGTGGGTCTCGACAGCTTCGTCATGCGTGATTTCGTCGAGAATGCCTCGAGCACGGAGTTCCTTAACAGTGCCTTGGGTGTCGATACGTCCATCAAGCATACGGACAAGATAAAATGTCCCCGGGAGGACGAGTTCGACGTGATGAGTAACGAGGATCTACAAGTGGACCGTTGAGTATATTGTCAACGCAAGGCACGCGTGTACTTACGACAGTACGATGTGCCAGGAGGGGGCCTTTAAACAACTTCTCGAAAAGGAAGCGTGCGGTGTGACTGTCCTATGGAGGGGGGAGGGGGGGAGTTTAGCGTATATATGCGTCTTCATAGGTGTAGGACCCACCACAGCGCTGAGTGGATCGTCCAGCAGAACGTATTTAGTAGGCTACGAAAGATCAATAGGGCGGACGACACGAAAGGGACATGTACATACAGCGTAAACGGCGCGAGCTAGCGCAACCCTAGTTTTGGAAGTTAGAATGGCCCCAATCCTACAGATGTCAAGGCTTACCTCGCCTTTTGGCCTCCAGAAAGGCTGACACCGCTATTGAAGGCATCAGCACGCTGACCAGGTCGGCAGACTCCGGACCTACCGGGCGCCAATTTCGGTTGCATCGCCGTCTTCGAGGATTTGCAGGTCGGGCTTCAGGGCGCAGCACTCGACAACGGCCTGGTAGCGCTCCTCGTCATAAGGATAGCCAAACAGAATGTTATCCTTGATTGACTGGTGGCGGAGCCAAGGTGCCTGGGCAGCGTAGGAAATGGAGTGCTGGTGACCGTGCTCGTCGACCTTGGATGAATCTTTGGACATGATCAGACGTCCTTCGAGACGAGTCATTTCGCCGAGGAGGGCCATCTAAAAGCCGTAGTTAGACAAGTTGCTTGAAGACAGAACACCAGCACTATTCACCAAGAGAGCGGTCTTTCCGCTGGCTGTTGGGCCAGTGACTACGGTAAGCTCTCCTTCGGGGAACATGACGCTAATATCCATCAATTCAAACCGGCGGTCCGACTCAAAGTCAGCAATAGACACGCTGTCCACTGCCGTTGCACCGTCATCTTCACCATTGCTGTTGCTGTTGTTGTTGGAACTTGACGGAGTTTTCTTCGGCGGCTCTTCTTTCTTTTGCTCAACCTCGTTCCACTTGAAGGTACCATGCTCAACGCCGAGGCCGCCAAAGCTCTCCGTTGCGGAGACCGTTGCGGACTTCTTGAGCGAAGAGACCTGTTCATCGACCTCTTCCTCATCGAGATAGGTCGCGATACGATCCATAGCAACCTTGGTTTGCATGAGCTGAACGATCCATGAAGGAATAACGTTCAATGGTGCACTAAGACAAGGTGTGAACGATCATTTTGAGACGAGAAATCATCGGACATACCGCATCATGCCAAATAGCGCGATAGCCTACAAGCAATTGTCAGTCGCAGGACAAGTCTAATAGAGCAGAATTACTAACCGTGAACGCTGTTCCGACAGTCAACTGGTTGCCACGCATGACATACACAAAGAATGCCATGACCGACACAAGGATAGGTGCCATACTCCAGATGAGCGAGAACATTACGTTGTTGATACGAGCTGCCGTACTGTAAGCTCTCTGCCTATACACAACCATGTAATGTCGCATCGTACCTTTGACCATCCACTGCATCTCAACTTCACGTGCGTCCATGGCCCGATTGATCCAACGCTCTTCCCAAGCGAAGAATTTGATGAATTTGACCTATGGCCTCTGCTCAGCGTTGCCTGTATATTTACCGATATCAATTGACCCACCGCAGAGATGAGCTCGTTTAATACACCCATACGCTTGTCACGCGCAGTTGAAAGGCCCTTGTAAATTCTGACAGACCGCCTCGCAACATAGTTGTTGAGTGGCCAGCCGATGATGATTATGGCAAAACCTGCGAAAGCCGAGAAACCAAGGAGCCTGGCGAGGAGAGTTAACAACCGGGCGCGAGTATATAGGTCTCGCGGTCAGATACGCACTGATACAGGAAGAAGCCGGCGATAATGATTTCGAACGGTGCTACCAGGCGAAGAGTAAGATTGTGAAAGTAAAGCATAGGAAAGAGTGCTCACCTCCATACAAGAAGTACAAGCCGGACGTAATCATCGCAATCCTGTTTGCATCGGCAGCCATTAGATTGACAATCTTGCCCACGTCTGCTCCCGCTTTCGGGTTGTCACCCTTAGGGTCTAAATCAAAACGTTAGGCTTCATACAAGACCGGGATGAGCTAAAACACGCCTTCTTTCTTCGGATCTGCGTTCTTGTTCTTTGCTGCATCCTTGTCGACGATACCGGAAAAATCTTTGCGCTTGAGAGCCTTGTCGTAGATGGCGGTCATCAGGCTGGATCTAATTCTCGTTGCCGCCCGTCGTCCGTACCACAAGTGTTGTACATCTGCTTCAGCGCGACCAATGGTGCAGAGAAAGGCGAGGAACGCGTAGATATATGCCTGCGAGACCTTCTTGACACGCGTGTGCTCGTCTTCGCCATCGCGAACGTCGAGCGAGTCAAGGATCTGCTTCAAGAAGAATGGGCCGAGATAGTTGAATATAACGCTGATATACGTCAAGGCGAAGTCGAGAGTCAGGTCGAGGGAATTGGCGGCCCAGAGCGTGCGCAGCAGCGTTGGACGCTTGCAAGTGCTGAACTTCGTGTACACAGGACGCGCTTGCATCGTTGGACTAAGGGTCCAGACATCGCTTTCATTGAGGGTCTCGTGGGTTCCACGGTCGATAAGAGGCTTTACCCAAAGGAAGGATATCCAGTTCCAGAGTGAAGTATAGTCCTCTGGTGACACAGATTTACCCTACAGGACGTCAGCTTATGCTCGACCATTCACTATAGAGGCACGCACAATGTCTTCACGTCTCACTGTGGGGCTGGGTACTGCCAGCGGCATACCCAAAATCACCCCGAGCAACAAGCACAGCGCTGCAAGATTGAGAATCTGTGCGGCAAGTGTCCACGAGCCCGGAAGTGAGATGCCATTCACTGCTCGGTTGTACAACTCGCCACCAAAGGTCAGGATGTCGAAGGCTGTGCGAAGAATGTACAGAATGAACAAGTCATACGGCGGAGTCGCGCTTGGGCTCGCTACTGGACGGCAGGTCGCGTACAACCAGGATACAGCAACGGCAAACGGCCGCAGATCGTCCCACAGTTCCTCCGGCTGGGTAGCGAAGCGATAAGAACCCACAACGAGCCATGACAGTGTTTCCGCGAGAGCGATTAGCGAGAGGACTACGGTGCGCCACAGAGGTCCAGAAAGAGAGTGCTTCCCGAGCTCCTCTTGCAGTGCATCGGAGTGCAAGGCTTCGGCTTCGTCTAAGGTGAGAAAGGCTCGGAAAGGCCGTTTAATGGCGAGCAGGATGCGTCGAATCGTGATGGGGAGCGGGGTAGCCGTCAGGCATACGACCAGGATGAACGCGGTGGGCACGAAGGCAGCCCATGTTTCGCGAGCGCAGGTCGAGGTCAGGTCGACAGGACTGCTATCGCATATCCCGCGCGCCATGTTTGTCGCCGTCGTCGCCGTTGACAAAGAACTCTAACCCTTGAGTTTGACGGCGCGTAGCATATGGCGCGCATTGCGCATCAAAGCCGTATCACGTGCCATTTATCCTAATTAGGCAGTGCAATATTGGCGCCCATGCTCAAGCACAGATTCGAGCGCTTATGGGGCTCGCACCTCACCGCCGTCGACGACCACAACCAGCATGGAATCGCTGAACCTTAATAATCTTGTCAACTCACTGCCGACGTCGAACTTGGCCAATGCTGAGAAAGATCTTGCAGACAAGTTTAGAGGTAAGTTTTGTACTTCTGCGGTATTTCGCCCTGTTCTGACTCCACGCTGCAGCGGCCGCGCTCAGTATCACCACGCTTTACAAGTCCTCACGAAGGACTTCTAAACGCGCATACAACGCGGGATATGCGGCGGCATGCCAAGACCTGCTGATGATGATCCAACAAGGGGTCTCTGCAGACGAGTCAAGCGATCCGACCGGCAGCAGCATGACCATTGGTCGGATTATGGACTACATCGAAGCGAGATTGGATGCCATTAAATCCAGGGAGGAGGAAGAAGATGAAGACGAAGAGAAGGATCGTGAGCGAGAGCGGGAGCGAAACCTTGCATCCGCCTCAAACAAGGCGCCGTCTAGCACCCTGAACGTGCTGAAGACAGCTGCCGCGTCCGCCAGATCGAGGGACAATAATGTGAGTATTGAGCTTTTTTCTGGTGTTCTCTATCACTTATGGGTATTGCTTCAGGTATCCTCTGCACCGATGACCCCTTTGACACCGTCTCTACTCACGTCCACCTCCGCACTTGCGCGCCCTGCATCGACCCCACCGTCCCCGACATCCACATATCGCTCCCTCCAGCCACAATCCCTAGTCCATCGTTCATCAAGATCGCGCCTTTTTTCGGTGACCAACGCGAACCCGAAGGAATCTATGGTCTCCCCCGCCGCTCCTTTGTCTGCTACACTCCTACCAAGTGCCGGTGATACAACGGTTGCCATCATCCCCCCGCCGCCAGAGTTAAATTTCGCAACGATGACACCCCCCTCTGTTCCCGAGTCAACTGGCACGAAACGTAGGCATGCTGTTATGGTGGCAGAGTCCACGGGCCCGTCCACACCGCCTCCGTCCGGCGCAGCACCGAGACGACGGGTGCGAACGTCCCGTGCCGGGACGCTGAACACGCCGCGCGAAAGCCAGGACCAGAACATGTCGCAGTCCCCGGAAGCCATGGACGTTGAGGAGGAGGGACGCGAGCGCAAGCGTATTGCGCGTCGTTGAGTTGAGACGAACGAGGCATACATCAAGTGTAATTCTCTATTCACGTGTACATCGACATCGCAACTTTACATCGCACCATCATTTTCCACTATCACTCACACTCCTTCTCCATGCGTAATACTCACCGGTAACGACCGCGATGACCTCTCGTCCAATCCTTTCCGCCTCCTCCTAGTAGTATTAGTAGTAGTAGTAGTTAGTTAGTTGGTTAGTTAGTTGGTTAGTTGGTTAGTTATCCCGCCGATACCCTTCGTCTTGTCGCGTAGAGTAGTACAGTACATTGTCCTCAAATTGTATCTTTACATGCCACCATAGATATCTGCCACGCTTTATGGCTCGTGCGACTGGGTCTACATGGCATGGGTCCTCGACCAGGCGCTGGCCTCGAGGTGCTCAAGCTGATTCACTGCCGCACGAACCGCTCAGCTGCGGGACGGCAGCAGTCGTTGTCGGCAGCGACGGAGTGGCGACCTCGCTTCCCTCGCTCGAGTTGGCCAACCGGATTGTGATTGCCTGAGCCGCCTTCTGGAAACTGTTCTGGAACCAGTCTCGCGCGTTCAAGGAGCCAAGAAGCGCGTTCGAGTAGAGGTTACTAAGGGGGAGGGACACTACTACGCGTCAGCGACCGTGCTCTCGCACAAGCGATACGAGAAACTTACAGCCGAAGAAGATGAACGTGTCTGGCCAACACGCTCGCTGGTCGATATGAGAGCCTTGTTAGCGGGACTTCGATGCCGAGACAAAGAGGTTGTGACACTCACGGTGATCACGATTGCAACGCAGAGGAGGCTTGTTAAGAGACCCGTGTTCACCATGTACACCATCAAAATATTCACGACCGACGACGACCTGAGTATTGACTCGGCAAGGATAGGAGGTATGAGTACGTGGAAAGAGACATACCGAAGGATGTGCGACCTCATCCGATGGATGTAGAAGCACAACGCGATCGCAATGACGAGGTCCTCGACGATGTTGGTTCCGAGTGCAAAGAAGAAGAGCCACTACACCGCATGATATACATTAGCTCCTCGAAAACCCCGTTGAGGACGTACAACTCATGCTAAACTTACGCCGACATTAGCGAATCCAATAAACGTGCTGAGTTGGAACCTGAGCAAAGTTGGCAAGCGGCGCGTTAGTTGATGATGAAGCCCCCTCAAGCTACTACAGGGCGGCAGTGACGTACAATTTAACACTAAGTGCAGTGGCGACACCTGTGAAGTCGGTCCAACCTTCAAGCTTCAATAGTGGAGCATTCAGAAGTCGTGCTGCACCTTACCGAGGACTATAACACAGCCGATGATCTGGTACGCTGAATCTAGTACGACGCACTCGCGTGGTCTCGGGCAGAAATGAAGGAGCTCACCAGGCTGGCGACAAGCAGAGTATTCCCGTCGCTTACTGAATATTGTATGATCGTGAGCGGGAACGTTTGCTTTGTAGCAGTTCTGGACTCACGCTTCCAGACGCGGAATATAAACCAGCTAAGGTAAAGGAGAGTGAGCGATAGGCGATACCTCTCGATCCAATGCTTACGCCTGTACAAGCACTGCTGTTGTTGTCTGATAAGAAGCATTAGGGCGATAGATATGCTGCAAGCCGCTGGCATAGTACACACACCGTGAGTAGGATTACCATCTGCAAGGCTGTTAGTTGAGACTATCGACTAGGACTGAGATTACTCACCGGGCCACTCCTGTTAGAAGACAGACGTGGATTTATTATTGAAGCGCACGCTGAGACGAAACGTACCAGGGAATAATGGATAATAGCACAGAGAAGTCCGCGAAGTTTGTGACTGTGTAGCTATTCGAGCGATGTCTTGGTAGGTCTCGAGAGTTACAGATGTGAGGATACTAACAAGTAGAGCGCATGTATTATGCAGATCAGATGAAGCGTGTTCATGATGCTGTTTGGGACTTCAGTTCTCTCTCAGCGACGATTTAGAGACGGCACACACAAGAGAGTCCAAACCTAGTGAACGCAAATCAGCGGATGCTATGCTCATGATGGAGAGGTGAGAAAGCGTACAGAGAGTCGTAGAAGGAGTTTGTCCTTTCGCATTTGCAGGAGGAAAATATAAGTCTGCAGAACTAAAATCCCATATAGACTAGGTAGCGATTAGCGTGATATATACTGAGTAAGCGAAGAACGAAAACCCACATGGAGTTGACGAAGCCACCTATAACGATGGCACCTAACGTCTCATTGAGGATAGATCCAAGTTCAAGAACAGGAGCCATAACGCGTCTCGATCCTGTATCAGACGGGACCACCGCAAGTGAACTGTAGTCATTGAAGAGGCGACCTATGGTTCTATATAGCTTGCGTACAAAGAGCGGACGCTGTCGGAGATGCAATAGACATCATTCGAAACGTCGGGGCAAGTGTATCCTGAGGCCGTAGGCTGCGGGATCAGGAAGTGAGCCTGGAAAAATACAAGATACTCAACAATCCTTTCATCTCGGCTCCATATGAGTAAATATTGCCGACATGCCGAACAACCTATCAGGAATACTGAGCATGGACAACCCATCTGGCCAGGTGTTGGTCGATATAGCGTAGAGGGAAGGAAGTATAATAGCAAGGGAAAGCTGGAAGTGTACCCTGACACCTGACTGAGTACTTCGAGAAGAACGGCTACAGCTTGTAATGTCGACCCAGTACCGACAATTGAAAGTCGCAGGCCCAGCTGCGGGGGGAAGAGCAAAGGTCTAGATGGCTATTTTCTTTGCCAAATTATGACATACGGCTCGCATGCCCATCATGGGCGAAAGAACACGAAGACGCGGAATTCGATACTGTCACAGGCAAATCGTTGTCGGATTTTCAAGGATCACGTCGAAGGGCTTTCTATGAATAGAACGCCCACATATCAATCTTAGAACACGGGTTCCGCCCTGGGTGAAGCGTCAGCTAGATGCAGTCGGATGCCCAGGATGCCCGAAAGACACACCGGGAGTTTCCTGGGCGAAGCCCCCGACAGCACAGCTTTCGCTTCGGTGGGCACAAACTGCAAAGGCAGTGTTTTCTTGCCTTTTTCCAAATGCAGCCGACACACCCAGGTTGTCTGAATTATGAAGCAAGCATTGCCTTCCTGAAAGCGGCGTGGCTCCCCGCGTGCAGTTTTCCCAGTGCCATCCGCTTTAGACCGAGTGATCAGTGGCGTCGTCACTGCACAAACAGCTGGCAGGAATATGTAGTGTATGAGTGTTTGATTCGCAGTATGCAGAATAAGCATGCCCTGACCTTGTCCGAAGAACCCAAGCTTAGTCACTGCACTGGCTCGGAGACGTCTCTATTCCCTGAAGTTTTCGGGGTCCGCCAGTACGGGCTATCAACAGGACCCCAGATGCGAATAACCGCTGGCTCGCAGACTGTCAATCACAGCCTGTATCGCCCCAAGTAATGGAAGAAAGTTGGGGTGTGGTTTGATGACGTATAGGAGAGCCTGACTAGTTCATTGTTACTGGCAATCGAGTCAGCAAATCGCAGAAAAATCTCGCATTTCGACGATAAAAAAGCGAATAAAATTGTCCGGACGCCAGACACAGGAAATAGCGCAGTCCTACCAAGGTTATGTTAACTTGGCCCTCGATAGACAGAAAACATCGCGAGCACGCACCTCGTACCCCCAACCATCTTACGTTGATGCATGGGCGCCCATTACTCGCTTGCCGTCCCCATGTGACAACTTGCATGAAGCAAAGCGAACATCATCGCCCTTATCTCCAGCATTCTCGGAAGCTAGACCATGTAGGGGGCCCATAAAAATGCGGCCATGGCTCGCGCGTTGCGAAGACACACTCGCCCTCATCTGCACAGGGAGGATGCAGCCAGAGCCGTCGACCTCGCCAACGCTGCAGTGGCAGAAGGGCCTCCTGCCCGAGTCAGCACCTGTCTTCGACATCCCGCTGGACTCCTATCTGCACGGCGATGCGTTCGGACAGGCAGTTTGGGACGTCTGGGTCGCTGTAGCACCTGCCGTAAGTAGCTTTCCCCTCTGGATGGATTGAGCTGAAGGTGATACACGCAAGCAGATCAGGAATGCCGTCGCAGCGATTATGCACCATGCGACATACCACGCTCAGCTGCTATACACATTGACATTTCCCCACGTTTTGTTGGGGACGCTAGCGGTGGTATGTTGTGCATCGCGAGACCTGGCTCTGCGTGCCTAACAATCAGCTCAGGCACTGGGGGTAGTGTTCACTCTGACCCACCTACCGACTGTCAACGCGGTGGTCTGCGCACTGGTCTGGGTGGTGCTACACATCTTGCAGCTTCGTCTCGCTGCATACGTTCACCTCTTGCTCGCGCACCGGGCGTCATCTCCCGATACTCGCACAAGAAACGGCACGCATATACCCATCTCACGGCGGAGGGGCCGTGCGAACAGCTCTTCACTCAAAGCTCGCTCAGTGCCCCGCGAGATGAGCAGAGACAGGTCTGCTGAGACGATCCGCCAGCTGCTCCTCCCGGCGTGCCTGCTGCTCTCGTTGTTGTGCAGAGTCCCAGGTCCTGCATTAGTCCTTATGATGACAGGCATCTCTATCGATGTCGTCGGAGGAGACTTTCTGGGCGGGGGCTTCGCGCAGCAGGTTAGGAAGAGTGCTGAAAAGGCTGCTCGCATGCGCTTTGCAGACGCGTTTGAGGTGTTCGAGGTGCAGCCCTTGTCGGGAGGTCCCATGACACCGTTCGGCATGCCGAGAGAGCATGGGCAATGTATGCATGGCGAAGAAGCCGGGAGATGGACCGCGGAATGGATCTTGCAGAAGTCCGCCATGGGTCGTCTGGTGATATATGCGACCACGGTGTATGGCGCAAGGTGCATACTTGTATCTGCGCAGTGACAGTCGCGTCCGCCATGAAAATGGACGATATCTCTTGAGCTATATAGAATGCGGAACGTATGGGGAACTGGGAAAGGACATGTATAATTTACGATAGTCGTCAGAGGCGGTATCGAAGTACAGTGGTACACAACACGTTACTGTCCATCTCTTGCTTCGGCGTCATGTCAAGTGGTCGTTGATGTTCAAGGTATCGAGCACCGGTATCCGTACCCAAGTCGTTCCAATAGCATACTCGTGCTGAAGTGTACCAGTTGTTCTGTCAGAAGGAGGCAGTTCCCGAGGGCAGGGCATGAGGACGAGCGTCGTTACTTGGGCGTCCGAGTGTCTGACTGGCGGAGGTGGAGGAGCAGGCGGTGAGACACGCGAACGGGAAAAGAAAGCGTATCTTTGATTGTTATGTCATAAAAGCTGAGGACGGCCAGTCGGCAGGGCGGGACGTACCTTCCAGGCGCCACAGGCACCGCAGGCACAGCAGTAGGCGTCGTACTCGCCTTCTCTTCCAGCATGCCCTGCAATGCAAGCGGCTGTCGCACAACCACCGCCATCAGCACGCAATCTAGTAAGGAAGGAACCGTCATCACGCACCAGCATATCCCACGCCTGACCCTTTCCGACACCTCTGGCCTCCAGGTCCGCAAACGCGTCCCACAAACGCGGCTTCGTCTTCGAGGGCACTCTGCCGTGCTGCCGCTGCGAACTTTGCACGCTTACACGTGCTCTGCACAGTGTCAGCGTGAGCCCGACGAAGAGGGCCCCGACCAGCGCAAACCAGAAGAACGAGCTGCGGCATCCACGGGTGAGAATTGCCCTCAAGTACAAGACAAGCGAGAGAGGGCACCTGCTGTCAAACATATCTTACTCTTGCAACGAGCAGCGACGCCTCGGCATGCAAGTTGCCCATGTAGTAGAACGGAGTAGACGACGGAGGGAGAAAGAGAGCCATGAGGGCGTCCGTTCGGGCTTGTCATGTGCTCGGAGACCGTGAGTAACTTTTTCCGGACTGTGATGATGTCGAGGATGCCGCAGCCACTGCGCAGTGCTGCGACCCTGGAAACGCCGGGAAGCCGTGCGGACGTTTTGCGATTTGGATAACCGGGAGCAAAGCAAGCGAGGGGAAAGAGAAAATGTGTGAGATTTATTGCTGCACGTTGGGTGGTGCGGCGGCCCCCAATCAACGCACTTGAATCCAGCTCAGAATCGAGTTCCTCGTCTCGCACTTCCTCACCCAAGCCCTCCCTGCCACCCGCGGCGGTGCGATTAGCGGTCGACGCACCCACGGGCTCAACGACTTCCCCTTTGTGTCTCTCTTGAGCCTCACGGACTCTGTAGACAACCTTAAGCATGCTCAACTCTTGCGGCTTGTGTTGGCTTAAAAAATCAGAATATGTCTAAAAATAAGAGGTTGGTTAGGGTTTGTCGGCGCCTATATGTAGCACGGCGGCATTGCGGTAAGATTTGAAATGAAGCCTGAAATGAGACGAAACAGCAGAGCTGGATAAGTGTGCTTTCGCAATTCGAGGAGCTCGGAGTGTGAGGTAAACGGCTCAGCAGTTCCGTTGAAGCTTGCAGCTTGCAGGTGTGTCTGGGAGTAGCGACACAGTTGCCCAAGCGAGACAACCATCGGGCCAAAAAAACAACAACAAAAAACAAAAAAACGGCGTTTCAAGGACTCGTGGTGGCGGCACTGGCAGTATGACGCTCGGCCATCAAAAGTGCAGAATTTCTCCCGCCCATGTAATTCTCTACTGCCGGTATCTGAAATATTCTAGAGTATGCAGAAGGTATGCCGCATGAGTTATACAAAATTTTGGTGTGACACGTTCAAAGGAACATGCTGGACAGGCATGGAGAACTTGGGTATTTCAGCTTTGTCATGAATATTACATATTCCGGATGGTTCTCCCGGATTCCACAGTATTCTTTTACTTTCTGTGCGCCTCCGTATATTCGTAGTATAATCTAGGTATTGAGTCTGACATGTATATAAGAAGCTCGTACTGCTCAATAACAAGCCAGACTCGAGCTGGTCTTTACTCACCCACTTTCCTCTCGTCTGTCTCCTCAGCCTTGTCGTAGCCCAGTCCAGTTGGATTGTAGGTTGCTGACAAGCTTGAAGGTCTGGTGGGTAACTACACTTATGTACTTGGAGCTAAGCATAGTCAGTCATCCAGATGTTACCCTCCTGCCATGGACATTCGGCGAAGGCAGCAACGCGACGGCGCGCTTAAGTACTTCAACAGCGATCGCTTGATACGTCAGCGTTAGCGGACTCATCTCGAGCATAATGCATCTATGTTTGGGCCCTCAAGGCCTGAAGTCCATCGGGTCGTGCGCTGTCATGGCCAGACGCTGCGTCCTGTGAGAGATACTGTACAGAACTCCGCCGGACGACACCGGAAAGACGAGCTCGTCGCGGTTGTGGCGTCCGGAACACGCCGAGTGTGACGTTGCTGCTTCCGCTCCTGCTCGGTGAGATTGACGAGATGCACACTCCAGGTGCGACCCGGGGTGTGCAAGGCACGATCCGCAAGTATCAATGATGTGGCCACTAATCATATTTATGCAGACTTCATCGCATATCTCATCATGATTTTATGCGAAACTTTGGCAGCCTGGGTGTAGGAGCGTCCAGGGCTGTAACTTACCCTGAACCGTGCGTTCCATCGGTGTAATCTATAGATAACGACTGACTATATGTAGCTTGGTCTCACATTTTGCTGACCCTCATCAGCTACGAAGTGTGTACCATCTATTGCATCTTGCCGTACTCAACAGAAGCTGTGTTTTATCATAGACGAGGGGATATTACAATTCTCCTGCAAACCAGTTCCCTCGTGATGGGATCCGATGTGAGTGCCTGAATATTGCTGTAAGTCTCCACAGCTGTGCTATAAGAAGAGACAGCTTAATGATCTCTCGATAACCGAAGACCTTGTCTCGTCCTCCATTGGCACTGCAGCAGACGCATCATCAGCCATGTCAGCGACTGCAGACATAGATGTCACATGGCATCTCCTTGAGATATCTGGCATTGTACATGCCGTTCTCTGCGGACTCTGGGGTGTGTTCGCCTTCGCCTTCATCGATGACACTCGCGTCAGGCTGCTAATCTGGTCTTAGGCGTATACTTCTCACTCTTCGTGCTGGCGCTCTGGGCTATGCATGGCCGCGAAGACACTGTTCACCGTCGGTTGCGCACTGTCACAATTGCCCTGTATGCCATTCTCGGTTGCTCTGTCGGCCGATCGACATACTTACCGCCTGGCAGCTTTGTCGACCTCTGTGCACATTTCATTGCAAGGTCTCTGCAATTTGCGCGCTCGCGAATCATGGACCCTGCTAGCGACGAGTTCTTCAAGTGGGGAGTTCCTCTAATAGTCATCGGCAAGTGAGTCTTGCTCGCCAGTCTCTGTCGGCCACTGCTGAGCGTTCTGCCAAGTGTCACTACTACTTTCGCTGTGAGTCAGCCAGCACCCTGTTCGACCGCTAGCCACCGACTATCGTCTTCAGGGTCTCTGTTCGGATAGTCTGCTTGCCTGGAGATTCCATGTGATCTTCGGCAGAAAGAAGTGGGCTCTGTACATTCCCGGAACATTCGTCATCATCAATGCTTGTACGTTCCCCCGGTGACTACAATGCTCTAGACAGACTAACAAAAAAAACTCGCACCAGTGCTGTGCTGGTCCGCCGACGCGCAGCATCTTGCTGCGTACCATCACTATGATTTTTACGAGAACACGCTTCTCGAGGTTACCCTCCAGATCACTGTGGCATGGGGGTGGCTGATGTTCTCCATCAACACCATCCTCACTAGCGCCATTGTAACGAAGATCGTGTACGCACTGGAGGCATGTTTCCAAAGATCCCGCACTTACCCTTATCTCTAGGCTGTCTGCCCGCCAAGCTGGTGTGCGCGCCCCTCGCCATTACGATACCGTCATCCGTGCATGCATCGAAAGTGCGCTCGTCACCTGGCTCGGCCTCCTCTTGTACGAGATCTGCTCTCTTGCGCCCAACGGACGCGTGGTCGTAAGTTTTTTGACCTCTCTCCTTCTGGCGTTCATTAGCTCCATTGGCAGACTAACTACGATGTCGGTTACGTCATGGCCTGTGTTATCCCGGTGTTCTTCGTAAGTGTCCTCGCCGCAGCTCTCAGTCGGTCGGAGAGCATTCACACCACCTCGTCTAGGGCATCTCTCAGTGTCTCATCGTCGCGCGCATAGCCCTCACGAAGGAGATCGCTAAACACAACAAACAGCCTTACTCTTCCAGTTTTCGTCGTACATCCAGGTCTCGGGACCTGTCGGACGCAATGTCGCGCTCGCTGTCGCTCAGCATGGACGAGAGCAGCGGAGTCCCAAAGGTTTTGCACTACGGGACGCACGCTCTCAATGCCGTTGGGCAGCACAGGGATGCAGAAGGGTTCACATTCCCTTCTGCCCTTGACCCGTGATTCGATGGGTAACGGTCTGAACAGCCGCTATGTTAGGCGAATTCGATCTATACGACTAGTACTTTTTGAGGATAGCCAAATGTCCTCATGTCATATAGCTGTGACAACGTGAAAGGTCGCTATCGTTCTGAGAAGAGGGCATAGCCAGTACAAAGAACTTCCCGGCGCAGAGAATTTACGGAAAGCACAAGCATGATATTAAGTACAGACAAGCCTGAGTAGAGTAACAAAGGCGTTGAAGCCCTCTATGCACGACTCGCGGAGTCGCGCTCGAAACCTCTAAGACTGGTGAAAGTCTAGTCATTATAAGCCATGGTAGGATCGTCAAGAATGGGTGGTGCTTTTGGGTCGTGAGGGGCGTGAAGATCGGAAGCGAAAGACAGGAAGCTCAGAGCTCCTTCTTGCTCTCCGCCTTCTTTTGGCTCGAGGCGCGCTTTGAGTAGATCATGTCCGTGAAGGGCCTAGGCAGAAAGGCGTGAGATGCGGAAGTAACGAGGGCAAGAGGACGACATACCCCTCAAAACGCAGAGCAATCAGGTAGACAACGTACACATAGAGCGTGACAAGCAGGCCTGCGGGACGCTCGTACCTGTCATGCGACATCAGCATCGTTCGCGCACGAGCATCCAGGCCGTGCAAAGAGCCTACCAAAGCGCGCCAGCGAAGAAACACATCGTGCTCCCGACGTACATCGGGTCACGGAGGACATTGAACGGGAAGCCCTCGACGCGGTGGTCCATGAGGATGCCGAAGTAGTCGCCGAGGAACGTGCCCGTGATGCCCAGAGCCCAGGTCGACGTCACAACGAACGTCTGGCCGACAACGAAGAGTGCGGCGGGCACGAGCTTATTATACGGTGCCGGCAGGAGGGCGTGACGTGGCTGGTCGTTCAGCGCGCGTTCGTAGCTGGAGGAGCAACGTCGGTTTCTGACAAAATGCACTGGCTGAAGGAGGAGCTTACAATGTGTCGCGCAGCATGCCGAACGAGAAAATGAGGAAGGCAAGGAAATAGCACCCGCGGCGTGCATTCTCACCAAACATACGAGTTATCGTCTTATTCCTGTACTCTAGGGCGTAAAATTGCGTCAGCTCGGAATATCCCTTTGAGAATATCTGGGCTGCGTGCCATTTCGTGCAACAATGTTCCATGCGATCGGGTTGAAAGCGATGGAGGCCAGCGAGAGCAACAGCGAGGGCTTGGAAAAGTCAACATAAGACAGGAGTGAAGACATAGTCCGATTCGGGAAGCAACAACGTCTAAATCTAAAAGGTTCGTAGAGAGAAGATGCAGGAAGACAGACACGTCACAGTCCATACCACACGCCTCGCGGTCCTCGTCACGGCGTGTGATTTGTGACCAGTCGTGACGGTGACACACCGGCCTCCCCCGTCGGCATCAAGTCTTAGAGGTACAAGCAATTACATGTATTTGTTATAGAATGACAACGAGCTACAGCAACTAGAAGAGCGTAGAGAGACGGTGACAATGATACACAGCAGATAAGCAGGTACATGCAAGAGAGTATACTGAGAATAAAACTGTGACCCGCGACATGCAACGGCATTCAGCTATTACAGTCCATCCAGGCCGTTTCCGACATCGTTCGGCTCCCATCCTTACGCACAGAAGCAGAGAGACGATGACGTCTTACTACAACCGCTTCAGAGCCTTCTTGCGCTTCTCGGCCCCACTAGTCGCACTAGCTGCAGTCCGCTTGACGGCTTTGGTAGTAGGGGTGGCGTGGGTGGCAGCCTTTTTCTCGCTTGCCACTGCTTGCGATGGCGTGACGTTCGAGTCTGCAGGGCCCAGAGGCGCGGGGGAGGTGTGTCTGTCCTTGTTCGGCAGCTTTGGGCCTGCGTTCTCCCGGCCGGCATCTTCAACATTGGACGGCGAAACTTGGAGCGGGCCTGAGGAGAGCGGTTTTGAGGAGGAGGTGGAGGAAGAGGGGGTGACAAAGGTGGTAACGGGTTGCTGCGAGAGAGCAGATGGGGCGGCCTTCGGAGAACCCTTGGAAGAGGAGGGTTTCGCGTCTTCCTCGGCGAATGGGGTGTTGAATTCCGGTGGTGGAGCCTGTGCACAATGGTAAACTGCATTCTTCATCTCGTAAGCCGAGTGACACTCACCCTTGGCGTCGCATGCACGCTCGTGATCAACTTTGCACGCGAACAGTAGTCGTCATAGTTCTCCAACAAGAGCTTCCCTGCTTCCTCGTCAAGGGCAGACTCGGGGTTGGGGTAGATGAGCAGGCACTTCACGGTAACGAGGATGTGACCAATGCCATATTCCGACTTCCAGTCTTTCTTAAGAGTGTTGACACAGATCTCGCCCGTCGGGCCGACATTCGGATGAAAGATCTTCGTTGCAAACCAGCCTAAACGCGCCATGTGAGAAATTAACTTCCAAGCGGCTCTGGAGCGATTCTGGGGCCTAAGGACGTACATTTCGGCGGCGCGGCAGGGAACTCCTCCGTGAATTTGAACTTGACCTTGAAGTAACCACCGGCGTACGGTGTGCCCTCTGTGTCACGCGGGGAAAACGCGAGAAGTCATGAGTGCGTATGTAGGGAAACGGAGATGGTGGTGGGAACGCACCTGGACCCTGAATAATGCCTGTCACGTCGAGCATGTTCTCTTCCGCCGTCGAAACTCGAATACCCTCCGAAGGGTTCGTTTGAAGCTCGTTTAGCTCGCGCATGAGCCGGCGCATAACTGCGGGACTGACGGACTGCATCACGAGCGTGCCTCTCAGCATATGTGAAGGAAGAAGCTCGGGATATACAACTCACCATTATGGTCGTGCAAAGAATGAGCAGTGATGTGGTCTGAGAGATGAGAGGGCGGGGGCTTTGAAGATACTCGACGAGTGGAAGTTGAACCTGGTCCAACAACACTCCGAAGAAAGCAGGAGGCTGGCTCGGCATGTCGCGGATGATTGGGACTCCGCACAGACGCTAGATTTGGCGCTCAGTTTCAACAAAGGATCCTGTCTCGTTTCCTGAGGCTACTGGTAGCTTAGCTATCTTCCAATCTGCTCAACAGCTCACGATCATGTTATCCTGACATCAGCTTAGCTGTACGGAGTTTTACATCTATTAGGTTGCTCTGGACTATCCGTACCGAGCATTTAACGAAAGCTCAAGGTATGTACAGGTGCTTCAGCCAGGCAACGAGGTATCTTGATCAACTGCGGGGTGTAGGCCAGCTGGCACTGTCATTAGTCAATCCATCCCTAGATTATTCCTCACGCTCAAACGCCAAGATATTGCGCGGCGCGTCTTCGCGCTTGCTGTCCATTTCTTGCGGCCGGGTTTCGCCGAGCGCCACGAAGGCTACGGTCGGCAACAACCTCGCAACGACACAGAGCCTCACCTAGAGTCGATCCGCGGCTGCTTACTGACCCATTGTCAATGCGCAGGCATGAATCTTGTGCTAACAGCAAACAAGAATAATGTTCATAGGTAGCAGCATGCTACAAATCAATTACCGTACAGTACTACAACAAGCTGCAAGAGAGACAACATGAAAGATAGCTACGCAGACTGGAACATACAACACGAGGGTATGCGGGCTAAGAATAACACGAGTGGGTTGCAAAATAAACAAGACGAGGAAGACAAGTCCGACACATCAGGCTACGGAGACCGGCAGAGAGGCATGCGAGACGGCCCTTCAAGCAGTAGGGGCCGGGACAGGAGCGGAAGTCGCGGCCGGGGCCGGGGTCGAAGCCGGGGGCGGCGCAGGCGTGCCAGTGGGAGCGGTGGCTGCCTTAGGCTCAACAGGCTTCGGCGGAGCGGACGGCGCGGGGGCCGCAGCAGCCTTAGACTGAGGGGGAGTGAGGCCATTGGGGACGCCATTGCTCTTGGGGGGACCACGCTGGTCAAGCGGAGTGGTGTCGACCTTGCCGTCCTTGTCGACGGTGTACTCGCCACGGACCTGACCATAGCCCCAGGCCACCAGCTTGCCGTTCTCGACTGCAGTAAGATGATATCAGCACATGAATTGCTGAGAAGGGAACGTGAAAGGACGCACTCCACTCTGAGTACCACCTGGTCCTGTACTTGACCCACTCTGCAACCTCCAGCATGGGAGGACGGACCATGTCTGTGATAAGAGATGTCAGATGCAAATCCATACCAAGATCCAAACCACACACCTTTGTCGAGGTCCAGCTCGCAGATGAAGTCGCCGGCACGCGTGATGACCGGAGCGCGCAGCGAGATGGCCTGGATACCCATGACGCAGTACTGCCACGATGCCTCGAGGAGGAGGCGAAGCTCCTTGATGATAAGCGCGTCGAGAGCATCGTTCTTGAGGACCAGGTTATTGTAGTGAACCGTGCTGGGATCGTACGTGTACGACTCGGTAGACGTCTCGACCGCCGGCTTGACTGAAACCGGAATGCGGTCGACGGCGATCTTGAGACCACCGCTGGAGGTATCGAGGTTGATCTTCGCACCCCAGGTACCAACCGTGGAGCGGCTGGATAAATATGTTAGCATATTCTTTATAAGCGTCGAGACGTCGCTTGTGCGCACCTCCATGGCTTGCCCTCGTGCTTGCCGCCGACCCTGACCGAGGTCTCACCGCGGAGATCGAACTCGAGACCCTTGGGATCGTAGATGGTGGGGACAATGAGCGTGTTCTTGGTGTTGCCTACAACAAAATGAGCCAGCGTGCACGAGATCAGTTGCCTATGTGTACTCACAGTGCAGATAATATTCGCCGTTGCCCGAATCATCCTGGTGGCCCTCGTGCTCGTGGTTCCATTCGTCACGGTACTTCCACTCGTACTCGAGGAAGTCGAGGCTGCTGACGTCGATCGGCTTCCATTGGCAGCCGACCTTGGACTTGCTGCGCGTCGGGTGTTGGGCCCATGTGGTGAGGTCGACGTGCCACACGTCGTCGACGACGTCAACGTTCAGCGGGACGATGGTCGTCATCGCATTGATCGTCTTGAGCTCGTCGAGGATATAGCGCTGCAGGAAGACCTCACGCGAGAGACCGAGCGTGCCGACAGCTTCGCGACCGACGGCCTGCCAGCCGGCGGCCCACTGACCGTGGAACGTGGGCAGCTTGGCGCCGCCGGTGACACCGTAAATGATCACGAGAGGAATCTCGGTTTCCAGAGTCTCGAAGTTGAGGCATGTGTCGATGTTGATCTCCTTTTTGGTGAGAATGCGGTAGTCGACATCCGTGAACGCGAACAGGTCGAGGGGCTCAGTAGCAATAGGGGCTTTGTTGATAGGTACCGTGTGGAGAATGTTGTGGCCGTAGTGGGTCAGCGCCGCAAGGTACTCAGGGATGTACTGCCTGATGGTGTTGAGCTTCTCGAGCGAATCGTCGTCAGTGCCAAGATCGGTGACGTTGGACAGTTCTTCCACGTAGCGAGCACCTGTACGCCAATGTGTTAACAGCAGGCAAAGTAGAGACTAATATGACAACATACTCTTGTAGTTCAAGGTGAAATGCATGAGGTGAACGGCATCCTTCTCGACAGTGGTAGTCTCGGAGTGGGTGTGGCGGTGGTGGCTCCACATCCAGTGGCAGAAGTTGTGGTGCCATGACTCGTAGTAGTCCTTAACGACAGTGTCGACCTCGACCATGAGGAAGTCGTGCGGAACCTTCGAGATATCGACCTCGTATGCGAGGGTAACGGCCTCGAAGTCGACGTTCTCGAGCTGATCGGTCTTCTGCGGACGCTGCCAGAACAGCCGGGTCCACCACTTGAGGGACTTCTCCCTCCTATCATACGATCAGCTCGCCAGTCGTCTCTGTGAACTTGTGGGGTACTTACTTGCGGACTGCGATAGCACCGTTCGCCTGAATGTAGATAATCGCCTTGCCGCTGGTGAGCAAGCGAACCTTGAGGTCGAGGATGTTGATCGAGAAGAGGTTGCTGATGTGCCACTCCCTGACCGTCTCGAGGCGACGACGGAGCAAGCGGTTGATCGTCTCCTCGGAAAGTGCGACGACCTCCTGGCAGCCAGAGTAGATGGCAGTGTTCTGAATCCTCTCGGACCACATCATCGCGTGAGTGTGCTTCCTGGCGAAGTGGTCGCCCTCGTTCTCCTCTGTCTCAGTCCATTCCGCCGCGTAGTCCCTGCCGAAGCTGTCTGGAGCCAGGGGCAGGCCGAGAATGATGTGCAGGTTGAAGCGAGCCACGATATCGAGATAGTCGCGCGAGAAGAAGTGAATCATCAAGTCGATGTAGTGCTTGGTCGTTTCGTCGGGCTCGCTCGTGCCGAAGTAGGAATCGAAGCGGGAGAAGCGCGCAGCTGTGAACCATCATGTTACCTCCCTGGAATGTGTTACGAGGGAGAAAAAACGTACTGTCGAGGTCCAAGGTCACGACACCGAGACCCTCAGCCTTGACGCACTTAACAATGAAGGCAAACTTCCACTGCCGGTCGGACAAGTCAACCTTCGGGCTCACACTAGATCACTGGTGAGTACGAACAACATAAACGGTGCGTATGAAACTCACGTCTCGTCAATGCCAGACTTCTCGAAGAAGCCGAGCTCCTTGATGTTGAATTTGAGGATAACCTCTTGGTTGCAGAGGGGTTCGACAGTGGGGGAGTGGAAGTTGATGAAGAAGTGAACGTTCTCCAAGGTGAGACCGTTGATCCAGTCACTGCAGATGCTCGCGAGACAGAGATCGAGCTTGCCCCAGGCCGGACCGTTGCGCTTACCGCAGGCGTTCTGCCAGTGCATGTTGTAGAACTGGGAGATGAGGGCGGGGTCGACCTTGTCAAGGATTTTGATATCATGCACGATGGCCTTGCGAAGGTCATCCGCAGCATGGGTGCGGATAAGCGAGTAGTCGATGCGCGGGCGATACCTGGTGTCGTCGAAGTCGGGGAGATCGAACATGACATGGTTGCCGGAGGTCTGGAGGAACCGAAGGTAATGTTCGAAGTACCACAGAAGGGCTTCCTTCTGGTCGTCCGTGATGTTGTTGCTGTTGGGCGTGAGGCTGACATATTTGGCCTCTGTAAGATGTTAAGCATATTAAAATATTTAATAGAGTCTGCTGAACTCACGCTCAAGACCGAAGATCAGCATCTGAACCAAGTGCCTGGCGCCAACATTGCCGATTTTTTCGTCGCGCCCGCTGATGTTGGAACGGAGCAGAGGGATCGCGTAAACGAGCTCAAGGGCTGTCAAAGAGACATTCTTCGAGCTATGGCAATAATATTAGCAGACGTCAGCATGGATGCGTCTGGTGAACGTACTGATCGGCGCGTGCACCCAGTCTCAGCGCCTCCTTATACGCAGAGTTGAAGTGACCAGACTCGAGTTTCAGGCGAAGAAAAACGACGTGATTACACAGGAAATTGATCTCTGGTTGGGCGAACTTAGCCGAGAAGAACAGGTCGGCCTCGTGGAGGTTGTTGGTCGCCCGCCTGGTGAGGTAGTGGAACTCGCGCAGGGCACGAATGTAGCGAGTGCTCTCGTACTCGGCCGACTTGTAGTCGTGGTGCGCGGCATGGGGCGCGCACTCAGCCGCGTTTTTATAGAGGGCATCCAGCTGGGCCGTGATGTAACGGACAGAGAGGGGTCCGCTGTTGCCGTCGATACACATGGTGAAGTCGAGGGTGAGATAGTAGGGGTATGTTTCTCCCTCGGAGGTAAGAGGTGCTGCAAATGAGTGAGGTACGCGAGCCTTTATACGCCAAGCGTGGATGGTAGAATAAGGCGTGACCGCGGGCAGCGGCTGCGCCCGCCTGACTTGCTCCTGCCATTTTCGACGACAGCATGGATCGTCCCGTCGGGCTTGGACGGGATCCGCCTCTAGTATTGCTGACTTGCCTCGTTCATCATCTTCTAGACCACCGCGTCTGCGAATTTTGCGTAATGGTGTGTCTATACATTGGGCCGGTGAACGCGATGTGCGAAGTAGAACGCTGGGCGGGTCATCTCTCGTGGACGTATCTGGTGGGTATTGTTCGTAGGCTTCTCCGGTGAAATCTCATCGCCGTATGATGGGGCCCACCAGATCTGAGGCGCGACGGTGGACATCCTGTGGGAAGAACCCAAATATCCGTGGCTGGGACGCTAAAACATGGCAGTGAAGAATGATAGTCAAATGAAGAAGCAGGCCGGAATTAACCCTGCAGACGGCTGTGCCTGTGAGTCACGATGCCCGACGCGTCGTGTCGCGCATGCATGCTACGTGGAGAAAATTCAGTGGAATTGCGGAGGAAAAGTCGCAGCAAGGGTTCCATGCCAGCGCTCATTTCTGGTCTGGTGTGACAGGAAGGGTCGCACCTGATTCGGACGGCTAGCCAATCCCAGGAACGACATCAAGCACAGCCGGGCGGCCGATCCTATTCAAGACGCAGGTACAAGGGACGCGAGCACCGCCCGGCACTGTTGATTGCTGTGAGTTGTTCGGCACGTTCAAGGCATGGAAAATGCTGCGAAATTCACGCACAGTCATCAGCGGCGAACACAACCGTCGGGAGCGCGGTATTTGTCTCATCATTTTTGCGGGCATTCTTGAGAATTCTGACATGCTTTTGTTGCTCCCGTCCCGTGTGTCGACCCTCAAAGTCCGTGTCTTCTATGCCTCTTTGACAGACAGATAGACCTTAGTCTGGGAAGATACCGTGAACATCGCACCCGCGGTGGAGAGGACGTCTGATAAATAGTTGAGCTTGTGTGTCGCGTGGTATGTGCGGCGAGGTTCCATACCGCGAGTCAGACCGAGAGACCAGGACGACTGTCAAATAACGCGACGACGCGCATTGTCTGTCCATAGGGACATCATGATCAACACTTGTGCGTGATGACGTGAGGTCTTGTGGTCCGTTGCGGCTGTCGGTGCTTTCTGGCGTTAGCGCAAAAGCAGTGAACAGCACAATTCAGTGGAAATGCAAGACCCGGATTGCAATGCAAGTAGCATTAATCTCAGACGTGTCTAGAGCCAGGAGAGACTCCGGCTCTATCGAGAGGGCGATAAAACGAGCTCGAGTGATAAGATCTGCGAAGGAAGTAAGTTTTACCACGCCGCCACCAGATGGGCATATTTCGGACCGACCTCAGATGCTTACTGAAGAGCTTCTGGCCTTCGGCGGGTCGGAGCTAAACAGAGCGCGACACCTGTGAGAAGTTGTGAAATTGACCGTAGCCAGCCGAGCATCATCGTATGCATGCTCACCATAACCAAAGAAGCCAGACTCAGCGAGACGACAGGTTCAACAGACATCTCGAAAGATTTCGACAACAGGTCGATAATGCAGGTGAAGGAGATGAAAAGACTCGAAGAAATGAGCATCTTCGCATCCGTCCGTGGAAGCCTGCTGACCATGCCGATTCCTCGATCTTGGTACACATTCACCAGAATCAGAACAATTCTCATTAAAGAGTTAATCTAGACATACCTGGCAATGCCCCCGGAATCTGTAGTTCACACATAATTGAGACAATCGTGGGTGGCGCTCTCCGCATGGAGTGGGTCACCAAGTACACATTCGCGGCGAAGAAAGCCTAAGCATATTGGTCGTGGCCCGGACTCTAATCCGCGGAAGTTCGATAGGGCCATTTCAACTCCCAGAGCCCGTGAACTGCATCCGTATTCCAGCGAACTGAGAGCTTTCAACCTCGTCGCGCACGACGGTCTCCGACTCGGTACCTGCCAAGGCCTGATCATGGAAGACGCGGAGAGCTGGGGCCGCTGCTCGCAGCACAGCGCCTTGGGCACTGCTAAACGTGCTGTCCGGCACCTCTGCAATCAAACTCTACACGATTGAACGCAGCATTGGCTCAGAGCGGGCGGGAAGCTGGTAGCGCGAGGGCGCGTTCGATAGTCTAGAGCACGACCTTAGCCTTAGTGCAGACAAATCAAAGGAGAGGTACCTCAAGAGACGTAATCTGGGCTTCGCATGTAGTATCCATGAAGGATTTGGCTAGAGTGAATGGCTTAGAAAAACTGAGCGAGCTGAGAGGGTCAAAGACGACGCGTTGGGGGTCTAGGTTGGGGGCAAGGGACTTCGTCCGGGCTTATATCGATGTTTCTCGCTAATCACTCTGCTACCACGCGCATACAACGAGGCTAGCCGACGGAAATGAGGTACAGGTTGCGGCGTTGAACGTTGAACGTCAATTCTGAGCGAACAGGTGAAGAGGGAGGGTAAGAGCTATCCATCACGTGACATCCATGTGGACCCACAAGTCGAAATCAGCCGGAAATTCGCGTCGATATTGCCGTCCACCATGCACGCTACCCTGGTTGCCCTTGGGGGCCGCTCAGCCTGGAAGGGTAAGTGCCTCTTCATGTCCTACAACGTAAAATACCGCTGATGACTGGCGAAAAGGCCCGTTCTTCGTGCACTTTCCGAAGTTGCGGGACGCAATGGAGAAGAACATACCAATAAAGACGCAGGCACGAGCGTGTACAATCTTACCAAACTTCGTCGGGTGCGTCCGCCACTGTTTTGTTTGTTAGGCGAACTGGGGACTAAACAATTTCTGCGTTTCAGCTGTCGTTTCTTGATTCACAACGGCAAAGACTACATCCCCATCAGCATAACCCAGGATATGGTTGGGCATAAGCTAGGAGAGTTTGCGCCGACGAGGAAAAGGTTCCACTACAAGTGCGCATGCTACGCTCTACTCTCTATGCTTTTCATGTGACATGTGTCTCCCAGGTCTACCAAGAATCGGTAGCGTTGCCGTGCTTGTTGCCCTTTTTTGTTCTCTGCTACGCTTCCTTGCTGTATACACCTGCTCTGCCTCATGCTCGTCTCATTCTCATTGCTACACTCTCGCAATTAGATAATAACGTCGTGAAAGCGCATATATTCGCAGGGGAGGGCATGTAAGCTAAACATGCCTGCCAAGTCGCCCGGCAAGCGCGCTTTTATGCGGCATGCGAAGGGCTCTACGCCCTCAACACACCCACAGTCAGAAGTCAGACACCCGACCTTTGAAACTCCAGTCTCCTTCCACCCATTGATTGACCGGCTCCCTCTTCGGCCCACCCTGCTCGCCTGTCACTGGGTTGACATCGCCCTCAAACTCAGCCTTGAGAGGTTGCCGCGCGTCAGGGTGCATCGCAAGCTCAGCCTCAGCCTGGGCCCTGCCGACATTGGCCTGAGACAACGGGGCCTGTGCCCTCCGGACGAGGTCCTCAAATTCCCGCTGCTGCTCGCGTGGCAGAGGCGGCGGGGAAGGCCGGTTCAGGGGGTTGTTGCCTGCGGACATGTACCGCCTCGAGGAGAGTGTAAGACATAGCGAGGGCAGTGCTGAGCAGGCCGAACGAGGCTTGTAGGAATGCATCGGACGGAGCTTCGAGAGCAGCTGGCGAGTAGGGAAGCTCATGCCGAGCGTTCAACCACGGTGTGGTTGGGGCTGGAGGGTAGTAGGTGGTAAGTGACTAGAACAAGAACAAGAACAGAAGAAAGTGCTGATCCAACAAACTTAAGTCCGCTAGGTCGTACCTTTTGACTTGAAGGGAAGTGAGTGTAAGTTACGCTCGAAGTCTGGCAGAGTCCGGAGTAGCGCTTACGGGCTGAGGGGTCTCAGATCCTTTCCCACGTGCGCGCTTTCACCAATCACCAAGACTGGAAAGCGTCATCGTTCCGCGACTTGACGAAGGGGCATTCGTCGGCTTGGTATTTATTGAATATTGCTACTATGTGAGGGCAGGCTTCGTCAGATGGCCATCGTTGTACGCGCTACGATATATGAACATTGTTCAGAATAGATACATTTATATTCCCATCGTTACCAGTACCCGTGAGCTTAGCAACGCTTGCTACCGTCCAAAAGCCAAGTTAGGGGTCCCTGCCAGGCTGTAGATTAGTTCTTTTGTTTGTACGTGCCCCTAGTCATCTAGAGTCTCCTGGAATCTCTTTGTTCGAACGCATTCCAAACAAGTGATCTAGCGGAATTTGATCCCGGCCGGTTGCTACCTTCGGCTAGTTCCGATGGAGGAACAGCTGTAGCAGGTGAATCCGCCAAGCAGCTCGTTCGTCGTCGACCGCGACGACAAGCACGCCCTTTCACGACCGCCACGCACGCCGTCAAGAGTTACGACCCAGCGGTCGTGCACGACATCCGTTAGCTATCTGGCTATAGCCGATCCCATCTGAAACATTCCGCTTTTTTGTCTGGTTGCGGCCACGCCCTCGCCAATCTCTCAGTCTTTGCAGAACCACCTCCAAACCGCTCCTCCTGACATGGCCTTCAATCAGGTCACTGCGACGTCGCTCACCCCCACCCGCCCCGCGCCGTCTGCGCCAGGCAGAACCGGGCCAGCAGGCTACGGCTCATCTTTCTCCGTCGGCACCTCCTCGCCCTCGGGCTCGTCCTATGCCTCCTCATACTCTGGCATTGGCGGCTCCCCGAATAGGGCATCCGACAGCATCTCAAGTGCACAAGTTGTCCGCTGCGGCATCGTCAGCGTGAAGGAGGACGGGCTGGTCAGCTGGCTATGGAGGCCAAAGTGGTTGGTGCTCAAGGAGAGTACGCTGCTGATTAACAAGAACGAGGTGCGTGTCCCTGCCTGTTCCTGTGCTCCCAGCGCGGCGTTTGTGTCCTGGGTCGTCTTTGACCCGTCGCTGCACGCCTCGCTGGCACCGGCCAATCCCCGGTCCGCTGCTGCCTTGCTTTGCTGTCTCGCGGAGGGGGACACGAGGCATGGCGACGACCCACGCGTTCTGCCCTACTGCTAAGCCCGAGGCCGGCTTAGAGGCTCAGGAAACGAAGCGGGGTTCAATGGGCTGTGCAGGCACACGAATTTCCATGCCATCAGGCCACCACATCCTCGAGCGCATCCCCGAAACACCCTTCGCACGTCGCGTCATGATGAACTCACACGTCTGGATAGTCATCAGCTCAACCTCAATCAATCGTGAACCTTGCGGACATATCCAATATCGAACGGACCGATCTGAAGCCATACTGCCTGTTGCTGGAAACTAAGGACAAGCGGATGTTCTTCTCTCTCAAAAACGACGAGGAGCTGTATGGTTGGCAAGACGACATCTATTCACGCAGCCCCCTTATGGGGGTGAGCAACCCTACGAACTTTGTACACAAGGTCCACGTTGGTTTTGATCCCGTCTCGGGCGCCTTCACCGTGAGTTGAAGATCCTCGCGATTGCGACGTTTTGCAGTCTAAACAGTCTGCTGCAGGGCCTGCCGGATGCATGGAGCAAACTACTCACAAAATCTGCCATCACACGGGAAGATTATGCCAAGGATCCTCAGGCCGTCCTAGACGTCCTCGAGTTCTACACCGACCGCCAAAAACAGGAAATGGAAGAATTCGGACTCTCTGTAGGACGACAGCCCTCATTGGCGAGCACTGCTTACTCCACAACCTCGACACTTACTCCATATAGTGACAATGTCAGTGCTCCTCGTTATGCAGGTATCGGACTAGGTGGCTCAGGCGCAACGGGCAAAACTTCTCTTGATCGTCCACAGATGAAACGGCAAGACTCTGCCCCAGCAGTTTTGAACGACGACGGTGCGCCACTATCTTCAAGCGCGGGCCTCGCGCGCGCCGCGGAGCTGGTCAACGGTTCGCACGCGCAGTTCTCGAGTACTATGGGTGCAGGTGCACAAAATCGGCCTGGCCTTCCGCAGATAACCACTGGCTCACTCCAACCGTCGCGACCAGCCCCACCACGCCCGCTGCTCACCGCGAATCGGCCTGCACCCCCAGCACCGCTCGCCGCCGGCAAGCCCCCACTGCCCGACCACACACCGACGTCCGCGGACCTCCGCGCACGCGCCAGGGCGCAGGGCCCGCCGACGGAGACGCAGACCGCGAAGCCGCCTGGCATCAACGGCGACGCCCCTCCGGCGCGCATGGAGAGTCTCGCATTCGACAAGCAGCAGCGGCCGATCGTGGCGCCCGCGAAGTCGTCGCCGGCGAACACGCTCCCCGCCACGCAGCCCGCGTCCGGTGCCGCGGGCTCCACGGTCGGCCCGCCGCCCGTCAAGCCCCTGCAGCCGAAGAAGCCGCCTCCGCAGGCCGCGCCCCCGCCGGCGCCCGAAGTCACGGTCACCGAGCCCGCCGAGAAGGAGGAGGGCGTCGCGGCGGCGGCGGCTGCGCTCGAGAAGCCCAAGGTCCAGGAAAAGCGCATCAGCACGATGAACGAGGTGCAGATTATGGAGAAGCTCCGGAGCGTCGTCAGTGACGATGACCCTAAGCAGCTCTACAGCAAGATCCGCAAGGTCGGCCAAGGGTGAGGCGTCTCTCGGAGTGGTGTGTTTGACGGGCGAGCTGACGGGTGTTGGCAGGGCGTCGGGACACGTCTACGTCGCGAAGACCCTCGCGACGGGCAAAAAGGTTGCTATCAAGGAGATGGACCTTTCGAGCCAGCCGCGGAAGGAGCTTATTGTCAATGAGATCTTGGTCATGAAGGAGTCGCAGCATCCGAACATCGTCAACTTTCTCGAGTCGTACCTCGTTCGAAGCAACGAGCTTTGGGTCGTCATGGAGTACATGGAGGGAGGTGCCCTTACCGATGTAATCGAGAACAATGCTCTCGAGGAAGATCAGATTTCTAGTATCTGTCTGGAGGTACAGTCGGACACATTTAGATCAAGAGTGTTTTTGCTCATGCCGTGCCTCAGACTTGCAAGGGGCTCGGACACTTGCACAGCCAGAGTATCATCCATCGTGATATCAAGTCAGATAATGTCCTTTTGGATGCACAAGGACACGTGAAGATTAGTGCGTACCTCCAAATCATACCCGTACGGTCATGTACTGACCGAATCGTAGCCGACTTCGGCTTCTGTGCAAAGCTGACTGACCAGAAGTCGAAACGGGCGACGATGGTGGGCACGCCATACTGGATGGCGCCTGAGGTTGTGAAGCAGAAGGAGTACGGCGCAAAGGTTGACATCTGGTCGCTCGGCATCATGGCCATCGAGATGATTGAGAACGAGCCGCCGTACCTCGATGAGGAGCCCCTCAAGGCGCTGTACCTCATCGCGACAAACGGCACGCCGACGCTCAAGAAGCCCGAGGCGCTCAGCCGCGAGCTCAAGGGCTTCCTGAGCGTATGTCTCTGCGTCGACGTCAAGAGCCGCGCGACGGCCGCAGAACTGCTAGAGGTGCGTGCTTTATATACGCGCGGCGAGCGTGCTTCTCACACAGGAACAATAGCACGATTTCCTCAAGAAGGCGTGTGCGCTCTCGGGCCTCGCGCCCCTTCTCCGGTTCAGGAACAAGCAGGCGTCATGATTCTCATATGTACAAGCCCTGTATCCGGATCCCTCGTGCCCGATATAGCTGATTTCACCCGTACGTTCTGCATAGTGGCCAACACATACTCACATCGCCGGCGCTGTCGCTCTCGCTCTTGTACCCTTGTCGGTCCTTCGCTCTGCCATGCCTCTCTCCCTTTTCCTTTTCTTCACACGTACTATCTACCACCTGTCTTCCCGCCAGCCACGGCGACTGTCCATATTCCCCGTCTACCACTACTATCTTGTTACCTTGGGGGGTTTCGAATTGGAAAATTTAATGTACTTGTTGCGATTGCTAAGTTAGATGCATAGTCAGAAGTCTATTATACATAGGCATGTACATCCCGGGGGACGACAAGTGGATTTTGAGACATAGAACGATGAGTAACGATGCTGCTGAAGCTACACATGAGCACATGAAGGTTAATACATACACTACCCACTACAAGACGAGATTCCGGTTTCAATTAACAGTCTAGTTAGGTCAGAAAGTGTTCATAGCGAGTGCTCGGTACAGGGCATTAGCTTCTTCCATCCGCGCGTTGCGTAGAGTGAAATGCCTCATCTCAGCGGTATCCGCGTCAGAACCGAGATCGATGATGTTAAACTTGATCAGTGAGCTGTAGAAACGGCATAACTAGCGTGCAAGTCAGCATAAGCCGGAGCATGAGTTACGAGGACGCACATTTTGGACCCCCTTGGCAAAGCGATCGTCGCTAATGATGCCAGCGCGCTCTTCCTCTTCCGCCCTCTCGAGCCACTGGATGGCCTCGTGTAGGAACCATCCGAGGACCTCACTGCGCACAAGGTCGGCAACAGTCGTGCGTCCGCCAGTTACCAGATCTGTGATCACCGTCGAGTCGGGAAGCAAGCGGCCGAGGAGGTCAAAGGTAGGCAGCGTAGGAGGCAGATGCCTGAGGACGTCGAGATAGGTGTCAATCGCCGGCTGCGTGAGGAGCGCGACCAAGATCGGGTGCGCAAGCGTCGGATTGTGCGCGATCAGCGGCGGGAGGTCGTGAGAGGTGATAAGGGGCGTCGAGGTCAGCTGAGGAATGAGCGGACCGAGGATCTGGCGGGTGTACGCGGTCAGCACGCGCAGGAGCGACTATGGGAGAGCACGAGTCTTACGCGTTGTTCGGAAAGGGTAAGCACGCGGTCACGAGCAGCCAGGAACAGGGTCATGCCCCGAGAGAGCCTGTCAGCCTCAAGAATACGCGTCGCGCCGCCATCCACGAGGGGCGTGCTCGGGATAGATTTGACGGATGCGCGAGATGCATCGTGGCCATCAGCGATGGACTCCTCGCCAAATCTACGCGACGCGCTGAGATACGGTCAACGTTGAACACAGTGTGCTATGACGTACGGATCGAACCTCGGACGCTCAGGGTCATGAGAGTTTTCCGTCAACGACAAATTGGCAGCACGGAGCTTCGGAGGTAAGGGCGACTGTGCGAGATTGCTTGGGCTGTACGGACCAATCTATGCGTCCCAGGTGTTCAATACAAAATGCGGTGCAATTAAATGGAAGTGGTCCATACGTCGTTCCCATCTCCTCTGAGGATCTTCCACAGTACCCATACCAGCTGCTCGCTAGGACTCGTTCCGCCCTCAGCGGCGATCTGGACGGCGAGCTCTTTCTCCTTCGCAAACGTATAAACAAGTGCAGAGTGGAACGGATTGATCGCAATAGGATGGGGCGCGTAAAGCGCATACAAGATGTACGATGCCAGGATGCGCTGCGGGAGCTGACCTCCAGGTAAGAACAACGATGACACTAAGAGTAGCAGCGTGTACTGACATCTACGGGCGCGTCCAGAAGTGGGAACAGGACGTCGAGTGCCAATGAAAAACGCGACGTCGCCGGTACGAGTTGCATGTACGATTGTGCTGCGGTTGAGCATGGCGAGCCTTGGGTTCTGGACAGCAAGTGGACGATGGAGGACCGCAGGGGGTCGATCGGGCTCGGTTTCATCGCGAGAGGCTGCGAATACATCGGGATGGGCTGCACAGCGCTCATGACATGCGTGTGCATTGCGTCTGGAGGCACATAGTACCTCTGGTTAACGTGAAAGGCAATGACGAGAGTGGACGATGGGATGAACGTCCAGCGTAGAGAGGGGGTTCTTTACCAAATATCCCTGAAACTGGGGCCGATAAGTAGTTATCTCCAGTAAACCAATAAATTATCTTTTACTCTTCGGAATTCCAGAGCGTCCAACAAATCGCAGAAGTAGAGTAGAGGCTCGCAGGAAATGGCCTTATAGATATCCAATAGGTGCTACACGAAGTGCCCAAGGTCCGTACGCGGAGGTTTATCGGTCAAGCAAGCAGAACATCGGCACAGCACCCTCTACGAGTCGGCACCTTCGACCTCTCTATCAACTCTGTCCAAGGAGATAGGTCAAAGTACGAGGGCATTTCCTGCCAGACTTGGTGTGATGCCTCTGCGTGATGCACTTCCCAGCCGGAAGCACAGTTCACGCAGCAGGTACTTCGTATAGCTTTCCAGTTCAGCCGATAGAACGGGTTCATCCAAGGATCTTCTTTTTCGTCAAAGACAGAGGAGTAGATGCGGCAGAACTCATTGCATCGCTCGGGTGCTGAGCATTTCAGGGCTGGTGGATTCGGAGTGCGGGGATAGAAGAAGAATGCCTGCGTGCGGCTGCGTGCGGCATGCGAAAGGCGAAGGCGGCCAAAGAAGACCGCACGTCTGTTGGCATCGACTAGGGTATAGTGTTCCCCGTTAGTCTCCAAACCGTCGTATAGCACGCGAGTGTTGGCAGTTGCACTGCAGAGGAGCAGGGCAGCGGGGAGTAGCACGAGCACATCAGTCTCACGTGCAGCGTTGGCAACTAGGACATGTCGAGAGTGGTCCTGCAGAGGTCGTTCAGACTGACCGATGGGACTGTAGTCGTCGAGATTGGAAGGATACCAGCGAAGGAGCGCTTCGGTGGCGCGCTTTCGCAAGAACGAGACATGGTACTTCGTGCTCAAGCGAAGCACAGAGACGACCATAGGGATGTCCTGGACTTTCAGGTCACCAACATCGAAATAGCTATTTGGGGGATCCACACTTGAATGAGTCGCAATTAGGAAACGATATGCGCCGAATAGCACTGCTCACCAGCCATCATGGATAGCTTTAAGGAAGGGCTTGAGATCTGCTGCAGAGTCCGGCATACGGACAACCAAAAGATCCTCGTACATCTCATCCTCACTTGGCGTGGACTGTGGGAGGGAAAGCATGTCTTTGAACACGGGGGATGCCTGCCCAAGCATGCCGGAGTACACTTTGAACAGCGTATTACCTGCCCTGAGCATGATGCTACCATCTGGGAACCACAAATCAGCATCTTTGGTGCAGTGCGAGAGCTCGCCGTCGCTGTCCATAACGAATGGAGGTTGGCAGGAGACGATGATAGTTGTAGTCAAGAGCAAGCGAACCCTGCGCGTATCGTCTGGCGTCTATGTGGCACGGTCTCGACGTCAACGCGACCTGCCGCACGCGTTCGTCAGTTGGACGTCGATCTATCTCTTCCTGAACTTTCATTTCCTCGTCCTCTACCTCTCATGAAGGCCCTCACAATATAGACTCAGAATGTACGAAGCCCAACAAGAGACAGAGTCGACGCTGTGCACTCGACTCCCACCGGTGGACGAGGAAGACGAGGCTGTGTCAGAGTCAGAGGAGTTCTCGGCTGCAGAATCGGGAGACGAGGGTGTATACAGAAACGCCGATAGTGAACAGGCAGACACATCCTTCGAGAGTTCTCAGTCGGTGGGTGGGTCTTCTAGGGGCAAGGGGAAAGGCGTGGATCGTGGTGAGGCTCAGACGCCGCCATTCAGAGCACGATCCTCGTCGATGAAAGGGAGGGAGAAGCATTCCCGCTCATGGGCAGACCTTGACCCGACCATGGTTGTCGCCCTCGTCTCACCCATCGGCAACTGGCTCACCGGGAGTGACCATGTGAAGAATCTGCTCCTGCTCCTTCTACTTATTTTCTATCTTCATCAACTTATCGAAGGTCGGTTCTGCCTAGTCTTTCGCATACGTCTGCTCAATTCTTTCTCTAGTACCCTGGAAACTGTACCAAGGTTCTCGTCCGCGGTCCCGCAAGAGCCTGAAGCAGGTCGTCCAGGATGCACGCGCCGAGTTCGCGTCGTCTGAACTTCGTGTCCGGGAGCTGTTCTTCCTATCCCTCACCGTCATTGCTCCCTTCATCGGTGCTGTCCTTGTCCGTCATATCTTCTCTGCCATGGACGGCGTGGGCAGTCTCTCGTGGTTCAGCGTGACTCTATTCGTCCTTGCTACTGGCATTCGCCCGTGGATGCACGTCGTTTCGCGTCTGCAAGAACGAACAGACGAGCTTCAGCAAGCTATTCACGCTGAGGAAGAGGAAGAATACCATCACGCGATCACCCAGAAGCTCGACTCCGTCGTGAATCGCCTCGCAGCGCTCGAACGCGCGCTTCATGAGGTCCAAGCGAAGACGGACAAGATCGCTCCTCTGGAGGAAATGTGCGACGAGATGAACGAAACACTTGAAACCATCGAGCGTACCGTTCATCGCCAGGAGCGTAAGACTGATTCTGCGCGAGTCTCGCATAACAGTCGTTTATCGGCCCTGGAGAGCGCTGTCCTGCGTCTTGAGGAACGTCAGAGGCACCAGGTCCGTACCGTTGCTGCACATACACAGGCCGCCAGGAATGCCGTCAACGTCGCTCTTCCACCATCTCTCTCTCAGTTTCTTGTCCTACTCTACAGCCAGCTTTCCCGAACGATTCATAACATTATCCAACAATACCCGTTCCTATTCCTAAAGCAGATGTACACGAAAGACATTATGACACCTGTTCCGACCTCTCCTCCCATATCTCCTTCCGGCACGGTGCACCATTTCAACGGCACGCCCCTGGAGACGATACCCGAAGCCGCGGACTCAGACTCCGAAGGTACCTACGTTTCAGACAAAGAGAGCGCATCTCATAGTTCGCCTGGCGCAGGAGAGACGAGAAAGCGTGGCGGACGCAAGCTCAGCAGGAGCAGAAGCCGCAGTTATAGTGGACCTCGTCCGCCTCTGAGGCGCAGGAACACCTACGGGCGCATGGCGCTGGACTATGCCGCCGCCCTCGTTTCCTGGCCGTACCAGTTCGCCGTGAAAGCCTTGTTGTTCATTATACCCGCGCCGATTCAGAAACATTTCTTGTGACTTTTATGCACTCGTGTATTCTATTTATTGGTGTTGGCTGTATCACAAGCTTCGAAACGTGTATCGACATGCTACAATAGCGTCTCCTGTTGGCCTTGTATTCAGTACTTTACAGATACTTTCATGTCAAATAATTTAGGTGTCGTGTTACGCATGAACCAGTTCATCGTTCGAACAGATCAATAGGAAAAGGCGAAGGCATACGATGGACATACGACAGGTGAGGGTGGCTAGGATACAGGCAAGGATATGCTACAACGTGGAAGTACTCGCAATTGGAGCATCCGCCGAACAAGAAGCAGTAAGGTAAGAAAGCAAAGTGTATGGAAAGGGATCGTCCGAGGAACGACGGGAAACACGAAGAGTCCTGACACAGCCAGGATATACGTGTGTAACAGTGTAACACGAGGAATAACTGAAAAAGGGTAACCTGGGGAGAACGATGGTCACAGTTGTCGCAGCACTCAGACAGTTTCTTGCACAACCGTCATATAGATCCCCTCTGTGTGCACATCTCTCCTGTTACCAGCGCCACTGCCCCTTGTGAGGCTCATCTTCCGGGCGTGGAACCCCTCGAGGCTGGGGATGCGCCTCAGCGGGCTCCGGTTCCGCTCGACAAGCGGCATGGCCAGTGTAGGGGCCGGGATGCCCGCGTCGGCGAAGGGCGCGCGACGCAGAGCGAGCGGCACGCCGTGCAGGAGCGCGTCGGGGTCGCCGAGGTACGCGTTCGCGCTGATCGTGCTCGACGCGGCGCTCGTGCTGAGCGAGGACATGCTCGGTGGGCGCGCGTAGCGGTATGAGGGTGCGGGCACCGTCGGAGACTGCGGCGATGTTGGAGACAGGACGGGCGTCACGGGTACCGTCGACGGCGGGCGAGGCCACGGCGAGGAGAGGATCGAGTCCGCCGGCGACGACGACGGCACGCTCGCCAGGCTTGGCGGCGGGCTCTTCAAGAGTGTTGACCAGTGCGGCTGCGCTGGTGTAGCCGCCATGGGTGGCTCGGGGCTGGACGGCGACTGCATGTATGCCAACGACGGGTGCTGCGCAGACTTCGAAGACTCTGGGCCGGGATTTGAGGGGGAAGCCAAAACGGGCGGTAGAGAACAAGTGATAGGCGGAAGTTTCGGTTTGACTTTCTCTGAACGAACAGTATCGTCCCAGCCAGAGATGGCTTCCGTCGGGGAGAGCGGCGAGAGCGAAGGTATCGTCAACTGCGACGTCAAACGCGTGGAGAAGCCTTCGGAGCATTGGATAAATTCGTCTCCACGTGACCTGTGGAATAGGGACGTGTGGAACCAGCGTGCGGGATTGCGATACCCGTTGCCGGAGGCGGTCTGTGCGCAGTAAACGAGGCCCACAAGAGCCGTGGAGGAGAAAACCAACGTGGCGGTGGGTGCTACCCACCACCATGCTTCGATCCGGTGCAGGTGAGCGTACGCCATTTGTGGAATAACCTGGACTTGTGAAAGGTTGGTATGCACCGAAGACCAAGATAGCCAAGGCTGTAGCCCGCCATCTGAAGTCAAGGCGACGGCGAAATCGAATATTGATACAGTGAGAACGAGCAGGGAGATAATAATAGCTGTGAAGAGTGGACGAAGAAAGGTGACCGTGATGAGTCGTGATGAGAGGCACACTCGATCTGAGAGCTGCCGGCTCCGGCGGATGTGGGCCAACAGAGAAAGGCCAGCGAAGACCAAAGAAGAAGTGCAGAAGAGAAACGGTGGTATCCAGACCAGGATTATTGCAGCGCTCGAAGTGTAAATCGAGGCCACGCAGCCGAAGTCTTGAGTAAGGTCGAAGCGATGGTTTTGAACAATGATGTCTGTCATTCGTTAAGACATAGTTGGATAAAATGTGCGATTGACTCACGAAATGCCATATAAAAAATAGGGGACACTATACAGAATGTAACTTCGAAGAGAGTTCTATGAGGTCTTCGCTTCGCGTCTCGGTTGGAAGACAAGAAATACAGATGGTAAGAAATGCTGGAGCAAGCTGCAGGGATCGCAAGTCGAGAACCAAGGAGCACCTTGGTCGCTATCCGAAGCGTGAATAGACATGTGTGCGACGTAAAGTGGCAACTTACCGATATCGCACCAGACAGGCGTACGGACCACAGTATTTTGTGCCCACGCTACACTATCCACTCCTTGCACAAGGCTGCACACCAGGAGCCATCCGATTAGTGCCAGGACCGCGACATTTCGTGAGTTCACGTGAAGAAGCGTAAGAGCCATCAGTAGGACGAGACATAGGAACGAGAGGATGGGCAACTCTGGTCGCATGGTCGGCCGTCACGTCGATCCAGCGAGAGCGCGGCAGAATATTGTATGGCTACAGCTTGAGGGTATCACGAGAAGGGACTAGGGGGGAACCCCAACATCTCCCTCCTCGTCAATTTCAGGTATCGCGGTAGGCCCTGCGCGTTTCCTGGCATCGAGATGGGTTTTAAAAAATACAACGGCTTGCCATGCGCAACATAAAGACCACTTGCTAGAAGCTGGCCGGGAGCGCTGAGCACGTCACGAGGAGCATTGCTCGCGCCGTTAGACCGTGCGGAGTACAAGTGGACGGCTAGAACGAGAGGTATTCCCGAATCGGCAGAGTCTATGTCATACCCAAATCGGGTAGGCATGTCTTGTTCTTGGGTAGCCTGGGATATCGCTCGGATTCAACAGGCCATGTCCGTGTTTCAATCGGACCATAGTGCATCGGCTTTCAAGTTGCCTATCTGACTGAACAATGCGGGCGCGACCGGTAGATGCACTGAGGCGACAGCGTCTTCAAGTTCAAACCGCGGTGAAAAAGCGCCATAGTATAAGCAAGCTCGTCAGTCAACCAAAAACAAGCTTACCGATATATGTTTTTCACCTAGAAAATCTGTCAGTCACGCTGCAGGTTCTGCGCCGTTCACACACCTCGCCTAGTTTAGCCGCTTTTTGGGCCTCGAGGAGATGGAAGAGAAAGAGAGTTCGGCGCTTCGGGAATCAAAGCTTCCGCAAAAGCCCGACTCCCGACGGCTTTGTGGCGTCTAAGCGTCCATCACAACTCCCGGCCGCCCGCGCCAACCACCGTGATATCATGCGATTACCATACCATTCGACGATGTGCTCCATCTCGCAAAAGAGACTTGAGACGATCCGTTTGAATTTATGTAAAAGCAAATCAGCTAACTGCATCTCCGTATCGTCCCTCATGTCTAGCTTTGACCGCCGAGTTTCAGTCGCTTGCGAGCTGGTGCAGAATAAGCCTGCAACCCCTCGGACCGCTGTTTCTCGGGCTGAAAGGTCGCAATTCTGGAACATTGATTTGATGGTTCAAACTCTAGGTCATCCGACTCTCGTGTGTCTCGAGTCTCACGGGTGCACTCAAGACAATAAGACTGTGCTTACATAAGCAGTCCTAATTGTCTTTGGGCACCCTAGGCTTTGATACTCGTTCGCCCCCTGACTATGGCTTTATATACAGCTACGGGTACTGAGTAACTCCTCTACTTCTCCTCCGAACCTGTCTGCCTCGCTGTCCGTCCTGTATACCCGTCTTTCCGTTCGCCAGCTCTAGTAGTATGACGCCCAGCGCTCGAAACTCCTGGATTTGTGTATTTTCAGTGTTTACGTGTATGTGTTGAAATTCTGCCTTGAAAGCTTCCATCTCTGAACTCTGTCCCCAAAGTGTTCTGTGCTGTTAAAGGTGCACCACTAGAGCAGTATTCCGTCGATCTTAATACGTGCCAACCGAGCATCTCCGACGTCGTGCTGTCTGGCCAGGTAAGAAGCACCAACCGCGCACCTTTATAGGACACAGGCACTTACCACACAATTCTAGTGTCTCTCCGTCTGCGAGCCAGTACGGACAGCACAAGAGGTGTGCACGAACTCTGAGTCTCCCGAATATCTCCGACCGCCAGGCTGACGCCTCGTGTGGCAGATATGCGAGCAAGGACTACCTTGCACATGTGATATCGCATCGCCTGGTGTTATAATGGCGTGCTTGGAGTGCCAGTATACCGCGCAACAGGAAGAGTCAGGGATGACTGCCGCGTCTCGACGAGCACTTTCCGGTGAGCGAGCACTATCATGCGTCGTTGAACTTCAGTTCTGACAGCCATATAGCATACGCTGAGCTGTGCGGCATTTTGCCAGAGACGAGGCAAGAGGAAGAAGCTCCATCACATGATGATGCGGCACCCAGCGACTTGCTAGCGAGGAGGGAACGCCTCCAGGGCTCGTCGCTGGCGTGCGAGTACGGTGTTCCTGCCCTCTCGCTCAATCTTCCTCCAGCCTTCATCCCAATTAACCCAGATCACCGGATATTTGGTTTTTTATTGCTTTCTGTAGCGATAGCTTTGTGTATAGTGGATCGCCAGTGGCGACGGTCGACTGATTGACTCAAGTTTCTTGCGCAGTACACTGTGCTTATTTGACGGCGGCGAGCTAGTTACCGTCACCATTCGTCATGATGCAGCCGGCGACTGCCTCTCTCTCTCTCCACGTCCCAGCTATCGTCATATCTCACACAAAGGCTACAGAAAAGGTCGCGCTCGACGGCTGTGGACGCCGACTCTCCCCGTAGACGCCATGGCAGCGACCTGAGGCACCACAGCGCAGTGTCCAGAACGTCATCGGCGGATTTTATCAGCGCTCAGAGTAACCTGAGTTCCGACCAGTTTTATGCAGCGTTGTGGAGAGCTATAGTCTCCACTAGTCAGTTGACAATGAAGGCGAGGTTGCTGGCTTGGTATCGTGAATCGAGTAGAGGGCTGCCCGATGGCGCACAGAAGACATAATGTTCTGTCTGGACGAGGAATTTAAAGGAAAGGCTGTTATGAGACACACTCAGTAGATCTTCGTACCTAGTCAAGCGGGGACAGGAATCCCAGAGTGCACATACGCAATATATACTATTACAACACATTTCACAGACGGGCCTTGATGTCAACGAAAGGCGCATACGAAGAGCTCCCTCGGTAGACGTCCAGAGACCCAACAAACGCGTCCCATGCCTCTTGCGAGACAATGGCGCCCACAGCATACTTCTCAACGCCGGAAGCCTGTAGGTAGTCGTCAAGTCCACAATGCACTTCGGAGAGTGCATGCGCTTCCTCCTCCGCGAACGCGTGCCTGCTGGTGAGGCCGTCACCTCGACGTAGGCTGCAAGACCCGCGCCTACGGCGCCGAGCTCGTAGAGGCACACGAGTGGCGCGGAAACGCCCGCGTTTGTCGCGGCCTCGAATTCCATGCGGTGCCCGATAGCCTCGACGAACGGCAAGCAGCGCGGGAGAAGAAGCTCGTTCGCGCGTGCGCCGCGGTACTCTCCGCGCACGGCCGCCAGAATCGCTTTCATCTCGTCAAAGAGCCGCTGCTCGTGGATGGTGAGCCTGGAGTGCTTGTCCTGGCTCGGGGGGACGGTGTACCGGCCAACGAGAGTTCAGGGGCTAGCCCTTGGGGGAGGATGTCAGGAAGGCGCCTGTCGAACGAGCGTGGCAAGGCGGCTCACGGAGACCTAGGACGAGCACGTCGCCCTCTGCGATGGCAACACCACGAAGCTCCGACTAACAATTCGTGTCAGTTTATTTGTGTTTCAAATGGAAAATTTGCACACCTCCACGTGCATGAATTGGTTGTAATCGAAAATTTCCTGTGCGCTACAGCGATCTGCGACATTTACGCCTGTTCTCCGCCAGTGTCCTATCATGGTCGCCTTCACGATAGCGCATATCGCATTCCGGAAGTTGACATTTTCGACCGGTGTAGCAGAAACCCAGGCCGCTGTGCGTCTGTAGAGAGCCTCGAGTACAAAGCCCTGGGCCAAAGAGTGCAAGATAAAGCTGTTGAGTCCTGAACGAGATGAGCGGTGCGGGATGCCCGGTAGGTCCGTTGATGCATCTCCTGGTGCTGTACCTGGCCGCGATAAACGCTGCAACTTTCAAGGAGGGTATCACTGTCGCGGAGATACTAAGTGTGCCGATGCTCACCCTCCAGAGGGTCCTAAGGTAGAGATCCCTCGGAGTTGCGTCCGTGTCCACTTCCCCAAGAGTGCTGAGGGCGGAATTGCGACGTGGTCGAAGGATGTGATGGCATGGCCGACGGCTCTGCAGCCACTCTTGCTCGGGAGTTCTCTGCAGAGCGTTAGCATTCTGCAATGCGCATATATAAGGCGTCGTACCGAGCTGTTACCCCTTTACACATCTCTTTGCCATCATTCAGCGCAACTACGAAAGGGCGAATGCCTTTGTCGACTCCGTTGACCACCAGTCTAGCCATTACAACACCCACACGCGGAACGCCACCGAACGGAAGCGTAGGAGGCATGTATCTACACACTGTTGTCAGAAATATATCCATAGGCGCCCCCCTTTCGACTGACTTTGCTGCGCCTGGATTGGGAGTATGTAAATCGAAGTTTCCGTCATCCTTCACAGTCGCCGTCGTCTCCAGATTGAAGGCGTCCAGGCCGTGTGCGACCTCTGTCAGCAGAAACTGTGCCCTGAGAAGAGCCGATCAGTTTTAAGCCCCGCGATGAGAGTGATTGACTGACGAAACTCGGAAGCTAAGCATACCATGCAGGAGTGGAAGTAGCTCCGATCATTTCTGCGCATAAGGTGCGAGGGTCCCAGCTGCGAGGTTTATTTGTATACTGAAGAGTGTGACTGCCCCGCCATCGAGCGTGACTATGGGTCCACATGCATGTCTCAGAAATTCTTTGAAAGGCCAGCGACATCTTCGGGGGAGAGTGCTACGGGAAAAATGAAACAAACTACCAATATGATATTGTGCGTGCTTACTTACCATACCTTATTCCCACAGCTGTCGCGTGTTGGTGGTACAAGTCAATGCGCTCCGCCACCGAGAGACGTTCTGAGGCGAGTCTAAAAAGTGGAGAGGTGGGCAGATCCCCTGTTACGAATTTTGACATTGTTAGTCCAGTTAATGGTGTGCTGTGAGCAAAACCTAGAAGGGAGAGGAGATGTTGAGCCCTTCAGGCCACTTCACACGTGAGCGCTTGGATATCCAACTTGAACTCGTCGCTGGCAAAAGTTTTAGTCCGTCTGAAAAAGTCTATTTAGCATCCAAATGAGGACGCCATTTGACACCATATATGCCGTTCCACCTTGCTGTCCCCTATCTCTCCATGCAAATGAGACAGAAGCAACTGCAATAGAAGTTATAGAACCAATGAACCCTATACAATCGCGCTTCACACAATTATTCGGAAGTCATGAGGCCTGAGTCGATACGCTGTGAGAAAGACTCTACATCCTCTGGGCATTAGTAAAGACACAGAAGGAACTCCAAAGTCACCAGACAATCAGAGCTATCCGGTGGCTCGCTGTTATAGAATTTGGCGTCCCCGCGCTCTCGCTCAACTTCCCACCTGCTTTTGCCTCGATCGAGCAAGATGACAGAATACTTATCCAGTTTAATAGACAGTCAACGGCGCAAATCAGGCATTTAGTCTTACGCACCCACGACCATCTCGGTTACTCTTTTGGAGAGCCATAATAAATGCATGGACATTGCAGACTGTACTGATGCCCTGTGTTGTATGTACGGCCGCATTGACTTGATATTGTGGTAGAAGTTCCTGTATGTGGTCCTTTGGTGGCTAGAGAGCGTCTGAGCGCGTCGTGGTGTGTCAGAGAATCAGGCCCACAATGACGAGCCTGCCACTGTGTCTGTGAGGTGCAGTGATGAGCTACTTAGAGGAAAGCTGCGAGAGAATTTCGGTCAATCAAAGAAGTGAAGAAATGGATGGATTGTGACCAGGAAATTTTCCGTCCTCATCTAAGTCTGCCGAGCGCAGTTAGATGTATCGTTCAACCGAAGGCCGAACATCTCTGAGAAGCTGGAATTGATGGAGAATACAGCAGGTGTCAGCATAAGTACCAATCTGAATGGCGGTCACGGGTCATAGAGGGGCTCGCCGGTGTGTGATAGGTACTACAGGTGGGCCAAAAATTTTGGCCCTGCGACGCACCCATAGAAAACCCCCAAAATCAATCCGCCGCCGTTCAGGTCGAAAAATTACGATGGTCTCCGTTGCTGACAATAAACGATTTGGACGATGAGCCGGTTCAAATCTGCATCTGGTGCTACTGGCAGATGCACTCGGCTGTGTGGAGACCTCTGCGTCGCGGGCGTTCATCCGCACGGGAGACGCCGATAACATGTCCCGGGGGCCGACGTCTCGGCTGCGGGGTCTCAGGCCGGACAAATATTGCTAAGTTAGTTCATACTATACCATAGAGCTGTAGACATCCCAATTCATTGGCATTTACATATTGACATCTCTGAGAATGGCCAGCATGAGGGCGAGAAACAGTCCAGCGACGTTGAAAGCATAAGCCCACGTATGCGTCCCTGTGAGTGCTTGAAGCATCAACGAACGAGACAGGACGTACGATTACTCAGAGTAGCCCAGTAATGAAGTCGTATAGGTAACCTGCCTGCAGCTCTGTTGTCGAAGACACATCAGACGTTCAAAAGGCTCTCAGAGGCTTAGTTGACGGTACTGTTCCGGTCTCCATGCAGAATTTACGCGACTGTTATGTGCAACTAAGGACTATGAATTATAGTAGCACATTCATATACCAATCTTATATTGACAGTCACTGTTAGCTCTAGTACCAACCCAGCCGTTTGAACTGCCCAAGCAAGTCACGGGTGCACTCTTCGATCGAGTGATACTCGATGCCGAGAATGCGTTTGCTCTTAGCATTGTCGAAGTGCGTCGTGTAGGGCGCCTTACGCGGGTCGTAGGATGTGTCGCCCGCAGGTAAGGATGGATCAAACTTGTGTGCGGCGGAAACTGCAGATGATGACGAGCATGTGAGCACTTCTACTGTGATGCGTATAACGATATGACTACACACCAAAGTCTTGCCAGACCCACTCAGAGCAGGACACAATGATGCGCTCGCCTCCAGCCTCGGGCTTCTGAAGGGCAAGGACATGTGCTTCACTGACGTTTCGGACATCAACCCAACCAGTGCTGTGTGCGACCGTCAGCATTACAATCTCGAGAGGGGATGGTACGCTGAACCGACCTGAAGTTAGTGAGCTGCTCCTTCGTCTTAGTGCCCTTCACGACTGAGCCGTAGAACTCGAGGATAGAGGTGTTGAGGTCTTCCGGACGCTTGACCTCCTGTAAGAACGGGCCGTAGACATAGGGCGGGTTCATGGTGACGAGATCGAAATTGACCGCGCCCCTGTTCTCCTCCACGAACTTCCACGCCGCGCGTTCCGCTAGGGATTTGGAAGCATGATACTTGTCGACGTTGCTGGCGTTGCGCCCCTTAGCCTCGACCTCGCAGATGGACTGCTCGTTCCAGTTCTTCTCGTTGTACCACCGCTCGTGGTTGGGGTCGACGGTAAGGACGGCGGAGCAAGAGGAAGTGACGACGACGCGCTTTACGGTGCCGTTAGCGTGCTCCAGTGCCGACCGCAGCATGCCAACGGTGCCCGCCACGGCGGGGCCGATGATCTCCTGAGGATCGTCGGCGTGCATGTGGAAGGGCGACGCGGTGTGCTCGATGGCGTCAACGCCCTTGACGGCCTCGTCGAAGGCACCCTCCTATGACACAGTTCAGCATCATATGCGGAATACAAGTGAGTGTAAAGCGCACCTTCGTAATGTCAGGAACAATGACAACCTCGAACTTATCGCCATAGCTCGAGAAGAGGTCCTTTAGGTGAGGGATGGAAGACTCTCTGCGTACAGTGCCGCGGACGGAGAAGCCTTCCTCGAGTAAGTGCTTGACGACCCAGACGGCAATGAAGCCATTGCAACCAGAGACGAGAACTTTGCCCTTGTTGACAGCTGGCATTATGATTTGGTCAGGAGACTAGTGATGTGCTGGTGGGAATGAATTGAAAGAGGTATGCAAAAAGTCCAAGGCCTTTATACGCACCGTATCGGTAGCGACAAGACTTTAGGAGGAGGTCGGCAAAGCCACCCAACTCCGTCTGCTGAATCACACTTAGGAATGAGTCAGCGTTTCCTCCGCTTCGTACGGCATCGTCTGTGACAATTTTCTAGGAGATCGCATTGAACACTGCCTTGGCGTGAGGCTAGAGATGCAAAGGAGCCTCGGCCAAGGTTCCGTTCAGCCCCATACCTGCCTGTTATGGAGGCCCTAACTCCAGTCATCCCGGGCTTGTGCACGGATCTCCTTCCTCGTCGGCTATGGACGGCTATGGCTTTGCAACGAATTCCTGAGCGATATCCTTCGCCGATACCGATACGTCACCAATATAAACATCTAGATCGCATGAGCATATAAAGTCTGCGTAGTTGCGGCTATCCTCGGGAGTGCGGCTATCCACGGGGGTGCGGCTATCCACGGGAACGCGGCTATCCACGGGAATGCTGAGTAATGTGCTCGAGGAGCCGCCCTCTGCCCTCAAGCATCAAGTTAGTATGCAAGACTGATCGTGCCCGACGATCGCAAGACGCCACAAAGCCCTCGGGCTAAAGCGCTAAAGCGCTAAAGGGTTGCCCAGCGGGCTTAGGTCAAAATCCCCAAAATCCAACTTAAGTTAGAAACTCAAATCTGATGCCGTTAGTGCCTGGATAGGCGCCGCACATCACCAGCCTCGGAGTGTACTGGTACCTCTTATTCTTGATATTTAAGCAGTTTCAGCCTGAAAAGTCGTTTTATAATACACGTATACGAGGTTAAAGGTCAAGTGAAGCATGAATATATAAAGCTCCGGGTGTCTTAGGGTTAGGTGCTCGATAAGATAATCGAAGCTCCGGGCGCTTGATTACGGTACCGCTTCGGTGAGCTTGGTCGGACAACAGCCCTCGGCTCGCTGCTACTCTTGACCTCAGAGTATGCAAACACAGCGCCTTGCATGCTTTCGTAACATTTAAAAGGCCTAGATAATATCATACATAGCTCAGGCTGACATTTATGCACAGGAAAGTGCATGGGCGCTCGATACGTGGACTTGGGTTTTGGGGATTTGACCTGAGCCTGCTCGGCAACCATAGGTCTCGCAGAGTTCGGACAAGTTCTAAGGAATGCTGTCAAGTTATGTACGACAGCCGCGCGCTAGTAAGAGTTACGATACATCTATGGTACTGCGCACAGGGCGGCGGGGATGAGATATACATGCGGCGCGAGGGGCCAGTGATTTACAAGAACGAATGCAACAGAGTCCACTGTATCCTGACAAGTGACGTCATGACAAACACGTAACGGGACATAGCATGGAGAGTAAAAGAGACGTATCAGAGCGAAGAGGGCAAAGAGGCTCGTGTAGCCAAGCGCGGTGACATCACAGGGAGGTTCGCACAGACATACGCGCGAACGCGTCATTGCGCGGCCCCGATATCGGCCTCTGCCTCAGAGGACAAGCTGCAAGCGGTCGTGGGCGTGGCCGGGAAATCGAGCTCAGCATCGCTCAGCCCATCGATCGTATAGTCCTGCGGGACGATAATGCAGTCGAGCTCAGGAGACTCGGCCTGTGCTATCTTGTTCTCGAGGTACAAGGCGTATGCCACTGCAGCGGACGAGTCTGTGGTCTTTTCGATGTCGAGGGCCTCGAGCTTGTGCGCGAGGTTGAAGGACGACTGCATGATGATATGTCGTCCGGCACCGGCATAGGGAGAGAGGAATCTGTCTGCAGAGGTGGGGGTGCGAGGCGTGGGTGAACTGGGAAGGCTGGAAAAGAATTAGCATGAGCGGAAACTTTGAGAGTGGCGCAACTTACCTGAGGCCGCTGCCCGGCAGGGACTTGCAGGGTTGAGGCTTGCAGCCGAAGGGCTTAACGAGCCACCAGAAGGCTGCCTTGTAGTGACGGCAGGCCTCATCGGCAAAGCCAAAGAGACCGAAGAAGATGAATGCCGCGCAAGGGTAGATCCAGCGGCCCATCTCATAGGCGATGACCGCTTGGTGGTCGGCGCGCCAGAAGACGGCAGGAATCTGGAGGACGCGACCGAAGTCGTAGTGGGTGTCCGCCCAAGAGATCCATGGAGCAACTGGAACGCCGTGCACGTTGATGTAGATGGTGTAGATGGCAAGCGGGACGGTCAGGGCCATCTCCAAGCATGACAGAAGCATGAGTCGGAAGTAGCGACTCATGGACATGGATTGCGACAAAGAGAGCACCTCTCTGAATTGAACGCGGCGAATCCAGAATGCCCGTAACGTCATGGCTAGCATTGAGATAAGTATCATGGTAGCCAAATAGGTTGAGAACACTCACATGCATACACAAAGGACACTAGTCCCAGTAGGGCAGGCCACATGAAGACCAGTGGGAAGGCCAAAGGCGTAACGTAAATGGTAGGAAGACAGCCAATATCCTCAGCAATATTGAAGCGATGTCCCTGGACGACAGCATCTATTGGAGAATCTTAGCGAATGTAGATTTGAAAACTCTTTGGCAGTACTCACGCAAGCACATGACGATCACAGGGATACCGAACCCAATCGCAAGGTCAAAGTACATTGCCCGACGTTTCTAGACAGAAGAAAGTTCAGATCCTTGCTAGAAAGGAATGTTCGTCAGTTGAAGTACTGACCTCGGGAGGCCCCATTGAAGTCTGACGGACGGCGGCTATATTGTACAACCTTCTGTTGATGCAGAGTGAAGCTGCAGGGATGCCAACTCCGGCACCGATGATAAACTTTGTGGCTACGGGTAAAGCCGTGAGTGCCAGGCCAAAGATGATAGTGTTGCGTGCGACGTACTGATGTCGCACCAGACTGGAATCTTGTTCTCCACGCTACCGTTCCAAACCAGCGAGTCCACGAACTGAATCAGACTTGCAAAGCCCGCCCAGAACATGTACATACACGTCCCAGCGTTCCACGCTTGCAGGTGCCATGACAGAGGAACGAAAGAAAGGACGAAACCGAGGAAAGAAAAGACCGAGAACAGAGGGTAGGTGGGGTCGGACATGGAGGTGAAGTGGCGATGCAGAGACTAGCTCTGTCCTGCCGGTCGCAAAGCGAGGGCAGGATACTTAAGGTTCGGCTACGCATTGTCGGGCAGTCCCGCTTTGCCTCGCGGTGAGCGAGGTTGAAAAGACAGTGGTAAGCGAGCTGGTGTACAAACAGAAAATTCAACAATAGCCAATCTTACGCGCTGACCCGAGCGCGCTTATTATCTGGCGCCCAATTGTGAATGCGCGCTTGCCACCCGCCTCTGTTCTTCCTCACCTCCATTGTCGTTGACATATATTATGGGGACCGCGGGGCCAACCGGGACCTCTCTGCAAGATCACCACCCACTCGACAGTCGCGCGCATCCATTCAGGAGACCTTGCCTCCATCTCTAAGCGCTTCACGATGCCTCCGGCAGACGACTTTCATGATCTCGCTCAAATCGAAGTCGTCCTGGACCCCTCCGGCCCTGGCGTGCCGACGGACGAAGAGCACTTTAATGGTAGCTTATCTATTAGCTGGTGCACAATTGCTTGACCGGTATGGACCAGTCTCAGTGTCTTCTGCCAGTATAAACTTACGTTCATTCTATCTCTAGTCCTATTAACGAGATGCCGGACATCGTGTGGACTGTCATGCATGCCATGGTTTCACTATTAACTCTCATGGTATGTTTACGAAATTCTGTTTTTTTTTGCGCGCTGCAGCTGACGAATGTCTCAGATCACTCTACCGCTGTGCTGTGCACGACGATAATTTATACTAACTGACTTCAAACTCGTCTTCGTCTTTCCACCTACACTGTATTCCTATCCGCCACTATTCCCAAGCCGATACCCATTCCTTCACGTAGACAGTCCTATACCCTCTGCCGCAGTCTATACCCGGCCACGGTCCTCACGCACGTCTTTATTGTTAGGAATGACTTGTATCGATAGGACGTTTGACGACGCCTCCACGTTTACTTACGACCCTTCCTGTTCTTATATTTCCTTTTTGTTCGCATGTTGATACGTGCCTATGGCATCTTATGCTGTACATGTCCTGTTGATTCATAATTCGTCTATGTTTATCTCATGTTCAATGCATTGTCGCATCTCGCCATGAGCGATTCTCCGCCTGGTCGCGGGACATTGTGCTCTGCTTCGGCGTTGGCTCAGACTGAGACACGCCGCCTGGAGAGCCTTCCTGCCTTATCTCGTCTACCTGCGACACGCTCTGCCTCAGACTCCTACTGTGTCGACTGCGAGCCGGTCGTAGTATCACCAATTTACAGCTGCACTCTGTCCCAAATCGACACTTCTCAATACTTCCGCAAAGCCACGTTCTACCCATGCCCCCAGAGAGCTCAAGTACGAGACGGGACAGGCGAATGCACGTGTGCCATTGCGGGGTCTACTGCAAAGTACCGACCGACGTCTCTGATACAACCTATCTACGACACTAGAGGGCGGTCAAAGCGGTGTCCGGCACTGTTCCCCCCTCGTTCAGGCTTGCGTCGTCTGAACTGCAAGCGCTCTTTGCTCAGAAATTAGCTGAGAACGCTGCACTGGCCTCGAAATTAGGTGCTTCGGGCTCGCGCAAGCGCACTCGAGCTGGGTGCACGGACAAGTCTTCTGGCCTTGCCTCTGAAGCCGCCGCTAAGCGGAGGAAAGCTACGGAATGCGATGAGCAAGAGGCTCTCTGGTACTGCTAATTATAACTAATATGCAACGGTATGTTTTTTCTTCTGTCTGATCTCTCTTTGCTGCTACTTATATCTAGCAGTACAAGTATTGTCGAAAATGGTCTGCTATGAGGTAGGCGGCTCGAAGGTGTACGCGAGAAGCTGGATGGCGTGTCGTGGAGCGGGGGCGGCGGGACTGCAGTACGACGGATGTTCAAGCATGCAAACTATAGTATTTCACACTATATCCTGTTATGTAAATGTGAATATGCCTGCTGAAGCCCAAATATGTTAGGATGTATCAACTACAAATATGAACACCGGACGTAGATGGCTGTTTGCGAATATATTCGCAAGCAAACGTGGGAGGACGAGGTGACGCTAGTGCTCACCAATTAAGATTACATACGAAATTTGAGGATATGTATGCATTAGAATTGCGTACAGCGTATACGGACGCCGTAAGTTATGATATGCATAATCTTACGCGTATTTAATTTTAAGCAATCATATATAATCATATGTAATGAGATTCAGGCGGTGTCGGCCTCCGAGGCGAAGGTAGAATACTAAGGTAGCTAAGCATCGAATCACCGACACAGCCGTACATTACTGAACACATTCTCAAGGTGACACACTACATCTGCACGCTCACCTCACTGCCGAAGTGGTCGGGCTCAAAGTACCCCGAAATTTCGTGTAGCATCCGGAAGTCGGGCTTGCCATCGGTGCGCAGCGGGAGCGGCCACGGCCCGGACAGGTCGAACAAGAACGCGCCCCCGCCGAGGATGTGCATGTCCGAGACGTGGATCGGGTGCACGTCCTGATGCTCGTACACGGCACCGACGCTTGCGTGTGAGTCGGTGTGACCGCCTCGCGGGCGCGTCAAAGAGTGGCGGCAGATGCACAGACGCGAGCGGGGGTTTATAGAGAGCGCGGACGCCATGCTGCCGCTGCCGGAGCTCTTCGTGGACGACGGCATGCTGTGCACGACGCCGGCGTTGTCGGGTGCGATGAGATGTGTCCTGTCGCAGAGCCGATCGAACTCGCACGCGGCGGGGTCCGTGCGCCCGGTACTGCAGCTTCCGGACGATGTCCTGCGGCAATGTCAAAGGGGGCGGGTCAAGGCGCAGTCAGTGGGGAGAGGGAGGAAGAGGGACGCACGATGCTGTTTCCGGCCGTCATTGTGAACAGGCTAGCAGCAAACACTTCCCCGCAAGGGACTTCTTCATGAGCTTGGCTCTTGCACGGTCAATCCTAGCCAGTGCAGAGGTAAACTTCGGCCTCTACCTCTTGAGGAACGCTCGTGACGCACTGACATGACCCGCTGTATGTCGACATCCGGAGAATTCCGATGCCCATTACATAAGGGCTGACGCTGTTTCTGTGCTCGGACTTGCAGAGTGCGTTGGTGTGCGATTCTTGAGCGTGCGGGTGGTGCGCGCCGTATCTGAATTCTCGGCCCTTCTGGGGTCCAACATATGTAGCATACAGATTACATACGGGCAGCATAATTTACGATATGCATATGTACGCATATGATATGCCGTGCGTACGAGTAGGAGAATGATTACGGAAACCCCCATAATTAATCTTAAGATATGCTTAATCTGAGATTATAATGGTATGTAATCATAATTTTGGTGAGCACTAGGTGACGCGACGCATTCATTATCCCCACGCAGCTATCACGTGAGCGCGCACCCTGTCCGCTCCGATCAATAAAAAGGCGCTCATATTTTCTTCAACCTGTGAGATCTTGCCGCGAACAGCACGCCCTCCGCGATGACGCCGAGTCGCAGATACATACCGCCAGCCCGAGCTCGAAATTTGATCGGATGATTATGCTTTATGTCCTCGAGCCACTTGTGGCGCGATCTAGTCAAAGCGAACGCTTTGAACCCGCCTACCGCCGGCTCAGCCAGGTGAGCTGTTTCCAGCCGTGATCCCAGCTTTTATTGCTCATTAACTTTAAATTTCGGTAGAATCTCTTGGGTAATAAAAAAAAAATCAGCGCTTGTGATCTGACGAAAGTACGCCACCGTCATCGCCGAAAGGCCGCTTCGGTGCCCTAGAAGCTAAGGACAATACTATCGTGATTAGCCATGTCGCACGCTTCTCGGCCGTCTTAATTGAAGACGTCACAATCCTAGTCCCAACCAGCTTAGAACTTCATTAGCTCCGGGCGTCGATATATATCTTTCATAACGGTCTTCGAAAACCTACGCCCGACGGCATCGGTAGGAGATACGGGCAAGTGTTATCTGTATCATGGCGTGCGGGGCCCGTACAGAGTCGGAAGGTCAAGTGGTAGTGCAATATCCCGTACCACTCGCACCTTCAGCCTGTCTGGTCGCGATACTGCTCCGGGACAGTTATTTCTCGAGCCAACTATGTCCGCCTCTGACATCACCCTTACCCTTCTTCGCCTATCCTTCTTAACCTAACACTTAGTCTCTGTCAGCCACGTCATCCTCATCTACGCCATTAGCCGGTGCTCTGGCGTCACCAAACAATGGCAGCAAGCTCAGTCTTGTCCCACCCTCAGATCGTGCGACCGACCCTCGATTATTTCCAAACTAGTTGTTCCGTGACGCACAATCTAACGGTCCGGTCACGATACCACGTCGCCTTGCGTCTGATGGACCCTTATTCCACGTTGGGACGTCAATAAGCTCTCGCTTCAGAGTGCTCCCACCGTGCACCCACAGCGAGTCACGCCGCCCAAATCCGTGCTATGTCCCATCGCCCCCGCCGCAGAAAATTCCTTCCCCCTAACCTTCATCTGGTCCGCTCCCTCAAAATGCATTGGCCGGCTCAACGCCATCATTTCCTGCCTCCCCTCCTTACACCCCCCGCCTCCGCAACCACGACCGGCTGTCGGGGAAAGCATGCCTCACCCGATGCCTGCGGCGGCCTTCGCAGCGGCAGCTGGGCTAAGTCTGCCTATTGTGGTACAGGGGGTGCTTTTGCGCAGACAGTGCCTTCCGGTCGTTGCCACAGCCTTGTGGTTATTCTTTGCAAACGTCGTATATGGCGTGAACGCACTCGTTTGGGCTGGCTCGGATGCGATTCGCATACCAGTATGGTGCGACATTGGTGAGTAGGCCTATCCATAGAGGCTACTCTGGGCTGACGGTCACATTTTTGGACCCTCCCAGCAACCAAGTTTCTTGTAGGCTCCGCATATGCAATCCCTGCGTGCTTGCTTTGCACTACGATAAAACTGAAGCTCGCTGTGGCACCACGGGATCTGCCTGATGAGCGAACGGCTAAGGGACAGAGGAGCGCTTACCTTCTCGACCTCGCGCTCTGTGTAGGGGTGCCTGTCATCTCTATGATCCTACGTACGTTCTTTATCGGTCTCGGCATTAAACATGGTCAATACTAACCTTGATTCAGACACCGTTGTCCAGGACCATCGCTTCGATATCGTCGAGAACATTGGCTGCCAGCCCGAGATACCGGCTATCTCAGCGAGCACCATTTTCTTCTGGCTACCTGCATTGCTACTTGCCCTACTGTCATTTTTCTCGTGCTGTGAGTCTGGGCTATCGTCGCCGCAAAATTGGTATTAACGTTAAGCAGGTATAATGCTGCGCTACATCTTCGGTCCTAATCGCCTCCAGCTGCGCCACAACCTCGAGATGTTCGATTCCACCTCAACGATATCCGTATTCTTCAGCCAGTTTATGATCGTGCTGTGCGTTGCGGCCCTCTGGACCGCGTACCTACTGGTTATGATATACGAAGCTCTGTTGTTGACCTCGAAGCTGCCCGATGGGTTGTCCCGCTCCGCAGACTGGTCACGCATCGACTCGTACACATGGGTCGATTTCGATAGCCTATCGAGACGTGACCGAAACTTTTGCTGGTGGACGACCCCGGCCGCGGCGCTGGCGTTCACATTCTGGTCCACGGTCTTTCCCGTGGTAGAGAAGGTCGACAGTTGGCTGTGCCGTGTATTTCGATGCATCCGCACAGGGCTCCGCACACGGAGCTCTTCTATTACGTTGAAGGAGATGAACGCGAGCAAGCACAAGGGGTGCGTCCTTTACTTTTACATGTTAAACTTCTGGGGCTCACCAGCTGCAGGAGTGGCAGCCATGTCATCATCCGCAAAGACTCCGTTGTGACAGTTATCTACGACGATACCGGGACTTCCAAACAAGCGCACTCTCCGCGTTCTCCGCCTTGGTCACCTGCTAAACCCGCGTACGAACCGCGGCGGAGCATCCCTTGGGAGACTGCTCGCCCTTTTAACGGCCCACCGGGCAGACGATGCTCCGCCGGGACAGAAGATGGTTCGCAAGAGATTGTTATCAGGGAGCTACCTATCGCAGCATCGCCACTAGATAGGCATGTGCCGCCACAGTCAACCTTCCCTCATGCCTGGCAGGAGCCACCAGTCGTTGTACCTAGATATGCAGAAGAATCCCCTGTTTGATAGCGACGTGTCATATTCTTCTCTCTTGCGATTTTACAGCGCCTTCCGCTGTCATTGCAACTCCGTGCACGTTGCAGACACGCTCCTTCTGTACACTCTTTTGTTATTCGCCACCGTCCTTTTGTTGCTCCCTTTTTTATCATTCTCTCTTATCGTATATTGACTACGACTCTCCTCCCTGTCGCTGCTTGTACCATAGAATAACATCGTCACTCCTTGCACTTGATCTGTTAGATGTCGATATAGCCAAATTAAAAGATCTATTTTACTTCGTATACAGCAGAGTCCAGACAGCACAGTGGTGGCAATAACTATAGGGTATATCCAAAAGAGCGAAACGAGAGCATAGCATGAGACGAGACTGCGACTAGTCGGAGATGTATTTCCTGCGAAAGCGTGTATTCCGGAAGATAAGGAAACTTTTTGTCTGCGTCATGCCGCCGCGGCGATGGGTTGAGCGCACGAAACGCGGTCCCGATGGTTAGGAGATAGCAGGAGAACCTAGAGGCCATAGTCAGCACCACGTCACGGAGACTCCGGAAATAAGTTCAACATACCACTCGGGGTAGCCTCTCGAACGGCCAGGAATGTGATGACAAAGATTCGAGGTCTCGCGACCTCTGAAGCTGAACGCCCACCCCTGGTATAGACGAGCAAATGCCGCATTTTATGGGCGACGGTGTCACTGGACAAGGGTCTGCGGAATGTGCAGGACGACGGTCGAAAAGAACGACAACGACGCCATGGCAAGGGCCGCCGCGCAAAGAAGCACGTATCGCTCTAAAATGCAAATCCCTGATTAGCTTCCCTACGCAGCGAGAATAAATGCCAAGCACACTGACCTCCCGAAGATTCCTTCTTCCGCTGTCTCATGGGCATAGCGGCCGCGTACGACGGCGCATACTCCCAGTCGTCACCGGACTGGATGAGGACGTAGTCTGCGGTGGACTGCATTGCGTTTGTGGACGTGGGAGGGGTGTGGTATTGCTGAACATGCACCACCCTATTGCCTATTCTTTATACAGAGCAGAGAAAGGCCAGATCCTCTGTGCGCCCCGAAGCGTTGCAACGGTTGTCGGACATCTGCACGCGCGCTTGAGTCGCGCGTTCCTGCTTTGTCCGAGAGCGGATCGGTATACCTGCCCTGCGGGGTATGCTGCTGGCACTGCTGGCTCGCAAAAATGGTCGCTGAAAGTTTGATTTGGGCTGGACATGCCAAATACTGGCCAAACCTCCCAGGAGGACGTGACGCACGAAGGCTTGCTCTTGAGAGAGCACTGCAAATACACAACCAATTTCAAACGATATTTTTACTGAAAGCTGATGTGAACATGTCCACTACCATCCTAAACTCCCAGCTCATGCTTTCGCGCAATTTACCAACGAGCGTTCCATGCGGCTGCAGCACAAGGCCTCGGGTTCACATCGGCCGTCGGACCGCAAACGTCGGCCGTAAAGTGCGCACAGCGCGACGATCCACAGTACTTGCATGCAGATGCCTCGGCCTAGGAAGCGAAGATTTGGCAAAAGCTGGCCTAGGTTGGCCCGAGTGGACCCTGACAAGATGGTCCGCCGCAGTCCTCTATAGGGACGCGCAGCGGCGTGGCGAAGGGCTGGCCACTGGCCTAGGTCGCATCTCTGAGTCCGAGCGCCTCAACCTCACATGGTACAGTATCGACTTCGCTACCCGGTGCTGCTTTGACAAAGCAGGTGGGTTTGCACCTGGGAATGGTGGTCAGCGGAAGGGAGAGATGCCAGCGCAGACACGACGGCTGGTAACAGCGGCTGACGACATGGATATCAGGCCGCAGCACCGCACCAAAGACTAGTACGTTGACACTCGACCGCTACGGAAAGATTCGAGGACCTATCGATTGACTCTCGGTGTGGTCATTACTATCATAGGTAATCGCAGAAAGTTTTGTATCATGACGCCCAACGACGTGGCGAGCCATTTAATGGTATAGTAGGTAACAGCCATGACGCGAGTCAGGAGCGAAATTTGGTCTGTTTCTTCTGCTGACTCGGAGCGGGAAAAGCCTACAATTTGATTCCAAATCATGAGGCCCTTGGGTGCGTGCTGAAGATAGACGCAGCGGTAGACATACTTTGGAGGCTCACCAATGAGCCATGGCAGGAGGTAGGAGCAAACATGATATGACTTGTCAGATAACAAAAGTGCCTGGCGAGAGGTACGCACAGAGCACGAGGTGAAGCCACATGAGCAAGAGGTTCCACGTCTTATGTTTTCCGGCGGCACAACGCCAACTGTTGAAGTTGCTCCCGGAACTCGGTCTGCACAGATCTTTACTCGCGTATCGCGAAGCGCCACCTACTTATGCCAGCGTTTAGCAGGGCGAAAATGAGCTTGGAACATACTGCTCAGTCATATTCTAAAAGAGCCTTGAACACTTATCGCACGCCGCCGCTCCTCCGCTCTAGTCAGTCAGGCCCATGGATAGGGCACTTCGAGTGGCCCATTTGCGTTATTAATGGAGAAGAGATACCAGAAAAGACCACATCGCCCTGGGCTCGGGGTTGGCAGTGGAAATGGCCAAGTCGCGGGCGGTCAAATCTCGAACGCCACAACGCGCTGGCAGCCCAAGTAAGGCTAAGCGCATCATCGCGGCACGTGAAGGGCGCATCATTAGAACAAGCGCATCAAAATCGCAAAGGGCTCCCGTGGTCTGAGCCTGCTCGAACATTTCCTCTGGCAGCCAAGACTTCAAATTGAAACCTAAAAGCTTTCCATCCGAAGACATGAGATCCACCTAGCCTTAACATGTGCAAATCCCTGCAGCCGTCGTATCTTTGGGCAACTTCGCGCCGACCCTGGTCAATCATGTCAGCTGGTTTCGTGCGTGAGTGCCCACGAGTTAACTGGGGCTTATACCGCCGCAGCATGGAAGAATCTTGGACAGCGAGAGGTGCTTCATTGTTATTCCCTCCTCTTGTGTTTCTGATGCATGATTATTCGGACGCAATTCAACCTCTGAAACGCATCATGTCATTCCCAAGCTGAACTTCGGGCGACGCTCAGATGACCTCCTGCCCTGACTATAAATAAGAAGGATACACAGAATTGCGATTCTTGATACTCTTGAGTATTCTTTTTTTTCGCGATCCAGACCTCCGGACGCATTACATGATCCATTTTTATCTATGTGCTGTCCACAATGCTTTTCGTCGAAAATCAACGATGCACACAGCTTGAGATTACGTTAGTATTCAAGTGAACTATAAGAAAGGCGGAAATGTCTCATCATAGGTCATCTCTATATATGCCGGTATATCCGTAGGCGGTTCCTGTCGCGACCTCCGTCGCCGCATGATCTACTCCATGGCGCGAGCTTCTCCATCGCCTTACTTCTACCCCTCGTCCTGGATAATCTTGGACTATCCTTCACAGCGTTCGCCAGTACGATTCCCGTCGCCGATGCTTCTCCGGGTTTCGCCCGCGGCCCGTCGCAGCCATTACAGTATTCGCGTATGTCATGTGCGCGACTCGACATCAACTGCACCCTGAACGCGTCTCTCGTGATCACATATTCTGTCTAGCTTTAAGCAGCATTGCGATGACGAGGACCGTACGACGTCCGTCTCGTCTTCGTCAGGATGGTCTGCCTACGTCTCGCCCATCTCTTTGCACTCTCCTCACTCCTCGCCACGTCTCATGTGGCCGCCATCAGCACTCGCTCACTCTTCAGCCCGAGTGAGATCTGGCTGGGCTCGTGGTCAGCGATGCCGCAGCTTACAGAGTTCACAAACCTGCCTCCACCTCCGTTCAACCAATCCGGACTCGTGTTCCTCAACAGCACACTCCGTCAGACGTTCAAAATCAGTATCCCCGGTTCCCAGTTCCGCGTGCGTTTCAGCAACGCGTTCGGTGTCACGAACCTGGGCATTACCAACGCGACTGTCGCGTTGCCGGTTGGCGGGGTCGTCGGCGTATCCGCCATCGAACCGTCTACGCTCCATACGCTGACATTCAGCGGTGAGACGGGCTTCTCGTTGCCGAATGGCGCGCAGCTGGTGTCAGACCCAGTGGATTTGGCGGTGGCGGAGAATGGGATAGTCTCTGTGTCGATGTTCCTTGCGGATGGACAGACCACGAACATGATCACGTCGCACCCCGGCAGTCGCACGACCACATACCTCACTTTCGGCGACCAAACGCGCGCCACGAATATCACTGGCGCGGATCTGATGACCGTAGAGCACTGGTACTTCATCAGCGGTCTCGAGGTGCTCACGACGAACAAGGACGTGTCGGCGGTGGCAATTGTCGGTGATAGTCTCACAGACGGTCGTGAAAGCACCGAGAATGGCAACGATCGGTAAGCCTGGCATACTCTCCCTGATTGGACACGTTACTTACTTCATGATAGCTGGCCTGATCAGTTCTATGATCGCCTCCGGGCTCGTCCCAACAACACCATTTCATACCTCAACCAGGCCGCAGGCGGCAACCGCGTACTCAATGACGGCAACGGCCCTAACGCGCTGGGCCGCATCGACCGCGACGTGCTCGCGCAAACGCGTGTCTCGCGCGCCATCATCTTCGAGGGCGTGAACGACATTGGCACCGCGCCGTCGGACCCCACCTCGCAGGCGGAGGTGGTGCGCGACCTCATCGCCGCATTCAAGCAGATCATCACGCGCGTGCACGCGCAGGGCATCCCCATGTTTGGCGCGACCATCACGCCCTTCGGCTCGAACGACCCGTACGACGACGGCGGGAACCGCGAGGCAAGCCGTCTCGCCGTGAACAGCTGGATCCGCACGAGCGGCGCGTTCGATGCGGTGTTCGACTTCGACGCCGCCGTCCGCGACCCCAACAACTTCACCCAGCTGGACCCCAGCATCGACTCCGGTGACCATCTCCATTTGACTCCTGCGGGCTACAAACGACTCGCCGATGTCATTCCTCTAAGCCTTTTCGATTAGATAATGTACTCATTGAGACCGCAAAATAATTGCCCACCTTAGGCGCAGGGTCCACTTTTTCCGGTCGTATACTAGGGACTTTAGCCGTCTGCATACAATTCTGCGTAAGAATTTAACACAGTATCCGAAGCGTTTCTAGGGAGACTTGAAAGTGGTCGGAGGGAAATAAACGTTTCATACCGGTAGCAGAAAATGGCTGGTCGTCCTACACCCTCGGGCACAAAGGATAACGTCTCCAGGAGTGACGGCATCGATATCTGGGATACTTCCTTTCGCGTAATGAAATTTTGAGGTCTCTTCACCCGGGCGACGTGTGGTGGTCATGAGCAATGTCTAGCCATTAGGAGCAGAGGCGTGAAGGATTGTGCGCCGTGTATATGATAAGCCCGACGCCCGGGGGGCGCGGATGTGACAGGCAGTATAATAGCCTCGACTTCAATCTTGGTTCCCGGCGTTTAGTAGCCAAGCAAATCACGATGTCTGTACTTTGTTTTAAGACAAGGGTCACCTCTCGCCTACGCTGTAGTTGTTTCTACTAGCCCAAGCTATGCACTTGTATTTCAGCTTCTGTATCAAAGATAGCTACGAGTAGTTAGAGGACCATGGACGTACCAGTATCTCGACTAATTTGCAATCACCGGTTATCGTTTTCGACTGTATGGCCATAGTATTAATATTCTCTGCTTTGCTCTCGTACTCGTCCCTCACGGCGTTGCGCAGATGCACGAGCCGGACTGGAAAACTCAGGATGCCTACAGCAAGTCCTCGGAGCATGCCGACTCCTCCGCCAGGCTATTGATAACCCCGAAGTCCTGAGACGCAGCGAAGTCGCTATCAGGCAGGGCGTTCGCTATCCAATCTTGAGGACACCTTGCAGTCTCGTAAAAATGATGCAGGCGCAGTGCGTTGAGCACTCAATCAGAGAACAGAGTAATCAGGTACATGTCCCCTCTACTTGCGGAAGGGAGAAGTATGAGCATTGGATGCGATTCCGCTAGAGAGAGCCTTACCAGGAAGATGCCAAGGCATCGGTTTGAATACACATGTTCTTGCCATCAGGAAGCGAAATATGACCGCACTGAAACAACGCACGGGAGTCGCAACTCGATAACTATCCGGCACGTCACAACCGCTAAGTTTAAGTGTACAATATAACATGTTAGCTGCGTCCCATCGGCAACGAGACTTAACGCACTTGATCATCCAAGGAGGTCATCTAAGAAGTCCTCCATGCCTTCTTTCTCGCTCTTGGGCTTTGCAAGCTCATCCGTGGGGAGCGCCGGCGCTTCTATGAAGCTCTTCTCGGCTTTCTCTGTGGGTGTGCATTAGGATGTATGAAGTGTATTATGGCACGAGTGTACCTTTGATGGGTTTCACCGGGGCGCGGAACGAAGGATTCGCTGATTGAGTCTTGAACCGTGACTTCAATTCTTGTTATGCGACATTGGAATCGTCACTGGACCTAATCTTGAGTTCAGCGCACCTCGAGTGGCATCAGCAGCGGCCTTCTCGCGGCTCAGCTCCTCCAGGCTGTTATCCCACTCAATCTGCTGTAGCTTGCCCTTCCTGATATTCGATGCCTTGCTTCGGCTGGCGACCTGTGTAATGCTCGTATCAATGTCGTCGTTGTCTTCAGGCGGCGGTGCAGATGACGGCTGAGGAGATAAACGTTGCTTCTCCAAGAACGCCGAGAGATCGACCTCCGGCTCGACAATAGGTTCGCCTGATCTCGAGGACTTCAGAGTCAACTTAATCTAGATTAACGTACTAAGAATTTTACATACCGTCTGAACCCAGTTCTGGCTCTGACTCTACATACCTATCGGCATTAGTGCTGAGGTGTCTCCTCCCAAACTTCCTCTGCATCTCTTTCTCGTATTCCTTCGCCTCCTCCTCGTCAAGCTCTACTTCTTGTTCGTCTCCGAGTAGCAGTCGCTTCGCGAACTCTGCAGGGCGACCCCTCCCTCGCCCTCGCCCACGAGCACGAAGATATTTGCCAATCCCCCCGCGGGACCTCCCCCTGCCTCTACCGCGGCCAGAAGGTGACACAGACGCCTCCGAAGGATCCATAGTTCGATAGATACAGATGCTGTTCAATACTGAGACCAGTAAGTCGGGATGTTAGTCAACAGCAGATTATAGATCTTGTGCGGCATGAGTGAGGTCCCGCGCCAAATTATGTAAGCATCGGCTGGCCTTCCAAAAGCGGAAGCCTGGGTGACACGACGTCCCCGAAGTGGCGCGTCCGACGCATCAGTTGATGCGTCGCCCTTAACGGCGACTAGCATTGCCAAGTCCGTTCTCCGTCGGCATTCGTGGGACTGACCTCGGACCCCGGAACACAGCAGCGAACGCTTTTCCCTCTCCCGAGTCCTAATGCCATTATACAAGACCGCTCCTCCCGAAACGGCTGCCTTCGCAGTATGTTACGGATGCTGAAACAGCGTGCAGCGCTGGGCCTTCTCAAAATCTTTTCGGCTGTGCCACCCTGCATCAGCATCGCAAGGTTGGGTAGACTTTCTGAACACCGGTCTTACGGAAGAACACTGCCTTATGTGTTCTGGTAGTCTGCGGGTGCGCTCTTCACGCTAGCCTCCCGCACAGATAAGTGCCCCTGCACTTTCTCACTGACGCTGCTCGGAACAACACGCCACATCCGTCTTCCTGAGGCAGACAGAATTCATTGCCAATGCAATGGACGAAGTTATATGGGGCTGCAAGCAGGCAAACAGCTATGATTGCGAGTCTCCCTTTATGGTGTTGAACGCTTGACATCTTCGAGGACGTAGTTTACTGCGCAGGTTTCCTTTCCTCTGCAGCCTATCCGAGATCAAGTCATTGGAGTCTTAAAGCTCACATACGGTGCTCCCACGCTTACATGTGTTTATCATCAAGAAAGAACGAGAAAATGTCGATGGTAGCGACGTCGACCGTGCTGTTCTTACCAACGTGCATCTCACGACAGCCATATGGGATGGTATGGTCATTGGGGTCTGTATATGGACTTACCAGAATTCATTGATGCACTGTTCTATTCTTATTAACTCATCTGTTCTAGGGGTGAGAATTCACGGTTCTGATTTTCCCAGTGCCGTAACAAATTGTCCGACACTGCGCTGAGCCAGGCAGCCTACCGTCTCTCATGCTCGGTTGCACTGGTCGCTTCTGAAGCTTGCCGCGCTTAGAATACCGTTTCGTGAGCGCATTTGCCTCGCCGCAGTATTATGCTGCCGACAGAGAGGCACAGTAAAACAGCCGCCAATGCCTTCTTCATTTATCTTCAGCTCGACGGGATATCTTCACATGCTGTCATCGGAGATGATGCTGATGCATCTCTTAGCCGAGCTGTCACTGTTATATGAGGAGGAGCCAAGCGGTTCGACCCGCTACTCGGAGTCCATCCAGCCCGTAGTATACCCCGCCTGGACAGCCGTCTAGTCATCGCATCGGCACAGGTGAGCAGACCCTCGTCGGATTGAGAGATTTCCGCACGCTTACGTAGCGAGTGGCAGTATGTTGACGTGGACACTCGCATCATTCATCTTGCATGGCGTGTTGCAGCTCGCTCTCGTACCGGAGGTCGTGACCGCGACCTCCATCCTGCCACACTCGAGGAGGGAAAATGCGAAAATTGCACCGAAAGTCTTCCTTATCGACATGGTGAGCTCAAGTAGGCTTATATTGCGCTCCTGACACTTATCAGTTCACTGCTTAGTTCGACGACGAAGGCGACTCGTGGTATGGCATCCCTCAGTTCAACGTTCTAGAGAACAACATCACTATTCCGGGCTTCTCGCCGCTCTTCCCCCAGGCTCACTGTACAGGGGATGGATCGATATGCCAGCTCACTACAGGAGAAGCCGAGATCAACGCTGCCTCGACGATCGCCGCACTAGTCCACTCCCCCGTTTTCGACCTCACGCAAACCTACTTCATGATCGCCGGTATTGCAGGAATCAGCCCTAAGCTCGGCACTCTGGGTAGCGTTACCTTCGCGCGGTTCGGCGTGCAGGTCGCGTTGCAGTTCGAGTTCGATGCCCGCGAGAAGCCCGCCAACTTCTCCACAGGCTATGTCCCGCAAGGTTCCTTTTCGCCGGATGAGTTCCCTCAGGAGCTCTATGGCACGGAGGTCTTCGAAGTGAACGAAAACCTCCGCCAGCTTGCCATCTCGATGGCAAAGACGGGCAAGCTTTTCGACGACGCCCAGTCGCAGCAGTATCGCGCCAACTACGCCAGCAACCCTGCCTTCGCTGCTGGCGCTGCACCTCCGTCCGTCGTAGCCTGCGACACGGCGACTTCCGATGTCTTCTGGACCGGCGACCTGCTTGCCTCAGCCTTCGAAAACACCACGAAGCTCTTCACGAATGGGACGGCGACGTACTGTACTACGCAGCAAGAGGACAATGGGACGCTCGAAGCGCTCATGCGTGGTGCCATCACAGGGCTCGTCGACTTTTCCCGCATCATCATTATGCGCACTGCCTCCGACTTCGACAGGCCGTTCGACGGAGAGAGTGCGGCCACGAACCTCTTCCTCATGTCGCCTGGTTTTGACATCTCGATTCAAAACATCCCCGCCGCAGGCGTCCCCATCGTGACAGGTATCGTCTCCAAGTGGGAGTCGACGTTTGAGAAGGGCATCAAGCCGAACAACTACATTGGCGATATCTTTGGGTCGTTGGGCGGTACCCCGGACTTTGGGCCCGGTAACATTTTTGGCGGGAAGGCTCCTACAAAACGCTCCTTACATCGCCGAGGTGTTCGCTCAATGATTCGTAGCATTTGAGCTATCGCTGTACTCCCGCCTTCTATCGCCCTACGAATCTAGTCGGACTGTCACAACTTGTTTTGTCGTTACTATCGTTCGGACTGATTCGTACCCAGACATTTGATGGAGGGGGATGTTGTGTACTACTCTTTGAAGTTTCGTCGCTACTTCTTGGTTAGGCTGGTTGCTGGTACACTATATTACACCCTACGCAACAATTTTACAGTACACTTAGTGCTTAGCAAGCCAACCAATAAATATGCGACTGAATTTCTCACGAGAAGCACAACCACAAAGCCTCAAACATCGTAGGACAGGGACCGCTGAGCTCCGAGGATTTTCGTACTCTTGTTCTCGGTATTCGTCTCTTGCGAACTCCCTGAGTTCATCACTCGCGCCATCTCGTGAAGATTGATGGCGGTCGCTGATACAGGTTTGAGCTCCGTCACGGTGGGAGCGGTGGAAGCATATGTCGCTTGACTGGCTCCCTGCGCGGACTTGAAGACCAGGACGCTGTTTGACGAGCCTGTTTCATTGATCGAGTTGAGAACGGAATATTTAGAGTTGACGAGGATGACGACCACAGTCGGATATATGCCCTATGGCCAAAATGTGTTCATGTGGCGAGCGCCAGGGTGAGTGGGGTGAAACGCACCACAATGAGACTGGTGATGTACTGGTAGACGGTAAAAGCGAATGTAAGCCCTTCGTTCCGGTTGATGCTAGCGTTGACCGAGTCAAGGCTCATGATCACTTGTACCAGCTGCCAGTGACATCAGCTAGGTCAATGATATATAGTAGGTAAAATGCTCACGAAAAATAGCATGTAGAGAACGCCCGACTCAATGAGGATGAACATAACTCCCTGCGTTCGTGTCTGCGGCGACGACTTGCCAAAGGCACCCATGTGCGTACGCTTGTATATCCTGTCAAGAGATGCGCAACAGGATGAGCCTCCCTTCATCACTGTCTGCTAGAGGGGAAGGGGAATGCCGACTTACCAAGTCTTGTACGCAATAAGTATAGTCGCGACGGCGGTTGTTGCCAGTGTCATAGAGTAAGACGCAGTTTGAATGTTGCGACAGAAAGCCGGGTGCTGATAGGTGCCTAACTGAATGTCGGCTCCCAGCCGAGCGGCGCAAAAGGTCAGCATGATTGAAGTAGCTAAATAAGTGGACTGAGTGGGACAGCCGGCCAGGAAATCCATGAAACGCACAGAGTGATCCTGCAAGGACGGCGAGAGGAATGAGTAGGACAAATCTCTCTTGGCGGTCCGACCAGAACGCGTAGACACGCCAGATAATGATTCCGTCGCCGATAATAGTCTGGAGCATGGTAGAAGTCATGTGGTGGACCTTTGTGGAGCGATCAGGATCGTACCATATAAGCATAAAGCACATCTTCTACGGACGAGAGACGAAGGATGTTGGATATGGCCGCGGAATAAATGTCGTCGAGCGAATCGGTGGAAGTTGAAAGGAGCGTCATCTTGATCTCTGTAATGACATTGTGTATATCTATCATCCAGAGGGCGAGTGCAAAGCTATACATGATAAAGACCGCCAAGCTTGTCAAGAGAGACACCCTGGTACGGCCATTCCTCCTATGAATATGTCATATCTCAACGATTGCGTCAAAAAAAAGTAGAGACAACGGAGGAGCTTACAGAAGATGCTGGCCTGTCTTGAAGACAAGCACAGAGTATATGGCTACAATATTCAGTTCAGCAATTACCGGAGTGTCACGGGGAAGAGCATGCCTATAGTGAACGTTTCGACCGTCACGGAAACGAATGACTGGATTAAATCATGGCCAATACTTTGCCATACGGCTGCATCGTCGCTAGAAGACATGATCTACTGCGAGGTTGGGGAGGAGAGGTCTGGCCACGTTATGTTCGGCATGAAGTCAGTTCATATAGGCTACGTCGCATTAGGTCTAAGGCGCCCCGGACTGTACGCCACCAGGGAGCGGCACAGTGTGAACCATCATTCAGAGTAGAGCTACGTGCGAGCAACTCATCAGCTACCATGACTGCCGAAACAATCCAAACTTTAGAGAGCATGGCCGGGTGAATGAATCTCTGGGAGTTTGTTATCGCAGGACAGGATTATCACCGAAACCCCCAGTGGTGCCTTGAAGATGAGGGATTGATCAGGTACAGCTCTGGTTCTCATGTCAGGTTCGCGTATTGGATAAATCGTAGCGGTCAGTAGGAGGAGCTCAGTCGCACCACAATTCTCTTATAGCTGCTAAGTACGCACGTTGACCATCGTATGGATCAAGTGCATTCGTTATATTAAGGCTTCATACAAGCCTAGCTTTAGACCACGTCAAATAGTACCATGGTCTACGAGACATAGACTCACCATCATGTCAACAAAACGGCTCGCCGCATATGGCCACCCGGCTTGCGGCATTGGCAGACTAGATTCTGAGTGCCGCCGGTCTTCCCCACGGTAGCCGTGACCGCGAACGGACGGACGGCGGATAGAAGAGATGGGAGTCCAGGGAAGATGGATTACCATAGAGTATTTCACAGCCTCATCCATGAATGCTGACAGGCAGGCACGTTCGCTACAGCTTCCGACGGGCGTATCAGCGGCGCAGGGGCGGCGAACAATCTGCGTTCAAGCAGTTTCGTTTGGGACTGGATTTGTTCGTGTTTCTGCCTGCAAGCTCTGATATCACTTTATTGAGATGCAGCGGCTCGGCCCGGCGGACCCCAAGATGTACACGAATGTCAGACTGAAGCTGTGTGAGGTACGGGATAGCGATTCGCTTCGTTCAATAAGAGATGTTCAGCTGATGGTCGCACCTGTGGACCTCTGGCCCAGATAGGGTCTCGGGCGAACACGCGAAGCAGACGAGGCCTGACTGCATCCGCTCTGCGACGATGGTGCCTATGAGCAGTCCCTGTCTGTGGGGCAAGTATGTGACAGCGGAGCGCAAACGAGCCACAGGGCATCACCGGCGACTGAATGAGCTGTGCCACCAGGCATCTATTCCTTGTTCGACAGTTCCGACCCGTGTCGCTCTGCGATACCCTATTAGTCAAGTGTGTACGCTAAGGGATGTACAGCATGAGGCAGCGGGATGATACGTTACGTTCTGTGCGATAACGATGCCGACGGGACTCCGGAAACGATCACTATCTTTCAAAATCCACTGATCGTGATGGAGCTAAAGGCGATAATCGGTCGCAACAGGAAGGATGGACGAGTTAAGAGTCCGGCACCATTATCGCAGACATTACTTGAGCGAAGCGGGATCGTTTGTGAGTTGACTAGTGGCGTCCGTCCATACTGAGGCTCGTCTCTAGTCTTTTGACATGACCCAAGCGTCGGAGAATGGTATGTGACTTGCACTGTAGAGACTATCTGAATCGCTGACCGAGGATACGTGACAGTTGTCATCGGCGTCATCGGAGGTAGCGGCCTGTATCACCTCGATAATTTGACATTCGTGTAAGTGTTGCACTCCAAGCTGGCTCATCAAACAGAAAATCTGAACAAATCACTGCCCGCCAGCAAATATGTCAACCCCGATACAGTGAGCGTTGGTTTCACTTCGTGTCTGCTCACACTTAATCCAAACAACATAGCCCTGGGGTTACCCATCTTCCCCAATCACAATATGTTCCTTGCCATCTGGAACCAGTGTAGCTTTCCTAGCGCGACACGGCCCCGGTCATACGATAACTCCTTCCTCTGTTCCGTCGCGCGCAAACATCGCGGCACTCAAATCCCTCGGCGTCCGCGTCATCCTCGCGTTCAGCGCCGTAGGGTCTCTTCGCGAGGAGATACCCCCGGGAACGTTCTGTCTTCCTACACAGGTCATAGATCGCACGAAGGGTGTACGCCCCACAACATTTTTTGATGGATCGGTGGTAGCGCATGCCTCGTTTGGCGACCCGTTCAGCATGAAGCTTGTGCGCTGGCTCGAGGGGGAGGTGGGAAAGGCACTCGCTAGCGACTCTCGTGGAGTCAAGCTTGCTGTCGACAAGTGCATCGTCTGCATGGAGGGACCTCAGTTCTCTACACGGGCAGAGAGCTTGATGTATAGGCAGTGGGGAGGGGACCTGATCAACATGAGTGTGCTGCCCGAGGCCAAGCTTGCGCGAGAGGCAGAGATAAGGTCAGCCGTGAAAATGCTCAAAACGTTATGCATACTCACAAGAATGAACTGCATAGCTACGCTCTCATCGCTACCGCCACCGACTACGATGCATGGCGACCCCACACGGAGTCGGTCACGGTCAGTGAGGTCTTTAAAACCCTTCAGGCAAACGCAGAGACGTCGCGCCACGTGGCTGCTAAAGTATTGGAAGGTTTGAATGCTTTGGCAGTGCAAGGCGATATACTCAGCACGGAGAAGGGATCCATGCAATACTCCATTATGCCGCGTTCGGAGCGTCAGCAGGGAGAAGATGTCGCTAAACTGCGCTTCATCCTCCCTGAGTACTTCCCGGAATAGTGACAGGCGTGATAATAGTATACCATAGATAAAGATGCAAAGTATAAGCATGTATACACTGCCTGGATATTTCAGTGCACGGGTACCAGCTCGCAGCGTTTGCCTTGGAGCGAAACGGGATGGAAATTTGAGATTTGGGCCATGTCTTCTCTGCCTTGGCAGTGTTAGCAACGTCATATTGCCACGATAGGGACTTACGGGCGACAATCCCCTGCGGCATACGCATGAACGTTAACTAAGCTGTGGTAGTGCCTCAAGAATATTAATGGGCAGCCGTTAGGCGCCTGGACAGCGAAAGCTCTAACGTAAGCAGAATCGCGTTTGCTGAGAGCTCGGACGGTTTAGCCATCGCCAAACTTCTTGCAAAAAACAAGGTATCACGGACGAGACGTACATTGAGTCACCGTTAGCACCAATGCTCGACGTAACCCTCGGACACGTGCATTGTTCTCCTTATAAATTTCCTTTTAGTTTCTTCTCGATTTGCGACGCAGTATTAATGTCAAGTTTTCCGAATATCTTGTCCGAAATAGCATTAAAGTCTAATTCTCAGCGGAGGAGATAATGGCCCAGATAAGCCTCAAGAATGGCAAGATTGCAAAGTTTATGATTCATAAGGATCCAAGAATCCGCACTTCCTGAAGCAGCTCGCTTTGGCCGCAGCACCGCACGAATAAGATTTTCCGCACACCTCTAGGCAACCATAAATTATTTATATACAAGCCTGTCAAGTGAGTGTCGGCAATCTCGGGCCCTCACAGCTCTAGCGACTACAAGGAATTATTCTCCATTTGTAAGACGGCAACGCACTGTTCAAACCGCTTCACAGAGACTCTCCTCAAGAACTCTGTGCGACTTGAAATTCTCCCCATTATCGTGTGTCCTCACAACCGTAAATTTAAATTTATCCGGGCTCTTTCGCCCCTTCAGGGCGTGACAGTCGTGTGCGTTGACTCAAGATGCATCTTCAAATTAAGTTTCAGGAAGCGAAAGAACAGAATCACGCCACGCACCTAAGATCCGAGTGAAGAACGGTGAGAAAAGCGAAAGCGCAAATCGCCAAGTTTGGGCTTTTGCTCAAAGGTGCTGTTTTCATCTCGCATCTCGTGATTGCGGCGTGCACGGCTGAGTGGTGGCGGGGAATCGAGAGTTTCCACGGTCCATTTCGAGCGGCGGGAGGTCAGGAACCCAGCATTCGAGCCTCACCGAGACCTCGCGGATCAAATCAAGTAGTATGGTCAATAAATACTCCGCGACATGCTCGGTGCCAAGGGGGACTAGTGCTCTAATGAGTATATTATTTCTCATGGTGAAGCCCAGCTCAGTCGATCCTACTTCTGCTCGAAATTCTGTGAGGTGGGCGCACAAAGATTATCAATCGTCTTGAGAGTTACAACCTAGCTCCGGTACACAACAGACCGCCGAACTTGAACCCCAAGGCTATTTTCCTCCTTCGCACCGAAATTTCTACTCTCTGTAGACTTAGCGTGTGCCATCTCAAACAGGTCTGCATCCCGGCCTTGGAGGAGCATAGAACTGTGGGTGATTGCTTCCTCAGTGCTGTCGAGATACATTGCACTGCCTTCGGTGGCCGTTCGGCCACGTCCAAACACGACAGCGGTGTCAGATGTTTCTGCCTGAGAGGAGAGGATGGAATGCTTGGAATAGACGAGTATAACCACGATTGTCGGATAGATTCCCTGCAAGAGCATCTCAAATCGTGTGGGGCAAGTTTGAAGAGATGCGGGGAACCTACCACAATGAGGCTGTTGGTATACTGCTGGATTGTCAAGGCGAAAGTCAGGCCCGCGTTCTGTTCTATCTTGGCATTCACTGAGCTGATACTTATGATGACCTGCACCGCCTACAGCCACGGTTTATACAGCAGACACGGTCATCGTGGAAAGAGCACTCACGAAGAATAGCATATATAGGAGGCCTGACTCAATAAGCATGACCATGACTCTCAGAGTGCGAGTCCTTGGACCGGAGTTTCTGAAGACGGAGAAGTACGTCCGGGTGTACTGCCTGTTCGATGTGTCAGAACTGCCCTGCGTGCATTAAAAAAAGCAGAACTACCAGGCCTTGAGCGCGATTAAAATTGTCGCAATCGCCGTAGTCGCCAGCGTCATAGAGTAAGACGTAGTCTGAATGTTGCGGCAAAAGGCTGGATGTTGATACGTGCCCAGCTTGATGTCCGCCCCAAGACGAGCGGCGCAGTAGGTAAGCATAGCCGATGACGCTGTTCCAAGATGCTAAGAATGGATATGCATATACCGGAGCAGCACGGCTTACAAGCAGACCCCAAAAGAAAAGCCAGTGGGAGGAATAGGACAAGTCTCTCTCTCCCATTGGACCAGAAAGCGTGGACGCGCCAGATAATAATAATGTCACCAATAATGGTCTAGTGAGACTCTTAAGATGTCAGGATAGGTCCTTTTGGAAACTGCGTACATACCATATAAGAGTAGAGGAGGTCTTCAATGGAAGCCAGGCGCAGGATAGAAGAGGTAGCAGAGGAGTAATCATCTGAGAGAGTGGCGTCAGATGTCGCAAGGAGCGTCATCTTCACTTCGATAACGAGATTTTGAAGGTCGATGATCCAGAGTACGACGGCCATCCCAAACATTGCGCAGACGGCAGTGTATGTGTACGAGGAGGCCTTCGTGCGGGTTTTGTATCTGCGACGATAAGAGGTCAGGCAGTGGTAGGCATGAAAAAAAAAGCCAGGAAAACGAACAGCAGGATACGAGTGGTCATAAGAAAAAGTACAGAGTATATAGCTGCGCAAACAACTTTAGCTGATTTCTTGGAATCGGGCAAGAAATGGGCCATGCCTATGACAAAAGTCTCGACCGTGACAGCGACAAAGGTTCGGATTAAATCATAGCCAATTGTCTGGAACACTGCGACATTGTCGGAAGGCGGCATTTTGGATACTGAGCTTGGCAGGATGGGGGTGACTTCGCTGGAGTTCTGCTTGTCTGTCTGTCGTCATATAACGTGCATACTGGTTGACAGAACAGTTGCATCTGTAAACTCGAGATCTAAGGTCTGGGAAACATAAATCGTGGATATATCTCGATGTTACGATTATCTGGCATCGATTACCACGGGATGCCGTATCTCAATGAAAATATGTCAAAAACGAACGTCGCCTTATTTTGCAGCGTTGAAAGTCAACCTTCTGCCTGGTAGTCAATTAAGCCCTGGAGTCTTCGTCACCTGCGATTGTTTCAACTACCATCGTCGGAGAGGTGAGTCTACGAGTCATACTGGTAAGTTTCACTCCATATAGACTCTTGTAGGGGCTCTCGTGCATTGTGCGGCGCGATATTATATGGTGATGTCGGGTTCAGGGGTGAGCCTTGTAAATGAATATACGGTAACCAAAAGCTTGCCGATATGCATCGCGGCGCCGCGACCACTCTGTTCCCAATGCTGTGGAAGTGACCGTCAAGAGCTACCGACCTATAAGCTTCTCGGAGTGGCTCGATCTTGACGCTCCCTCCAAATAGACTGATTTAAGAAGCATATTCAGTGTCTGCACTTGTAATCGTGACAGACTGTTGCTGGGCGACCGTGTAAATATGATGCACAAGTGACAAGATGGTTACTAAATCTGTTCAACGCTTGACAACGGCGGTGTCCGTTAAGGGGTCGCGCCCAGATACACCAGGCAACTAACCTTCCTATCCTTAATTACGGCAACCTCTTCATGATGCAGAGGTCAGCATTTTGATTTCATGGGCATGCTGGAAGTCTAACTTTAGGCTTCGAGAGTTCCTGGCACTTCGGAAGGCGGTAGGTGACGTTCTCAAGCAACGACCGCTGAAGAACATGCAAGTCGCACTCTGTGAAAACCCGAGAAAATTTTGAAGGAACTCTACAATATCAGCACAGCGTGAATCTGTGCGATCTAGGGTCATGTCACCAGTGCCAGGGCATTAGCAATATTAATGTACGACGTACAGCAATCGTATCAGAAGATGATGCCTAGGGTGGATGCTATGCGATTAATGACCAGAGATACTATACAGCAGCCGTAACTTGTACTCCAGCTGTCAGTTGGAGGACTGTGTCAGAAAAGCTATCCCGAGTACTGTGAAACGACGTTGATCAAACGACCTCACAAATCCTGCTGATGTAAGCAAATCAGCACTTATTCTTAGCCTGGGATTCTTAGCCTGACCCTTGGTGTTCGCCGTACTACGAGTATTTATAGCAGCGTAGCAGACAGCATTCGCGAGAACGGTGTTACGCCTCTTTCAACATTTACAGGCTTTGTTACATAGTAGACTGCGCTCGTCTTCTGGTTATGTGGCAGCGACTCTCGGGGAGCCTGAGGACTGAGGACTGAATAAATAGTCACAATCGGTACACGTAAGTCTGGCCTTCAATATTTCAACATCCATTGAATACCAACAGGACGCGAGATCCTGCTTTTCTGCAGGTATCTCTGTGAAGCTGTTCCTGCGTTGCTGCACCTTGCAACACTATCTCCTCAGCGGCGGCTATGACGTCATAGGGAAACGACGCTGCTCCGCTTGCGCTCGTCCCGGACAGCATCATACATCCTCTCCAGCTTTCTCTACCGGTGCAATTTCTACCTACTTCTCTTCCCTACACTGCACGAAACGGGAAGTTACGCCGCGGTGTAACCTGAGCGTAACGTCTGGATTACGCCCGGGTTCTTCCAAGATCACGCCCGGATTATGACGTAGGCGAATCTTGTGGTAACCGCACAATTATGAAAGGATTACGACCGGATTTCGACAGGATTTCGCCCAGGTTCTGCCCGAGCGTAATGTCTGTCACCGAGGGAGGTTATCTTCCCAGTGCGTCATTACATAATCATAAATATTCCATATATAGCAACATTAAGTGTCCCCATCCTCCTCGCTTGCTTTCCCGTTTATCCCACTATTCCACCTGTAAATATTCTTGAAATCGAATAGATTGTTCACCCAAGTGTACAGAATTGTGTCCCCAAAAATCAGAACCAGAACCCCATGACATAACAAGTTGTAGTCAGTGCCACAAAAGTGTCCTCCGCATACCGCCTCCAACCCGCCAACGGCGCATCTTGTTTCCCACATCCACCAGACCACAATCCCCGCGCTTATTAGCTATGGAAGATCCCCCGCCACCTCCTCCGCCGTCGTCGTCTGGCTCCCTGAACCTTCAGCAGTTGAAGACGTGTGTTAACAGGATTGAAGAGCTGACCGAGCAAATGAAGACGTACGAACAGGAACAGGCTCTCGCCAAGCGACGCGCTGCACTCCTAAAGCTGCAATGCAATGGATATGAGCAGGAAATCAAGAACCTGAGGGCACGAATTGCCTACCTTGAGGACCTTCTGGAAGTTGCTCCTCTCCAGCCAACCCCACCGGTCGCAAACCAG